TCAGCGTCCCCACCCGCCCGTATCAGAAAAACGAAAATTGGAAAAAAATCGGAAAAAAATTCATAACTCGAATAATTTTTGACCAATTCTTTGTTTCTTGGTCGCAAATTAAAGAGGGATTAATAGTCCTTAATATGTGACCAATTAGAATTTATTTAAAAAATTTTTGATAGTCAGCGTCCCCACCCGCCCGAATCAGAAAAACGAAAATTGGAAAAAAATCGGAAAAAAATTCATAACTCGAATAATTTTTGACCAATTCTTTGTTTCTTGGTCGCAATTAAAGGGGGATTAATAGTCCTTAATATGTGACCAATTAGAATTTATTTAAAAAATTTTTGATAGTCAGCGTCCCCACCCGCCCGTATCAGAAAAACGAAAATTGGAAAAAAATCGGAAAAAAATTCATAACTCGAATAATTTTTGACCAATTCTTTGTTTCTTGGTCGCAAATTAAAGAGGGATTAATAGTCCTTAATATGTGACCAATTAGAATTTATTTAAAAAACTTTTGATAGCCAGCGTCCCCACCCGCCCGAATCAGAAAAACGAAAATTGGAAAAAAATCGGAAAAAAATTCATAACTCGAATAATTTTTGACCAATTCTTTGTTTCTTGGTCGCAAATTAAAGGGGGATGATTGCTCTTTAAAATGTGACAATTGAAAATATTTTTAATAAACTTTTGATAGCCAGCGTCCCAACCCGCCCGTATCAGAAAAACGAAAATTGGAAAAAAATCGGAAAAAAATTCATAACTCGAATAATTTTTGACCAATTCTTTGTTTCTTGGTCGCAAATTAAAGAGGGATTAATAGTCCTTAATATGTGACCAATTAGAATTTATTTAAAAAATTTTTGATAGTCAGCGTCCCCACCCGCCCGTATCAGAAAAACGAAAATTGGAAAAAAATCGGAAAAAAATTCATAACTCGAATAATTTTTGACCAATTCTTTGTTTCTTGGTCGCAAATTAAAGGGGGATGATTGCTCTTCAAGATGTGACAATTGAAATAATTTTTAATAAACTGTAATAGCTAGCGTACGTTGTTTTTGCGTTGATTGAACCGTATAGGGCCACCGCGCTACTATGTGTGTCGGCGCCTATGGATTCTTCTGATGGGTGGCGGCCGGCGGGTCGCTAGTTTCACCGAGCCAGTGCATTTTGACATTCACATGATTAAAATATCAGAAAGAAGAAAATTATAATAATTTAAAAAATTTAAATTTATAATTTCAGCAATAAATATTATTCTTCTCTTTATAATATAAGTAGGATTTAATTTAAATTTTCAAGAGTTTCGGATCATTAGTAGAGTAGGTCAATATTCAGAGAGTTTTTTAAGATGTTAAATTGTGCTCCAATTTAAATATATGCAAAACTTGATTCACTATAAAACATTACTTCAGAAATTGCATTCATTTTTCCTATTATAATTTTTTTAAATTCATTCCTTTTACTTTCTGTACTTTTTATCACTTTATCACTAAATCACTTCCAATTACTCTAATTAATTTAAAAATAATATAAAATTTATATTATTGGTGTTATAGATATTATTTCTTCATTCTAAACTCCAAATAAATAATTTTTCTAATAATTAATGCACTCTGTGTACAATGTAAATATAATGTTTAGTATCAATATGCGTTTAATATTTCGAAAATTTGAATATTCAGTACATTGTAAGTGCTTTGTTGCTTCTAACCCTTTCGTGTTTGGTTCTCAAAGTTAATGAATATTAAATGTAGATACTTGAGGGTTGCAGCTTCACTACCAATTAATCAGTAACCATTATACAAGAATTTAATAAGTACCTAATTAATTTGTTCCTTCAAATTAAAACTAATTAATTTCACGCCTTTTTGATAATAATAATTATCCTCGTGTCTAAAAAATTTAATTCTTTCGCAGTATATGTTAAATAAATTCTTAAATTGTTTACATTTTTTATATTAACATTTTAAAAAGTAATGATATTTTTACTTTAGTAATAATTTTAATAAAAGTAATATATTTATAATAATTTAATATAACAATTATTATGAATAATTTTATTCAACTTTCTAATGATAATTGAGTAAGACAACACACATGTACTGCGGGTTGCCTATTACTATCGCAACTCCATGAATTCGTAAAAAATCCTATTTCTTAATAAAAAGTCGTGCTTTATCATTTTATTAATTTTTTAAATTTTAAATTTATAATTTTTTAAAACTAGCTAATATATTAAACTTTTAAAAAATTGTAGCTATTAAATACTATAAAAATGAAAATAATATATTCTCTTATTCCATCTTATTATCAATCATTATTAATGTAATAGTTATTAAATCATTATTTTAATTTTTTTTGATATTCAATTTCTAAAGTACGTACAATTAAATTCTATTATTATCATTTGCAGATTTTAAATATTTATGTCTATTAAGTTATTAAATCCTCTTCTTGATATAAAATTTACAATTTTAAAAATCTTGTTGAATTTACTAAGTAGGTATTTAAAAAAATAAATGAATTACAAAAAAATATATATTATTTATAGAACAACTTTTCCCTGACACTGAAGAATATTCTGATTTATTTAATTTGAACCCTTTTCAAAATTCAATTATTTCTAAAAATTCACGTTATAATGGATTTAATATTCAATTATAATTTAAAATTTTAAGTGAAATTCATTTTATTTTAATCAATTTTTATTAGAAAATTTGTCGAGAATTCAATTATTTAAATACAAAAATAAATAATTTATTAAATAATTGAATATTTCTTAATATTGAATTTTTATAAGAATTTTATCAAATTTTTAAAAATTATTGAATTCTGGAGAACAATATTATTATTTATCACTTTTGAAAATAATTGAATTTCTGTAATCAGTTGTTATTAAAATTTCTATATTTAAATTCATTAAAAATTGAAATTTTCTAAAATTTCAAATTGAAACCTTTAAAGTTTATCTATTTATGAAGATGGTGAACACAACTCTTTTGAAATACAATTAATTTTGAAATTTTTAAGTAAAATAATTTCTAAGTAATAATTTTATGATAGTTCTTGAAGAATTAAGTTAGGGAGCGTTCACAAATGGTGTCACGTTTTTGGGGGTATCTACTAAACGTGACACAATGTATTTTTACATGGGAAATTGCATGAAATTACGTGACAGGGCGGAGGGGGGGGGGGTCTAAAATCCCGAAAAATTGCGTGACATCATTTGTGAATGCTCCCTTATTTAAAAATAAATTATTGTCAGAAATAGAAAAAATGTAAGGTTTTGTATTAGAATTCTTGTCAATTTTATAGTTTATAAGGCAAACAAAAAAGACACCAAAACTCAGAATTTTCTAATAAATTCTAAAAATTAAATTTTTTCCAGTACTTTTAATAAAAATCCTTGACTTTTCCCTGATTTCCCAGAGCTGTAGCAACCCTGTAAATACTTGGCAATTTTAATAAGATTATTTAAAGTGAATAATGTATTAGTATTAGCTAGTTTTAATTCGCCTTATTTATATGAAAAAAAGAAAAAGGCAAGCAGTGTTTCATCCCTGATGAAATTCACAGGAAAAATATTTAAGAAATAATTTGTGGAAGAAATTTTTCATTTGGAAAAATACGAGCGTGGGGTAGAAAGTAGTATTATTTTGCAGAATTTGAACTTTAGTCAAGTAAACTAAAAAAAGAAAACTGATGGACAAAATGAAGAAAGAAAATTGAAAAATTGTTTCGGAACGATACACGTCGAATCGAAGGTCGGGACTGTAAATTATATGTAGAGGAGTTTCGCTTCATAATCAATGTTCGTAATCCGGTTTTTTGCACTAGTCGCGACTCACTGCGATGTGGTAGCCTTGCTTTCGTTGTAGCAATGTAACAACCTGTTGATAGGATCTGACTCTTCTTGCTTCTTGCAGCTTCTTGGCAAGGAGCCTCTCTTCCTATATAGTTTCCTTCGCCGCAAGTAATTTTTTTGACTGGAGGTTATCGTCGTCGAGACTCGAGACTCTTTCTCTCACTCACTCAAAGGCTGTCTGGGGAGACTTGATGTCTGGCTCTGACTCTGGTCACTTGGCTTTATTCGCTTTATTCGCTTTATTCGCTTTATTCGCCGACTGAACCGATGGGCCAGACTGCGAGGTTCCCGAAGACCGTTCACCTTACTCTTGACGTCACGTATTCCGCCATCGCAACTCCATTACCATTATGCTTCTCTCGTGGCGCTCATTTTATGAAAAATCCCAGGAAAAAGGACTCGTGGTCCTTTCTTTCCATATAAAAGAAACAATGACTGCAGCCGGATTTCAGGTAATAGTAATGTTTCACTTTTGTCGCAGAACGTTTCTAAAAATTTAGATTTAGTTATGAAATTATTTTTAAATGGGATTTTTGAATTTCCCGCCTTATTACGTTAATGGTCTTCCGAATTTCCTTGTTGTACGGTTGGTACTTGTTCGTGAGCATGCGCATAGATCTTCTGTGCTGGGAAATCCCTAAATTACTGAATACACTCAGTGACATCTAAATCGCACTTCAATACTAAAAATACTTGCTTTTGCTAGTCAAGTTTTTCCTTTATACTAAACATTCTAATTCTTTTGGCACGAATTATAAATACCATTTTTTCTTAATATAAAAGTACAAATTAAAACTTAAAACAAATTAAAATCAAAATTTAAGAAATTGCAGTTTCTTAAATTTTGATTTTCTTAGCCCAGCAAAGTCTTTCCAGTTTTCTAATTTTTCTTCTACTGATTATACAACTGCTTTCACATACTTTGAAATTAACTTATTTACAAACACTTGATTTTCGTAAAAGAAAATTAATAACAAAAGAATGAATAAAATAAAAAAAATATTGTTATCGAGCAAAATCTTTTATTTCCGATCTTTCGGGGCAAGAAACAAAGGATCATTTTCTCCTGCGAGTGCAGCTTCTCATTACAAATCCCCTTCCCTCTATAGCTTTGGTGTTACTCAACCTTGACGATCTGTCTGACATAGGGAATATATAAAATCGTGGTAGTTTCAGTGAGCAACTATTAGTCCACCAGATTCATTGACCGGTACGCGCGCGCTTTCGATTATCCTCGATTTTTATCGAATTCCGATTTTCGAAATTTGGTGGTGCCGGTCCAAGTTCATATTTTTCAATTTCAAGAAACTGACATAATTTCTTTTCCAAACATGTCGAGACTCAGTGTTTATCTTGTTTTTGTCAATTTCCACGTGTTTTTAGCGCGAAATGTGTTCGCCTGCCTCGGAAAGACAATGCTCAGTAAGCCTATAATTAATTACTTATTAAATTCAAACTTATCGATAAAAAATTGATTTTACTGATTTTCTTAGAAATTTTAATTTAAATTTAGTTATATAGTTGCATAATACAAAATTTACAATAAAATTATTATGGATTAAATCTAAATTAAAGTTTCTATAATTAATTTTCTAGTTGAATAATTAACTAAAATTTAAAATAAATAAAATTCAAATTAAATAAGTTCCGCAAAAATTAAATTATTCTTAACTATACATAAAAGTATAACATTAATGCAGTTATAACGTAATCCAGTAAACTAAAATGAGAAGGAAAATTATTTTTAGAAATTAATTAATTTAGAGGAATTGAAAATTTAAAGAAATTGTTGAGTAAAATAAAATTGCAAGTTCCCCTACATCCAACAATAAATATAGGGTAAGAAAGAATAAAGAAAAAAAAGAGTAAAATGAAGTATTACATTTCACGGACACTCATTAATCAACCGATAGCCTCACCTATTCAACCTTTCAATGGAGGTCTATTGAAAAAAAATTCACCGAATGAATGAGTTGTATGACTGAAAACGTCAATTTTCTTTTTACACCGGAAATGAAGAGGGGCTTGGTCCACTAGACGTAATCTGATTTTGGTTTTCAACATTTCAGTGTCTCTCGTTCCATTTACTTTTCGTGGGAAAATTCTAATTTCCCCCACTTTTATGTTTTTGCAATATCAAATTTAAAACTTGATTTTAGAAGCAAAAGAAAAAAGCAACGAAAAATTAAGTGAACTTGTATAACTTAATTAATATTCATGAGACATTTATTTATATTTGATAAACATGTTTGATGCAATATTTAATGGATAATCTGAATCGCCAGGGATATGTAGTTTATAGTTGTGAATTGGGGTGGAAAATCAGACAAGTTTCACCGCCATCTCAATATGTATATACATATATCTGGCCAAGACGAGAAAATGGTATTTGCTTTGGCCAGGCAAATTTAGAGGAACCCCTAAACCACTCCGGATCTTAAGCAACGAAATTATTCAATGGTTGCTGTTCCCTTTACCTTAATCCGATTTCCCAATGTTCTATATATTCAATCTTACTAAATATCCAATGTGGGTGTGTTTACGGTTCATTTGTACATAATAGTTGTTAGTATCAGAAATAATAATAATAAAACTTTTTTTTTGCAAAACTACACAGAAGCTGGAGGATTGACCTGCCAGGACAAGCAAACCATTCTAGACGAACATAATCGGCTTCGTCAGATGGTGGCATTGGGGCAAATTCATGGTCAACCTGGAGCAGTTAATATGATGGAGATGGTAAACACTTTTTTGATTTCATTTCTCTTTTTCTTTTTGACTTGTGACTCATTGATCTGCTTGTCTCGAAATAATTACATAGCCTCTCAATCGGAATCTCCTTGAAAGTCAATTTTTTAAAAGAGCCTTTTCATTACAATAAATGATGTAGGTATTTTAACAAATTACATAGGTACACCAAACAAGAATTTTTCTCATTTTCTGTAACGAAACTTATAATTAATTTCTCTTAAATTTTAGGTTTGGGATGATGAACTGGCAGTAGTTGCACAAAAATGGGCCGATAGTTGTGCCGAAACACATGACACATCTCGAGATGTTCGTGAGTAATTTCATTTATATAAAAAACTCTTCCTCTTCAATTAAAATTAAGGAAATTGAAGAAAAAATTAAACACACAGGCAGATTTGCTGTTGGACAAAATATTGCAAGGACCTGGACAACGAGACCCCCAGGACCCTATGACTCGGAGCCGAACTGGAGGCGAAGAATCTTCGGCTGGTTCAATGAGGTGCAACACTATAATACTGGTTTTAGCCGCTCTACCGGTCACTACACACAGGTTACTAAGAAAAATTCTTAATATTTATAAATACGATCCATTTCTCTCTAAATTCCACTAAACAGTTTGTTTTTAGAAAAAAAATGATTAAAATACGACAAGAAAGATAGAAAACCACTTTTAAATTTCTATATATTAATATTACTCCCCTAAGTTATGCACACAAATTAGTGTCAGATTTCCAATTGTAATTAACAACTCAATTCCCCTTAAATTAGTGACTGAATTTCAGTTACAATTCTAATTTCCATGTTGTAATTAACAACTCAATTGCCCATTAAATCAGAGTTACAATTGGCTCGACAGATATTCAAGAGAATCCCAGAGTATAACAATTATAAAGAAGAAATAAGAGAGCGGACTCGATTATAAAATTAATTAAGCGATGCTAAAAATTAATTACTTCATTTTCAGCTCGTTTGGAGTGAAACTTTTCTCGTCGGTTGTGGATATTCTTTTTACTATGACCCAGCTAGAGGATACACCAAAAACTACGTCTGCAATTACGGTCCAAGGTTAATTAAAAATTTAATTAAAACAATCGTCTAAACTCAAAACCTCTAATCTACTTATTATTAATTTAACATACACGTACGGAAACATTTTCCCCCTACTCTTTTCATATATATCAATTGGAATTTTCTACTGCATTTTATAAAATATGAAAAAAACTATTTTTTTAAATCCTAAATTTATAATTTACTATTTACTTCCAGTGGCAATGTCTTAGGATTCAAACCTTATCAATCTGGAGAGCCGGCTTGCAATTCTTTTGGAATGTCATTTTCAAATCGATATTCAGGCCTTTGTTGTAAGTAGTTTCGAGTTTTTATTTTTAAATTACAAATTTTCTATAATTGACCGATTACTTTACAATAATTGGATAATATAATTATATTGTATAAGCCAAATTTTTATAAAAACTCATTTATTTAATAATCTATCAATTGACCCTGAAATTTTATTGGTTCAAAGTGTTAATGACTTGTAGACTTCCGAATATAAAGTATCAATTGACGTTCACTTTGTATTGCTTTTAAATCTTGACCAAGTACTTCCTGAATCTGTGTCACAAAAAAAAGAGGGACCGGTTTTTATCTCGCTCTCTAAATTAAAAAATATTATATCTTCAATTTTTAATCGAATTTTAAGCAGAAAGTGAAATTTTCACGTCACTAATTCATTTTTGTTGTCCAATTCATTTTTATAGGAAGTAAAATATTTATAAATTTATTTTTTAAAATATATACTTTTTCCTCTATTAAAGGTTAATCAAATTTAAAACAAACTCATTAATCAGAATGTATAATTTTTTATATTTTTAATTCCAATCAATTCCAATTGTAATTTAATTAAATACTAACTTTGAAAGAGTAAAAAGTTTATTTTAGAAATTTAAATTTTCGTGTGTAATGTTTTTTTTAATAATATTTAATTATTTAATTGTAGCCCACGGATCTTACTACCATTTAGGAGCATACTGCGCTTACGGTTAAAGAAAAATTCTGTCTCATGAAATCGAGCAGAAAAGTCGCTTGGAATGGTTCAACATCAAAGCAAACTTCGTTAAGACAAGATGAAAAAGAAAATCTTACTTTGTAAAAGTCTTTTGGATGTAGTCGCACAAAGAAATGATAACAAAAAACACTAATAGGAAAAGAGTAAAAATTTGTAACAAAGAAAAATTACAAAATTTACGTTACTATTTTTAATCAACTTTTTGTACTTTTTTCGTTTTGTTATTTTCTACACTATTTTCTTTAAAAATTTTTTTTTAGGTATAACACTGTTTTAGAAAATACAAATTATTAACAGCTTTTAATTTCAAATGTTAGAAAAAACAATTTTTATTCTGAAATAGTTGAAAGAAACCATTTTTTTATTTTTTTATCTCTTCCTTCTTTGTATAGACGTAAACAATAGGCAATATTCTTCCCACAAGCGCTTCTAGTCTTTAGAGATAATTTTTTGTTAAATTAATTTTACTACTAAAATTGTAAGTTTAAAAAAGTTCCTGTTATTAAATTTTAATTGTATTATTATTTAAAAATATTATCTTAATAATTAATAACATGTAGAAAAAATTGTTAAAGAAATAGTTTAATAAAAGTGTAATTATTTTCCAATCAAAAAATAAAAAACTAATTTCCACGAATTTAACGACTTTTAAAATTATTGTGAAAAATATAAATATATATATTAATAATAATAATTATAATATTATTATAATTTTACTAAGTAATAAGAAATATAGTTGTAATGATAATAATAATACAATAGAAAAGCAATAGAAGAAAAATAATGATATTGATAAGAAGTAGTAGTAACATTTTCTAATTATTACAAAATATACTTATTGTTCAACAATTAAAAAATGTGTTTACTTGCTAATAATTATATAGAAAAAAAAATTCAATTGTAAATAAATTTCTGATGCGCTCAGAAAAGAGGTACCTCAGAAGCAAACAATTTTAGGTTATGTTTGTAATTTTTTTATTGAAAATTCACAAACGAGATCAACTCTCAATTTAAACCACGAATGCTTAAGTATTCAATACATCTAAAATAATTAATAAAAACTGTTTTTAGTTTTACAAAATTAAACAGAAAATGTGAATTAAGATAAAAACATGACAAACATAACCTAAAATGATTTAACTCATAAGTAGCTCGCGGAACGCGTCACGTTTATTTAATTAAAAACCCAATGTTAAGTTTCAAATTAACAAATAAAAATTGAATTATAAAAAATTTGTTTAGGGGCACAAAGCCAACAAATAATAATATAACCTAAGTGCGATTCCATGGGAGATTTTAGTTTTTTCGGAGTAAGTAAACCAATTGCAATGAAATTTAGGAATTTTAATCTACACATAAAAAGAAATATTTCCACCAAATATTACGTCAAAATATTCAGTAGTTTTTGAGATGTCAAAATTTTGGAAAAATTTTGAAATCGTTATATCTTCTTTCCATCTCAACCAAATCACTTAATTTTTTTTGGAGAAAATTCAGCATAAAAAAACGAAAAAGTTTTTTATATTATGTTTATACAATATTTTTATAAACAAAAAAGTTATTAAATAATAATTGAATAACTTTTGAATAGCTTCACAGAATTGAATGAAATAAACACTAAAATAATCTTACCTTTGATTTCTTTAAGATTCCGAAAAAAATACCTGGCAACGAGATTGTCTTCATATAATATTTTTAATATTTTTGTTCACTTTTGAGCGTAAACATTAGAAGTTTCTGCTACTTTATGTGCAAATTTAGGTGCGCGCGCAGACCTCTCTCTCTAAAACCGGAAGTTAGCAGCTGATTAGAAAGAGAGGTCTGCGCGCGCACCTAAATTTGCACATAAAGTAGCAGAAACTTCTAATGTTTACGCTCAAAAGTGAACAAAAATATTAAAAATATTATATGAAGACAATCTCGTTGCCAGGCATTTTTTTCGGAATCTTAAAGAAATCAAAGGTAAGATTATTTTAGTGTTTATTTCATTCAATTCTGTGAAGCTATTCAAAAGTTATTCAATTATTATTTAATAACTTTTTTGTTTATAAAAATATTGTATAAACATAATATAAAAAACTTTTTCGTTTTTTTATGCTGAATTTTCTCCAAAAAAAATTAAGTGATTTGGTTGAGATGGAAAGAAGATATAACGATTTCAAAATTTTTCCAAAATTTTGACATCTCAAAAACTACTGAATATTTTGACGTAATATTTGGTGGAAATATTTCTTTTTATGTGTAGATTAAAATTCCTAAATTTCATTGCAATTGGTTTACTTACTCCGAAAAAACTAAAATCTCCCATGGAATCGCACCTAAATTAGAATTTGTTTTCGATAAAGTCAAATATTCTTTTTCAAAAGAAAAAAAAAACAGAGAATTACAATATATTGTTAGATAATAAATTCCATTGTTTGATAAAATAAATAACTAACCTTAATTTCCAATGATGATGACCATGATAACAATAGGCGTTGCTGATATTTGACAGAAACAAACCCGATCTTAAATAATTCGAAAAACTCCCGGAATCACATGTTCTATTAGAAGAAAAAAAAGACGATTTAAAAGAATATTTTAACACTCCCGAACATAAAAAAACTACTTTTTAATAATTTAACGATCGCGATTTAATGTAAAAACTGAACATTCCCGAATTCATGCACGAGTCATCGCAATCAGTCCCAATTACCCTTTTGCCTTTTTTTGAACTGAATTTGACTAACAAAATGTAAACACAACGTTTGAGTTGTAATATTATATTAAGATAACATTGTTTCCTTTGTTTTGATGCAATCAAGCATATAACTTTGAAAATTTAATTCCAATAATTGTATTGAAATATATTCCCATCACATAGCGACAGAAAGTGATAGAACAATTCCAGAACAAACCACACTGTCAACTTGGGAATCTATAGGACCTTTAAACTGATAATTTCACAAACATTTTTCCACCAATAAAATTCCATTCAGCGAAAAAATGTCAGATTTTGTATTTCTGATACTAAATGGCCGTCTATTACAAATTTTTCTTTAAGTAATTGTAAATACATATTTCGAAACTAATTTGAAAAATATTTACTATATTTTACTTAAAATTGTTTATGATTTTTGAATGATTGACGAATTGAAATTTTTAAGGTTAGGTTACATGCATATCACATGTTTTGATTTTACTCACTAAAATACTTGATATACTGCTTCAGTAATGTCTGGTAGTGCAGCGAATATTGTAATTCACTTTTGTTTGCTTTATAAATTAAATTTATAGTTATAAAAAACTGTTTTTTTTATTAAAAAAAATCTAGAGTAGACTGCAAAGACTGCAAATTCGGGAGCGACACTAGCGCTGAGTGACGCCAAGCGGATGAAGTATGCAACAATTGATCACGTGACTATTGATTCCATATATCGACCTGATCGACCCTATCGAACTATTCGATTGTCGTCTGCTTTTTACATTGTTTACACAACACAACACAAGTAGTTTTTTTTAATAAAAAAAAATATAAAAATAACAAAATGCAGAAAAATGTCGAGATCAAGTACCAGAGGAAAAAAATTCTTCCAAAAGTCTGAAGAGGTTAATTTTCTTTCGTTTCGCTACGGAGGTAAGAAATATTCCACCTACTTTCGATATTCTTTTAGAAAGAAAATTTTAATTTCCAGAAAAACAATTTTTATACATATATAACTGACAATCTAACATCTTTTAATTTTTAAAACAATAAACAAAATACAATTGTTTTCGTCGAAATATTTTATTTTCGTTTTAAAATAGATGCGTGATCGCATAATAATTTCGACAATATTGTGTTCCATTTTTGATTTACAGATATATAGATATACATAATATTGTTTTATACAAATACAATCCGCAGTTTTTAGATAAAATATTGATAAATTATAACAAAGACCTCATAACTCGGCAGATAGACTTAATAAAGGGCTAAAAATATCGACATACATGAGTCAATTGTAACATGATTTTTTTGTAAAATCTATCTAGTTATCAAATTTGTTATCATCTAAAAAACACTTTTTTTCTGTCTATATAAAACATTTTTTCATATTCTAAAACATCTTTAAAAATTCACAAAAAGCTATTAATAAATTTGGACATTAAAATTCATTTTAAAAAAAACATCCATCCTTTTTATGTAGATGTTGTAATATTTTGCGGAAGTGGACGAAACTTCTTTTTTCGGAACACTTTAGAAACTTTGAAATTCAGAAATTTGTTCTGAATTGGTGAAAATTATTTTTTTAAGGAATAAAAATGTTTTTATTTAAATCTAAACTATCCTGAAGAAAACTCGAGTCGTGACAAAAATTGAGTATTATTAAAAATAATGAAGTTGTGTTAGAATTTTGAATTATAAAAATAAGAATAATAACAAATAATTGTAATAGATAGAAATTATTGCAAATATATGGAAAAGATTTTTAATTTTCTGCTCAAATTGATTTCATTTGTAAAATTATAAATATCACGACTCTGAATATTTCAATGGTTTTGTGCTGCAAAGACGCTTGAATTTTCCTCAAGTTTCACAATCATTCAATTCGAAATAAATTTTAATTCATAAATTTTTATAATAAAAAAGTAAAAAAATAATATTAAATAGTAAGATTAATAAAGTTAACAAAATTTATTTACTTTATTACTATTTTTTATATTTATTATTTAAGTCTTTTGTTTATCTACATTATTAATTTATTTATCATCTATTTACTGTGTTCAATCAATTTACCTAAAATAATATACCAATTTTTAAAATCTGTTTAAAATAATAAAAAAAAAAATTTTAACTAGTATACAGTATTTTTCTCAATGAAAATATATTTTAGTAAAAGGAAAAAGAGAGAAAAATTCAAATGTCCTATTGTGCATTTTCCCTAAGCGAGATCTACAGGAAATGAAGACTTAGAGGTGCTTTTTTAACATCAATAACTAATTTTTTGTCGATTGTAAAAAAAATCATAGTGACGGTTTTTCTCGATCTTAATATAATACATATCTGTGAATCGTGTGCTTCATTGTTTTTTTTTTTTTAAATATTTATACATATTTTCGTATTTACAATCAGGAATGAAAGTTGAACCTTTATCAACCTGAGCCTTTCCTTATTTTCACTCAGTTCGAACGAGAAATTCTTTTTTAAAAAAAGAAAATTTCAAAACTAACACAAAACGGGACGCAATATTATTGATATTGAACTTTGGGGTATTTCATAACTCTCTCGATGAAAGTGTAAAAATACTTGTCTTATTTTTGAATGTTTTTTTATTTCTTTTTCATAATAAATTAATTATTCGAAAAGTTATTTCAATTTTTGATCTAATATATAAAACTTTTTAACAATTTTTCTTTAAATTTATCTTTTGTTTCTAAAATTTATTTATTTATTTATTTTAAAAATGTAATTTTTAAGAAATTAATTTTTTTGAATATTCTCTTATCTCTACATAATACGTAAAAATGAACTATTTTTTGATTAATTTTTAAAATTGTTGGCAAACGACACTTTTAACGAGAGATTTTTTCTTCGATTTAATAACAATTTAATTAAAAGAAAATATCCCTGGGGAAAGAAATTGAACTGAGATTTTTAAATGCAACTATTTAGAAAATAAAATAAAGTCAAGCAAAAGGAATTCCAAAATCCGATTGATGGAAAATCTCAAAATTGACATTATTTTTTTTGTTTTCAAAAAAAGCCATCATAAGACTTTTGAAATTCAAGTTTTTACGTTTAAGCGTATTGATTTTGGGAAAAAATTACAATCTTCCGAATATCATTTATCATTATCTATGTACCTATATATAATACAGACACAAAAAAATGTCATTATTATTCTTTGACTAACTAGAAAGCCTCGCAGGAATGAGCAGGCTAGTTGAACTTGGTTCTGTACAGTAGAAAATTACTTTTGGATTACTTTGTCAGTGTGTGTGTGTCTGCATATTTTCTTCCTCCTTTAAAAATTTATTTATTACTCAAGGCTTGAAACCTCGGTAAACAAAGGCCAAATTTCGACTCGATTCCAGTGAAAATTGGAAGCGCTACTTCGTAACCGCCTATGTGATCAGGATTTGTCGATCGGATCTCATCGGCAACACCCGTCGACGGAACTTTCAGTTCTGATCCACTTGGTCGTCTAGAGGGGGAATGAAAATTACTTTTAGAATCATTGACAAACGAAAATTCAATCTTTTCTTTTACAGCTTGGCAGATAAGAAAAGAGTTGCATTTTTTAGTGTAAATAAATTGTTTTACTCACGATCCTCCAAAATCGACAACGAACAACCTCTGAAGAAGCTCGTACGTAAAGAGCGTGACTCCGAATTGCGGTGACGATCTGAACACTCGGGCTGTAAAATTAAAAATTCAAACGTAAAATTTAAATTCAGAAAAATAGCTCCTTTTGTGTCCTTTGTCGAAATAAAGACTTGAGGTGATTGGCACATTTATCACTCTTTTCTTATTAATATAAAATGTGGAAACAATTTTTTTAACTTCATCAAGTGAATACAAAATTTCTAAAAAAGAAATTGAAATTTTCAGTTGCGAGCAAAATTAATTTCAAAATACTTGTTTTCAATTTCAACAAAATGAATATATGGGGATTTTTCATTAATACAATAAAGTCAATGAACGCAATACAATGGAAATTTTTTGAACAACGAAGTAATGAACATTATTCATTAAGAAACGAAAATTATTTAAGAACAATATTATTTTTTGTTATTCAATATTTTTACTAATGACGGGAGAAAAGTGAAAATTAATATAGTTATATGCATTTTTATTACGTGACAACTATAAGTGAAAAAATAAGTGCTTGCACAAAATATCAAAATTAATTTCATTATTTTCGAATAATTTTGTTTAATTAGATATTTTCTCGTAAATTATTTATAGCACACAGAAAAACTGAAAAAACAACATACTGAGTGCAGAAGAAAAAATATCGGTTATTTTTTTAGAGAATGATTCATTGAAAGGAAAAAAACAAAAGTGAAAATCAGCGTGAAACATTTTTTTTTTCTACTTACTGATGAGTAAGTCACCGGGTCATGTAAAAGAGAAAAAAAGGTCGATAGATGTCACAGGTCAAATAAACCCGTGCACAAATCAACCAAATCAAAATATATTACTAACTATACCAGGGCGGAAACGATAATTTCTTAAATGCTTCACTCTACTATTTTAAAAATAAATACAGAAATTAATTATACAAATATCTATATAAAAAAAATGCAGCTTCTAATTTTAAAAGAATTTTGGCATATAAATTATTGAATTTTGTTTATTATTTTTTTATTTACCTGTCGCCCCTTTCCAAAATGCTCTCGCTCCTTCTTCTCGATAAATTTTTCTCGTACAGTCCATTAGTCCATTGTAGGTCGTCTGTCCTTTTCTTGCAACGACCTTTAAAAAATAGTATTTTGCAAATAAAAAAATCACTAATAAATACTTTTAGAAATGAAAAACTATTTGAATAATTAAAATAATAATAGTTTACGTTTTATGAGAAAAAATTAGAAATTGTAGAAATTTTCTATTTTTGAAATGAATAATTAAAAAAATACCTGTAGACGTGTTTTGATGACATCAGCGGGGGTAACAAGAGCAGCAGCAGGGACACCAGCAATTGCACCCGATATAAGGAGTGACAATGGTGTATTGTATCCTCCTTCGTCGGCCATTCTCGCTTTTGTGTGAGCGTACATTGGAAAATAAATGGCGCTAAAGGGCACGTCTCTCAGGAAACAAGCCCTAGCTCCCTAAAAAGAATTGCGATTTAAAACAAATTAAATACTGTAAATTTAATTTATAGTATAAATAAATAAATAAATAAATAAATAAAATAAAAGTTACCAAATAGAGTAAAAAAATAAAATAAAAAGTAAATAAAAATATAAAATTAGCAATTACCTACGAAATACCAAAAAATTTTAATATTGCATATTTTTAAATTTTTATCAAATTTTCTACTCACTTTATACAATCCAAAAAGTCCCAGTTCCTTAACAACTGCCCAGGCCCTGACCTTTTGTCCTCCCATAATTTCTCCAGCCACTTGCAAACGAATTTTCACGATTTCCAAAGGATTTGTAAAAATTACTTGAGAGCCTCCGGCCTGAAATTATAGAACATTATTTTTAAAAAACAAAATCTCACTTCTGAGAAAAGTTGAAAATAAAAAAAGAAAATATAAACTCACGCAAGCGCCAGAAACGATTTCTCCCATAAGTGGAATATTTCCATTTTTATCACTAAATTTGTCTCGGCAAAAATCATTGACCGTGAGTTTAATGGCTTTTTCAGGTGCAACTCCCATTAACTGTGGCACCAATCCACGATAGAGTCCAAAAAATCCCTCGTGTCTTATCACCTATCAAAAAGAAATTCTAGTTTCAAATTTTCAATTTTCTAATTATTAAATAAAGATGTAATTTTCGATTCGAACCTTTTTACAACAATCGAAACTATTCCTGTACATTAATTCACCGATGAATGAACCAGTTCTTTGATTTTGCATTCGTGTCTTCACCAAATCAATGGGATAAACTGCCGTCGCACCCACAGCTGAAAATTTATTACATTTTAATTTTTCTCTATAAAATAACTTAATTTGATTTAATAATTAATTTTTACCATTAATTATGAATTTTTATAATACTAATTATTATTTTCACTTCTTAAATTGAGAATTTAAAAAAAATAGAATATGTATTGATAAAATTATTCCACACCTCCACCAATGGATCCAAGGACGAACCTGTAGCTGCTTTCGAGAATTTGCACTAGAACTCCACGCTCCTCCGGACTCTGAAATTGTTGTTTTTACTTTTAATTTCTTATTTAAATTCATTTCATTTCGTTTTATAAATAACGAAGAGTAGAAAATTAAAATGTAATTTATTTCTTTTTAAATTAATTTCTTAGTCGAAATTTATAAAATTATTTATTAATAAATAATGATCAGAATACTTACGGAAACGGCTTTAATTTCAGCGAGTCTTTTAGTTATTTGCTTGAAATACTGTTCAGGAGTAATTGCCACAAGGTCGTTGTAAACGATCTTTCTGAAAAAGTAAATATAAAAATTGGAAAACTTTTAAAATGCATAAAGAAATTAAAATATACGATTAATAAGTAAAGATTATACATTAATAAATAATAATACTAATAATTGAAACAAGTTTTAGTTGTTATTTTGAAATAACAAAACGAGAATATTCGGAGAAACAAGACGCACCCAAATCGTTTAAATTTCTCAGCAACTTCTCCAGAGCTGATGCGAGCAGCAAAAATACGAAAAATAAATTTTTCTTCAGTAATATAATATCTTTTTCATACATTTTTTTAAAAAGAAAAAATAATTTTCAAAAGAAAAAAATCGTAACGCAATTAAAAGAACTTAATTTTATGAAGTGAAAAAATTGAATGCAAGATGAGAAATTGCAACGAAAAATTTGAATGACAAATTCAATGATTAAGATTGCAATTTTTACCAAGAATAAATTTTATTAAAAGCAATTCTTACCCCGTGTGATGTAGCAAATCACAAAGATGAAATAGAATATCGACTTCCAATGGTGTTATTTGAGACATCATTTGTGCAGAATGAAGAAATTCCTCTAAAAAGAAAAAAAATCTGAGTAGTAATTAAAAGTTGAAAAGATCCTAAAAGTTGATTAGAAGAAAATAATGATAGAACTGAACAAATTGGAAAAAATGATTGTTCAATTCGATTGGAATTTGAAAATTGAAAATTTGTATAAACTACTCTTTTAATTATGTAATTACAAGCCATACCTTTCGTAACTTCCTGATTTCTATGACCATTCGTTGCATTCAAATAGATTCGTTTAATCAACTCCATATTATTAAGGAGAGAACTGAAAGCCATTAAATAAGGGAAACTTATTTTTTTCGAAGTGTGTCCAGCACTGACTGCCTGCAAGAAAGAAATAAAATCGAATAAATTACATTTTTAATCATTTTTCCATCCAATTAAAAAATACATTAATTTAAAGAATTATAAGAATTAATCAAATAAACTAAATAAATACTTGAATAAATTAAATGAAAATTTATAATAATATTTTTTTTGTAAAACCTCCTTTATATTAATATTTTTGAATTAAAGTGGACTAGAATTAAAATATTTAATTGCAAATTTCGTACCGTGATTAAATTATCTTTAACGTCCTTAGTGAGGAGATGACTTTTTATGCTTAGCATAATGTCCTGAAAATCTAGAGCTGTTATAAAACCACTGCCGTCCTTGTCGAATTTCTTAAAGGCCTCAGTGGCATATTCTTCATGGAAATCCTGCAAATAATTTTTTAATTTTCATAAATAAAATTTTTAATCAAGTAAAAAAGTGAATTAAACTGAAATTAAAAATTAAACTATTTGAATAATTTAGTTTTAAGTTTTAATTAGTTTCTGCAGTTAATTCTAGTTTTTTTAGAGTTTATAAAAAAGTAAAAGAAAATTTTTCTAAAAAAAATTTGTAAAAATTAAACTTTAATTTTAACTTTGAAAGTTAATTTAAACAAAGTAAACTCACATGTAGGAACTGACTGAATTCTGCATAACTGATGAGCCTCTTTTTGTCATTTCCAAAGTACAATTTTATAAAACTGCTGTCCATGTTAAAAGGCATCTTCTGATGCAAAACAGTTTTTCGCATCACCTCAGCGAACTCTTCTGTTTAGACAAAAAAAAAAGAAATTATTTGAATTAATTTGTTTCCAATTAAAATTCCTTGAATAAAAAAACGAATAAAAATAATAAATAATAATTATAACAGAAATCTGAATAGGAAAATTGATTGTTTTCGCACCAAATGCAACCATTCCATTTCCATTAGTGTCAAAGAGTTGAAAGGCCGTCTTATAAAGTGCATCGGGCACGCAGAGAAGGCCCTCGAAAGATTGAAACTCAGCAAATGAGATGAGTCTAAGAAAAAGAAAATGTTTAAATTAAATTTTTATTTTTTACCTACAAACCGAATTGAATTGTTTTTTTTTAATTAAAAATTTAAAAAGAAATTGAAAATTTAAGGAAGTCTAAAGAATTTAAAGAAAGTTGTTTTTTACCCATCTTTGTTGGTATCAAGGATACCAGCGAGTAACTTGACAGAGTCAGGGTTGAAATCGGCATCAGTGTAAAGGCCAAGGTAACTCCGAACAAAGTCAGCCGGAGTCATGAACCTCTCGCCATTCTTCTCTTGCGTGGCATACTGCAATAAATACCAAACTATTTTTAATTAAAATTCGCCAAATTAAACAATATCCATTATTTTTATTTTCAAAAATTCACAAATTTCACCATTTTACCCCCAAACTCCATAAAAATGTTATTCGAAATTAAATTATAATCATTTAGTATAAAATTGATGTAAATTGTTATCAGATTTTAATTATTTATGCAGTTCAAAAATTAATGTTTTTATTTATAAATTAATATAAAATTTAGAAAAAAATTAATTTTACTAAATAATTTATTTAAATCAACCAAAAAGGGAAAACTTACATACAAAAATACAGAAAAAGCACTCAATGAATAAAAACGAAATGAAATATTTACTACATAAAAAATTTAATTTAATTTAATTTACTACATTAAAATAAAACAAAAATTTTAATAGTATGAAAAATTAGTGACTTATTATTGTTTTCGAGAAGACGTAAAATATCCACATTGACCTAAAAGCCATTTGATAAGGATTCACTTTTACGTGAAAGATCTTGTAACACATTTACGCTAAGAGTAATTATATAATGACAAATTGGATATAAAATTGATCTTTTTTGCACAAATGAAATATATTAATTCCCTGATAATTACCTGATTGAAGATTTCATTAAGCCGATCACTATTTGCTCGTTTCAAATATCCGGAACCCTGAAACAAAAAATTATTTTTTAAATTTCAGAAAATATAATCTGTAGATTAAAAAGAAAAATATATTTTTCTTTTATTGTTTTTTTTTCTAAGAAAAAATGTATTTTTAAAATTAGAGATTTTTTTATACAGAAGATTAAAACATTCTCGAGGTTCACACTTGTAAATTATATACTCTTGCCTTGTCTCAAGAAAAGAAAAGAATAAAAAAGAAAATAAAATTGTAATTTGTGGAATTTGTCAAAAGTCGAAATAATTGGATTTCGTTAATTATTTCCTTTGTGAATTTGCATCGAATTTAAATATAATTATTTTTTCTTATAAACTTTCAAACTCACGAGACAATTTAAAAATTTAAAGTACAACTTAAATTTTCTTTTAAAATGTTAAATAATTTTCAGTAATAAAGTTTTTAATAAATATTATTTATAAAATATTTAAATAAATTAATTAACTATAAAACATTTGAAAGACAATCAAAGATATTGCATTGTGTTTAAAAAAAATTAAATATAGATGTAAAAAATTTAATTCTGTAAATAAATAAATAATAAATTACTCTGCAAATAATTCATTTTTTAAAACAATCAATTAAAATTAAATCTCAGAAAAAATTTTTTTTATTTATTTTTCAATAGTTAAAGAATTTTATAAAAAAAATATTACAAAAAATATTTAATTTGAGAAAAATGTATAGTCTCATCATCACAATGGTATTCAGAAGAAAAACGATCACGTGCTAACCACGTGGTTCTTAGACCAAATTTGTCTAATATTTTTTACGACATCAAAAATAAATATTTTTTCTATAAACACTATACCTTTTACAGTGACAAAAGAATACAAATATTTTGTAAAGTTGATATTTGTGAATAAAATTATTTTGTAAAAAAATTATAAAAAAAATATTTGGTAATAATTAATCTCAAGGTCGCAGTGTTTCTCAAATAAGTGTTACAATCATCATCATCATCATCAGCATCATCAAGATGAGAAGCAATAATTAACAAGAAAAAAAGATAATTTAATTACTTTCTCGATATTGTGATAAAAACTTGAATTGTTTTTTTATCAATTCATTTTGCAAACGAATGCAAAAGAAAAGAGAAAAATAAATTATATTAAGTATTTTTTTAATATATGAATCGTTAATTGAAAATATTATATTAATAATTTATAATTATGTATTATTTATATTTTAATTTTTCTAGGAACATTATTAACATTTTTTTTTCAATTCTAATAATAATAATTTAATATTATTATTATTATTCAATAATATTTTATTTTGCAATGAAATTCGTTTGTCAATAGCAAAATAATAAAAATGACAGTGAAAAAAAAAATGAAAAACAATAGAGAACATAAATGTTTCAATTTCAAAGATTATTTCCGTGTTCCACTTTCTCGATAATTAAAAAACAATACAAGTGGGTCGTCACGTGTTGTTTTTTACGTAATTTGTTGCCTTTTTTGTCTAACAACAGTAAATATATAAAAAGTTTTACGCACTTTAGTTTTTTATTTATTTAAATTTTTTTTGTATTCTCTGTTTTTGTTTTTGTTTTTGTTTTTTTTTTTTGAAAAATGTCACTGAAAAAAACGTACTCTTGTATATGGCATGACGTACAATAAACAGGTCGGATGTAACTAGAATTAGAAGCCAGTGATGCTCAATGTGACGAATCGTGGGAGGAAAAAAACACGTGCTATTTATTCTACACGTGTCATTTAGAGAGAAAAGAGAGAACTTTCAATAAAAAAATGTAAACACACAGCACATATCACGAATTGAAATTTTGCTAATAAATTTTTCAGAATACGATATAAATTCTTCACTGAAATGGAACTATTGATATTAAATTCACGCATCGATATGAACGAGGACCCTGGTCACTTCATTCACTTCTCCCCTTCTCTCTCTCTTAAAGGAAAATATCTGTCCTTATCTTTTGTCTAAGTTTATCTCTCTCACAACTCCGATATACAGGGTGATCACTTCTTTTCTAATTCTCCAATTAAACCGAAAAAAAAATTTATCGAATATTAAATAACATCATTTGTTATAAATATTTCAAATATCGATAAATAATAATTGCAAACTTAATTCCGTTAATGATTTAGCGGAGGATCTAAACACATTTACGATAAAAATTTCCAATTTTTTAAAATTCCCGCCATTGGCGTTGTTTTACTTTTTTTTGTTACATTGTTGGCATCGTTGGCATCGTTGGCATTCTTGTTTGTCACGGAATTTCGTTCTTAACCTGAAAAATTTTTTATTGTTGTATTGTTGTATTTATTGTTGACGCTCCGAACAATTTTTCTAGAAAGTCAATCACTGTAATTCGTATAATTAAATACGCTATTACTCGTGAATCAGTAAACACTATTTTGTTACAAGGAGCTCACATTTTAAATTTAGTTTCAATCATCTTAGTTCACTTTTTGTATTTTGTTCATCGTTATTTTCTAGCCACAAAAAGAAAAAAAGTTTAAAAGAATTACGAAAAGACAGAAAGTATTAACAAAATTTTCAATTTCTTTTAAATTTGTAGTATATAACACACTTAAATACTAATTCGTGTGTTTAATTTCATAATCATCTGTAAAAAATTAACTAAAGTGATTGACAGTTTATGAACAGCAGCAAATGATGATGTTAATCACAATTTATTCTTGACTTTATGTATATTTGTAATAAGTGATAAGCTGCAATGAACTTAAACCCTGCTAAATCTCGTGTTAATTTCAAAAGAAAATATTTGCAAAAAACCGAGACTATATGAAAGATTAATTATTACTTCGCTCGATATACAATCAATTAAAATTCTTTAACGTCTCGATAATATTTTAAACAAACAAAAATATAATTTAGATACTTCAATTGTTGTTTTAAGCCACCAATTTTGCAATTTGGTCATCTTTTTAATAATAGCTGGTAAATAATACTTAATTTGAAAAACAAACAAAAAAGTAAATTTAGAAAAAAATACTTCCTCTCTAAGGAAGCAATTTCTAATATTGAAATAAAAATTAATAAACTATTACTTAAAGTAAATATTAATAAAAAAAAATGGTACAAAATTTTATAATAAATAGTTATATAACGAGATAATAAGATAAAACATAAAAAAATGTTGAATCAAACAATATTATCTCAAAGATAATAACAAACGATGATATAAATAATTAAAATAATTTCAAAAAATTGAAATAATTTTCCTTATGGCGAAATAAATTAAATTATCCAATAATTGAATTTTTAAAACTGACCTTAGGTTGTAAATTATTACTATTCGTAACCATTTCTGGAGTCAACTTTTTTCAAAATTCACACAAATTTTTCATCGTTATTCACTAATTAATATCCACGATTAACTTTTCCTGCAGAAATTGTTTAAAATAAAAGGAAAACAAGTTATTTTTTTTTAATTACAATTAACAATAGTAATCTTAGCTGGTTTATTTTATTTTTAAAGAAGAAATCGAAAATGAATTATTTTGAAATTAAAATTGATTAAAAATTTGTACCGAAAAGAAATTAAAATTGATTGAAAAATTTCTAATGAACTGTAATAAATTATTACAGGGTCCACGACTTACGGTGTCATTCAAGAGACCACAAGAGACTAAAAGCAGGAAGCTACGATACACGGAAAAAATTAATTTAGTACATTTTACGAAACTAATTTTGGAATAGCGGATACGGAGAGGAGTTTAGTATAAGATAAAACAGAATCAATAGTAATATATGATGACTGCGTTTCTCGAAAACTCAAAAAAAATTCTATGGAATTCACAAATGATCGGTTGGACGTTCTAATTCAAGAGTTTTGTAAAATGTTTAGCCTGAAGCGCATGCGCCACGGAAAAAACTATTCACGGAGAAAAAAACGAATAAAGCAGAAAAAAGAATTTCTTAATGTACCAATGAGCTCTCAAGACCATTTTTTCTCGTCTTCTATAGGAGATAGATGATTGGTTCGACACATGTGACTGCACTCTACAACGCAATGGTTCGCTTGGATTGGCTTATTTTATTCTGACACTAACTTAACGGAAATACGCATACATATAAACGAATTCTGACGCAACGCACATACAATATAACTCGCACTTGTAGATGAAAGAATTGAGTTTCTTTATATACTAACTGAGGAGATTAAAACTGCGCTTGTGAGAAATGTCAATATACTGAATATTAATTTTTAAAAAAATCATTTTTTTAAAAGTTATACAAAATATTTTATGGTTTTTAAAATAACATTTTTTGATTATAATTAGTTATAAAATCTCTATAAAATTTTTCAATTTTTAGAAAATAATTTTATTCTTAATTTTAAATTATAAATAAATTGACAAAAAATTTTCAAAATTAAATTCAAACTCAAAAAATGTTTATATTAAATTGTCTAAAATTTGAAGTAATAACAGTTAAAACTTGAGAAATTAATATATATATTGTCATCGGTAAATATTATGATAAACTATAAAATTTATTGGACTGTAAATTAAAAGAAATTAATAATAATTAAAAGTTTGGATTACAAAAGCACATAAAAAATGTTACGAATTTGGAACAATGAAATGTGAAATACGTAAAAGAAAACAATTATCCAAATGTTACCGGCAGGTAAAGCAGTTCTCTTTTTCCTTCCACATATTATCTCTATATACAGCAGACAAGTTAATACCGACGCGACGAGACAAGCTTCAACATATCTATTTATAACGCGACTTTTGGTACACCCCGTATAGAATTTTACGAAACTTTGTGTTCGAGAATTCACGATAGACAGCGAAGTGGAAACTCAAACCACGCGTTTTTAGATTGCACGAAACATTTTTACCATTTTCTGATAAAATGTTCACCAGAAAATACGAAACATTTCTACATTCAAGCTTGTTTTATAAATTACAACACTGGTTGCAGTTTCTCGACAATTGTTCTGCTTAAAGTAGTGAAAGTTTCTGGGTTTTTGAAAAACTTCGTCAAGGAATCTTAAATATCCGCTAGTGCGAAATTAGTTTCGTAAAATCTGCTGAACTTATTTTTTCCGTGTAGAAACCATACCGCGAGAAGTGAACCTCGCGGAAATCTAGCTCTCTTTGGCGGTGGGGCCGATTTAATCGTAGAGCGAGAAAAAGAGGGAAAATGTGTCTCGCACTCACGAGAAAAAGATCGAGAGAGAACCTCTAACAACACGTGAAACATTATGCACTGAAAAAGAGGAACTCCTGAAATAAAATTAAATATCTGGTCCAAAAACGATTTTAATATCACTCGGAGCCAAGATTCCTTTCAATGATATTTATATAATGCCAATAAATAACTATTTGCATATAACAATCGAATTTAGTGAAACAAAACCTCTTTTACTAAAGAGGGATTAAAAAAATATTATTTTATTTTTATTTATTTTCGATTCAAACTAGTTGACAGAGGAGAAAAATAGTACGATTGTCCTATCCATTTTCTTAGTATACAAATAATAAAGTTCAACGTAATTGATTACGAAGAATTGAAGAATAAAAATTTGTAATGCAAAATATATGTGTTTTCCATTAACATATTTTATAACGTGCTTTTTTAATACATATTTGTCTGTTAGAGTATCGCGGTAAATTGCAATAATCGTGAATGACGAAAAAAGTCTCTTGGGGGCCAAGATAATGAATAAGAAGGAGGAGAGATCTTTTCATTTAGCGCAATAATAATGATAACAAATAAATACTCAACATGTGTGAGTGTGAGAAACGTCTGTCAGTGATTGAGAAATATTTTTCGCACGCAGTGGTATTAAAATCGTATGATCCGTAATAAAATACAAATTATAGCCAGAGCATTGTATTTGTGTGAGTAGGCGCAAAAAATAATTCAAAATTCAAAATTCAAAATAACAAGTTCAAGAAAACATATTTTTCGAAAATTACATTTTTGTAAAGAATAATTTTAAAGAAGAAACAATATGTAAAGAAGCATTTTTTAAATCACGATTTCTTTTTGATAGTAAAGTAAAAGGAATAAGAGTGCAATAAAAAAAAAAATTTAAATACTTAAAATAGTTGAAATTATTTTTAGTGAAGCAAGAAAAAATTATTCTGAGACACACGTGGATAATGGAGTGACACGTGTTTATTTATTGGCAATTAATAATTATTATTTTGCGTGCACATACATGGGAACAAAAGAAATTCATTTGTATTGTGATGCTCCTTTGTATTTATAACTGTGTGGACCATGATTCACAGTGGTCCCCCGAACTTCTTTATTCTTTATTTACACCCGGAGGTAAATTCCGGTCAAGGTGGCGTGGCGCCTATCGACATTTGGATCAATCACAATAGTATATAAAACTTCATTTTTAATAATCCAATTCCTACACAATTTTCTTTACTACTTAATTAATTTTACAAAAAAAATTTTGTTCTGTTTTAAATGATTATAATTTATTATTTATTATATTATTTAATTTACAATCTTTGGTGCAAGCTCCTAAAAGATGCAACCATTTTATCATGACAGTGAGTCAGATTGCAAAATTGAAAAAATTTTTCTATAAAAACAATGAAATGCAAAAATGAAATTTTATATTTAAAACGAGAAGGATTATTTTGCAATTAATTTGGATAAATTGGGACTATTTGTCGACTGTGCGCGCTCAATTATTATCGCATCCTGTTCGGCAATCCAAAGCGATCGGAAGATAACATTAAAAGCTCTCTTTAAAATGAGACTTCCGTTTACATCAGTCTAACTCTCTGTTATTCATGATTCTGCCATTTGTTTTAACTATTTGTTTACAATTGATTATTTTTTTATTGCTAATTTTTCAATTAGATAAATTATTTTTTACACTCATTTGTCAAAAAAAAATTTCTCCTTTTTGCAAACGAAGAACTAATTAATTCTCCTTCCTGGTTGTAAAAAATAATTTTTCTAATGAAGAAATTTTCAGAAAGGTGAGAAGAGAAATTGGGTCACTTGAATATGTAAAAAGAACTTTTGGGGTGGTGACCCTAAGAAAACAGTGTCATATTTCATATACACATATATAGGGGAAAAGGGAAGTTCATCGATGAAATACAACGAGATCGAGAGTGAGGGGTCTTTCCAGGTCCCAGTGACCTCGAAACGAAGCCAGCTTCAAAATGAACTGTCAGATAGACAAGATCGATAATAACACAACCGCCATATTTCTCACCACTGCAGATATATCCCACACCCGCGATTCAATTATTAAATAATAACAACAAGAATGATAATAATCCCACCCCCACACTATCGACAATATAACAAATCCATCCATCACTTTACTTAATGTTGATTTTTTCATAAATAAAATCCTCCAACGAATAATGTCAAATTGAAAAATAAAGAAAAAACCATTGCTATGTAATGACAGTAATACACACTAAAAAAAAAGTTTTACTTTCAGCCTCTTTTTGAGGCTGAATTTATGATGTAAACGGAGTCAGCCCCGTTAAATAAGGACAGACTTATGTGAAATACATGGGCTGAATTTAAGGTGTAAACGGAGTCAGACTTTTTTTTTCCTGTGTAATAATTCTAATAATAATAAAAACAATGATTGTAATATGTATCAATAAAATAATAAAAACAAAGTAAAAAGGAAAATTCAAGAAAAAAATATATTTTGTGTTATATAATCCTATTTCTAGTTAAAAAAAACAATTAAAATTTACTTCTTTATTAACAACGAGTGGAAAAAAATTCTTTTTTGTAAGAAATAAATTTCGATATAAATATGTAACGTGAAAGTGATGGAAAAATTTGCATAATAATTGAAAATAACGAAATGTTGTCGCAAACAGAAAAAGAGAAGAAAAACATTCTTAATGACGTGTACACATACATATAACACGTAATGAATTTTTCGTCTCCAATAACAATAAATATAAATAACTAATCCGTGTATTTGTAACAAACTTTTTTATATCTGACAGTTTAAGTTTCATGTCCGTGTCTTTATTTTTTAAATAATTTTTTTCTACTAATCAAATTATTTTTCTTGAAAAAAATTCTTCTTGTTTATTAAAATTCGTTTTTACGTTCATCTAAATTTATTATTTACTTGTTTAATAGTTTCTTTACTTATTTATTTGTTGAAAATATATTAATCTGACGATGATAATAATATAATAAATTAAATTATTTAAAGTAAATTAAAATAAAATAAAGTGTAAATTATGTTAATTTGGAAAATTACAAAAAGAATAAAGAAAGGACTTACCCACCTCTTGGCTAGATGCTCGAGTGACAAAAGAGTCCAACATTCCCAGTAGGATTACCTTTAGGTTTTATCCTTCGGAAGAAATTTTTTTTTCAAAAAAGTGTATTTGATATGAAGAAATATGTTAAACGATTATTTTTGATGCAATTAAACAACACTCGCGATTTTCGGCTCTGTTTGAATTTAACGAATGAAGGTAACGATTTTTGCTTTTTTTTTCTCAAAGAATATTTCTCCTGTATTGTTGATAAATTATGAATCGCGTTTTCTCTTTTCTTAGAAGGGTAGAAAATTTAAAAAAACAATATACCTTACGACATGGAAGTCAAATGGCTACTAGTTGACAGGCGCAACTGCACTGCACTTACTGCTTCACTGACACGCCATCTCCCACGAGGACTTACACCATTCTAAAAATGAAATTTTTTCACTCTCAGACAGGTAATATACAATAGTCTCTGAGGACATATTTTACAAAACCATTTTTCTGACAAATCAAAATCAATTTCTTGTTTTGTTAAAAAATATTTTCTTTTCTCTTTAATATTTAAAAATATCTTCTGTTTATAGAATTCAAGTTTTATTAACTATAATTTCAATTAATGAAAAATAAATATTATATTTTAACTATTTTCTAATAAAAAAGAAGGTAAAAATATTTTGAAATTCTTCAAATTGTTTGATTTAAAATTATTAGGTATTTGATATTAAATAATATTTTTCGTATTATTATATTAACAAATTTCTTTCTAACAATAAATTATTATTTTGCAAGTAAAAATTAATAACTTGTTAAATATGTTTAAATTTTAATAAGCAAATATTTATTGTTTGCCCCTGATGAATCTCTATTTCTATCTCTAGACGAAAGCACATTTGACCAGAATTCTAACCTCACTTTATAAAACTAAATGGCTATTTTAATATCATAACTTTCACCTACCATTGTTTAATTTGTTATTAAAAAATCTGTAACAATGCTTTTTTGTTTAATTATCGTTTCCCCTAGAGAGAGAATTAATCTTTTGTTTTCTTAAATTTCTATAATGTAAACACTGAGTTTTTATACTTGCAACTGATATATTTAACAAAATTTGTTCATGAATCTTTTAGTCCTTTGAATTAAAATCGTGTTTAGATTCAAAAAGAAAATAAAACTCGCAGAGTAGTAATAAATAAACACTGATATTTTATATAAATTGCACACGACAACGTAAAACGAAATAAATTTACCAATCATTTGAATCATTTCGCAAAATCTGTTTTACCGACAACAGCTGTTGATTGAAATGTGCAAGTGCAATTCGACTTCTGCTATCTTTTTCAATTGACATTTTACCAAAAATGACAGCACCTAGCCACTTGCAATACATCACTGAACATAATGACACAGTAAAAATTTATCTAAATAAACTGGGAACCAGTAAAAAACCCATTTTACTATTAGTTTGACATTTAAAAAAAAGATTTAAATGACCGACCAATTATTCACATGACGTGTCCTGGCAACGTGCAGCAGGCGCATGCGCAGTGCAGCCTTACGTGGCATTGTGGCAACAACTGCAGTTACAGTTCCGGCAGCAAATTAATTTTCTTTTTAATATTTAATTATTTAAAAAGAAGACGTTTACTTTTGTTATGGTACTTTAAAAATAATAATATATTTCTTGTAAGTACATCAATTTTTTTGTTTCGATATTTATTTAAATTTATAGAATCTCCTTATATTATGTGCTCAATTTTTTATTATGGTTATGATCAACCTGTCATATTGATACTTGTTATTTGATTTTCTATTTTATTTATTTTGACATTATTTAAAAACAAAATTTAAAGAGAAATGTGTTAAAAATTATTGTAAAATTTTATTTCAACTGTCATATTTTTTGTCTTTTGAAACAAAGTTTTATTATATTTGAATATTTTGCAGGAATTTGGTTTGAGTGAAAGGGAATTTTAAATGAGGAAAGTTTTCATTATTATCAAAAGAAAAAATTAGATTTATTTTTAGAAAAAAACGTACATTTGCTTGTATAATATAAAAATGTTAATATATTTTATTGCTATTTCTTTGTGCATTGAAAATCAATTCCTGGAAATGTTAATTTAGTGACATTATTGTGCCATATGTTATTATTTACTGAAAGCAAATATTTTCTAATGCATTGAACAGATGTAATTTTATATTAATTAATTGTTCGTTAAATTTAATTTTCTGATTATTTTCATGAATTGAATTTTATAAATAATTAAATATTAAAAAAATATTGTGAAATATTAATAATTTAAAAAATTGAATAATTAATTATATAAGTAGATTGTTTACTGTTTGTATAAACTTTAAAAATGCAGATTATTGTTATTTACCATTTTTAATAATTTTATTTTATTTCTAAATAAAAGAAAAATGAAAATTTTCTCGTAAAACAGAAACAAACCCGGAGATCATTCGCTGGGAGAAAGAGTGCCTTTACTGAAGCATAATTCACAGTAACGATGCCAGAACTTCAAGGGCTTCCAACCTCTCAAGGTCTTCCATTTCCTGGCCAGACTGTCAATTCGAGTCCTCAAGTTCATGATCAACAAATACAAAACCAGATAAATCAATATCCTGGACAACAGCCGCTTTTAAAAAAACCATCTTCGCTGTTGGATCAAACAAACTCTCCTGGTTATCCACAAATTCAACATCAAAATTCAATGCTTGGACAAGTAAATTATCCCGGTCCTCAACAAAATCAATATTCATCGAATTTAAATTCAGGAGAGAAAAATTCCTTCGCTCCTCAACAAAATCAATTTCCTTCGAATTCAATTCCAGGACATGCAAACTCTTCTGGACCACCGCAACAGCAATATCCTAATTTACTACCAGGACAAGTGAATTCTTCAGGTCCGCAAAATCAATTTCCACCAAGTTTTTCGAATCCGCAAATGATGATGGCAGCCGGTAAACAAAATCCACCTGTCCACTTGTTGTCTGGACAGTCAAATAATTCGCCAGTAGCACCACAAAATTTGGTGGGACCTGGACAACCTCCAATGGGACAACAAAATTCACATCCAGCAGTTTCTCCAATGCCGGGGCAACAGAATTTTTCTGGCCTACTACCACCGGGACAAAATCAGCACAATCATTCTGTGATGTCAGGTCCCCCGATGCCTGGTGCGAGAGGGCCTATGATGCCAGGACAATCCAACCTGCAGGGTCCGATGGGAGGTCCTCCAATGTCAGGGCAACCAAATCTACAAAGTCCGATGGCAGTTCCACGAAATCCAATGGCGGGCCCCCCAATGGGAGGGCAACCTAGTCTGCAAAGTCCAATGGCAGGTCCACCGATGCCAGGACAACAGAACTTCCCCAGTCCGATGGGAGGACAGAATCTGTCAGGACAGCAGTATCCGGGACAGCAGCTCCACTTGGCGAACAATCAGGCTCCGTACATGTCGGGACAGGGCTACCAAAACCCGCCAGACATGTACGCGAACCAAAGAAGTCCCTACGGGTACCAACAGCAGCAGCAAGCCAGGAGACTCGACCCCGACCACATGCCGAGTCCCATTCAAGTGATCCAGGACGACAGGAACACTCGAAGTGGGAGCTTCATCACCAATCAGAAGGGCCTGGTGCCGCCCCTAGTGACCACCAATTTCACCGTCCAGGACCAGGGCAACGCTTCCCCGAGGTTCGTGCGCTCCACGATGTACACCGTCCCCACAAACACCGACATAATGAAGCAAACGAGCGTCCCCTTCAGTCTGATCCTGAGCCCCATGGCTCGGGTCGAAGAAGGCGAGTACGAACCCCCAATCGTCGACATGGGCGAAATCGGCCCCGTGCGCTGCATCCGCTGCAAGGCCTACATGAGTCCCTTCATGCAGTTCATCGACTCTGGTCGCCGCTTTCAGTGCAATTTCTGCAAAGCCACTACCGAAGTTCCGGCGGAGTATTTTCAACACCTGGACCACACCGGTCAGCGAATGGATCGCTACGAACGGCCCGAGCTGATGTTGGGTAGTTACGAGTTCATCGCCACTAAGGACTACTGCCCGGAGCAAAAGTTCCCCAACCCTCCGGCAGTGATTTTCGTCATCGACGTCACTTACAATACGATAAAATCCGGTCTTGTCAATCTCATCTGCTCGGAGATGAAGAACATCATCAGGAACTTGCCGATCGACGTGGGCCAGACGAGAACCAGAATGAAAGTCGGTTTTATCACCTACAACAACACGGTGCACTTCTACAACATAAAATCCTGTTTGGCCCAGCCGCAGATGATGGTCGTCGGCGATGTTCAGGACGTCTTCATGCCGCTGCTCGATGGCTTCCTCTGCGACGCCGAAGAGAGTCTCGAGGTCATCAACAGCCTCATGAACCAAATACCGAACATGTTTGCAGACACCCGCGAGACCGAGACGATCCTGGCGCCGGCCATCCAAGCCGGTCTCGAAGCCCTGAAAGCCTCCGAATGCTCTGGCAAGTTGATGGTCTTTCACTCCTCCCTCCCAATCGCGGAAGCTCTCGGCAAACTGAAAAACCGCGACGACAGAAAACTACTCGGCACGGAGAAGGAGAAAACGGTCCTGGCCCCGCAGAACAACGTCTACAACACCCTGGGCCAAGACTGCGTCGCCGCTGGGTGCAGTGTGGACCTCTTCCTCGTGAACAACTCCTACATTGACGTCGCGACCATAGGCCAAGTGTGCCGACTCACCGGCGGCGAGGTCTACAAGTACACCTACTTCCAGGCGGACATCGACAGTGAGAGATTAATTGCGGACATTGTCAACAACGTCAGCAGACCGATAGGCTTCAATGCCGTAATGCGGGTTCGAACTTCGACCGGAGTGAGGCCCACGGACTTTTATGGGCATTTTTACATGTCGAACACGACCGACGTGGAATTGGCGAGCATCGACTGCGACAAGGCGATTGGAATTGAAGTCAAGCACGACGACAAACTCGCCGAGGAGGAGGGAGTGTTCGTTCAAGCGGCTCTTCTCTACACTTCCTGCAGCGGTATCAGACGGTTGAGAATTATTAATCTCAGCCTGAGGACTTCGTCCCAAATGGCCGAACTTTATCGCGCCTGTGATCTTGATGCCATGGTTAATTTCTTCTCGAAAGAAGGTATTCATTTTAATTTAATAATTTTAGAGTATTTAAATTTAGTCTATACTTGATAATTTGCTTTATTTTACAGCTGTTTTCAAACTATTGGAGCACCCACCAAAAGCAGTGAAGGAACATCTCATGGCAAGATGTGCGAATATTCTGGCTGCCTATAGAAAAAATTGCGCTGCTCCCAGTAGCGCAGCGCAGCTGATTCTCCCAGAGTGTATGAAACTCTTGCCTTTGTATGTCAATTGTTTAATGAAGAGCCACGCGATTTTTGGTGGTGAGTTGGATTTAATTTTCCTGTAACTTCACTTTTCAGTGAATAATTTTTCACAGTGTGATTCACAAAATGAAATTCAGAGAAAAGTCAAGAAAAGTAGAATTGATCGGGGAAATCAGAGAAATGTCATGTCTAGAATGCGAAAAAAAATTCTGAGTTTTTGTGTCCTTTTGGTTTTCCTCTTAAACTATAAAATTACCACGAATTCTAAAACAAAACGTTCATTTTTTTCTACTTCTCACAATAATTTCATTTTAAATAACTTAATTTTCCAATAACTATCATAAAATTATTACTTAGGAAAAATAATATTGACTAAATATTTATTCCAAAATGAAGTTATTGATATAAGTAATAATAAAGTAAAAGTGACAGATTTAAAAAACAAAAAGATTTAGTTTACATTTGTAGAGTTTGGAGTGCGAATACAAAAAGAGTAGCAACATAATTATTAATTATGATTTTTTTCGAATTTCAGGTGCGGATATATCAATTGATGACAAATCTTACGAAATGCAGGTAGTTTCCAAAATGCCTGTTCACACATCAGTAAATTATTTTTATCCCCGAATGTTTTCTTTGCACACATTGGATATGCAGGAGATAGATTTGTCGCAAACGTTACGTTGTTCTATTGAGAAAATTACTGACGATGGATGCTATTTAATTGGTAAGTCTTTCAAACTCAAACATTATAATAAACATGTGCGAAACATTAAACCTAGAAAGACGTAATTTATATTTTTCTTGAGATAACAAATTACCCCAAATTTGCATCTAAGAATTAAAATTAATAAAAATATAATTGTCAAACAGAAAATGGAGTTCATATGTTTTTGTGGCTGGGACTGGGACTCAATTCCCAATGGGTTCAAGAAGTCTTCGGAGTTCCGTCTGTCGTTCAAATTGACACGGATCGCCCGAAAATTCCGATTCTCGACTCTCAACTCAATAGAAAAGTCAATGATTTAATTAATCGAGTAAATGATGAACGACATCCCCGCATGAGGGTAAGATTTTTCTCTTAATTTAAAAAAATTGATTAATCAGGAAAAAATTTAATTCTTATTATTTAAATAAATTACATACGCATAGAAATTAATAGAAAAAATTAAATTACAGTTGATAATGGTGAGACAGAGAGATAAATTGGAAATGGTATTTCGACATTTTCTTGTCGAGGATAAAGGAACAGATGCAAGTGCAAGTTACGTTGATTTTCTTTGTCATATGCATAAAGAAATACGAGGACTTCTTAGCTAAAAATTAAATATATGTATTATAAAATTTCCTAAGGAAATAATTGAATTTTATACTATAATCGAAGAGAGAGAGAAAAAGAGAGATCATTTACGTTGCAAAGAGAAAAATTATTTACAACTGAAAGTAAAACTTCTTTTAATATTGAATATGATTTTATTTTGCTTATAATAAATATATACATATTATACATAATATATAAGATAATATAATGTAAATATTTTTTAGAAAAAAAAATTTAATTTCTAACAATCTATTTTTTATTGTAGATTTTAGTAACCTTTTAGTTATTTTTTAATTTAATTTATTTTCTTCCTTTTTTCGATATTTAATTTTTGGTTCCTTTGTAACTTTATTTTTACGTTTCTAAATATTTAATTTAATAATTATGTTAAAAGTCACACATCCTTAATTATTAAAATATCCCTTTAATTTTCAAAATGTTTATAAATTTCCCGCGTAATAAATTTTTATTGCACTTCTGCGCAAAAAACGCAACAATGTCGAAAATAACCTCAAAATTCTTTTGTGACGTTTGATTTGACGTGTGACAGTGATTGTCAAATTTTCAAAAAACATTTCGCGATTGTACCGGCAAAAAAATAATCTCAATATATTTTAGATAATGAATCTGAATAATTATATTAGTTACGGGGAAAGATAAGACTCAAAAATCGTTTGAAATCATTCACAAAGTGTAAAAAAGTGAAGGCACAAAATTAGCAACTCCCACGATCCCCACGATTCTCGAATGACAACTCCTAATTGTTGATTCACACATTCTAACAATTGCTGATTTACAATTATAAATGTAAACATACATTTCTCATTTAATTAAAGTTCGAAATTCTCGTCGAATTTCTCAAGTGCAGTGAAAAATTGTCAAGTGACATTTTTTAAAAAAATTACACTCTGAAGAATGTAAAGAAAATTTGCAGTTATAATGGCAAAAATCTATCAAACAATTAGATAGAAATGTTAATTTACAACGATAATATCTTTTGTTCAGTGAAGAAAAAAAATCGCAACTATTTTGCAATTAAAAACAGAGTCACAGAGTTTATGAAGTGTTGTCAGTCGTCGGTTAAAGAAAATTGCGTGTATTTGACGAGAAGAAAAAATGTTGGTAAACATGGGATGAATCATGATAGTGTTTAATTAATTAATTAATCAGATGCATATCCCGGGGTCGAAAATTCAAATTGCTCGAGACTCGGTTTCGAAATTCCTTATGACTGCTAAACATAACCTCGTCACGGCAATAATTGAGCATCAAAAGATGCTTCCGCCTGTTATAATCGGATTAATTGTCATTGTCTCGTTTCTTTTCATATTTCTCAATAATTTATTATGGATATTGTCGTACGGTGTTCTAACATTCACGTGTTTATTATTGGGACCATTGATTGTTATCATGGTACACATTGCTCTATCACCAAAACATGAAACCGGACGTAATACCAGTAAAACAATTGCTGAACTTGATGCTTTTCGTAATATGCTCATGGTAAGTGAAAAGAATTTTTTTATATTTTCAAAATTTTCTCAAAATTAACAATAACAGATGGTACATTTTTTTGGATGTTGCATTCCACATTTATATATTGATTAAAAGAAAAAAGAGCTCCATCTTTGACAGATTAAATTTCTATTTATATCACACGATTTACTCAATAATTCAATGCTCTGACCTGTTGATATATGAAACGTATAAAACATTGTGTCACATTTTAATTGAATTTTATGACAGTTTTATTTTCTTTATTCTTTTTATTGTAATCTATTTTTTCTTTTCTATTTTTTACTGAAATAAGAAGACTAAATTTTGTTTTCCATTGAATTAATTTTTTATTCTTTTGCAGAAAAACTACGAGCCAAAATCCATTAGTAGTAAAAAACAACTTCGTTATCCACTTGTTTTTACAAGATTGGTGGATGGTGCTCTGCAAAATCTTTTGGATTTGGCTTTCCGTGATTTTGTCGGTGCTTGGCTGAATGATTTATCCTTTGAATCGGATCAGTTGATCGACAGTATGAAGCAGGATGTTTGGGGTGCTATACAAAGTCTTCACGAGAGATTGGCGCACATTGACTCTACAAAATTGGTCGCTTGTAGTGTTGTCAATAGAGTAACATTTCATTTCGAGAAAATCCGAATTGCTCAGGCAGCTGTGTAAGTTTTAGAAGAAGAAATGATTTTCTTTCAGTTTTCCTTTCGCTTATTTTGTTTATTTCTTAATTTATCAGGGTTGCCATGCAACCTGCAAACCTGGAAATGTCAAGGAATTTTATAAACCTTGAGAAAAACCTGGAAAAGTCTGAGAAAAAGCGTGGCAACCCTGATAATAATTCATGTAATATTTAGTTAATTATCTTTGGAGTAATAAATTAATTTGTTTTCAGATCAGAGGGATTGGATCCGGTTTTTATTTTATCGCCTCATTTGATGACACGTGAAGCAGAATTGGAATATTTGAGAAAAGTCAGCGAACTGTGCATTATGCTTTTTCTGCCCGGAAGTTATTCTTTAACGCCAACGAAATTTTTATTAAGGGAAATTGTTACTTGCAAAAGTAAGCTTAAATTCTTTTATTAAAAAAATGTTATCCAGGTAAAAAGAATATACTAATTAAATTGTTTTTTATTTAATTTCACGATTAAATTAATTTCTTCTAATGTTAATTATTTTTTTAATTTCCCCTTTTACTAGTTTTAAAACCGGCAATCGACATGGTGACAGATCCGGATTATATAAATCAAAAAATTCTCTCGTACATTGAGCAGCAACAAATGACGGAGGCGATGCACAGAAAAACCTACGAGTACGCAGAGTCCTTTGAGGATTTTATTCAAATGATTAAAAGTTCACGTGATCTCGAGGTTCTCAAACATATCAGATATAATATTGTTACGGAGATTATGCAGGCGACGACTATTCAGAATGTGAAGAGGGCACAGGGATTAGATCCCGAGAGTAATTCGTTGGGGAAGTCGGATGCGATTCAAGCCAGAAAACTTAAGCGTTACATTAGTCAACTCACGTATGCAAAAAATACTTGCGAGTGCCATATGCAGTCCTTAGGTTGGGACGGTTTTCTAATTCAGGTATTAATTTCCCTTCAGTTATTTTATTTATTATTATTATTTATTTTATTGCAATTGAGAACAATTTTCTATTAACAAAGAATATTCTATTGATGTTAATATTTCTTTCTTTGGTAGGAAAATGATTTGTCCGATCCGAGTGCTATCGGTGAGGGACGTATTTTGCCATTGCCGTATATTTTGGAGAATGTAATTGGTCGACGACATTTGTCACAATTTTTGGAGCAAGTGTCAAGTCAGGGTTTGATTGGCTACTGGGCCGCTGTTCAAGAATTGCGTGCGGCAAAAAAGTCCAGTTGGCATCAACTGGGAGCGGAGATTTTCTACACTTACATTAAATCGCCAACTGCCGAAATGAAAGTAGATAAGAATATGCGTAAACGAATGGAGAGCTTTCTCATGGGTGACAATGGGCCGCACGCATTTTACGAGGTTCAAGAAACTGTCGTTAAAACATTGCAGGACAAATATTATCCGTCCTTTATTGTTAGCGAGCAATATAAAAAAATGCAAGAGGCTCTCATTAATGAACGAGTCGACGGTTGGTGACAATTTTTCAATTATTTATATTTATTAACTCTTTAAATAATTATTGTTTTTATTTTTTTATTTGTTGTTTTATTTTATTGTTTTTATTTTCACGTAAATTTTTATTTAATTTATTAAATGATTAATATTAGATATTAAATTAAATTTACGTTATAATTTTCAGGTCTCGTTGAGGATCGTCAAATTGACGGAACAATCAACGATACGTCTTTATTAGTCGGCGAGCATTCAAATTACGCTCGCAGTAAACTAGACCAATTGCAGGAGAAACTCAATAATAAAATGCAGGCCTTACAGGCACTGCGATCGTCATTAAAACCGGAGAGTCGGGTGCTTAGTATTTTAGGGAAGGAAGTGGAATACCTCCAGGGAGAAAAGAGGCAATTGGAGGCGCATTTAACTCACACGGAAATGTGGGCCGAGCACTTGGGTCACTGGAGAGCTGACGTTCAAAGCGCCGAGGTTAATAAAACAATTTTAATCACCATTTTGTCAAATCTCAATTTATTTAATATTTTCAAATTTTTTTTTACAAATTCTTCTATTTTTGCAAATTTAATTATTTTAAAAATTAAAGAATGTTTTTTATTCTTGTTTTGTAACATTAATTCGCAGAATTTTAAATTATTTTTATCTTAGGTAAAGAAAATTTAATGTTAATTATTAAACTTAATGTTTGAATTTAAAATTGAATTGATTTTGAAAAGGTTCCGGACAATGGGGATCCACCGCAATTTATTCTTGTGGTTCACATGGCAGCGGATGAGGAGAGTGAGGACAAAATATCAACCGGTTGGGTTGTCTTGAGGAAACTCACGGAATTTCAGGAGCTTAATAGAAAATTACGTCAATTGTGCTCGAGCGTAAAAAATCTCGAACTTCCCTCGCAGCCATTAAAATTCTTCGGTAAATCAGACAAAAATACAATTGACAAAGCGAGAGCGCAAATACAAAAATACTTAAATGTAAGTATTCATTTTTACTCAGAAAAATATTTACACTTTTGGAAATTTATCCTTACATCTGAAGTGTTAAATTAAAAAATAGTAACTATTTTCTCAAGTGACGAAAGTGTAATGTTTGATACAATTTTTGTGTGAAATTTTCTTTTAATTTTTTTTTTTTTTGCTTTTTGGTACGTTTTGTCATATATTGGAAAAATTTCAGTTCGTTCTGGAGGACGACAGATTAAATCAGAGCGAAGCTCTTTACGCATTCTTGAGTCCGAGCTCCGAGCATTTGAAGCACACGGCACCTTCACCAAAAAAATCGCGATTCTTTCTCTCGACTCTTTTCAAAAGGTAGCCAATAATAATCAAATATTATTATTTTTTGTTAATAATAATGATGTTTCTTTTTTATCCATGCCAAGGTTTTTTTAATTTTATTAATTTTTTGATCCATAAAATTAATTATATTTATTAATTAATGAACATGAGTTTATTTTGTCTGACTGTGAATTTTTTGCGAGAAAAGCAGCAGCGGTTCGAGCGGAAGTGGCGATTCTAGAGAAAAAGAGGACGAGGAAGATTATTCATGTTTCTTTGACGATAACGAACCTGGAAGAACTGTCACTGATAGTTTTCTTGGTCCAGGAAAAGATGCGATAGTTGAACCTCTCTATTCTCTTCTCGGGGAAGTTTTCGACCTGAAGGGAGTGTTTCGCTGGCTCAGGCGATCGCTCATCACTTTTGTGCAAATCACGTACGGCAGAACGATAAATAGGTAAGTCAGACATATTTCTCTTTTTTATTTCTGAAAATATTCATATTATCATTATTATTTTGAAAATTATATTTGCATTTCTCTTTTTTTATTTTCATGAAAATTAGTTATTTTAAAGAAAAATATAAATTGCAATATTAATAATTATAGTGATATTAAAAAATAGTAAAATGAAATAATTCGAAATAAATATAAATTTATTTTCAAAGGCAAGTACGAGATACGGTGACTTGGCTGCTCTGTGAACCAATGTTGCATTACTACATAACACTGTTCACGAAATCCTGGTGGCCGAACGGTCAGCTGGTCTCGGAAACAACTGTCAGAAACGACGAGGAGAAATTAATGACCCGAGGCGAGGCTAGAAGACAATTCTTAAATAATGTACCTGATGTTTTAACGAATTTGGTTGGAGCCCAAAATTCGCAGCGTGGCGCTACCAAAATCTTTGACACTTTGCAAAATGTCAACCTCAATAAACAACTATTTTACGTAAGTAACCTTATTTTTACCGTTTTCTTTTATCTCCGTTTTATAATTATTAATTTTATTAACAATGAAAAACATTATTTTTCAGGATATATTTGAAGTATTAATGTACGAAGTGTTTCCAGAACTACAAAAAAATCGAGGTTTCAATACATTTAAATTTCACGATGATTGAACAGTTTTGAGGATTCCTTTTTTTCCGACTGAAAAAATATCTTTGATAAATATATATAAATAATTTTATGAGCAGCTTTCTCAGAAACAGTATTTCTCGAATCAGTATGGACCAATGTGTTTCTCAATTTGATTGAATTCAACAAAAAAAAAAAAGGATCTCGAGCGTTTTTACTGTGACAATATATCAAATTTGAATGAGAAGTGTATTTTTCAAAATGGAATTCTCTCGTTGCGAAACCAAAAAAAAAAATAGAAAAAAAGAAAACAAAGCTGGACGAAATTAATAGGTAAGAATATTTTGTTTTCTCAGCCAAAAAAATCTAAAGTTAAAATTAGTACTAAAAGTTAAATTTTAATGTGATCGATATAGAAAATTATTCTCTTCTAAAAAAGGATAGAGAGAAAAAAAATTGTAAAAGAATGAGAAAATGGAGAGAAAGATTTAGGGCATTTTAGCTAAATTTTAGGTTATTAACAAATGGGCTTAAAGTCGATAAATTGTTTTCTATAGAATACAAAAAAATTTTTATTTTGCGGAAAATTGTAAAAATTTATTTTTTTCTAAAACTCGGTGCTAAGTACCAAAGATAATTCCGAGTATCTTCGGAAATTAGACATTTTTTTCGGATATTTTTTTGCTCATTACGAAAAAAAACATGCATTTTACTAATTTTTTTATTGATTTATTTTAATATTTCTACTATTACTATTAATTTGATGATGAAATAATTGTCTTCAGTTCACTGTGAATAGATAATTAATAATTAGACAAGTTTAACACAAGGTGCAGGATCAAATCTGATAATGATTTCATCTGTGTTTACTCTTAATAGACTTGTTAGATTTAGGATTTGCCAAGAGCCCTCCCTATAGATTTCTATTTTTTCCTCTGAAACATGAAAATTCTTCGTTTCCCATTAAAAAAAGTGTGTTAAAAATGTTTATTAGCAACATTTTTTGCCAAAACTGAATGTAAAAAATATTCTCATTATAAGTAGTAACTTATTTTTTAACATTTAATTATTTATGGGGAAATTTCATTTTATTTTTATATTTTAGTTTTAAATATATTTTATGGTTTAAAGAATTATTTTTCAGTTTTAATGATTGAAATTTTGGCAAAAATTGTCGCATGTACGAATTGACTAAATGGAAAGAAAGAAAACTAATAACTATTACTGTTAATAGATTTCTAGTTTTTATCCTCTGTTGATCATTGTTGATTTAAAAAAAGAATTTCTTATAGAATTTATTTATATAAAAATTCACTTTTTGCACTTGCAAAAAATTTTCCTTTCTTTATACTTGAATCGTTTTCTATTGTATAATGTATAAAAGAAACTGAACGTTCGTCATTAAGGGTCAGATTAATGGCAACACATCAAACTCTGTGTTCGATCTATGGAAGTTGAATCTTTGTCGAAATTAATCTGTGTACGTGGTGATATTTTTCCCAAGAGATATAAGAAAAAAAATTAAATAAATAAATAGGTAATATTGAGAGCGAGCGATATCTGTTGGCTATTGATAAGTTTCTAGGTAAAAGTCTATCTAGTTTTTAATTTTTAACGAACTCGAAAAGCATTTTGTCGATGAATACCAATCCTGTTATATTTTTACAGTCTTTTTTTAATTACAACAAATAATAAAAAAGTGTGTATATTATTCCAATTTCTATACAAGCATAATTGCAATTTCTACAATACGAGGAAAAAAATTGAAGAAATAAATAAAAATTTGATAATTCGTTTTTTCAAAGAGTGCCAAATTTTTCGACATGAAAAAAGAAAGCAATAAATTAATTAACTAATTTTAATAAATATATATATATATATTATATAAATATTGAAGCAGGAGGGTATGATTCTTCAGAATGTGTATTTATTGTGCAATGTAATTGCATCTGTGCACAAAGTATAAATATTGTACTATTGGCTCTGTCAATATTACTTCGAACTGAAATAAATGTACGTCAGCCTAATTGAATGTTATTCTTTTAAAACATTTCTTATAATTCGCCACTCATTTTATCTCTATTTTATTCCCCCTATTTTAAATTTTTTTATTAAGAAGTTAGGGGAAAAATGAATATTTTTAACAAAAAGTTTTATTTTAGTTGAAAATTTAATTTTTCATTTGAAGAATTTTATCACAGTGAAATCATGTTTACTTTGGAGATAGCAATTTTCTGTTAATTATCAGATTTCAATTATTACTCAGAAACTTTGAGGTTGTTTTTCGAATTTGTCAATATAAAGCAACTTTGCAGCAATTATTATTATTAACAACATTTTATATCTTTGAAAATACAATAAAAATCAGTCTTGAGAAAATGTTTGTTCATATGATAAGTTTTATACGTCTTCTTGTTCTTCAAGTAATTTTTTCCATTTTTGAAAAAGAAGAGAATCTGTTTTTGTATAGTCCTTGGATTGTTTACACCAATTGTGAAAAATTCGTAGAGCTTCTTCCGCTTCTTGTCTAGATGGTATTTGATCAACTTTTTTAAAAATTTTCGTATAGACTTTAATCGGTTTTTCTGAGTCGACGATTTTCGTATTTAATTGACTGACTTTAGAAAGTTCGTTCCCGTTGTTTTTGTTCGATTCTTCCGATTCGTTGATCAACATTTCATGATTTATCATTTCCATAGTTTCAATATCCTCTGAATTAGTGACAGATGTGATAATTTCACTGTCTGTGAATGGTCTCCATCCTGGATACTGTTGATCTGCGTTTAACCACGTTTTTACATCTTTTGATGTAATTTTTTCGAAACCTATCAAGACAGTAAGATTATTAATAAAATAAGTTAAGGTAAATTTTGAATAAAGTAAACTGAAATTAAATGTACCTTCAATTTTTCGTAGTAAATATGAATATTTATTTTCTACCGATTCATAATCGTGGCAGATGTCTTCGTCATTTAAGGGTGACAAGAGAGATACTCCTAAAAGTTTACTCCAAACATTCTGCAAGTCAAATTGCCGGATAGATTTAAATGCACTTGAAAGTTTGGAACAGAAATCATTGAATGAATACGTTTCTATGTATTCTTCGACAGAATTTCTTTCGTCTGCATTTAATAACGATGTGAGTAATTCTTTTCGATAAGCCGCTTTTGTCATTTCAAATACACCCTGACCCATTGGCTGCACTAATGACGTTATATTAGACGGTATGATTTCAACTTTAAAATTATCATTCACTGAATCGAGAATTTCCTTCGACGGATGACATTTCGCATTGTCAATTAATAGCAAAACTTTGCCATAATTTTTCGTTCTGTCCTGCATTTTCTCCACTGTTGGAATAAATGTGTTTATATACCAATCGAGAAAAATAAAAGTATTCATATGAGCCGAGGGCTCGTTTTTGTAAATTACTGGTAATTCCGTGTTCTTGGAATGATAATCCAGATCATCTCCAATTAGTAATAGTGGTAAGGTAAAGGAACCATCAGCATTCGAACAAAATAGGGTTGTCACCATGTCCTTAGTTTCTGAGTCTGAAATATTAATTCAATCTTGGAGAATTGATAAAAATTAAAATTGAAAAAATACAATAATTGGAAAAATTAAAATTAAATTAATTAAATTAAAGTTTTATTTTTTTATTAAAATATTCATATTTACTACGAAAAATTGAAGGTAAATTTAATTTCAGTTTACCTGAACTACCAAGTTTCATTCCTCCTGGTAGACTGTTCCAAAAAAGACCACTCTCATCAGCATTGAATATCAAACTTAAATTGTAATCATCCTCGACAATTAAATGTTGAAATTGAAAGCAAAATTCAATCGCAAATTCGATATTTGACTTTTTCTCACCCACTGTCGTTAATTGAATTCCATGTCGTTTTTTTAAACTGTCTAGCCATCCAATACTTGCTTTAAAAAATTCCGAACCATTTAAAAGTTGATTAAACTTTAACGCCTTTTCGCAGAGCATTGGACCTGTTATTGTTTCCCCAATTTCGCGTTTTTCTTTAAACCAGATAAGAATTGCTCTCTCTAATTCTTCATTACGCACTCGCTTAATAACTTTCTTTTTATTTAAAACTCGTTCATTCCAAGTATTCGCATTTTTGAGCCTTTGCTTTTTCTTCTTTAACAAAGTACTTACTGTCGCTATTGAAATATTATACTGTTTTGCCACTTCTGTCATTGTTTCGCCTTTATTTACAATTTTAACAATATCTAACTTGTCACGTATCGAAAGAAAAACATGTGATTTACGTTGATTGTTCATTTCAAAATTTTCCGCACTTTAATAAACTCTGAAGGAACAACATTTTTGCAAATATCGTTGATTCGTTGTTCGCCATTGTGAAATTTAATTCTGTAGATTCTGTAGAAATCTGATATTTATGGTGTGATCACTCTTTGGTAAATATGAACTGTATGAAATTTTGTTGGTCGGTTCTAGGGGAATGGCAGAAGTTGACCAATCAAATTATGTTTAATTCATGCACTTGGACAGAGATTGTGGATGAATCTTTACGTGCGAATACCGTCTAAATCAAAAGTTAGTTTGTTTTTATGCTTTTCTTTTTGTATAAAAAGCGTATAGAGCGAAGAAAAAATAACGTTTTTAGTGAAAGAGTAATTAATTAAATTCTCAATACTTTGAGTCATTAAATCTTCAATTATTCTATAAAAATTTGACACAATCCATGGATTGTTACTTGTGAGAAATTTTAGGTTATGTTACCTAGATCCAATTGATCCAATTTTAATGAAGTGAATTTTTCAGTCTTTGTCTTATGAAATAAAAATTTTAATTTACTCAAAGTACAAAAAGTAAAATCCTTCACATGTTGACTTAATTTCTTTTACTAGATGTTTTGCTTTCGCCTTTTTTCTGAGAAAAAAAACGAAAATTTTACATTATTACTAACTTTTTGTATGGACTGTACGACTACAATTTTTCTCTTTAAATTCTACCGGTTTCCACCTGTTGAGATGAAACAAAGCGGGTGACTTTTAAAACTAAGTGCGATGTGTGAACAATTGAAAATCTGGATAAAAGAAAATAGAAGAAAAAATAAAAGTCGAATAGGATTTAGATTATTTTTATTTCCACGTCTTGTGAGGCAGCAAGACGTACAAATACGTTTATAATAATAAACAATTATCTAAAATTACGCGCAACTTCTATACAAATATTACAGGTAATGTTTCTTAATTACTATTTTATCGTAATATATAATTGTCGTATTTATTCATTTAATGTACGTTTATTTACACATTTATAATGTAGACTTTGCTTATTTCCTCATAGCTTTTCCATCAGAACTGTTATAATTCAAGTTTTTTTTCTTATAAAATAGTTTTTTTTCAAGCAAACCTTTGGAACAATGAGACACTATATTTCTTTCTTTCATTTGAAAAAAAAGTCTGAACGACAACAGAATATTTTTTCGTATTCACACAGTATGAAAGTTAAAATAACTTTATTTTCTATATTTGTTTAATGTCAGTTGACGAACAAATTTCAATTGGGTCCTTCTAACGCCAATTAATTGACCTTACAACCTGACTGAGTTTACGATTTATTCATTTTTTAACACAAGGAAACAATTTTATTGATGAGGTTTTTCATTCTTTTCTTTTTTCTTCTTTACGTACAAATATATGTAATTGTGACGCGATCTGAAGAAAGGGACCTTAGAAGCAAAAAATTATAGGTTATGTTTGCAATTTTTTAAATGAAAATACAAAAAAAGGATCAACTGTCAATATAAATCATTGATGTTTAAGTCTTCATTAAAACTAAAATATTTAATAAACACTGATTTTAATTCGAAATAAGTAAAAAGAAACTTTCAAACAAGAAAAAAGTAACTCTAACCCAACCTTAAAATGATTTGCTTCTAAGGTCCCTTTCTTCAGATCGCGTCACAATTCATATTTTACCGATTTTACCTAATTAGAAAAAGTAACAAAGAAATATTTTTGCATAAGAATGAAATGTTTAGACAAAAATAGTAAAATCTGTAAATTTATTACTGCGATTATATTTAATATAATTAACGCCGAGAGAATATATATTTCTTGAAGTAATTTTTCAATAACTGAAATTTTTGGCTTTTTCCCTTCAAACTGCGTGAAATTTAATTAACGTTTTTTTAATAAATTATATTTTATTTCTTTTCTGTTTATTACATAAGTATTGAAATTTCTCTTTTTTTTACAAAAAAATTTAAATTTACAATTATTGTGAATTGCAATTTAACTGTAAATTATAAATTTTGCATATTTTGTATTTTACAATAACTATAATATCAGAAGATTTTTTTTGTCGATTGTGTGAAAAGAGGAACTTCCTTAACATTTTGACGAGCTCAGCTCGTTCCTGGACAGTTTGCGGTATAATATTAAGTATGAAATTTTAGTCTCAAGTCACTTTAAGATTCTCGATCTCTTGAGTGATTTTTTTTCTCTATAACATCCTGGTCGATTTCAGTTTTCAATTTTTTACAATTACTTTTTTATACCATTTACACTAACAGTTAATTGCGCATTGCAATCTTTTCTGCAAGATTTTCCAAAAGCTTTTCAAATTTTTCTTGGAATGTATTTTTAAATCAAATTTGACAGTTTGTTTGGTTTATCTGAGCTTTAAACCTCGCAAAATGTCTTTTTCACCCTTTCTACAAGTTTAAATACAGAAAAATAATTCAATGTTTACTAATTAATTTAATATAATTTAGTAGCTTACAATATTGAGTGATTAATAAATTATAATAATTTTATTCAATTATTTAAAACTTTCAATTTAATTATTAAAATAGTAAAAAAATTTTATTTCTTAAATTTAATACTTATTTTTTTATTTATTAGTAAAAACATTAAAAAATATCCAAGTTTTTGGAAAATCTTGAACATCGGATATCTCGTACAGTCTTTTCGTTTGTAAATTACACACAATTACAACAATGTAACGTTGTTGAACGGGAATAGATATATTGATTGAAAACATCCAATAATAATAATTATTGAATTCTTGTCTTGGGAAATAAAAGTTTCACATCTTCGGTATTTTTCAGAAAAATTTCAAATTTTAGATTTATCTGAAAAAATGTTCGTTTGTGACACGCTCCGAAGAAAGGTACCTAAGAATTTTAAGGTTATGTTTGTGTCATTTTAATTAAAAGTTTCTATGTTTATAATTTAAAACCGTAGCAGTTTTTATTAATTATTTTAGATGTAATGAATACTTAAGCATTCGTGGTTTACATGGAAAGTAAATTCCCTTTGTGTATTAAAAAAATTACAAACATTACCTTAAGTATACTTTTCTTCAGTGCGCGTCACATTATTTATTTGGTTTGTTTGCAACTTTTTTCTCGCGATTTTTAAGATGAAAAATTTAAATAACAACATGCATTATTATTATAATAACAATAATCACAAAAATTCTGGACTTATTTTTCATCTAATCCTTTTTGAGTATAATTTTCATAACCCCGCATTCGTCACTTTAAAGAGATGATATTTTTTAAAAATTAAAATCGAAAAAACTAGCAATATTTTGTTTTCGTTTTTTTCCTAGTCAAACTGAATCGTTTTGGTGTCAATTTTTATGTCTCCATTTAATTAGCGCATTGCGCAGACGTCGAACTGTTCCAAACCAGCTGGAACAATGTTCTAATTTTTCCTTTACTTTTTCATATTCACAGCATCCAGTGCCATAGAATCACAAATTCTCACGAATGCAATACTAAAGTAGTAGAAAAAATATATTTTAGCGAGTACAAAAATACGAATAGATAAAGACTAAAGTACATTTAATTTCTTTTTTTTTTTTTTTTTGACTAGAAAGTAAAAAAGAAAGGCAAAGTTGGAAATATTCTTTGGCACTCAATTATTTTTCTTAATCGTTTCTTCCAGATTTTGTTCTTTTTAATTTACTAAGACAAACTACAGATAATTTTTAAAAATATGTATATATTTGTATATACTTTTTTTGTTAATTTATAATTTATTCTCCGACGCCGGCGCAACGCAATTTACAATCGCAATTTAAAAATAAATAAAGTCGATATTCGAATTTCCCGCGATTATTAACGAAAGAACACAGTGCCACTAATTAGGGGTGAGGTAGAGAAAGATGGCGACTGAGCACGACGTTCAGGTTCCTTTCTTCACCGTTATTGGCGTATTTGACACTAATTGCGAAAACAATTTTTTACTTTTTGGTAAAATCTATAAATTAATGTTTGAATAAGGGACAATTAAAAATCTAAAGAACTTATTGTGTTGAGACAATTAGTTGACAAATTCATTCGAAAATTTTATCAATCAATTAGAAGCGAGGAATTTTTAAGCTTCAATCAAACAGCAAAATCAAGTTTTTCCTAATTAGTGTCACTCACAAAAGAGGAGGTGATGAGGGGAATTTCGTTTCTGAACGTTTTGAAAATTCTTAAAAATGAAATCGCTTTTGTTTTAAAAAATACGCATGTATTAAAAGTAACTAGTATTGAGTGAACAGCCGATCTTACTTTTTTTTGTTTTTTTGTCTGAATGTTGTGTGACGTGTGCCATGGATGGAGAGGATTCCTTGGGAGTGACGGATGCTGCACGACTGCTACTTGGGGTTGCCAAAGGGGGAATCAGTGATACAACTTCGGGGCTCGACGTCTGCCCATTATCTTCGTACACTCTCTCCTATAATACAATGAATTATTGATCCGCATTTATTTTCTTATCATCGTAAGTTTTTTCTTTTATTTCTTTCATTATTTTTTTATTTATTCTTTTGTTTTTCAACTCCCATTATTTTTCGTGACAGCAATCTCTCGTTTCAATCTCGTTTTTTATATAATCGCCCAAGCAAATTGAGTACAGCCTCTCTAGCCATAACAATATAATATTTTTTACTTCCTATTTTCTTTGCAGTCTTCAAGCTTTTTTTTAATTATATTTTTATTATCTCACGTTTTCAACTATTTTCATTATTTATTTCACAGTCACTTGAAATTCACGATTTAAATATGTGACACGTGCTGAAGAAAGGGACACAAGCGCTCTTTCTTCAGTGCGCGTCACAAATATGAAAAGTTAGGTTTCTCTAATTTGAAACTATTCTTTAGTTAATTTCTTAATTATTTAATTAATCTTGATCTTATTACAATCTTTAAATAATTATTAAAAACTAAAAAAGTAATTTTACTTTTAGAATTTTGTTAACAAACAAGTTTTACATGTAAAGAAATTTGTATTAGAAATGAAAACTTGAATCTATTCAATTCATTCAAAAACCTATTAGTGCCTATTATCGAACATCAATTTTTAGTTCTTATTTATCTTATCTCACGAGGAAGGCAAAACAGTGCAGCAAAATTCTGAGTTGAGATTTTCGATTCTGAAAATTCATTCATAAGTGTAAATTATTGTTAAAATATAGGCACTGCTTTTTCATTTCATTTTTATGTAAATTTAGTTCTCAACGGAACTGGTGGTCTAGTGCTGTAAAGTACTGGTACTGCCTTCAAGTATATTTCACAGCTAGGGTTCGATTCTTATCAAAGTGATTTTTTTTTTAAGTTTTTGATTATTTATATTGAATCTAGCAATAAACATTGTTACGTCATCGTAACATACTTTCAATAAACAATAATAATATGTATAATTAGTAAAAATAATAATAATAAGAATGGCAACAATAACAATTAAAACTAATAACAATGTCAATAATAATAATAATATGTAAAATAATAATTAATAATAATGGTAGTAATAATAATAAAATTAACAACACATAATTGTTATTAACATATTATTAATTCTAATAGTTTAAACATATATAATAAAGTGCAATCATTAATAACAATTTATAATAACGAACAATAACAAGCAATTATTAATAATAAATTGTAATAATTATTGTCGACATTATGGAAAATGTGAAATAAAAAAAATCCATCTTTGACGAGAAGCGAACGCGTGACTTAGAGTTTAATGCATTCCCGTAGTACTTTACCGCTAGGCTACCAGACCAAGTGGCAGTCTTTTATGACATTCAACTCTCAGAACGTGAAAATTTCATCGCAAAATTTAATTTCAATGTCGTGTCAAAATGCTGAAGACAAAAATCGTGTCAACTATAATTTTTTAATCAAAAAAGTTATAGTTTTTTAATTTTTATAAAATCAGAAATGAATCAAAATTAATCTTTCATTTTGTACTCAATTTGTAATCTAATCTGAAAAATCTAAAACTCTTCACGTGCACTTGAATTTTTTATATTTATGTAATAAATCTAAGTATAAAAAAATGGAATACGAGAATAAAGAATCTGCTCAAATATTAAATATATAGTATAGTCTTGAACCGAGCAGAATAATTTTTTAGAATATAATTTTTGTCTTATAGAATAACGATTAGAATGATGTTAAAATTCGTTAATTCTCGTTCTTTTTCTTTTGCTTTTTTCGCTTTTTTCACTGTTAATCAGTAAGTTATTAGATAGTTTTTTTAAATTTAGGCACTACGTAGTTTCTGTTTCATTCATCTGTATAAAGTGAAGCGGCAGATGCTGCAATTTGATTGGGCATTCAACTTTTGAAGAACTAGCTTTCTATAAAGATTTTTAATTTGTAAATAAATCACGATAAATCACGATAAATCACGACGGATTATTCAATAATTCAATGTTTTTAAGAAAAGGAAAAAAACAGCACGAGATTAAGACGACGGGTTCCTTTTTTTGGTGCAGATTCTTGTTGACAAGAAGCTAATAACTTTTTCTCAACAAGTGTGAAAGAATTAGTTTAATATCGAATTTTAAAAACTTACCTGAGATTTGTCGTATTTGAGTCTTTTCCATATGAAAGACTTTTTGTCCTGCTGTTGATTTGAAGGACCAATTTCTCCACTTGAAGCATTATAGTTTGGATTCGAAAATGTGAGAACATTTCTTCTGCTCACGTAGAGATACTTTTTTTGCTTCGTCTTTCTTTGACAGAGTAGATAAATAATTAGTGTGACAATAGCTAGTGTGACGCTCAACATTATCACCACTGTAATAACGACAGTTTTCAGACTATAACTCTTCTCTCGATTAAATTTATGATCTTTAAATTTATCATCTCCGTGATTTCGTGTCGATGTCTTTGTCACGACATCGGATTTTCTGAGCTCTTCCTCTTCCTCCTCGTCATCTATCTCATCGTAGTTTGTGTCATTTTCCGTTCCTGGCTTTCGGAGTGGCACTTCCTTTAGTGGAGCTGTTTAAGAAAATTATTTATCAACCATGGTGTTTATAGTTGTGATTGCATTTAGAAAATTTCAATAAACTTACATGTGAAACAGGGTTGAGAATCGGGTTGATTAGGACAGGCGCATTTGTAACTCCCCCTCGTGTAGAAGCAAAGATGACTGCAGTGTCCGTTTTCTATTGCACAAGGATTCCATCCGACTTGTCGATCAGCAGAAACGGCTTTTGCGTCAGTAACACTCCCCAAGGCGTGACGAAATCTAATTCTATTTTGACCGTTAACCCTGTCAGCTTGTTCGATTATTTCTCTAGACCAGTCCGCCCAGTAGATGTGCTCTCCATACTGAAATTTAAATTCTTTTAGAATTCATTTTACCCAAAAAATGGTCATTATGAAAAATTTGATAAATATCCACGTACTTGTGTCAAACCGAATGGATTCGTAGCATCCGGAATGAGTGCAACCCGAAAACGACCGTTAAGATGAGAGACTTCTATTCTGTCCTTCAAAGCATCCGCCCAATACAGTTTCCTGTGCGTATAGTCAATGGACAATCCATTCGGAAAATGTAGATCAGAAGAGATTATTGTTTTTTTCATAGAACCGTCTAGAAGGGCTCGGACAATCTTCGGATGATCTCCCCACTCGGTCCAGAATATATAACCCTCTTTTGGAAACAAGGCAATTGATCTAGGATCTTTCAGATTATCTAACAATTTCTTCCTTCTGCTACCGTCAAGTTTCGAGACTTCGATTAAACTGTTCTTCATGTCGGTCCAGTAAAGATTATCAGCAATCCAATCGACTGCTACCCCAAAAGGTGCCGACATATTAGAACCAAAAATTATCGATTTTGTGTCCGATAGATTAAACATGTTGACAGTTCTGAAAAGAAAAATTATTTGTATTCTTGAGAGTGGGGAACTTGAATATTTTTCTGATGTTTTACCTAATAATTCGTAGATGAACATCGGTGTAAACGATCAGTTTCTTTTGCCAATGGAAATCGACCGAGAAGGCATTGTGAACCTCGTCGATAGGAAGGGAAACACTCCTCATTTCTGGAGTGTCTAGAGATATCCTCTCTAGGGTCTTTCTGGTAGCGAAGAGTAAGAAATTAGTTGGAGTAACGTTACAGGTTTTTCTGTCATCGTTAATATTGATACCAGTTGGACAAGCACAAGAATAGCCAGAGGGATTTCGCAGACACAAATGCGAACATCCGCCGTTATTATTTTCGCAAACGTTTTCTGATTGTGTAAGATCCGACCACTGTAACAATATTTAACATTTTTAATCTCTCAATTTGTAAATAGAAAAAAATCATTGTCGACAACTTACGACAACTGCTCTCAAGTCCATGACGCCCTCGATTTTATCGATGAATACTTTAGCGGAACCATTGTTCTTGTCCGTTTGAAGGACAGCCTTCTCCTGCCAGTCGCTCCAGTAGATGGTGTTTCCCATGACGGCAAGACCGTAAGGATGTCCCGCTTTCTCGATCAGAACCTTTCTGTTTCGTCCATCGAGATCGGCGGATTCAATCACCTTTTTCTTGGCATCGTTCCAGTAGATCTTGCCCTTTCCAATGTCAATCGACAGACCATTAGGCCAGGCAAGATTTTCCGTAACCACCGTCATCCGTTTCTCACCGTCCATATTGGCTCTCTCTATTCGCGCATTGTGTCCCCAATCTGACCAAAACAGAAGACCCGCCGAATAGTAAATCGCCATTGCTCTGGGATTATCCAACCCCGACCAAATAAGAACCTTTCGATTTCTTCCGTCGAGTTCACAGACTTCGATACTGTTCAAACCAGCATCTGTCCAGTAGAGCTGTAACAGTCGTTCATTGTTGATTCCATTCTCTAAAGTTTTACAAATTATATTATACATTTACCTTTCTGCCAATTGAATCGACAACAAGACTGTCGGCAACATCTATTCCGGTATTAATCACCGTTTCCACAAAGCTGCCATTAAAGTTTGTCCTCTTGATAACATCCTCTCCAGGATCAGTCCAGTAGATTTCGCCATTCACTAAATTCACATCAACACCGCTGGCGTTCTTTAAATTGGATATTGGGAGGACAACGTCCAGTACGTAATTCACATCAAAGGAGACAATTCTTATGTCCACCCGGTGAGCCATTAGGAGGAATTTATTTGGAACGTCTGGACAAGTAGTTCCATCCGGCTGTTAACATTTATCAGGTAATTATTTAGCATTTTTATTATTTGTTGTTTTTGTCATGTTTTTGTCATGTTTTTTTGTTTTATTTAGTAGAAAAAGAATAATTTCTTTTGTTCTTACCCCTAAGACGAGACCGGTAGGACAAGCACATTTGTAACGTTTAGGATTTGTTGCGAGAAGACACAAGTGGGAACAATTTCCATTATTGTTCTTGCAAGGATTGCTCACTCTTCTTCGATTTCTATGAAAGACTCTCACGTCCATGAGACTCGAGATGCTCGATATGATAGTCGTGATGTTCTTTCCCGTCTCCTTATCAGCTCGATGAATGCTTTTTGTGTTCCAATCGGTCCAGTATATCTTGTCCTTGTGCACAACTAGTCCAAACGGATGAAGGAGAATTTCCTCTGGAAATTTTGAAGCATGTTTTGTTTAGTCGTACAAATCAATCTATCGCAAGACTAACTAAAAAATGTTGTTTTAATAAGAGAAATTTAATTTGACCTACTGGAAGATATTAGTGAGGTTCTGCCTTTGCCGTCGAGTGTTGAAAATTCTATTTTCTGAGTGCCAGCATCCGTCCAGTAGAGTCTCTTCTTATCGAAGTCGATAGCTAATCCATTGGGCCAAGTTAGGTCGGTTCCAAAGAGGACTCTACGATCAGTGCCGTCCATCGATGCTTTTTCTATTTTTCCCTTCTCGCCCCAATCGCTCCAATACATGTGTCCGGCTAGAAAGAATTAAAATAAAGTCTTTAACATCCAAGTGGTTTTAATAATAAGACAAACGAAGACATTAAAGAATCTTTGTCTGAATGTCAAATTCTTTGTTCTAGAATTCGAAAAACTTAAAACTTACTAGTTGGGTCCAGAATAATATCTCTCGGTTTGTCGTGACCTTCGTGAATGAGAAGAGTTCTCATGGTTCCATCTAGATTCGCACATTCTATCCTCTTCGTTCCAGCGTCCGTCCAATAAATCTTTCTGGTAATCCAGTCTATCGCCAGTCCAGCTGGTGATTCTGAAAATAGAAGAAAAAATTGCACAAATCCAAGACTTGATGATTTTTGATGGGAATGTAAAAAACGGTAGTTATGAGTAAAAATGCAGAATGCAACTTTGAGGTGGCACATAGTAGATATACCTAAATTGTGGCTAATAATAGCAGTTTGATTGGTGCCATTCAGGAAAGCCCTGCTGATCGTGTTGGCGTCCAAATCACTCCAGTAAATCATATCCTCATCGGAGTCCCAGGTAAGACCGACGGCACTTTGAACATGATCGACGGGAATGACGTTGTCGTAGACTCTGGCAGATTCCTCGATTGGCATAATTCTGAGATCTTTCTTTCTAGTGAAAATTAGAATATTATCGAGAACATTGGCGCACGTCTTTCCGTCTCGATTGATTTTCAACCCCACTGGACAAACACAACTATAACCGGTGTTGTTGGGAAGGCACATGTGGGAGCATTTGCCATTATCTTTCCCGCAATGATTGACATAGTCCGGTTGTCGCTGAGGATGATAGCTGTGAAGGTCCATCGGGAAGCGGAGACCTGAGTGAATAGTTTTGAATCCCCTGCCACTCGCTTTGTTGGCGGAGGAGATGCTCTTCAGGTGCCAGTCGGTCCAGTAGAGTTGGTCTTCGAAAACGGTGATGGCGAAAGGATGAGGCAGACCTTTACTCATCATCTTCTTTCTGTCCGAACCATCCAGATGAGACGATTCAATTGCATGATGTTTGGCGTCTGTCCAGTAAATTCGATCAGTCGTGTAGTCAATCGTTAATCCGTTCGGCCAGAAAATTGATTCCTTTATTACTTCTCTCCTGTCCGAACCATCCATGTTTGCTCGTTCGATTTTAGGATTCAGACCTAGATAATTTAAAAAGCACGATTCAAATTTTCGAAAGTGTTTCAAAAGTGTTTCGAAAGTGTTTCGAAAGTGTGGAATTTGTGGAGTTTGAGAAAATATCTCACCCCAATCGGTCCAGTAGACGTAGCCGAAATTCGGATGAACTGCGATAGCTCTCGGTTTTTCGATATCGTTCGAAATGAGCACATGTCTCACTTTTGTGTCCAGAGTAATTACTTCGACTCTTCTCGTCCCGGAGTCGGTCCAAAAGAGCAGATCGTGAATCCAGTCGATGGCAATTCCACCCGTTGACTGGAGACCCCATCGAACCACATCTAGAAGAATATTTCGCTTGAAACAAGTACGTGAGAAGAGTACTAAAATTGAAAATGGAAGAAAATGAAAACCTTCAGTGCCAGTTCCGTTAACAAAGACTTTCTGTATGACGTCCATGGAAACGTCAGACCAGTAAATAGTGCTTCTCTTGTAATGATAGTCCAGTGCTATGGCATTGTGAAGACCTTTCAATACTGATGTGTACTTTGGACCCGTCATGCTCACCTGGAAAATTAACCCAAACGTGTTAGTGGCGAAGGTAATAGTAGATGTCGAAAGGTCAAAACAGAACATTACCTGTCTGATATCGACTCTGTTTGCGAACAATAATGTCGGATTGGCCCCTAGGGCTTTACAGGTTCTTAAATCTGGTCTAAGAACGTAACCCGGCAGACAGCTACAGACAAACGAACCTATTGTGTTTTTGCACACTTGACTACAAACCGGATCCTGCAAAACGATTTTATTTTTAGACAACATTAAACTTTTCTGTTTTTCAAAATCTTCAAAGTGATGACAAACCTTTTCGAATTCGCATTCGTTGATGTCGTAGCAAGTGAGATTGTTCGCTCCCAAAATAAATCCAGGTTCACACGCACACGCTTTTTTATTATCTACAGTTAAAATACATTTTTGCGAACATTTATCTTCAGTCGTGCAATTACGCTTTTGAGGACAGTTCATCTCATCTGTAAGAATTGAGAAATATTGATCAATTTAGAAAATAAAGTCTCTGCAGTTGATTTTAAATTGTATGATTAATGATTGTACCATCTCTTTCAGGACAGTCCGGCACTCCATCGCAAACATGCTTGACACTAATGCAGTCACGATGATAATGATGGAATACATAATGAGAATCGTTTCCTGGTTGGGAATTTTTACAAAGATATTGAGTAGCATCACAAGTTACGGCACAGCCTTGTTCGTCTTCACCATTAATGCAGTCTGGTACTCCGTCACACACCCACAAACGCTGCAAGTTTCCAGTTTGGTAAGTGGAAGTTTAATTGTAATAGATTGTAATAATTGTTTGCCACACTCACGGGTACACAGGAACCTGTTGAGCAAGTAAATTCTTCCTGGGAGCATTCCTTTGGCGTTTGATGCTCGCACATATCTTCATCTTCCTTCCCCTGACAATCGGGCTCCTTGTCGCAAACCCACGTTCTGCTTATGCACTTTCCGCTGTTGCATCTAGTAGAAGATTATATTTTTTATTAATCAAAGTAAATTATTATTTATAATAATATTTCGTTTGGTAAAACGTAAAACTAGAGAAAAACAAATTGTACCTAAATTCGTTGGCGTTACAACTGACTCCAACAAGATTTTCGCAATTATCTTCATCACTTCGATCCCCACAATCGTCGTCGCCATCGCATCTATATTCTTGAGAAATGCACCTCGGATAAGTGCATTTGAACTCATTCTCCTTGCAATTCACTTCAACTATCTCTGAACAAAATAATTGTTTTGACAAATTTAAAAACTATTTTCAAATTTTTAATAAATTAATAAAAAATGTAGGTAATAAATTTGTTACAATTCAAACATTTTCAATTTTATTTTTCAAAAACAATATTCAAAATTCGTGATAAAAATATTCAATTTTTCAAACATTTCTATTTCAAATTTGATATCCTTAGAAAAATTGTCTTTTAAAAATAAAACTTTGTTCTAAACATATTGAATTTTTCATTAAAATTTCATAAATTTTTCATTTTCAAAAATGTTTAATTTAAAAATTATTATTTCTCGGAAATATTATCTCACCACATTTGAGTTCATCTGAGCCGTCAGCGCAATCATTTTCCCCATCGCATCGATAGTTATTTAAAATACAAGTTCCATCCATGCAGGAAAATTCATTATCGTTACATTTCCTGGAAAGAAAAATAAAATTTTTTCAATTAGAAATTAGTTTCATTATAACGAATAAATTAATATTTCTGTAAAAAGTTATAAATCCAAATTATATACTTTATTACAATAATTTTCTTTTTTCTTTTTTGTGTAGAGTTACTGATTCAATTAAAGAGAGAATTGTTTAGTGAAGTGTTTTTTTTCACAATTGGAGGAATAGATATTTTTTTTGTAAAATAAATTTTTTGTTTCTCTGCAAAATTGAAAAATGAATTCGCAGAAAAATAAAGCCTCTTGACACGTGCCAAGTGTGAAAAAAAATTCGCCCGAGGTGATGTACGAGGCTGATGAGATGATTTTGAGTAGACCATCTGTTCCCGAGGGTTGTTTCCCCTTTGAGCACCCCCTATTTCCCCGAGAAGTCTTAACAAAGCCGTCAACTCATAAAATTGCGAAAAAAAACCTGCTTTTGCTAATATGCAGAAAATTTTTATTCTAATGATGCTACTTTTCTTCAAATTATCTCTAAATATATACTTTCTAACAGTGTGTTTTTTGGGGGAGTAATTTAACTCTCAGTCGGGATAAACCAAGTTTTTATCTATTGTACGTTTTTGAATTTATTTTCTTTCGATTTTTTTTTCTAATTCTAAATACTGTTTGTTTCTTTCGAATCGAGGTCTAAATTTTTTCGTTTCCATTTTTCTCCTCTTTTTGCAAAATATATTCTTTTCTATAGTTTTATTTTGAGAGAGAGATAGAGAGAGAGAGAGAGAGAGAGAGTGAGTTGATTATTTTATTATTAGAAAGTAATTTTCAAGGCGATATTGAGATTTCTATATTTATTTATGAGAGTTGAATTTTCTGTAGTGGAAAAGTTTTCTCTTAATCCTATGAAATAAAAAAGGAGTGATGTGTATAGTCCTATATATAGATATAAAGAAATACTCTTCTACCCCTTGGCAATTTCACCCCGCGACCTCACCTAACATCATTTTATCGACGACGACCATGAACCATGATTCCTTCTTCTGACACTTGACTGATTCATACTTTTCTTATCAATCTTGTGATATAGTTTCAAGTCCCACTCATTCAAACTATCTACTAAACTCACCCTTCGAATTTCTCTATACACAATTTCTTTCATTTCTGCAAAATGAACATCAATAAATTTTCCTCCTCATTTCAAATGCGAAAATTTAATTTTCGAATATTATTTTCCATTCGCATGAATAACATAAACTCACGGTCAATTTGTTTGTTGCATAAAAGTAAATTTTTATTAAATAAAAATAATTTTATTAGTGAAATAATTTAAATTTAAAATTAAAATACCAAACGATTTAACAAAGTCTTTCTAAAAAATTGTATTTTTTTATTAATAAAAGATTTTATTCATAAAGAAGTTTTATTGTTCTTTAATTAATGTTTTTCGACTCTGAATTCTATTGAGAAAAATAGGGACGGATTTTTTTTTATTGAAAGTTGTCTCTAATTATTTTCATTCCATTTGAGAATTTGTTTGTTGAGATGAGAATGAGTAAGGTTTGTTTTTCTTCTTTTTTTATTAGCAGCAACCCTCATAATACATATTGTATTATATATATATATATATATATATGTACACGTCGAGATTCATTTTGCATGGGGAGAAAATCAACGGGAATATTAAAAGCACGACCTTCTGGAAAAAGCCTTTTTATAGAGAAAAAATAATTGCAACATTTTTTTATATGCTGAAATATCGAATTGTACAAATATTTATTTTTACGCCCAGGAAATATTAAATTACATACTGAATCTGATTTTGTATTTTCTTCGGGAAAACAGAAGGGATAAAAATTGTAAATTGCATCTTTCTTTTATAAATTAAATAATAATAACATTTTTTTGCCATTCTTTTTTTGTGTTTGGAAAGAATAAAGTTTTGGACAGAAAATTAATTGAGATATAGTCTCAGGAATAAATAGCAAAGAGAGAGAAATAGTAATATATAGTAAATAAAGAAAAAAATGTTATTAATTAAAATGTTTTTTGCTATAAAAAGGAATATAAAGATGGTGTCTCTGAAGGGACTCACACCCCAAAAATGTTACTGATTTCAACCTAACAGCTTTCCAGGTGGTCGATACCACGCGCCACCAACGCGCAACCATCAGTGTTGCTTAGCAACACACCCCCGCGGCCTGGATCAGAGAATATCTCACACTACCCCGACCCCTCAGTCACTCATTTTTTCGAAACCCCACCTGCTGATTTGCCCCAAACCCCAACCTCTCTTCAACATTTTTATACTGACTTGTTCTCAAGATCCACTAGCCAAATAAGTCGAGTCATTAGACTTTCCACTTCCTTCCCCTGCTCCCAATCTACACTTTCTTATCTTTCAAAATGTTTTCCTCAAGAAATGAATGAATTTTTAAAAAACCTGGTGGTAAATTGCCTTGGCTTAGGAGCAAGAGGGTTAAGCAATGTTCTGAGTGGTTAACATTTTGATTGGCGACCCTTCGGCCTTATTTGTTTTTTTTCAATCACAGGCCTCGGATATTATGACTTTTTCGACTATTTTCAAGAAATGCGACTTTTTTCGACTTACTTTAAAAAATTGCAACATTTTCGCCCTTTCTTCCAAATGCCACTTATTTTGATTTTTAAAGTGTAAAAAGTATAATATTTATATTTACTGAACAAAATTATTCAAGTTTTGAATAACTGAATTTAGAAATCAGTGAAAGGGGAAAGGAAGGAAAATACAAAATAAAATTCTTGTGACACATTAGCATATGAATTAAATAAATGACTTTTTAAACTTTTTTTGTATTTTTAATTGATTAATTTTGTCCTTTATTTATAGACAGAGTTTAAACCTCTGTTCATTTTTTGCGAATAACATATTTTTAAAATAAGTTTCGCATTTTTCTATAATATTCGTCTTATTGCCCATCGGTGATTTTTCCTTTATCTTTTCTCTTTTTTCCCTTTTTTCGAAGGAGAACTTTTTTTTAAGGGAAAGTCGCCCACGCAAGATGGCAAAGGATTTTGCGTGGGTATTGAACGCGTTCTGCAGAGAATCGTTCGTCGATCTTTTTTATTTATTTCATTTACAAAAAAAAAAAAATTTTCGTCATTTCTTTTGCCTTTCATCGTACGTATACAAACAATATTACAAAAAGTTTGATATTTTTTTTTAAATGAACTGGGTTATACTGAGAAACTAAAAGTTGTTTATGGTTTTTTTTATCGAACGTTCATTTCTTTTGTGTTATTTCTCCTTTTAAAATTAGTATACAACGGTGGATAATTGACGTGGTTTGAATATGAATTAAATATTTGAATGAAAAACAGAATCAAAGTTTATAGAAGAATAATAATTCTTTTATAAACTTTGGTTCTGTTTCTCAATATGTTAAAATTTATTAATTTGTTTACCTTTTTCCACCACAATTGTCTTCGTCGGAAAAATCCTTACAGTCGTTGTCACCATCACAACGCCATGATTGCTGAATGCAAAGTCCATTTCTGCATTCGAATTGATCCTCGGTGCAATTCATGACGGTTCCTATAGAGAAGGAAATTATTTCCCATTTGGTTTTGATAGATAGTTCAATAATTTTTCAATTAAATAAAATAATTTAAATAGTAATGAAATTATTGTCAACCCGTGTGGAAATTGCCAAGGCATGCCAATATTATTGGGTCTATAGTGGTCCTAGCTTGGAATATACTTTAAGCAATCTTGGTCATATCTTGGTCGTGGCTAGAGCAATATATTTACAAACTAGAACCTAATTAGTAAAGGGGAACTCTAGGTAGAATCTATAAAGAGCCATTACGCAATTTCCACCCGGGCTTAATCGAACCGCAATGAGATTCGTCGGAGAAGTCGCCACAATCGTCGTCGCCATCGCAGAGCCAGTGTTCGGCGATGCACCTTCCGGTCGCCGGGCAAAGAATACTGCGTTCGCCGTAACACGTTCCATTGGAAGTTTTTAATTCTAAAATATCCTCGCAATCAATCTCGTCCTCGGAGCCATCACAATCCGTCTAAGTAGAATAGATTCGATTATAATTCGCCTTTTTCTTTCTCCCTTTTGCAAATCGATAAATCTTTATTAAAGAACGGATGCGCGCAGAAAACAACTAAAATTAGCCGCAGCTAGACGCCAATTTCGCCGGAAGTATCAATCCAATTTTAAATTAACTCTCTTAATAATGAGAGAGTGAGAGAAAGGGAGAATTTTAAATATTCGATTTTAATGGAAATTAATTAATCCTCTCTCATTTTTAACACAGCTTTTCTACCATCACACACATTTTTTTAAAATTATAATTGAATTGTGCTAAAATTTTATTTAATTTTATTGAATTTTATTGAATTTTATTACTCGAGTTTAAAATGACAATAATTCTATTAGTAATTGATGTGAGGGTGAAAGTTTTTTGAAGGAGTTAATTTAATAATTACCTGACCATCGCAACGAGCCTCGAGACTGATACAAGTGCAAGAATTCTGACAGAGAAATTGATCCCGATTGCAAAGCCACGCGCACGATAGGGAAAGGGCATCCTTCATATCGCTCTCGTCCTCCAATTCTTGAATGAGGGTTTTTTGATCCTGACCAAGGCGTTTATTGAAATCCCACATTGACCCAGATCCACCGCGAGTCAAGCCACTGCGAACCCTACTGTGATCGACTTCCGCGTAGCCTCCTGTTTCGTACGCTTAAAGAAAAAAGGTTCTTTTAAATTTACACAAATCAAAATCAAAATTGTATTTATTGGGTTGAAAAACATTTTTTGAATCTTTAAGCCTACTAATGTCTATTAATCTGTCATCAGCTAGGATACGTAGTGGGAGATATTATCTTAAGACGATTTTAAATAATTCTGATATGGAACATTGCCGCACTGTAGCTTGCCCAGAAGTTGTTCCGTGTTTATAAATTTATCCATCATACTAGATCCCTCATTTTGATTGAAAAAAATGCGATTTCAGATATCCACAGAATCAATGGATTCATCCGTTTTGTTTCAAGTCAGTAAAAGTCAGTTTTTTTTTAAAAAAAGGTTAAAAATTCTTGAAAATAATAATTGAATTTGTAGTTTTAAGTAAAAGTCTTTCACTGATTCGAGCCCTGATTTAAATCGAAATTATTTATATTTTTCAGAAAGAAGAAACGAATGATCCACAGTGCCAGAAGATGTGGAAAATTCTGCAAAATCTTCGCCGCGTATTTCATTCGTTCACGTGTTTCTAAAATCATCCTCAATTCAAAATTTTTATTCCTGATGACTTCGGGAGTGTTCGTAATTTAAAACCGCGAATAAGTGTGTTTCTACTTCTTAAGATGTAGGAGAACAACTCTTTTGGAATTTGGATGCAAGCTGTGACTGACTTCTGTAAGTTGACAATAACACTTTTCAAATTTTTAGTATTAATTTATAATTGTTTTTCTTTGCTATTTGCATTGCGTTTCATGTCACAAATAGTTTTTTTTAAGGATATCAATAAATTGAGACAAAAAACATATTAGAATTGTTTTGATTCGTTTTTCGTCTCAATTTGATATCCTTAGAAAAACTGTGCACACATTTGTATTCGAACGAAATGTTGATGTTGAACATTAATTGGACATCTAAAAACTTGTACGGAAATTATCCAGTTCTTTATGGCCGGCAGAAATGTTGCGTCATCTATTCGCCGGGGGAAATAAGGAAACTTTCTCTTATTGCGTAAATAGAATACCTCCAGTGTCGAAGCCTCTGTAGGATATTCCCCGAATTCCTCCCCTGCCGACTCCGGGTCCCACGCCGTACGGTCCGTAAAAACCACCCCGTCCCGGATGATGACCTCCTAACCCATTAACTGGCGCTCCATTTCTGAAACTTGGCAGATCGTCCGAGTGAGTGTGGTCTGGTGGGAAAATGGGCGATCTCGCATTTTCCAAGAAACCCGGGGGCAATTGTGACTGCGTCTTCTGGTGAGTTCGCCCAATCGCACTGCCGTAGCCGTAGCCCCCATGTGTTTCGTAAGGGTACTCTGTGAATACAAATGCAAAAGAACGAACAATTAAAAATACATTTGGGACTTTTTAGTTTTTACTGATGAAACAGGAAATTTTTAAATTTGAGGCATCTTTAAGTTGTACACTTTACAACAAACATTCAAAAAATAGAGTTTGTTCTTCTATTGATCTATATCACTAAATTTTGATGGAGAAGAAAAAAATAAATTTGAATAGAAAGAAAGAGGGAATGAAAGTTGTGCTCAATCGAGTTACCTTCAACTTCAGGACGATGTTCATGGGCTTTGTGTTTGTCCTCTTGACGAATAGAGTTTTTATTATCTTCCTTTTCCTTGCCCTTTGGCAAAGACGGAGTGGTGGTTGTTCCCGCGAGGATTGGACTACTTCCGGTTTGTCTCAAGCTTCCACTTCCGTATATTTGCCTAGCCGCTCCTCTATTCACCGTCTGGTGTGTCGAAGTCTCCACCGAAATTGATGTTTCTATATTTATCCATAAAAAGAGAGAAGAAAAGAAATGCCAATATAATATGAATATAAATACTTTTTACATAATAGATATATTTTAGTTGCTATACTATATAGTGTAGTGCGGAAGCCAATATAAGCTTTTTCAGTAAGTAAATTTCTTTCTGAAATCTTTTTATATATATATTATATTACCTTGTACAAACGTATATCATTAGGTATAACATTGATAAGGAACTGTATAAAAAAAGTGAAGTTTTAAAACTAAAACATGAAAGCAAAATAATTCTACTCTCTAAATATAAAAAAGTTAAAAATAACTGATTTAGAACATAGTTTTTCTAAGGATATCAAATTGAGACAAAATACGAATCAAAAATGTTGCTTCGCAATACTTTTGATACGTTTTTTGTCTCAATTTAATAAACTGTGTAAACAAAAAGTTAGTCACTAATTCAAATAGTAATATTTATACTTATTAGTTAAAAATAACTGATGTTTCCCTATATTTTTTTAACTGATTCAAATAGTCAAGTTTAACTAACTTTTCAGTTACTTTTTACTGAAAATCAGTCTTTCTTCATTGACAATCAGTTATTTTTAATTGGTTCAGAAGCAAAAAGTCAGTTACTGATTGTCAGTTAAACGAAAGATTTTTAACTGATTCAAATTTAATAGAGAGAATTTTACGCCTTAAATAAAAAATATAATTTTTCTATTTTTCTATTTTATAAGAATAGAATAGAAGAAACGAAATATTTATTTTCCCAATTTTTTATAAAAATATAAAAAATGAAGTATTATTTCTTTCATTTTATAATTAGCTTTTTTATCAAGAAAGAGCTTTTTCACTTTGGTCTTGATAGTTTTTTTAAACAATTTTTGGAGTCGAAAATCAAATTTAAGCTTTTTTACATCAAAGTGGAGTTTTTTTTATTAAAGAAGAACTTTTTCCAGAACACGGAGGTACTAAAAACTTCTTTAAAATTTATTTCCGATTCAGAAAAAATTTGTATCTTCAAAAACGATGCTGGTTTTGACATTTTTATTTAACAATTTTTGAGGCGATTATCAAATTTAGTCTTTTGTTCATCAAATTGGAGCTTTTTTATTAAAGAAAAGCTTTTTCCGAAACACGGAGGTACTCAGAAGATCATTAGAATTTATTTCCGATTTATAAAAAATTTTTGTTTTAAAAAACGACTCTTGTCTTGATATTTTCTTTTACAATTTTTAGAGTCGAATATTAAATTTGGGCTTTCTTTCATCAATTTGGAGCTTTTCAATGCATAATAAGTTTGATTTAATAAAAATTATGTTTAATTAAATTATAAAATGTGTTTAATTCAAACATGTTTTTTTGGTTGGCTACATATTTTTGGATTAAAAAAAAAATTTTTTTCTCAGTGCAGGCAATCAAAATATTGCGAAATATGAATAAAATAACATAAGAAAAATTTTTATTATATAAATTTAAATACATAAGAGATGAAAAAAATGATCAAAATTTTACCAAAAAAAGAAGTTTATTGTTATTTATTTTTAAGGTAATTCTCGTTGTTATACTTTTTTATTTAAAAAATGGTCAAGTTGAAAGTAGATTTAGTGAGTGAACTCGATGAAGTAGAAGTTGTACTGCAGATGCAGACTCATTTTGGGCCTGATTGGTTATGAATCGAGATGTCTATAGATATAGTGAAAATGAATTTTGATGGATGAGAGATATCGTTCTATGAATGACTCGAGGCTGAAGCGGAGGCAGTCGAGAGATTTCATTCACTTTGCCAACGCTTGCGCTTTGATAACAATCGATATACAACGGCACACACCCTTTCCGGGAGGGTTGAAGGGGTGGGAGTGCAGACGGATTAAGGTGGTCCAGAGGCAAGAGAAAACCTCGTGGTTTGTCCAAATTCGAAGAAGAAAACTTTTCTTGGGTTTTCAAACTAAAAATGCACATTTATTTCTCAAATCTCGAAATTAGTCATCCTTTTGGTAAATTACACCAAATGTTATCATTATAAACAAATTATAATTTTTACTTTATTGGTAATTTCTAGTGTTCGAAATTTCCCGCATTATATTCTACAGTAATGGGTGAAAGTAATTTTTTAAGTTTTTAAAAAATGAATATCACTTTGGTCGTGGTCGTTAGGGGGCATGTTTAGGCACATTGGTCGTCGTGCGTTCGAATCCCCACATAGCTTTTTGAAAATTTTTATTTATTTATTGTAATTTTACTGGATTCCAAATAGAAAATCGCCAAATAGCCAAATGGATCCAATTTTCAAAGACTTTAAAATTGCAAAAAAAAAATTACTGCTATCAAAACTTTAGTCTTTTTTTCAAATAAAAAATCATTCTTCGGTCATATGAAAATGGATTAAAAACATTAAAGGACCTTTTATATCTAGGTTATTATAATTATAGAAAAATACTTGAAAATATTTTCTTTCCTCTGTTGAAAACCTTGAATTTGCGAATCGATCGTATAAGTATAGCAAATTATGGAGAAATTCACGGTCATTTTTTAACAAAAAGAAAAAGGAAAAATATTATAATAATAACATGAAATTTTATAGTCACTGATCCATAAATGTAGGAAAAAAAGCTCATCGGTTCTAGAAATCTCTCACGTGGAATTTAAATTCGCACTCTAAGGGCAACTTAATCGATTTCCTATTAAAGGATTTTAAAAAAAACTTACATACGCGCCCTTCTTTAAAGAAAAAAACACCTCAAAAAAGGTACATAAATCACAAGCATCTATATTTAATGTAAATATTTTTATCGACTTTAATTTTGTTTAAACGTGTAAATAAATTTGAATAACACTTTTTTGTTTATACTGGTGTTTTATATACATTTATTTTTAATTTAAATTTGAAATTTTTTCACTTCCAATAAAAATTGAATATTGAAAAAATTATTCTTAACTAATTAAGTATTTTTGGTATCTTGACTCGTTGTTAGAAACTTATGTAATAATTCATAATAGTTAATTGAAAATAATAAAAATTTGAAAAGTAGTAAAAAAGTAAAAAATAGTATTAAAAACAGAGCCAATGAAAATAAATGAAAAACCATCTTTTACATAAGGTTTATTATGGACGATACTTTGTTATAGTTATTATATAACAGTTATTGATATAATTTTTTACATCGAACTGAAAAAGTATTGTCTAATATAGAATATTTATATCTTTAATTAAAAGTAATTAATAAAGATTAACTGTAGAAATAATATTAATTATATTCTTGGTATTATACATACGTATTAATTATAATAACGATCAAATGTATAATATTAATTATATCACTATTTTTCATTAATCACAAAGAGTTTATCAATTATTACAATTATCCAAATTGCAGTTTATATCGTTTTTTATGAATTTTTAATAGTTTTTTTAAAATTAATTTTGATTTGTTTACATAAATAGTTAAATTTTTTTAATTTCAAAAAATTTAAAATTTAAAATTATTTATTATTTATAATTTCTAAATATTTATATTAAAAATGTAAACTAACAACATTTGCAGCAAAACAAATTTGTAACAAAAACAATTTTAAGAATAAAATGTTTTTAAGTTTTATATTTTAAGTTTATATTTATATAAATATCATTTATAAATATTATTTTTTATATTTTCTTTTAGTACGTTTTTTGTAATTAGTTTCTATATTAAAAAAGCCTACATTCGGTTATTTTGGTTTCATAGTGTACCTATATATATTTCATTTTTTTTCCTGAAATATTTTTTATAAAAAGATAGAAATATTTTTGAAAAAACTAATGAATATTAAAAGAGGATAGAAAATAAATAATGTATGTTGGTATTACCAGTTGCGATGGTGTTGAATTAATAATATTAAATAAAAATTGTTTAATGAATGAAAAATATGAAAAGTAAAAGTAAAAGTAAAAAGACGAAATGATTTAAAGGCAACTTTTCCAAATTACCTGCACATAGAGCACAGATGATGCAGAAGAGAGTTGGGAAATTGCGACACGATAGGTCGTAAGGGTTCGACCTCATTTTGCACTTGGGACACCTATCTCGGCCTTTTTAAGGGCCGAGATGCACCCCTAGGGCTCCTCTTCTTTATTAACACCCTTTATCGGCTTTAATTACGAACCCTTCAAGCCCAGAATTGACGATGTCCCATACGTCAAGGTCACTCTCGATTCACCACTATTCATTGTTCAAATTTCACCCGCACGCTAAAACTGTTTTCAATTCATTCATTCATTCTTGCACTACAGCTTGCTTCAATTTCTCTATAATAACAATAATAATAATAATTCCAAATTCAATTAATTATAAACAAATTTCGGAGTATTATAGTTTCGTCTTTTGAAATTTTGTTTTGTTTCATACTATTTTTCTACAAAAGAAACTATATTAAAATTTGCACATAAAATTGATTTTTACTTATATTTTTAATAAAAGACTTGTTTCTGTATATTTTTGCAAGTAAATAAATAAAAAAAATTAGAATATTTGATTTGCAATTATTTTATTGTTACTTAGATTATTTTTCATTTAATGTTCAATTTAATATTTATGTCTATTATTTAATTGAGTAATTAATTAATTATTAATGCGATAATTGTAATAAAATATTATTAATTTATTTATTATGTGGAACAAATATAAAGAATCTATTTTCAATTAAAAAAGTTTCATACAGAAAAATTCAGTAAATGACATTATAAAATAACTTTTAATTGAATAACAAATGTATAATTCTTAAAAAAGTATTCGACCATAATTGAAAAAAATGTGAAAAAAATTGACTTTATCTTTCAAATTCGCAATAGGAATCAATTTACTATTTTTTTAACGATTTGTCTTTAAAATGATAAAATTGTCTTTATTTTTTATTTTATGAAAATAATTTTTGAAATATTTTTCTGAGCTAATTGGAATATTTACAACTGCAATTGCGAAAAATCAATTTTTAAATAGTTTCTTTTTTATGTTCCTGATTAACCTATTTATTTCACCATACTATCTTTATGGATTTTATTCAATAATTTAAAATGGATTTACACTTTTTTATATACCTTGACTACATTTTATCTATAAAAATCGAAAAATCACATTGAAAAGCAATATTTTCGAAACGCATTAAAAAACCAAAGAAAAAAAAAGAAATCCTTCCCGTGAGTTGATGACTCTCACTCTAATGGAAAAGAAAAGAATATATTTACGCGACTACATTCGACTACATGTGAAACGAAAAATTACGTTTAAAACGGTATGTGGAGTTACACAAGGAGGTGCAAATTTTCAACCCCCGGAGTATATGTGAAAAGAAAAAAAAAAGAATTATCCGACGCGAGCAACTCTAAGAACAGAGCTACACTGGATGCTGAGGATTCTCGACGGATGAATCCGGGATTTGACGCAGGCGCTTTTCATGGAAATATATTTGCAAGAGGTCGAGAAAAAGGACCGGACACTTTATAATGGAAAAAGAAATCCGAACGTCCGCAGGATGTCAACCGCGGCGGCATCCTCCTGATAAATCTATTTTATCGTTTCTAAAAATCATCATTTTTCCTTAGGAGTCAACATTTTCCCCAATTTTACATTTCGATCATTTTTCCTTCCGAGTCTCATTTCTCACATTACGATTTTAATTTCATTGTTCATATATGTATCTAGAAAATCTTTTGAAACAAACAGCTTGAAAATCGATATTTTCTATTTGAAGGAAATTTACTTTTTATGATAAATCGAAGTCAGAAAAACACAGTGTACAAGAATTGCAAATTTCCTCAAGTTTTCACTCCTAATCATTAAATTTGACATTTGGTAAATAGAAGGAAAAGAGAAAATTTCCTTTTTTTCCTTGCTAAGCTACTACAAACAATTGAGAATGAAAGTTAATGCTGTTTTGAACAGCAGGCGCAACAATTGTATCTAAAGAATTCTTCAATACAGACACAGGATGAAGTTACAAACTATTCTTCTTTTTATCCCAGTGACTATTTTGGAAATTAGTCAAAAGAATTTTGTGACTGGGAAACAAGAGAGAAATCCAAAGTGGTCCCAAAGAGTGATAAGGACAATAAAACAAGATCCTAGAATTTACCAGATCATGCTGCTAACTGACTATGAAAAAGCTGATAATTTGGAAGTAGTTCAAGAATTACAAGAACATCTGCCAACCTTGTACTTCACTGACTTCTATTTAGAACAAGAAATTCAGCAACTCGAGAAAAGGGATTCTTTGAGTAACCCAAGGGACACAACAATGTTCATTCTTGTCGAATCTTCAGACAGAAACAGCACAGACCGAATCGAAAAGATAATGTCTTTCGTCAAACAATTGTCAACCGCTCGCATTCGACCGCAATGTCTGATTGTACGCTTTTTGAATTCCTCTCAAACCTCAAAATACACTAAATTTTTGCAAAAGATGTGGCGATACTTGTTCCTGGACATCACTGTTCTTGATATTATCGAAGAACGAGCAGTCATCCACCAGCTGAATCCTTTTTTTTTCTACAAAACGAAACCATTTTCTGAAAAAACATCACTGTTTCCTGACAAACTTGAGAATTTAAACGGATATCCATTGAAGGTGGCTTATATCAACAGACCACCTTATGTAACATTAAAGCGCAATTCGACAAATTATCCTTTTGACATTACTGGTCCCGATTCAGTAGTTGGACATATTTTCGCCGAAAAGATGAATTACAGCCAAGTGTTGGTACCATCAGAATCAGAAGAATTTGGTGCTTTCTCTTGTAATATAAATAAAATGACAGGTGTTTGCTCTTTGATTCAAAGGAGGGAAATCCATTTTATTTGTGTGACGAGTGCTTTAGTCAGAAGATTTTGTAAGAAGGAAGTAATTGAGAATGCAATTTTTGCATTTGATCACTATATTGCAGTTGCTCCAATTCTGCTGTCAGACAATTATTCAATTACGATTGGAAAAACCTTTTACTGCTCTATTGTATTAACTCTATTGATTGCCGCAGTCGGTGTGATAATCATTAAGACCTTAAGGTTTGACAGAATCGTTTGGAATTGGACAGCGATCTGCCAAATTTTATTTGGATTTTCAGTAGGAATGCAGTCGAAGAAATTAAAAGAGCGCATTTTCTTGACATGCCTTTTTGCTGTGAATTATTATTATTCTTTCCACATTCTGGAATCTCTGACGGATTTCAATTTTCAACTGGGTAAAGAGAAAGAGGTCAATAACATTGATGATTTGATGAAAAGCGGTCTTCAGTTCTGTTCGGAAATAAATACAAGAGCATTTTTGCCTGGGTATTTTAATCAAGATAACTTCACAGCTTGGGTGAAAAGAGGACGATTATTAGCCTTAGAAGAGTGTATTGAATTTCTTGTTGAGTTCAAGAACGTAACTTGCATTATGAAATTGTCACATGCTGAATGGTTCGCTGGATTTTACAAAGAAAATAATCTAGTAAAATTCATTCCAGAGTATTTTGCATCTGTAGGAACTGGATTTTTTCTGGAACCAGGATCTCCGTATGTCGAGAAATTCGAACAAATTCACAGATCATTGAAGGAAGTTGGACTTTTGGAAAAATGGAAAATCTCGAAAATACCAAATGCAACAAGGTATCTTCAACTTGGTATCGCAACGAAAGATAAATTTCATAATTTGGATGACAGTGCTGATGATTGGAAGTTACGGTCCTTGTTGCTTGGGATAATGATTGTTGGATATTTATCATCGTTTCTTTTATTTATTCTTGAACTGATGCTTGTTAAATGGAAGCAAAAATTCAGAAATGTTGGACTTTAAACTTAAAAATTGGGAAATTATTTGACATTGAAAAATCCCAACCACATGATTTTCGGCAAATTCTAGATACGTAATACTTCCACATAGATTGAATACTTCTACTTTCTAATTCAGTAATATTCGATTTATATTTTAAAGAAAAGATTGTAGTAGAAAATTTTACTGTTTTGTTAATAAATTATGAAGCACATAGAAAGATTTTAAGTTTTATTAAAAATTGTACAAAAATATATGTTTAATATTACACTAATATAAACTTATCATCTAAATTATTTTGTTTCCTAATAATTTACATTCTTCTCATAGCGAGAGAGAAAACTTAAAATTTTGTCATATAACAGACTGCGGGCATCCGTTCCCCAAATAAAGTCCAAGTGATTAAAATCCTTTAAAGGAATTCGAATTCTAGCCACGGGATTTTTTAATTCACTGTAAACTCTGTCAACGTCCTGAAAGTTTAGTGTAAAAAAGTAAAACTCATCAGTTAAATTAATTTACAAAATTACAAAAAAATTACAAACCTTCACATGAGCCAACCAATCATTATATGTATAATAGAAAATTGTAGGCGTTGTTATTAAACTTAAATCATATTGAGGAGGTGATAACTGTTTATAATTCTTTAGGTTCCCAACTACTCCATAATCAAATTGTCTAAAGTAATCTGTAAAAATGTTAAATTCTTATTAAATAAATTAAAAATTGATAGAAATGGTAAAAATGGTCGAAAATTTGAAAATAAAATTATTAGTTGACTATATCTATATAATTATTTGAATAAATTTAGACTGCAGATTTACTTTTATTATTTATGTGTTGAGCGTAATGCATTAGTTGAAAAATGGATGCACCCGCTGGTGTGTGACCCAACTGAACAGGTAATTCTGTCTAAAAAAATATTCAGATTTAATAATTCAAAATATGATATGAAAGCGATTAAGAAATTGAGGAGAAAAGAAGATTGATTTTTAAATATTATACCAAGTTCATTTGACTTTGACTAAAACCAGCAAACATGAACAGTAGGTTACTGCAAACTGGTTGTAGAGCGGAATCAGTATCGCACAACTTTGATGTGAATCTTTTATAAAATTGTGGCGATAATGCTACTTCATAATGTCCAAAGAAGTCCATTACTTTCTAGAATGATTAATTATTAAACATTATTTACATCTGTTTTTTTAATATTGAATCTTCTTCTTCTTAAATTATTTTAGGCAATATTGAATCTTAGAACCAGAATTAGCTGCGCTCTTTGGTAATAGAAATTAAGAAAATACTGCGCACGCTTCTTTAAACACACTATTTTTTCTGAATTTATATACAAAACAAGCAGACTACCTGCACTTTTTTAACGATTAGGGAAAGAAATCGAAAGATGGGACTAATCATATGTCCACAATAGGCAACTGGAGCAAGAGCATGCATTGTTTTAATTTTATTGTTGTATTCGGGCAAAGTTGATGCCATTACGAAAAAACTTGTCGTGCCCTGACTGTGACCTATGTAGGTGACATTTTTATGGCCAGTTTTATTTAAAATCACGTCAATCATTGCTGGTAAATCATACCTTCCAATTTCGTGCCAACTGAAAAATAAATATAATTTATTAGACATTTTTTAAATAACTATTATATTATAATTTAATCTTCATTTTCTAAATCAATTTTTAAAAAGCGAACAATTCTTTAATTAGAATGTAATAATTTGTCTTTTATAATACCTAAAAGTCCAAAATTTCTTCGTATTAACTGGATATTTCATGTGTTTCTTGCCGAAAGTATTTCCTCTCGCATTTCCCATCCACACATCGTAACCCGCGTCGGATAAAATATAGCCTTTTAATTTTCAATTTATAGAAACTTTTAATTAGTACCCTTTAAGTAATTTAAATCTATTTACACAGATAAATAACAAATCTAATTTTTTTAAAACGATATTTTATAGCACACATATGTTGTGTAAAAGATAAATATATAATTATTCATTATTTTATTATTATATAAAATAAATTATCATTTACAGTTAGTCCACTGTTTATCTTCTTTTTTATAGACTTGCATTTTTGAAGAATTTTATAAAAACAAGCCTGTTTCATTATTTGTAAAAAATCAATTTGAAAAATATAAAAAACAAAAGGAATGTAATTCCTATTATCAAGTCTGACCTTCTGTAAAATAAGAGAAAAATAAAACTATTCTTTGAAATTGTCATCGCTTAGATACCAAGTAGCAAACAAGAAACACTGAATACAAGTTGGTAGTGAAGTTTAAGCATTAGTAGAGTTTAGAGAGTTGATGCCAATTAGCGTTGGAAGTTTCAATTTTCCAATTATAAAACTAAAGGATAGTCGTAAATTTTCAAAATAGACAAAAAATGAAGTTACAAACTATTCTTCTTTTTATCGCAATGATAATTTTGAAAATTAGTCAAAAGAATGTGACTGGGTTTAAGATTCTCACAAAGAAACAAGAGAGTAATTCTAAGTGGTCCCAAAGAGTGATAAGGACAATAAAACAAGATCCTAGAATTTACCAGATCATGCTGCTAACTAACTATGCAAACGCTGATAATTTGAAAGTAGTTCAAGAACTGCAAGAACATTTGCCAACCTTGTACTTCACTGACTTCTATTTAGAACAAGAAATTCAGCAACTCGAGAAGAGGAATTCTTTGAGTAATCCAAGGGATACAACACTGTTCATTCTTGTCGAATCTCCAGACAAAAACAGCACAGAACGAATCGAGAAGATAATGTCTTTCATCAAACAATTGTCAACCGCTCGCATTCGACCGCAATGTCTGATTGTACGCTTTTTGAATTCCAGTCAAACCTCGAAATACGCCAGATTTATGCAAAAGATGTGGCAAGACTTGTTCCTGGACATCACTATTCTTGATGTTACCGCAGAACGAGCAGTCATCCACCAGTTTAATCCATTTGCCTCATACAAAACGAGACCCTTTTCTGGGAAAACATCATTGTTTCCTAACAAACTTAAAAATTTAAACGGATACCCACTGAAGATTGGCGTACTGGATAGACAGCCGTACATAAAGTTAATAAGAAATTCGTCAAGGCATGTTGTTGATATTTCGGGTCCAGATGCGGAAATTGGAAAAATCTTCGCTAAAATGATGAACTACAGACAAGTATTAGTTCCGTCGACTAAAGGATTGGGTAGTTTGTACTGTGTTATAGATAAAATAACCGGTCTTTATTCCTTACTTCAAAAGAATATAATCCAACTGATTCCCATAACGATATCAAGTGCGAGGAATTTTTGCAAGAACAACATATTGGAGGATGCAATTTTTACCCTGGATCACTACGTTGCTGTGACTCCAAATCTAAAGTCGAAAAGTTCATCAATTATGATTGGAACAACCTTCTTTTCTTCGATTTTGCTGACTGTTGTAATTACCATAATCAGTTGGATAATGATAAGAAAAATGAAATTTGAGAGAAATATATGGAATTTGACAGTTGTGATACAAATTTTATTTGGGGTCTCAGTAGATTTGCAGCCTAGAAAATTGAAGGAGAGGATTCTTTTCATTTGCCTGGTGATTATGTATTATTACTATTCATTCAACGTCTTTGAAATGTTGACTGACTTTAATTTTCGAATGGATCAGGAGAGGGAGATAAAGAGTTTAGATGATTTGATAACTAGTGGTCTTCAGTTTAGTTCGGAGAAGAATAAAATTTCCCTAATGCCTGACATCGTTAATGAGAGTGATTTTACAAATTGGCTGACCAATGCTCGAGCAACGACAAGAGAAGAGTGCATGGAGTTGCTGCTGGAGCACAAGAACATAACTTGCATTATGAGATTGACTCAGGCTGAATGGTTCGCCGGATTTTATATCGAGCAGAATATCGTGAAAGTTGTGCCAGAGTATATAATGTCTGTGGGAATTGGATTTTATTTGGAACCTGGATCACCTTATGTGGAGAAGATGCGAAAAATACACAGGGCACTGACGGAATTCGCAATAATGAAGAGATGGAGAATGACGCAAGTGCCGAATGCAACCAGACTGCGTCAATTGGGTGCTAAGTCGGAGGAAGATGATGACTTACAGAAGTCGGACGATGCTTGGAAGATACGACTCTTGTTGACTGGAATAATTACTGCTGGTTATTTGTCATCGGTGTTTGCTTTTCTTATTGAACTGGTTTTTAACAAGTGGAAGAAGAAGATGAAAGAATCTCATTAGAAAAATTGCAATCATAAATCTAATTGGTCATTACGTAAAAATAAAGAGTTTTGGGTCCCTTTTTGTTTTAGTTGGTGTGTTTTTTCTTGATTTTGATGATAGTATTAAACATATTGATTTACCCAATGCTCGGCCTGGACCAGATACAATCCAATCGGTAGAACTCATAAAAAGTCCGTGCATCAAGAAGATGGCCGGTTTTCCTTTAGGATCAGAATTATTTTTAGTTCCAGTTATTCGGTGCATTTCTAAAATATACTCATCCTCTGTCACCACTTTATGCGTCTCAATATTGTAACCATATTTCGTAACTAATTCAGTCTGTAAAAGAAAATTTTCAAAAATCTCCTACTTTGGTTTCATAGATTTTCTGCAGATATCAAATTGAGAAAAAAAACGTATCAAAATTGTTGCGAAGCAACTTTTTTTCTCAAATTGATATCTGCAGAAAATCTGTGTTTTGAAACTAAACTGACATAATTTGAAGATTAAATTAATTTCCTTACAACAGATAAATAAGCATCTGGATTATATTTCTTCATTGCTTCAGCAACAGCTTTTAAATTAACTCCATCCAAAAAATCGGGATGATTGAACTTTAGAATATCTTTTGCTCTAGTAGAACATATAGAAAGAAAAATGAATAAAATTAACTTTTTATTGTATTGCAACATTTTTCTCAACTTCACAAATTCATTAAATTTGACAAAAAATACTTTTAGGAACAATTTTTAATAAACTGTATAGATTTGTGTGTCGCCCCTATTTATTCAAATGACAAATTAATATATCCGACAAGACTCTTTACTCATCACTGTTTATAATCCGTGGAAATATCGATAATTCCCTTTTCTGTATTAATTGATATTTATCTTTAAAAAGAGAAGAGCAATTACACACCTAATGAGGCGTAAAAAATTGTTCTTTATCTTTGATGACTTGACTCCTTTTGTTTTGTTTATTTTCTTTAATATTGTTTAACTTTTCATTTTTTTCACACGAGTAAAATAAATTCCATTCAATAGAATAGACATTAATTTCTTTTAAATTAATAAAAAGAAAAATTATTTTTTTAAATTTAATTAATTAGATTTATTTATTCAATTAATAAATTAAATTTCAAGAAGTTTTAATACAAATAACCTTAATTCATTAAATTATTTCTATTTATAAAAAGGTTTTTATTGGTAATAAAAAAATGTTTTATATAAAGAAAAAGAAAAATCTGAGACGACGGACATTTCATTTATCGGATAATTTAGATAATTATGTGGAAATGGTTGATAAATTTGTAGCAGGTGTTCAAGATAATAATTAATGCATTATCGGTGAAAAAAATCAATCGAATTGTTATAAATATATAAAGTTAATAATAAAGCACAATCTTAATTGCAATACAACATGTTAACATTGTAATTGCTGAATAAATGTTTATGTCACTAATTAACAATTAATTAAATAATTATTTTTATGAGTAAAGAAATATTTGATTAAGAAGTTAATTATTACTAATTAGTTAATATTATTACTATTCTTAATAATAATTATAATAATTATTATTATTGTTTAGTACCTCAGTAATTTATTTTATATTTTCGTTTATTGTTTGTTTTTATTTTATTTATTATTTATTCATGAATAATTTTTTTAAAGTATTGAGTAAACAAATTTTTAAAGTGGTGAAAAACAGTAGAAAATTTTAGTTTTTTTACCATTAGAGGCCGCGAGTTTTAATCTTGAAAAATATTTTTAAAAAAACGTGGGTTGGAGGGATGCGGATTATTCATATGTCAATAGGCATATTGGATTTATTACAAAGAATTTACGAATCACAGTTAATTACCGTTGTTAAAAGATTTTCATCAATCAAAAATGTCATTGGAAAAGAGTAATTCAATGAATGCACTAGATTTCAAAGGTTGAAGTATTTTTATTTATCCAAATAAAATAAATTTTTATTTTACAAAATTAAAAAAGAAATTTTTATTAAAGATAAAAAGAAAACAAACACAACCTGTAAAATTTTGCCTCTTAGGTCCCTTTCTTCATGACGCATCACAGTTGTTAATTTTTTTTTCTTTTTAATTTTGACAAAAAGTGTACAAAATATGCAACCTGACATACACCGAAGAATACAATAATTAAAGAAGTAATTTCATTATAATTTTTTGTTTCAATAACAATTTTTTTCTAAGGATATAAAAAAAGAAGTTTAAATATAAGAAGAGAAAAAAATTCAGTACATTTTTATCAAAAATTATATATATTCATAATCATAATATATAAAAATAATAATCACAATACATTATAGAAATAAATTACAATTGAATATTTATTTTTGTTTTTTTACTGCAACATCTTTATAGCGTGACAACAGACTTAAAATTTTGTCGTAAAGTAAAATGTTCGCATCTTTTCCCCAAAGGAAGTCCAAGTGATTGAATTCGTCCAGTGGGACGCGGAATTTTCCAATTGGATTGCCCAATTTGCTGTAGAGTTTTTGCACGTCCTGAAAATATTTGTTTATTAATTTCTGTTTAAAAAGCTTTTTTAATTTAATTAATTTGCAAAAAATGATACGCACTTTTGTGTGCGTGAGCCAATCATTGACACTGTAATGAAGGGATACAGGTGTTTTTATTCGTCCTAAATCATAATCCGGAGGACTGAATTTTCCATACGTTCGAAAGTTTTGCCAAAATCCGAGATCATATTGTCGAAAGTAATCTGCAATTTATAAAAAGTAATATTTATAACTAAAATAAATAAATAAAAATAAAGTATGTAAACTGTTTTTAATTAATAAAGATGAGAAATAAACGCAGAATGAATACCATTGTTCATGAGTTGGGAGAAATGAACAGCTTGTCTCACAGATGCACCAGCTGGCACATGTCCCAAAATTACGGGAAGCATTGTCTAAGATTAAAAGAAAATGTTCTTTTCAATTAAAACTGGTTATAATAAATATTCTTGTGTTGATTATAATATTTTGAACAATAATCACCATGTTTAATTGATTTGGACTGAAACCAGTAATCAGAAACAATAAATTACTGCACAATGGTTGAAGGGCAGAGCTCACGTCACAGACTTTTGAAGTGAATTTATCATAAAATGATTGAGTCAAGCGAAGTTCGTTAATGCCGAAGAATTTTGTTACTGTCTAGGAAATTTAGAAAGAATAAAACTTAGTCTCAAATACCTAAATAAAGGTAAACACTATAATATTTGCTTTTTTAAACCGCCTTTAGATTATTTTCTAATAAAAGGCCTTTTTATTATTATAAATAATAATTGAACCGCCGGATCGTAATTTGAATTACATTGGCTATATGCTCTTCTACGATCCGGCAGTTCAATTAATATTAACTAGTAATAGTAATTATAATTGTAAAAATTGAAATTATCTGAAAATATTAATTTTTCCTAAATTTAATGAGTTTTAATTTAAATAAAATTGATTTGATTTAACAAAGGTTAGAGAAGTTAGAGATTTCATGTAAATTGAAATCATTGAAATTAATTGATAAAGAGAAGTGAACTCACTGTTAGGGAATGGCTGAACTTGGCCATAAATTTGAGGAGGGGACTTTTCATGTGCTTGCAAAATGCAACAGGTGCGAGAGCATGCATTGATACAATTTTGTTGGCGTATTCGGGCAACTCAGCGGCCATTGCAAAGAAAATTGTCGTCCCCTGACTGTGTCCAATGTAGGAAATTTTTTCGAGACCAGTACTTGCCAAAATTTTATCAATCATTGCCGGTAGATCCCGTAAACCAATTTCATGCCAACTGTGAAATTCAAAAATACATTCTTATCATCTTTCTTCACTATAAAAGCAATCGAATTTCTTTATATTAATTTTTGTAAATTAAAAAAAATATTTGAATTGCGTAGGTATATTGACCTGAATTGCCAGTAAGCATTGTCAACAACAGATTCCTTCAAATGCTTTCGTGAATAAGTGTTGCCCCTAACGTTTCCCATCCAAACGTCGTATCCAGCATCCGCTAAGATGTAGCCTACAAAATTTATTTCATCTTCAAAATAACGATTTTCAAAAAAAATAAATTAATTTAAATTATCCGTTATATGAATATTTAGTTGTATCAAATGTTTTTTATTTGAATTGCACTTGCTTCAGATTCTGAAATTATAGACGTTCAAATACAAGATTTGAATAAGAATCACTTGATTCAAGTAAATACTTATTGATAGCAAACAATGCTTTTAATTTGTATTAATTATAAAAAGAAAATAAAGGAAATTTGTTCTACCGAGTGCTTTTTCTGGACCCAAAATTATCCAATCCGATGAACTCATAACGATTCCATGCATTAAAAGTATCGCTGGTTTTCCCTTTGGATCCGGATTTATTTTCGGTCCAGTTATCCTGTGCATTTCCAAAATATATTCGTCGTAAGTGGCAACTGTGTACGACTCGGCATTGTAGCCATATTTGCCGATTAATTCCACCTACACAAAAATAATGTTACCTTTATTTCTTCTTCATTCTCTTATTCTTACATACAGTTATCAAAACGAACACTTTTGATTCGTTTTGATAATTGTTTGACAAAAAAGAACACGAAAAATGATTTTCAAAAAAATAATTAAGGATAGAAATAATTTATTTAAATAAATATATGGTTTGTTGAATTAAAAAATTTCATTAGTTCAGTTATTACTCTTTAATTAATTATAAATAAAATTTGAATAAACAGAAAAGTGAAAACTTACAGTTGAGAGGTAAGCGTCTTCACTGGGATTCTTCAATGCATCGGCGAATGCATTCTCGTCGATGTCATTGAAAAGTGAAAAATTTTCAATTTCCGGTAACACTGATGCTCTCGTCAAGCTAATGACGAGAAAGAGAACGCCGGTAACCGGAAATAATTTACCGTGTCTCAACATTATTAATAGGGGAAAGGAAAGAAAATTTAAAATTATACTAAATGTGACAAACATTTTGCAATTAAATTTATACTCCTTGTAATGATTGTCATCAAACAAATATTCATCTAATCTTAAAATATTTTTGATTCCTAATCTTTAACATATTTTTTATCATCATGACTGATACGCGGTTCGGTAATTTTAATTTTATTCCTTATTTAACCGATTACTCAATCATCTCTTTATATACACAAACTCTGAGAACATGAATAATTTATACAATTACATTAATAATTAAACGATAAAAATCGAAGAAAATTTCCACTTTCTGAAATTCTAAAATTATCAATATTATTTAATTCTTAAATTTTAAATTTTTCAATTTAAAAAAAAACTTATTTTGAACACATAGAAAATTCTAGAATTTATTTTAGAAATTTAACTTTTTTAAATAATTTGTTTGTTTGTTATAATTTAAAACAATTAATAATGAAAGTACAATCATCAGATATAAAGGATTTGTTGCATCCAGATTAATATCGATTCGGATCAAGTCTAAAATTTTGGGATCTTTGAAATGTTGACGTGAAGGTTAAAACAGATATGCATTTTGATAAATTCTTTATCGTGTACATCCAACAATTCATAAATTTTACTATAACAAAGTATAATTATAGAAATTAGCGATTTTCCTCGAAAAGATAATTTAAAACAAAATTTTTTATCGAAAAATTTAATTTTAATTTAATTTACAGCCTCTTTTAGTAAATAAAAAAGAAAACGTTGCTTACAAGTAGAAGTTTCTTGACCTAGTAGCATTTTTGTAACTTTTTTTTAATATTTATTTTACGGAAAATTGTCAAGATTTGAATCACAAATATCTAGTAATTTGATAAAAAGTCGATGTTTACAAAAATTATCTTTTATATAAACTGACAAAACACTAATCCATTCAGAATTTTTGTAATTGAAATTCAAGTTACGACATCGATTATTATTTTTTTTTTTTTTATAAAATAAAATGATGAAAAACATCTATGAATCTAATCATATTGATCTGAAGTGTGAGAATATTTAGGTGAGCACGTTTCTGACAAAATCAATTATTTCGAAATCAGATAGTAAACAAGTAAACAATAGTGGGTAAATCACACTTAAATTTAATTTCAATGTTTCCGCATCTTTCTCTTGGTCAATAAAAAAGCATACTTTCGATTTTTATCAAAAAAGAAGATAACATTTTTTTAAATTTAAAGCTTCTGGAATTTTTAAACTTGTACAAAAAAATAAATTTAGAAATTTAAAATGATAAATTTAATTAATTATGAAAGAAGATGTAATTAATTAAAAGAGAATTCTTTTTAAAAAAGAAAAAAAAAATTTAATTAAAAAATGTAGAAGAATTTTTCTTTTAAAAGTGAAAAAATTGTGGAGAGTGTAAATTTTATTTCAGTGACTAGATTATAAAGTAACATTGTGTTACTTTTTTGGTTTTAAAAAACGGTAAGTTTATTAGAAATGTTTTGAACTTTTTGGTTTCGTATTAAACTTTGGTATCAATGAAAACTGATTAGTAGCTTCTTATTCATAACTTCGAAGTAATTGAAGAACTGGCTCGAATATCATTTGTGCAGCAGTTCTTCCCCAAATGAAGTCATAGTGATTGAAATTGTTCATCGGAATCTTGTGATTAAGAATAACGTTGCTTAGTCCACTTTGAAGCAGTTCCACGTCCTGAAAATAGAATTTTCATCTACTTTGTGGTACTAATTAACTTTTCTTTAATTCAACAATTTTTATCAATTCTAATTTTCAAATTCAATTTTATATAATTGAATAAAGTAACGTCTGGAAGTTTATTTTAGAATCCTACTTTAGAATTCTTTATTTTTAAAATGATTTTTTTTATAAATTTAAAGAATAATAATAAATTATGTTATTTATGTTTATTTCTTTGTTTTTTTCTTGTTTCTTTATTTTGTAAAGAATTTATTTTTATAGTGTTGTTCTTATTATAAATTATGATTTTAATTAATAAAATTTGAGAAAAGTAAATTTTTACCGAAGGCGCTGCAAGCCAATCATTTGCACTGCTGAATAAAGCAACTGGAGTTGTTACATTTTCCAAAGAGTACTTTGGAGGAAAAGGAGAGCCATAAACTTTCATATTAAGTTGAGTGTTTCCATAATCAAATTGTCTAAAGTGTCCTGAAGAAGAAAAGCCAAATTTTAATCAATTTTAAAGAAGTTTCTTTCAAAATTTTTCAATTTAAAATTTCAAACCTGGATGGATGAATCCTTGTCCGAAATGAATAAAACATTTCCAGGATGCGCCAGCTGGAACGTGACCAATAATCACAGTCAAATTTTCCTAAAAGACGAATTTTTATTTTTAAAAATTCCTTTTTAAAAAATTGAAAATAAAATTTTAAAACAATTTAATTTTCTAAATTAATTAAAAATATATTATAAGGAGGTTTTGTAAATAATAGAAATTATATTTTTTTGGCATAAATATTGAAAAAGAATAAATCTCACCATATTTAATTCCCCATGACTGAAACCCGCGACTAAAAATAACAAATTACTGCAAATAAATTGTGTTGGTGCTTTACTGTCGCAAACTAAGTTGGACACGAACTTTGCCCAAGCGGTACGTGATCCGAACTCTGGATAACCAAAATTTTCACCGACCCACTGAAAAAGATTTAGATGTTAAAAGTAAAAAGAAGAAAAGTTTTCTTTAGAAAAAAAATTAATATATGTATATAGTTTCCGTGTGCAAATATTTTATTTTAATAATAAAATAAAAAAAAGCGATCAATCAAAATTTTCTTATCAAGTGTAGAGCGATAATTTTGCAATTATTTATTGAACAAGATTCAAGGACGACCAACGTTCTCCAAACAAGATCTGTGCACGACTTCCGAATTCAGACTTTCAATTTTCACATACGATCACTTTTACCCAAGTTCTATATTACACTATGAGAAAATTTCAGTAGACACGAGGTCATGGGATTTGTCTATTCCTATATTTTCGGTTTTATATCTGATGAAAAGGACAGTAGTTTTTTCTCATTTTGTTTCAAACAAAGAAGCCGAGAAAAGCTTTTATTGTTAAATTTTGTCTTTTCAATTTTTCTACAAAAACACTGTTTGTTTTTAAAAATAATTAACAGATGAAAAAAAAACCCAGAGATGCCCAGGGGAACAAGAGGTAAAGTAAGTTAGGTTTATCCCGTTGCTAGCAGGGTTGGATAACTAGAGTCTACAATTGTGCCCTCTTCCCTGATTGGTTGGTAATATTTCCGGAAAGATAACGAGCCAATGGAAACACTTGGCTATTTAATTCGGATAAAAATTATTCTAAAAAACAAATTGCAGATTTCTTTTTTTACACTAAAAATATTCCCAACCTCAAGAAATGTTTGAATAATGTTTGTCCTCTTTTAAAATAGAATAATAATAATAAAAAAACTGATTTATAGTGAATCTATGAAGAACAAGGAAGAAAAAAAAATTGCCACAATGATGGGGGCAACTATCAACACTCGAAAAAAAAAATGCTTATCTGTCGAGATTGTATATTTATTGGCATTTAGCTCTCGATTATTTGACACTTGGAATTGGTTGACGCGACCTACCACACCAAAGTATGTCAGCTTCGTTAGTTTTCTAACCGGACCGCGTAGATTGCCGGTGAAGGCTGCGGGCGCGAGGCCGACAGTCAGGATGACCCTCGAATTATACTCGGGCCTTTCTGAAGCCATCACCCAAAATTGGGTCGTCCCTTGGGAATGTCCCACGAAGAAGAGCCTCTCATTTCCGGTTCGCGACAAAATAAAATCAATCATTGCCGGCAAATCCTCCATTCCAAGTTGATGAAAACTGAAAATTTATTTTTCTTTTTAGTTCAACAATAACATTTTGATTTCTTTTATTATTTCCTTAGAGAGAAAAAATCATTGAATTTATTTAAATGAATATTGTCATTGAAAACTTATCACCTGAAGTCCCAGAAATAACGGTCGGTTGGTGTCATGAACGTGTGGTTTCTGGAGTAAATATTCCCCCGATTGTTTCCTAGCCAGACGTCGAAACCGGCGTCAGCGAGAAAAAATCCTTTTGAAAAAGAGATAATTTTAATTTTAAATTTGAATAAAAATTTTCATTTCTGAAGATTTAATTTAAAAAATTGACTTTTTTAATTTTAATTTTAATTAAATTGTTTTGATATAGGATGTAAGTTGTTGGACTTATCGAATAGTTGTCATACGATTCGATGACAAGTGAAATCATTTTGAAACTCGACCTTGCAACTTCTAAAAAAGATGGTTTCGAGTGAAGGTCATGTAAGCATCAAAGAATTGTTTTCTAGGGGATTGCGCATGAGATCATTAACAAATGCCGTTCAAGTGACCGCAAAACGTCGCAAAGAAGCATGCGGCTAATCAATTCCATGTGCACCGTGCACGTACAATAACATTCTCTTTTCTGAATCACACGTGTTAATTTCATACTCAATGGCTCCAACTTAAAAAAAAGTTCACATTTCCCCCAAATTGCGTACTTTTTCATAAAACAACTTTTATTAAAATTAATTTCATTTCTTCATTTCATTTTTTTCATATTTTTTTTAATTTGATAAATAATTGAAATAAATTTAGAAAAAAGAAAGAAAAAGGAATCATAAAATAAACTTCTAAAAATAGGACGAATTTAAAATTATACTGAATTATTTCTATATTTTAATTAAAAAATTAATTTGGAAAATCAAGAAAGTAAAAGTAATCTTAATATTATGTTTAATTTACTTTATTTTTTTATTTTCCTTAATTAAAAAAAATAAAAAATTAGCAATAAGCAGGGCTTGAACCAGTGAAAGTACACTCAAAAAAAAAACTAGTAGATTTGACTACTTTTTAACTACCCTGAGTGATTCAATAGGTCCTCAACTGAATTTAAAAATTTATATTTACTACCGAAAGTAGTAAAAAGAACTAAGAATTTAGTTGATGTAATTAGATTTTGTAGTTGTTTTTGCAATTTAACTACTTTTTTTAGTTATATAAACTATTATTCTTCAACTATATTCAAAGTAGTAAAATCAACTACACAAAAATTGTTAGTAAAACTAAAAAAGTAATTAATTTGACAACTTTCAACTCAACTAGGTAATAGTAGTTAAAGATTTCGACCGAATTTTTTTCAGTGTATTTAAAAATACGGACTTATTACGGACCAATTCAATTATATTTTCTAAAATTTTTAACTAAAATTCTTCTGTAAATCAATTATTTTTAATAATTTTCGAAAAAGTTATCTTTTTTAAAATTTTTAAATCCATTTCTTTACAATATAATTTTACGTGTCGATTATTCGGAAATTCTTCAATTGTAAAAAATAAAAAATTCAATTAAACTTTTTCAAAAAAAATTAAATCTACTTCATCTAAAAGTATGAAAAATTCTTTCCAAGAACTTTATTTGAAAGTTTTGAAAATAATTGAATTTCTGCAATTCGATCCCTGCAAAAGTAAAAAGAAAATAATAAATGAAAAAAAACACAAAACAAAATATAAATATATTTTCAAAGTAAATAATAAATTTAAAAATCGAAAACTAAATTTTTATATTGAAGAATAAAAATCTTAGTATCTTTCTTCAACTTTTTTTTTCTTTGATTTACGGTATTAAATGTTTGCATCACAATTTTCGTTGCAAGGAAGGTAATGAATTGTAACAACCGATTATTAATTAAAAACTATCTTCGAGTATATAAACTGAACTGGCATTTATGATATTGCTTAATGCTCCATTCCGGCTTTGGCGCGAGAGTTTTGCAGATTTATTGTAAGTTTTCATATGTATAGAAAACGCAAAGTCCTTTTAAAATTGCTACAGAACGAGACTGGGACTTTTATATACAAACATAAATTTGCGCTCGCACGTGAGGAGATCGAATTCATTTTTCTCATTGTCAGCTTGAAAGTAGAACGTTCTCCTCCGAGACCACAGTATCAATTTTTATTTCAGTTTTTTCATCATTGCTTCTCTGCTATAAATGAATTTTCACTTTTCCTTTCTATTCAATTGTAAAAAGAAATTCTTGTTTTTGACCCATCATTTGCCAAAGGAGTATTTCCATTCATTTTTTTACAATGCTTTTGTATTTTTATTAATTTAACTTTTTCTATATTTCTATCTACATATATACTTTAATTTAATTTTTTTTAATCTTTATTTTTCTATGGAAATTTAAGTATATTTTTAATTACCTTTCTTGCTTTTTTTTGCTTTCAATTTGTATTTATGTTTTTTTTTCTTTTCTTTTTATTCTTTTTGTAAACATTAAAAAAACTTTTTTGTAGTAAAACAATTTTTCCTTTTAGAAAAAAAATCTTTTTGGTGGAAATATTTTTTGAAAATCTGAGGGAAAATTGAATTTTGCGTAAACTGATTTTTCTTTAACTCACCTAGTGACTTATCCGGTCCCATTAGAACCCAATCTGCAGAACTTCCGGCTAAACCATGCTGAAGAAGAACTGGCTTTTTTTTTAATTGTCGCCTATTTTTATTGAACCGACTATTTGGAATTCGATGGAGCTCCAAAATGTAACCGTCCCTCGTCACAATATTATAAATCTCCAGAGGATATCCATATTTCCTCACGAGATCTGGCTAAAGAAATTTTTTTTTTATTTTTCTCCTTTTTCTATTCTTAAAAAAGTAAACAAATTTTCGATAAAAAAATTCATTCGTTTTATAAAAGATAAAAAAAAATTATTTTCAAAAGATTTACTTCCAAACAAATAAGAGTTTAAGTTTTAAAAATATTTAAATAAAAGAAAATTTTTAGTAAACGAAATATAAATTAAAAAAAAATTAATTAATTAAAAGAAGTTTAAAAAAAGACTTACAGTCTTGAGGTCAACATCAGGATGAGTGTCAAAGTTAGAGCAGCCAAGTTGTAGATAAAGGCTGAAAGAGAGAAAGAGTAGAAAAAATTGAAAAAATAATTTCATTTTTAATAAAAAAAGAAAAACTTTGTCGCGAATTTTCTTTAAAGAAAATTTGGAAAACGGTTTTTCCGCGCGACCCTTACCAACCCGTCGAGAGTCGGAGACGATTTACAAATCACTCGTTTATTTCCGATTAATATCCAAGAGAGCTCTTTTTCCCCACCATAATCCTTCCGGCCGTTTACCTATGAGGGATTCTGTGAACGGTTGCAAGGACATTGAAATCCTCGAAACAACGTTAGAAAAATCGGCCACGGTCTTTCGACCATCCACTACAATCTTTCCTTTTACTTGCGCCTTTTTTTGCACCCAATTTTCATCATTCATTCTAGAAAAGTAATCATTCATGTCAGAATGTGAGTTTTCAATTTTTTTCCCCTCCTTCAAAAAAAAACCCCACACACCTATTTCACTTGCAAAAGCATAACTTTCGAGAATTTTTTTCTTCTTGAATTTATTATATTTTATGTATATTCCTTTAAACTGAAACTAGAGGTTTAGAAATAGGTTTTTTTTCCTGTAAATATTCCCAGGCGGAAAAGTCGGACGAATGTCGGAATTTACAACCGGCTGGGATCCGCGCCCGTACAGACCGCAAGTACCGACGGTCTGTACCGATTCGGATCTGAAAAAGCAACCGGCGCGGTACAGATTATGCTCCGACTGTCGGAACCGTCTTCCCACTATTGTCAGTACTGGCTCGGTACTGGATTTCTTCCGCCGGCGGATCTTATTCTTCTGCGGCGTCGGAAGAATGACGGATATGTTGAGTCTGTACTGGCTCGGTACTGGGGCGGATCCGACTGCGGATCTCGTCATTTATTGTCACATTATAAATTAAATAATTATTACAAGTAATTGCATTATTTTAGAAAATAATTATTAATAAATTAATCTAATCAATATATTAAGTAATTATTTATTGAGACTTTTTTAAAAATTAAATAATTAAAAAAATTCGTTATTAATTAATATTATATATTATTAATTAATAATATCTCAATAATAATTGAATAATTGTTTCTCAATATAATAATATTGAAGGTAATGATATTAATAATTTTAATTAATATCTCAATAATAATAAATTTATGGTTATTGATATATTATTAATTAATATTAATATTGATACCTAATTTATTATTAAATCTCAATAATATTAATGTTAATTAATAATATATAAAATTAATTAATAATATCTTAATAATAATAAATTTATTATTATTGAGATATTAATTAAAATTATTAATATTATTACGTTTAATATTATTATATTGAAAAACAATTATTCAATATATGTATTATATAATAATAAAAATATAACAAGTTTCTTTTTTAACGAAATATTGAAATAGTCCTAAATATACATTCAATAAAGTATTAAAAATATAGCGGTATCATTGACGCGTAGTAATTCTACAAGTTTTTTTTCAGCTTGTGACACTTGAGAGTATTTAAGATTTGAGAGTCCCATGCGAGCGTAGCATAGTGGTTAGCGTGCGAGATTTCGGTGCGTAAATATTCGGTTAGGCGTAGGTTCCGTACCCCCAAGCGTTAGGATTTTTCAAATGTCTATGTAATAAAAAATTGCGTTTAAGTGTATAAAAAAATAAAAAAAATGTGTAAAGTGAACTGTCAATGAATTGTCATTAGTATTTATCTTTTGCAATTAATTATTATTTTTTTTATTGATATTTGTTAAAATTATCATTTGGATCCGATCCGGTTGTCAGTCGGTAGAATGCCAGCGCTCGGCTGGCTATTAAATGAAAAATCCACGGTCGGTAGAGTGCCAGGTCCCAGCCGGTTGAATTATACACGGAACGGCTTCTCCCGGCCGGTCAGCGGGCGGTAGAATGCCAGTTCCGAGCCGGTTGCCAGCGCGCTCCTGGCCTAGTCACTATTCGGTAGAATGCCCGTTCACATTCGGTTGGCAGGCGGTTCCGAGCCAGTACAGTTACACCGGCGTCAGTACGGGCTAGGATCCGCGCCGGTTGGAAATTTCCGCCTGGGTTGCAATGGAAAAAAATGGAGTTTTTTTTAATAATTCCGTAGTTGTTTAATAACCAATAATAAAGTGTGTGTTGCTAACAAGACTTTTTTTCTCACGATAACATTAAAAGTTGATTTAGGCAGGGTAATTAATTAAAGTACTTCTTTGTGGGTATTACAAAAATGTACAATCAGAGGAAGATATATTCTTTTACGCAGACATCAAGTTACCGAGAAATCTTGATCACAATTAAATTTTCATCACACGATAAAAAAAAGTCACTTAATTTTTGCCTTGACTCGTTTTTTGTCAATTTCTGATGAAGAAACGTGAAGTGCAAAAAGATTTTTTTATTTAGTTAAATTTTTTCGATTACTTTCATTTAAAATCTTCGAAGGTGTATGCTCTTACTTTTGAAGCTGCACCTTATCAATTGCCATGCAATCTGAATCCTGACCCTTTGAAGAAAAGTACAGAAGAAGAAACCATTTATTTAATAGCTTGCGCTATTTTCAATTTAATGGAATTTTCTGCTTAATTGTAAAACTAAAATCGATTTTTATTTATTATTTTAGATGTAATGAACACTTAAAAAATAATATGTATTTTTATTTCAAAAATTACAATGATAACCTACAATTTTTTGCTTCTTAGGTACCTTTCTTCAGAGCTCGTCTGCTCGTCACATTAACGTATATTTTATCCATTTTATCATTAATTGAACCAAACTTTATTTTAAATATTAAAAATGAAAAAATTGTCAGTAGTTGAAAATAAAAATTTGTTTTGCTTCTAGAGATAATAATTTGTGCTTTTAACTTTTTCGCAGGAAGTGCAACAAAACGGAGGTTCTATGGCTCTTCCGCTTAATTCTCTGAGGACAATGTGGTGATGACGTTCATTTGGGAACAAGGGACTTGGTTCGATTAGCAGATCATAACCGGTGACAATTGAAATTCATATACCTCTATAATAGAAAATACATTTTCAACTCAGTTTCAATTTGTCAATTGTTCTGTTAACAAGAACATAAATTCTCTCTCGTCGAAAATGTATTTTCGATAATGCCGCACGTGTAATCTTGCATGGAATTCGAATTAATTAAAATTCTTTAGTTTTCTTCATTTAACTTTCGTTTTGTTATTAATTTTTTATTAATCATTTCTAAACTTTCCTAATAGAATCTCCGATTTTTACTAAATTTTTATTTTCTTTATTTAGGGAATAAAGACCATAGAGCCCTACTTAGTTTCAAAATTATAAAAAGCTATAATAACTACATATGGTAAATACGGCGAAAAGTGAACAAATTTACTGTATCAAAATTAGTATGTTTACAATTTTATCTTTAACCTTGTGAGGAAACTATAAATTTTTAGGAAATGAAAACTTAAATACTGCTGACTACAACTACAAGAAATATTTGTAAACAATTGTTAGCAATTGTCAACAACACACCTGAGAAAAACATAAAGGTCTATTAGTATATTTAATTCTATTGATACTGTATTCATAATCCATATTTCTTACAATTAAAAACTCGGAAAATATCTTTGAAACATACTAAAATTTCAATACCTACAACGTTGAAGATAATTATTACAAATTATAAAAGTTATTGTAGCAACAAATAACATGAAAGTTTTACTATCGCATGTTTACATTTATAAAAGAGCAAAACTTTGTTTTTGTTGCAAAACCTGTTTATTATAAATGAACTAGATACAAATAATTACCTCTGCACGAAATACTCGTCTAATGATTACACTACACTAATTTAGAAAAGAAAAATAATGACAATTTAAACACAAAACAATATAATTAAGTACAAAATAGTATCAAAACATAATAGCAAGTACCAAAAGTCAAGCAAGACGAATATTTAAAACAGAAAAAATGAACATTTCATTAGCAAAATTTGCAATAATTTTGTTGATGAATGCATTAGGAAGTGGTATAAGTGGATATAAAATTTTAGGCGTGTTCCCTGTACCTGCAAAGAGTCATGGCATTTTTTGTCAGTCGGTAATGAAAGCTTTGGCAAAACATGGACATCAGGTGGACGTTATTGTTATCAATGAACCGGAAAATCCGCCGGAAAATTATACAGTTATTTATAATATGTTGGAAATTGTACCGTATATTGTAACTGACGTGACAATTGAATACTTATCAACTAATTACTCTAAGGATCCTGTTAAATTTATATCTCACGAGATGGGAAATTCCGTTTGTGAATTACTCGCCAACCGAAAAGTTCAAGATATCATCAAGAAATTGAAAACAAACGCCGATTACGATCTTTTAGTTACTGAGGTATAGTTTTTTCTTTTTTGTGAATAAAAGAGAATTCTTCTACAAGAACATTTATTTAATACAGTAAAACCCCGTTAACACGCACCCGCTTAACACGAATTTCGCTCTAACACGAACTACATCTCTGTCCCCGGCAGAAGTACATAGGCAAGTATGGGGCAAAACCTCATTAGCACGAAAATCCCGCTTTACACGTAACACGAAGTCGATTTGGTCCCCCACTTTTATTATTACCCGGATAATAAGAATTATCAACAAGTATAATAGTCACAGTTCGGTCTCGAAGTCGTTAACATCAAAATGTCTAAAAGAAAACAAACATCAATCGATTTAGAAACAAAATTCGTCTCCACGAAATTTATAAGCTGTTTAGATTCTATATCATTTGAATGTGCAATGTATTCGCGCAATCCTAAAACTCAAACAAGCATAACATCTTTCTTTAAAAAAAATAATTGACGACTTTTAACAGACGACATTTTTTCTTATTTTATTTTGAATCAGTTAACCCGAAAAAATTTGTGTTAAGTGGGGGGCTCTTTCCCTCGTTAACTCGAAATTCCGGTTAACACGAACAACTCTATGTCCCCCTAACAATTCGTGTTAACAAGGTTTTACTGTATTGCAAATAAAATTTATTTAAGTGTATAGAAATCGAAAAGCTTATATTTTTGTTTTATTGTTTTGATGTCCGAGGTATTATTATTAAATATTCGAATAATTTCAGGCCTTTGGAGTGAATTGCTTTATGGGTCTGGCCCATTTTTTGAATATTCCATTAGTAACTCTGTCGGCTCAAAATTTGTATCCCTGGGTGGAAGATGCAATAGGATATCCATCATCATCTGCAACTCATCCAACTATTCTTTCTTCTTTATTAGCAATTAATTTTTTCTGGGTTCGTTTACAAAATACGTTAGAAAAACTCACGATGCAGTATAAACTTCATTACTCTACGGATAAAATACAAACGGAACTCATAAGGAAATATATAAATCGAGATCTACCGACTGTTAGTGAATTGGCAGAAAGTTCGCTTTTGACACTTAGTAACACTCACTTCAGTTTTTATGGTGTTAAGAGCACAATTCCAGCTTTAGTGGAAGTCGGAGGACTACACATTTTGCAAGACGAAACCAAGTTGACACCTGTAAGATAGTTTTTTTTTTATTACCATTCTTTCATTGGCTGGTAAAATTTCGAAATATTACGAGTCAATCGGAGACAAAGAAATATTTAAAAATCATTCAAGAAAATATTATTACGATTTCAAGGAATTGCAGAAATGGATGAACGAGAGTAATCACGGGGTCATCTACTTTTCCCTTGGAACAATATTCCGCATCGATTCATTGGCAAATGAAACAATTCATGCTTTTTATTCAGTCATGAGAAAACTGAAACCGATTCAATTTTTAGTTCGAGTCAAATATGAAGATAATCTTCCTCCTGGAATTCCAGACAATGTTAGAACTCTTCCCTGGATACCACAAATTCCAATTTTGAGTACTGTTTTCCTTTACTATTTGCTTTCTGTATTTAATTTTAATTTATTTTGAATTCAAATAACAATTTTTTTTTCTTAGGACACAAAAATACCAAAGTTTTTATAACACACTGCGGTCTTTTGAGTTCACTCGAGGCTGTATACTTTGGTGTTCCTGTTATCGGAATTCCAATAGTTGCCGATCAGTTTATAAATTTGGATACACTGGTGAAAAAAAATATGGGGATTAAATTAGATCTGAATAACATTAAGGAGACAATTCTTTTTAATGTACTAATGGAAATTTTAAGTAATTCATCATACAGGTAACGTTTTTCACTATTTTAAGTTCAATAAGCACAAAAGTTTGAAAGAAAATTACTATTGAGAGTAGTTTTTGAATATGGTTCGGCAACATGGCCCCAAACATTTTCCTATTGGTGCGTAATATTACCGGTAATATTTCCAACCAATCAGAATTCAGATAAAATTTTGTTAATTAAAATAACAAAGTTTTGTAGTAAACCGAAAAGGTAGTAAATTTGACATTATGAAAGAAAATATTGCCATTTATGTTAAAGAATAAAAATATTTTTTAATTTCATAGAAAAGCTGCGAAAATTGCTTCTAAAATTTTCAAAGATCGTCCTATGAATCCAGAGGAGTCGACAATTTACTGGATCGAATATGTCCTGAGAAATGGAGGAATTTTGAGATCTCCAGCTATAAATTTGCACTGGATACAAAAAGAACTTTTAGATGTTTATGGTTTTTTGTTATTTTTACTCACTTCTTTTCTTTATATGCTGATGAAAATTATTCAAATCATTGTCAATTGTAAACTCAAAAACAAATCTAAAAGAATGGAGAAAAAAAATAATTAAAAAATCATTTCTTCTCTTAATTTAACTATACCGTTTCAAATAAAGGAACCGAAAATAATCTCTCTTTCACTTATTTTAGAACAAATCCTCTATATTATATTAAGTTAATGTATGTACTACCGACCGACCGACTCACACCTCTTTCTATCTGTCTAACATCTATTAGAATACTTCACTCACACACATGTCCAAAAAACATTTACTCATGTATGTACACATATACACAAAACACATACATGTCATGTCAAACATGCGCAGTAGTATTCCATGAATGTCACGCATGCGCAGTAGTGTTTTATCAATGTCACACATGTATAGTAGTATTCTAGCAATGTCACACATGCAAAGTAGTATAAGGTAGTTCAAGTTGGGTGGGGGAAATCCAATATGGCTGACATCAGCTGATTTACCGGAGGACAAACAATGCATTGAATTCAATGGGACAAATCAATTTTTTAACCATAACTTTTTAAATATTTATTTTTGAACCATAGTGTAATGGAAAATTATTCTTTATTTACCGAAATCTATTTTTTAAAACAATAAAACCAAAAAATTAAATTTTATTGTTTTAAAAAATAGATTTCGATAAATAAAGAATAATTTTCCATTACACTATGGTTCAAAAATAAATATTTAAAAAGTTATGGTTAAAAAACTGATTTGTCCCATTGAATTCAATGCATTGTTTGTCCTCCGGTAAATCAGCTGATGTCAGCCATATTGGATTTCCCCCAACCAACTTGAACTACCTTATTCTATCAGTGTCACGCATGCGCAGTAGTGTTCTATCAAGTAGTATTCTATCAGTGTCACACATGCGCAGTAGTGTTCTATCAATGTCATGCATGCGCAGTAGTGTTCTATCAATGTTACGCATGCGCAGTAGTGTTCTATGAATATCAGGCATGCGCAGTAGTTTTCTATCAATGTCACGCATGCGCAGTAGTTCTCTATCAATGTCATGCATGCACAGTAGTTCTTTATCAATGCCACGCATGCGCAGTAGTGTTCTATTAATGTCAGACATGCGCAGTAGTGTTCTATCAATGTTACGCATGCGCAGTAGTTCTCTATCATTGTCATACATGCGCAGTAGTGTTCTATCAATGTTACGCATGCGCAGTAGTGTTCTATGAATATCAGGCATGCGCAGTAGTTCTCTATCAATGTTACGCATGCGCAGTAGTTTTCTATCAATGTCATACATGCGCAGTAGTTCTCTATCAATGTCACACATGTGCAGTAGTTTTCTATAAATGTCACGCATGCGCAGTAGTGTTCTATCAATGTTACGCATGCGCAGTAGTGTTCTATTAATGTCAGACATGCGCAGTAGTATTCCATGAATGTCACGCATGCGCAGTAGTGTTCTATAAATATCAGGCATGTGCAGTAGTTCTCTATCAATGTCACGCATGCGCAGTAGTGTTCTATTAATGTCAGACATACGCAGTAGTGTTCTATCAATGTTACGCATGCACAGTAGTTCTCTATCAATGTCACGCATGCGCAGTAGTGTTCTATTAATGTCAGGAATGCGCAGTAGTGTTCTATGAATATCTAACATGCGCGCGAAACACCCACACATGTATACTCACACATATACACTAATCACATGTACATAAATTGAGGAGCCGGGAAGAAGAACTCGCCGAGCGCGCCAACGTATTCTCTAATATCAGTCGGGGAGCAGTGAGCGCCTCTGGGCCTGTCACTGCTTCCCGACTGATATTAACGCATGCGTTGGAGCGCTCGGTGAGTTCTTCTTCCCAGCTCCTCAATTACATACACATGTATACTGACTCATATGCAGATATAAACTCCTACATATACACAAATTACATATATAGATTTAATAAACAATTGACAATATAAATTGTTGAATTTTTTAAGGTTCGTTGATGCACTTAGTGTCTGTTGAAATTTTTTTAAATATACGTAAATACCTCACTCGCTAATACTGCGCTGTCTGTGTTGTAAGGGAACTTATTTATTTACTTGTGTATTTACTTATTTATTAAATTTGTTTGACAGAAATCAACAATAATTTTTTCGATGGATAATCAGTGAAAAATGACTTATATATCTGTAAGTGTAATTTTCAACTGACTTTTAGTAAAATTATTTGTTTGACAGAAATTTACGATAATAAATAAATCACAATAAAATAACAATCAGTGAAGAATGACTGATATTTTAGTACTATTTAACTGATTTTCAGTAAAATTCCACTGATTATGAATCCAAAGTCACTTTTTAAAAATACAAAATGGCGAATCCAGGATAGCGGACGAAAATGAAAGATTTAGTAAGAGAATACGTAAAAATAACATTTCGTATAATGTACAATGACAATTTTTTAAAATGTCACTTCATAATTTTTATCTTATTACACAATGATTTTAAATAAAATAATTTATATTTTTATAAATATTAATAATTTTTTACATTTTCTAACCACTATAAGGTTTTAATTTTGTAAATGTTTAAACTCTGGTTTAGAAAGAAAAATTTATATTAATTATACAACTATATTGTCTAGACTTGCAAAAACCCAAAGTCTAGACAAATTTGTCGTAACAATATTGTTACAATATATATTGTAACAATATTGGTGACGGTGACGTGCGTAAGAATAGTGCAGTAAAAATTTCAAAAAAACATTTCCCAAAAAAATTAATAAAACAGCATTTTTATATAGTTTACAAGATAAAAATTCCTGAAAAAAAGTGTTGAAATTATTTGATTGAAGAGCGTTTACAAATGATGTCACGCAATTTTTCGGGATTTTATACCCCCCCCCCTCCCCCTGTCAAACAAATTTCATGCAATTTCACATGTAAAAATACATTGTTTCACGTTTAGTAGAGACCCTCCACCCTCCCCCTAAAAAAATGTGACATCATTTATGAACGCTCCCTTGCAAATATCTTGCAAAATATTAAAAATTTTGTAAAACTTTTTGACACACTTATTTAGGACCCTAAACACTATCAAATTACAAAGTACCCAAGTATTACGGAATATAACCTTAAATTGAAAGGAATATTGCATTTCATATTCGGAATATTCCAGTGGAATGTTCCAGAGATCTTAAAGTAATATTAAAATGTCCGCTGCACAGGAATATTCCAAGATAACATTTAGGGAATGTTCCACGGTTATATTGAAGTAATATTCCAGGATGATGTTGAAGGAATGTTCCACCGTAATATTAATGGAATATTCCACGGTGATGTTGAGGGAATGTTCCCAGATAATATTAAATATGTTGAAAATACCATTGAAAATCGTTTTTACTAAAGAAAGAAGATAAAGAGAAAAAAAGTCAAATTTTTTCAAAGTATGAAATTTTTGAATATTTCCAGGGAATATTCTGAGAATATTCCCTTAATATTCATTCAACATTACCTTGGAATATTCCATTAATATTACGGTGGAACATTGCCTCAACATCATCCTGGAATATTACTTCGAAATTACCGTGGAACATTCCCTCAATGTTATTTTTGGAATATTTCTGTGGGGCGGACATTTTAATATTACTTTAAGATCCCTAGAATATTCCGAATATGAAATGTAATATTTCCTTCATTTTAAGGTTATATTCCGTGCTGCTTGGGTATAAGCAAAACCAAAATTTCGTCGGTTCATAGAGCCATGGAACGCCCCATATAGCATTTTAAGATGATTCACATTTTGGACAAGTTAAAACCTACGATATTGGCTGGTTTTAATAAAAAATTTAGGGGAAAATGGGTCAAAAGTACTAAAAGATGGGCAAATATTATTTTTGAAATATCTTTTTCATAACGCGGTGCAAAAAAGGTCACTTTTTTGCACCTTGTTATGAAAAATATCGTTCGTAACTAGTGCTAGCAGTTGCCAATCTTCTACAACCTTTGTTTATATCATTCCAAAACAAACGATTACATTCTTGACAAATTTTTAGTACAGACAAGGGAAAATGTATTTTTTGAGTTTTCGTTGTAAAATGCAAAATATTTCTAAACATCACCATAAGTAGTTAAAATCGCATTACTTTGTTATGCTTTTTCATTATATTATAGGTGAATATGTGTAGATATGTATACTTGTATAAAAATCGAGATAATAATAAAATTTGTTTATATTTTTTTTTTATTCAAATTTTGGCCTGTAAGAATTCTGTGGGGTAATGGGAGAATTAGTGTCAGCCCAAAGAATCTTCGTTACTATGTTACGGCTTTCGTTATTTCTTTCAAAATTGTAAAAGATATCACCTTATGAAAAAACTTTTAATTAAAAAATAATTTTTCGTGGAAAAAATAAAAAATTAAATTTTTTTCAAAAATTTTTTATTCAATTAAAATTCAGGAAAAAGTTTATTCTAAGTCTAAAGTTTTGGCTTCATTGTAAGTATTAACACTTTTTCTATTATAAAACAAAAAATATTCCTAAAAAATAGAAATTTTTTTTATTTCAAGTGAAAGCTCCCAATACCCCACAAATTGGGCGATGGCAAAAAATGTATTTTTTTGAAATTTTTTTTTTAATTTACTTTCTCTTTTTAAGTTTCTAATTAAACATAATTATAGATAAATAACGAAATGAGTAGAAAATGACGAAAACAATGTATTATTATAAAAATAAGTTGGTTTTTTTAATAATTTTCCTTAAGGGGCTCCAATTCCCCCACGCTCCCCTATAACAATTTATGTTTAAAGATTTTCAATGCGATAAGAGAAATTGTTTAAAATATAAATGTGATTTAGGACTAATTTTGGACCCTGCTCTTTCTTATAAAGATCACATTAATCACGCTGTTGGTAAATCTTTGAATATTCTTGGTCAGATTGTGAGATCTTGCTCAATTTTTTATAATCTTTGTGTCTTTAAAGTTTTGTATTTTTCTTTGGTAAGGCCACATCTTGAGTTTCTTTCTATTGTTTATTTTCTATTATATAATTATCAGATCGTTAGATTGGAAAGGGTTCAGAATAGGTTTTTGCGATTTGCAGCAAGGCAGCTGGGCATACCTTATGACTTTTTAAGTCATGACTATGCTGGGTTGCGTTCTGTAATGAACATACCTACTATTCAGAGTAAATTCTTAAAACTGGACTTGCAATTTTTTTATAATGTACTCAACGGTGTTATCGATTGTCCGGCACTGCTGCCCGGTATCTCATTGACAGTTCCATACATCTCTCTGAGGAGTGGTCCTGTATTTAAAGTGCCTTTTTGTCGAACTATTCTCGGTGGTAACTCACCTCTTGTGCGTCTTTGCCGTCAAGCAAATCATGCTAAAAGTATTGATTTTTTCGATAATTTTAAGTCAAGATTTACTCATGACCTTCGAATTTATATTAACCAAAATAATTAATTTAATTAATTGCGAAGTTCACACAGCATTTAGCATTAATCATTTTTATATTTTCTATTATAAAGGGTGTAAATTGTTACCCGTGTATTGAATAAATAAATAAATAAACACAAACTGTTAGTAAGAAAAGAATAGACGTATCTTCGCCCTTTTCTTACTAATTATCCAGAGAATCAGGCTAACATTCAAAGCCTAACCTTTTAAGTTTAGTTATTTCAAAAAAATTATTTTATTAATGCAAATAAATATTTATTTTAATTAAAAACTATGCATTATTGAATCAAGTAATTTTCATAATTGATTTAAAGCAATATTTATTAGATTAAATTATTATATTTAAAAACTTAAGAATAAGAAATTAAGAACTTAAGAACTTAGACTTAACTAATTTGTATTTGGTTCAAATAACTGTTTATTTGATACCATAAATTGAAATATTTATGTCCAGTAAATATTTACTTAGTTCAAATAAATAAAAATAAATAAGTAAAAACAAATAAGTTTAAATACAACCGAATGAGCGTTAGCGAGTGAGGTATATGTCGCTAGTTTACATAATTATAATTACGATGAAAATTAACTCATCAATTTATTTTATTCTTTTTCGAAAATGTTCAAGTATAGCAAAGTGTATAGAAAAAGGAGGAAAAAGCAATTATTGACAATTAAGTTAGAAACTATAATTATCACTATCAGGAAGGAAAATATGTACAAGGAGAATATGTGGTTACAAAGAGAATTAAAAAATAGATAAAAATAAAAATACCGTGTTTAATACTATAATGAATATATTCTAGTTTAACAGTACTTATACTTTTTAAAGACAAAATGAAACTTTTATCAAACGTTACGATATTTGTTTTGGTTGCATTTTTAAATGTTTTTGTCAAAAGTTATAAGATTTTGGGAGTATTTCCATTAACTCTAAAGAGTCATAACATTTTTTGCCAGTCGGTGATGAAAGTTTTGGCAAAACGTGGTCATCAGGTGGACGTTATTGCGTCGCGAGCACTGGAAAATACGCCACCAAATTATAAGGTTCTTTATGATACTCGGAAAATTGCACCAAATAATACAGCTGACGTAACAATTGATACGGTGTTTACTAAATACAGTAGTGATCCTATTAAATATATAGCAGACCAATTTGGAAATGCCGTTTGCGAAATACTTGCCAACGAGGAAATTCGGACAATCATCAAAGAACTCAAAACGAAAACAAAGTACGATTTTATGGTCACTGAGGTACTATTTTTGTACTTTTAAATAACTTCAATTTTATTATTTTTCCTTCTTCTTAAATCACTTTAGGCACTGCTAACTATCTGTCAGAACAATATTCTTCTATTTTAAAAAGAACTTTTATTCTAAAAAGAGAGTTTAGGAATAAGTTATTAAAAAGAAAACCGTTATTGTTATTACATAGTAGAAAACAGGGTTAGGTAATAAGGCAACAACACTTTTCCTAGGTTTCTGATTGGTTGGTAAAATTTCTAGAAGAATGTTACGAGCCAATTAGAAACTTCAAAGAGTTTGCAACTTGTAACGTCTCAACCCTGGGTTCTAAAAAATATTCTTAACCTCTCTTTACAGAAACAATTAAATAAACGAAAAAAACTACAAACAAAACGAAAATACCGAAATTATTAAAGAATTTTAAATATGAAATTAAGTAATTTAAATGTAAGGTAATTAATTATTGTACACGTTTCAGGCATTCGCAACGAATTGTTTCATGGGATTGGGACATTACCTGAACATTCCAGTGATAATTCTATCGGCACAAACTTTATATCCCTGGGTGGAAGATGCAATTGGAAATCCATCGTCGGCTGCAATTTATCCAGTGATACTTTCTTCGTTAGTAGAAATTAATTCATTTTGGGACCGTCTGCAGAATGTCGTGGAGGAACTTGTATTAAAATACAAATTTTATCACTACACGGAGAAAATACAAACGAATATTATAAGAAAATATATAAGCGCCGATTTACCAACAGTTAGTGAATTATCAAAGAGTCCGATTTTAACTTTAAGTAACACTTACTTCAGTTTTAATGGAATAAGACCATTCACTTCAAGTTTAATTGAAGTCGGTGGATTGCACATTTTACAAGATGACAACGTACTTACGCCTGTAAGATAATTTTTATCATTTTTAGTGTCAGTCAATTTCTATGTAGCTTTTTTTTATAAAAGAAATAAAAGAAAAGTAATGTAGAAAAGAAATTGCAGGGTTGGGTAGTGACGCCTGAGAAAACTATCTACGTTTCTGATTGGTTCCGAAATATGACCATATTTCGGAGAAGATACAGGTAACTGCATATATGCTGTCCTTCCGGTTTACACCCTTTTTTTTAAACAGTTGCATTTCTACCATTGTTATTAGTTCATGGCAAATTTATTTATCATTTTATTCATGAACTAATAACATTGTGACAGAAATGGCACTGTTTTAAAAAATTTATACGCAAACCGGAAGGACGGCATGCAAGCAGTTACCTGTATATATCTTCCGAGAAAGTTACCAGCCAATCGGGAACGCAGTCTTGCATTTCATAAAGAATAAAAAAAAACTGAAAGTGTAACGAATTTTGTATTATTTTGAAGGAATTGCAAAAATGGATGGACGAAAGTGAAGATGGTGTTGTCTACTTTTCGATGGGAACAATAATACTTGTCGAATCACTGCCGAAAAAAGCAATTCGTGCTTTTTATTACATAATTCGAAAATTGAAATCAATCAGATTTTTAATACGAGCTAAAAATGTGAATATTTTTCCTAAAATTCTAAATAATGTCAAGACTCTGCCATGGATACCACAAATTCCAGTCTTAAGTATATTTACTTTTTCCTCTTATATTTAATTTTTTTTTTTTTTTAATTATAAAATCAAGTGCCGAATAATTAAGTATAATTTGTTGTGATTTTTAGGACACAAAAATACCAGAGTTTTCATATCACACTGTGGACTTTTGAGTTCAATGGAAGCTTTATATTTCGGCGTTCCAGTTGTGGGAATTCCCGTGGCTGTAGATCAATTTTCAAATATGCACAAATTGGTTCAAAGAAATATGGGCGTAAAATTGAATCTGAATAATATTACAAAAAGTATTCTTCGTCAAGTCTTAACGAGTTTAATTAATAATTCAACGTACAGGTAATCGGTTCTGAGCTACCCAACCCTGACTAAAGCTCCATAATCGAATTTTCTATAATTTGAATTTTTAATTTTCCAGACAAGCTGCAAAAAAGGCTTCGAAACTTTTCAAAGATCGGCCATCACGTCCCGAAGAGACAACAATTTTCTGGATCGAATATGTCCTGAGAAATGGAGGAATTTTAAAATCTCCTGCAGTGAATTTGCACTGGGCTCAAAATAAACTTTTAGATGTTTATCTATTTTCGATAGTTTTACTTATTTTGATTCTATACGTCAGCGTAAAAATTATACGAATAGTTGTTAATCTTAAAAATAAGGATAAGACCGAGAAAAAAAAGAAAAAAACAAACTGAATTTTCTTTTAAAAATTTGGGCTTGTTTCCTAATTGTTAGGACTTGTTTCAATTTTCAAATACATTTGATTGAAATAAAAACTTTGTAGTTCAATAGTAATTATACATTTCACAAGTAAATAATTATTTTTTAATTGTACATACATTGTATTTTAATATTTTTTGTTCTTTCACATTACTAATGGCTTTTTTTTAATAACGAGAGATATAAAAAATAATCAAGGAGATTAGCTTTTATAAAAATAGACAACTTTTGTTTTAAAAACAAATTAAATTAAAAAGTAAATTAAAATTAAATTAAGAATCATACGATTTTTAATTTTTGATGATGCAACTAAATATTTATAAATACTTTGTCCCAATTATTGAAAAGCATTTTTCAAACAGTAGTCGATTAGAAATTTTTTGTTATCAATTTTTAGATAAAATATAGAGATAGAAATCTTAAAAAAAGATAAAAAAGTTTGCGTACAGTTTTTGTAAATTGTCTCACAATTTTGTTTTCTAAAAACTATAACAGTTTACTCAAAAAAAGCTTGCAAATAAACCAAAAATAGTATGAAAAGTGAAAATATCTCATAAAAGTAAAGAATAAAAAGCAAGAAAAATGGAATTTTTTCGAAATTTAATATTATTTGTCATTTTTTGTCAGTCGGCAATTGAGGGACATCGAATTCTTGGCATATTTCCATTTGCAGCGAGAAGTCATAATATTTTCTTCGAGGCTCTAATGAAGGGTTTGTCAAAAGCTGGACATCAGGTGGATGTAATTTCTCATTATGAACCACGATATTCGGGTGAGAATTTAACGCGAATATTGGATTTGAGTAAATTTGAAAATCAACTAGTGGTTGACAATGAAATCGGAATAGCTTTTGAATTTGATGACAATATTATTAAATTTATTTCCACCAAGTTCGGAAATGATCTTTGCGAACTGATGGGATCTGAAGAAATGCAAAATATTTTACAAAATTCTCTCAAGGAACGCTCTTACGATCTTGTCATCAGTGAGGTGAGTTTTTATCTGTCGTTCATTAATCTTTAACATTAATTAGAATTTAATTGCATTTAATGCAAACTCCAAATTCCAAATTGATAAAAACATTAAAAAGCGTGACGTAAGATAAATTTGAAAAATAAATAAATAAATTTGAAAAAAATGAATTACTTTCTAGTTTTTTGGAGCCACTTGCTTCTTTGGAATCGGGAATTTTCTTCAAGTCCCTGTCGTGGCCGTTATCTCGATTCCAGAGCCCATTTGGGCAATGAATGCCATGGCTCTTCCATTCTCCACGGCTTTCTATCCAAGTACAATGATGGACATTGGATCTATTGAAACATTCTCGGATCGTCTGAAAAATACTCTGTCTAAGTACATAGCCCTGTGGTTATTTTGTTGGTATACCGATAAGCCGCAAACTGAAGCAATGAGAAAATATCTCTCACCTCAAATACCCTCCATCAGAGAAGTCGAAAAGGGAATTAGTCTCCTTGTAACCAATAATTTCCATTCTTTATATGGAATTCATCCCATCACTCCTGATGTGATTGAAGTTGGAGGAATTCACATTGGTCAAAATGAGGACAAATTAAGCCCCGTGAGTTTTTCATCAATGAATCTGAAAATAAAAAATTCTTTAAAATAATTGAATTTCTGCGAAAATTTTTGATAATTATCAAAATAATTGAATTTTTATCGTTAATATTGATATTTATGAAAATAATTGAATTTTAAAAACAATTTTATTAAAATTTCAAAACATAATTAAATTTTTGGGAAGAATTTTATTATTAATCAAGATAATTGAATGATTTCGTTTCTCTTATACAAATTTTTGTAAAAAAATATTTTTTTATTTATATAAAAATAAAATTACTTTTTGTCCTGAAAAAAATTTCAGGAATTAGAAAATTGGATGGAACAGAGTACAAGTGGAGTTGTGTACCTTTCATTTGGAACTGCAATTCGTGTGGAGACTTTACCGAAGGAGACAATTCTCGCTTTCTATTCCTCCTTCGCAAAAATCGCACCAGTGAGAATTTTAATGAAGATCAAGGATAAACATCTTCTTCCTCCGGGTCTTCCTGAAAATGTGAAAATTCTACCATGGCTTCCACAAATACAAGTTCTAGGTTTTTTGTCTTTTTTCAATATTCTTTTTGTAAAAATTAAAGTTTAATTGTATTAAAATTTCAAATTCACCTCTTTTTCCAGGACACAAAAATACAAGAGCCTTCATAACACACTGCGGCCTGCTGGGTCTCCAGGAATCCCTTTATTTCGGCGTTCCCATCATTGGAATTCCCCTTCACTCGGATCAATTTCGGAATGTGCAAATTTTCGTCACAAAAAATATGGGAATTCGCATCGACTATGGGGAGATTACGGAAAAAAGTTTGGATAACGCTTTAGAGGGGATATTGAATAATCCCTCCTATCGGTAAAGAAATATTTTTTCAGAAGAGAATTGAAAATTTTGTTATTTATTTATATTTATAAATAAAATAACTTTTATATTTACAAATAAATTTGAAAATTCTTTTAGGGAAGCAGCAAAATATGAGTCAAAAGTTTTTCAAGATCGACCATTACAACCGATGGAGTCGGCAATTTTTTGGATTGAATACATTCTGAGAAATGGAAAAGATTCTCTAAAATCGCCGGCAATTCATTTACACTGGTGGCAAGCATCTTTAGCAGATGTGTATTCTTTTCTACTATTTTTCTTCTTTTTAATAATCTATCTTCTTTATTTAATTATCAAAATTATTTCTCGCAAACTTGTTGCTTTTAAGAAATTTATCAACAGACGGAAAGAAAAGTTTTCGTAAAATTAACATTTCAATTTTAAATCTAAGATAAAGAATGTAGCTAGAAAATATTAGTAGAACATATTTTATTCAATTTTTCCCACATTTATATATTTCATATACATATATATAAAATGTAGATAATAACTAATGATTTTTTTGTATATAATTTCTTAGAAAAGTAAGAAACTGCCATAGACTTCTACTTTAATGTGTCATTACTATTATAAATTTATTATATAAAAAAAAATTAATTGCATCATTTCACACATTTTGGCAGTTTTTAATATTGTAAAAATTTATCATTAGAGTAAAATTTTCATTTTACTGATTTCATCGACATTTACAAATAGTTGTTCGATTCTAAAACGACGATTCTAAAGGAAAGTGTATCTTTTTTATATATCAAAAAAAGAAAGTCGAAAACAAAAATGTTTATAAACATTTCAGTAATATCAAGTGCGTAAAATACTTATCAACACGGATTGATTGAATCTATTTGAAAAATTAATTGAATTAGTCGACAAGAATAATTAAACTTCTTAAAATAAAATAAAAATTGTCGCAAAATTTTTTTTTCACTTCTCCAGGAAAATAGGTCCAAAAACTTGAGAATCTTGAGTCTTGATTGTTTCTGTAAAAAAAGAAATTTGATTATAGTATTTTTATTTTAAAAATAATATTTGGGGCGTTCTCCGTCAGATTTTCACTCAAAATTTTTTTTGTATTAAAACAATTTTTTTCGAATTCTATATGAAAAATAAGTAATTACGTGTTTTTTTATTTTTTTATTTGATCAAAATTATAAAAGTTATGATTTTTTAAAATTTAACATCTTCGGAAGCAAAGGATTTTTGAAACACTTTTAACTCCGTTATACCAAAAGATAAAAAATAATGTAATATATGAAAATAACTTGTTTTTTCTTGAATATTTCAAATATGTAATAAAAAATAACTTTAATAAAGCGAAAACATTAAATAAATTGAAATTTCGTCTAACATGTGACTTTTCTCAAAAGCGAAGTAATCGATTTTCGATTTTTTTTCTTTCATTACAACCACTGATGAATAAAGAAATTTTTCCCACTTATGCAAAAGTGGTGTTCTTTAGGGATCAAATTATATTTAAAATTATATCAGTCGTTGCACAGATTTTACAGAAGGAAATAAAGAAATTAACCACTAAACATTCGTTTTCTTTTGTTTTTGAAGGTTAAATTTTTAAAAAGTGTAAAAATCGAATAAAACTCTGTGCAACTACTGACATAATTTTAAATATAATTTGAACCCTAAAGAACACCACTTTGGCATAAGTGGGAAAAATTTCTATATTTATCAGTGGTTGTAATGGACGAAAAAAATCGAAAATCAATTACTTCGCTTTTGAGAAAAGTCACATTTTTGACGAAATTTCAATTTATTTAATGTTTTCGCTTTATTAAAGTTATTATTTATTACATATTTGAAATATTCAAGAAAAAACAAGTTATTTTCATATATTACATTATTTTTTATCTTTTGGTATAACGGAGTTAAAAGTGTTTCAAAAATCCTTTGCTTCCGAAGATGTTAAATTTAAAAAAATCATAACTTTTATAATTTTGATCAAATAAAAAAATAAAAAAACACGTAATTACTTATTTTTCATATAAAATTCGAAAAAAATTGTTTTAATACAAAAAAAATTTTGAGTAAAAATCTGACGGAGAATGCCCCATTTAGATGTTAGTTTTTTAAATGATAAATAATTTTATACAATAAATTAATTAATTAAAAATTAAATTTATTATTTACAATAAAAAAATTTTGTGGCTAAATTTAAATAAATTCGCAAAATATTTAAATTTATTTATAATTAAAATTTTATGCTTATATATTTAAATAAATTCAAAATATTACACGTCATGTTACACTTGTTTAAACGTTATCGTAAATACTGTCGAAGGTCTTCGAAAATAAACCTTGAAACTTTCGTTTTTACTTTTTTCAATGAAAATTATTCTAATTTTAAATTTAAAATCCATCAAATTAAAGATCATTGAATTTTTGCAAAGAATTTTGTCAAAAAATTTTTAAATAATTGAATTCCTTCAAAGAATTTTCTTATTTAGGGAAAATAATTGAATCCTTGGGAAAAATTTTGTTAAAATTTTTGAAAATTTTGTTAAAATTTTTGAAAATTTTAATTAAATTCGTTTTGAAGAAATTCTTTGAATTTTTTTTTAATAATGGAGTTTCTTTAATAATTTTAATTAAAAATATTGTAAATAATTAAATTTTATGAACAATTTCTTTCAAGTTTTTAAAATAATCGTGTTTGTTGCTAATTGAAATTGAAAATTTAATTACTGAATATTATTAAAATTTTAGAAAAATTTAAATCTTGAAAAACTTTATAACGAATTAAAAAAAAGTTGAATTCTTTCGTGAAATTTTATGGAATATAATTGAACTTTTGCAAAGAATTTTACTATTTATAAATATAATTGAATTGTTTTGAAGGATTTATTAAAGTTTTAGAAAATAATATAATTTTTTCGAAATATTTTATAAGGAATTAAGAAAAAAATTGAATTCTTTCGTGAAATTTTTTTGAAATTAATAAACAAGAATAATTAATTAGTAAATTAGTTAATAATTGAATTTTTTTAAAGTTTGAATCTGAAATTATTCAAAAATTCATATTTGAAAATAAAAAATTTTGTAATTTGCATAATAGTAATAAATTGAATATCACGTTCTGCGCGCTAGCGTGCATAACATTTGCTAGTTAATAATACTTTCTGAATGTTGAAAGTTTTCTTTTTACTTAATTTTTTTAACTTGTTCATTTACATAGTTTCTTTTTGTTTTTAATTTTTTTCCCCTTTAATTTTCTTTTTTATTTATCCATCTTCTTTTGGTTTGTTACTTCAAGAATTAAAGTTCCCAGAACTAATAAGCATTCCAGAGGTGAAAAAAAGAAAGAAAGATAAAGAAACGCACTTTTGGAAATTAATCAAGACCAACGTCATCATTGGGAGCAGAAGGTTTCGGAGGCGTCGCACCAGCTCCAGGAAATCCTGGCATTCCACCCATCATTCCAGGGAATCCTCCCATTCCTCCCATTCCTCCGGCACCTCCGAATTTCGACGCGACCTTGGTTATCAACGACATGATCTTCGGATTGTTCTGATATTTGAACATATTTGCAGGATTCGACGAAATGTCTTTAAAAGCTTCGGCCACTTCTGGATCCTACAAAAAAGAAAGAGTAATAAAAAATCGTTTTTTTTTAATTTTTAATTTTGTTTTTATTTTTACTTTTGCAATTTTTTTTCAATTTTTTCCTGATTTATTACAATTTTGATTTAATTATTAAAAAAAAATAATAGTAACTTTGTTTTCAGAAAGAAAAACATACCTGGAAAGATTGAAGAACGTCGGGATCGTTCAAAAATTGGTAAAAATCTCCATCAGAATTGGTCTGTGGAGTTCGAGTATTATCATCGCGAGCTTTGGAACAAGCTTCTTGAGCTTTTTTCAATCTCTCTTGACGTTCGCGATCCTTCTTCTCCGATGCCTTGCGCTCTTTTTTTCTTCTGTGCTCTTCGAGTTTTCTCGCCTGTAAAATACACACACGATAAGTCACACATGAGATAACAAAAACAAAATAATACGTCTTATCAATATCAAACTCTTTAATGTTATACAGTTTTAGAAAAGGAAAAGATAAAAAGCAAGATAAAGAACAACCAGTTTTTATCATGACGTTCATTCGTCGATATGTCATACTCTCTCTTTTCATTTTTTCTATTAATTTCAGTGAGGAATCGAGAATTTTAGCGATTTTCCCAAATCCTGGACATGATGGGGATATTTCCAATAAAGCACTCGTGACAATTTTACTGGAACGAGGACATCACGTGGATCTCATCTCAAGATTCGAAATTATTGAAAATGTGGAAAATTCGTTAGGAAATTATACATTTTTGTTAAATTTCAATGAAATTGACGATTATTCGGAATCTTGTTCGTCGAGTGAATTTACATCTGATCCAGTTTGGTATACTTCAGAGGAATTTGGCAATAAACTTTGCAACATGCTCGGCGATAAGGAGATGCAAAAACTTTTTCGTAACTTGAGAGAAAATTTCAAGTACGATATTATTTTAATGGAGGTAAAATTGTCTTTATAATTTTTGCTACTATATTCCTATCCGAATCAATTACGAAATATTTTATCGAACAATAAAATTCTATTTTTCAGATTTTTGGCGCGAAATGTTTCATTGGACTCGGTGAATTTTTGAAGGCGCCAGTGATTTTGATTTCAAATCAAGTGCAATTGTCCTGGATTGAGGAATCAATTGTAAATCCAGAATCGATATACATCACAAATTGTTTTAAGGAATTAAATAGTGAAGCGAGTAATATTTTCACTCGTTTGAGAAATAGTTTAATGATACTTTTCCAAAATTATCAATTTTACCGTTATACACAGAGGCAAACGGAAATCATGAGAAAATATCTCGATCCAAAATTGCCGGAAATTACACAAATGGAAAAAAATGTTTCTCTAATTTTATCAAATTCTCATTACAGTCTAAATTCCATTCGTCCTTTGACATCTGCTTTTGTTCAAATTGGAGGATTACATATTGCGGAAGACAAAAGCAAATTATCATCAGTAAAAAATTCATTCTTTAACTAAATTCAAATTTGAGAATAAAATTTAAAGATTAATTAAATCAATTAAATTAATAAATTATTTCTAATTTATTAAATATTATTATTAATTTCGATTATTAACTTTTTATTATTCTTTATCACTGTTAATTTAAAAAAAGGAATTTCTCTTTAATTTTTCCAATTGTTTTTTTCAGAAACTAAAACGCTGGATGGATAAGAATACAAAAGGAATCGTTTATTTTGACTTGGGACCAAAAATTTTACTTGAAAATTTACCAAGAAAAATGATTATCGCCTTTTTGGCGTCATTTGCCAAAATAAAACCCTTCCAAGTTCTACTGAGGGTGAAAGATGTCGAGAAACTTCCCCTCGAACTTCCCAGAAATGTCAAAGCATGTGCACACATTCCCAGAATTCAAGTCTTAGGTATTCGATATTTCATTTCGAATTCGCATTTTTAAGAAAATTTTCAACTCTACTGATATAAACAATTTTTTAAATTTAAATTCTTCTGACATTTTTTTCTCAATTTATTTATTATTGTGACTAAATTAAATCATTAGTAATCTGATAAATTAATTTTTAATAAAAGTTTAATTTAATCGACTGGAATAAGAAATTTTTGCAACATTTTTGTCAGCTCATAAAAATGTCAAAGCGTTTATAACGCTGGGAGAAAATTTTGCCCTTCAAGAAGCACTTTATTTTGGCGTTCCTATTATCGGTATATCATATTCGTTGGTTCATTCGCAAAATCTACAAAGTCTTGTTGAGAAATTCGTCGCCTTTGAGATAAATTTCGAGGATCTCAACGAACCAAAAATTAACGAAGCCTTGACGATTGTTTTAAATGTGAAAATAATTAGGTAAACGCAAATCTTTTCGAATACAATCAAAAGGAGCTATTAAAAAATTAAATTTTTCCTTTCAGCCAACAAGCGAAACGATGGTCAAAAATTTTCAAGGATCGTCCCTCAAGTGCAAAAGAAACGGCAATTTACTGGATAGAGTACATAATCGATGGACCAAAATCATTCAAATCGCCTACAATTTTCCTCGATTGGTATCAATACGAACTTTTAGATATTTACGCACTTTTACTATTTTTCCTTCTATCATTAATTTACTCATTTGTACTAATTTTAAAAAAAATAAAAATTGAAAACTTTTTTCTATAAAAAAAATCTCAAAATTTCGAGAAATAATTTTGTTAAAAAAAATCAACCTTCCACAAATTCAGAAATAAACATCAATCTTGATTTTGAAAAGGCCGAAAATAATTTCATGGTCAGTAAACAAAATCTTGTCAAGGAAGTTGAAAAAAAGGGATTTGGGGAATATTTTCGAAAACAATCTTTTATTTTCTGACTGATAAAGTAAATTACGGTAAAATAATTTGCCTATCGAGAAAACAGAATAGGGTGCATCTTTTCTTAGGAAGGCAATGCCAAAATTGAATAAGGAGTGACGATAAAGGGGAGAAAGGGGAAGGGTTAAAGACGTTAAAAGCTGTGAGGAGCCACCTTATACGGCGGCGGCCCGGACGTCTAAATATAAAGGCGCCCGACACCGCGACGCAGTCCTCTGCCCGACTCGAAATCTCACGGAAAATCTCATCAACCAGATAAGAGTAGGGAAATGCAGTCTCTTAAATTAATTCCCTGGTGCAATGATCTCCTATCAAGCAATGCCCCCCAAGCCCTTCCCTTTTTTCAAATTTCATTTTTAATAAGTCAATTTCCAATTAAAATTTACTAATTCCTTGATTTCCTAATAAATATTGAAAACATTATTAAATCTATTTTTCAATAAATTTAGGAGTTGTTTTTATCATTTATTAATCTAATGATAATTTTTGTACTCAATTTTTCTTTCTTGAAGACATTGTAAAAGAGGAAACGACAAATTTCGTTTTGTCCAAACTAAAAATTCGTTTTCTTTAAAAGAAAAATATTTATTTTTACATACTGCAATTTTTTTTATATCAAATAGAGAAATTTTTTTAAATTACAAAATTAAATTTTGTAACACTTTTTATAATTTTTGTAATATAGATTAGTGAAAATTGAAAAAAACATTTCGACATTTTAATGTAAAAAAAAATTCGATAGAAACAAATTTTCATAAACAATTTAATGAATACAAAAATATTATTTAATATTTATAAATATAAATAAATGTATTTATTTATAGAGAAAAAAGAGAGAGGAAAAATTAGAGAAAAATACAAAGTTGAGGAAAATTTATCTTGTGGAGCAATTTTGATTGAAAATAACTCGCCAAATTCTAACGAGAATTTTATTCAAAATGAATAATATGAAAATCGTATTGAAAACATGGAAAATTAATAAAATTTCGAAACAATTAATTACGGGAACAATATCGTTTTCAATGAATTGAAGAGCCATCTGTGAAAAGATTCAAGTTGCAGGTGCGCAAGAAAATGTTATCGGCAGATAAACTGAATGAAGAATTTTTTCCTCTGAATGGGACGGAAGAAAAGAAGAAAAATTTTTTAACAAAAAATTACTAATTATAGAAATGGATAAATTTTTTCTGAATTATAATTAGATCTCTCAGTAAAATAATTATGTATTAGGTACAAAATATCGTTTCATCAGCTCTTTAAATTATAAAATAAAAAATCGTTAAAAAAATTTTTTTATTCTAAAAAATGCATTAAAGGTTGAAAATTAAAACTGAAAAAATTACTCTGCTGTGGATCGAAACACAGGACAAATATTTCAAATTAAAATTCTTTAAACATTTTTTTTAATTTAAAAGAAACTTAAAAAAATCTTTTGACGTTAATTATAATCAAAATTAAGAAAAATATATTTTTTTCCGTCTCAAGGGGCCAAGGTTTTTCTATTCAAAAAATATTGACATCATCCGTACAAATAGTTACAACTTTCCCGTCAGGAGTCGTTTGGCAGTGAGCATTGAAACTTTGAAATTCACGTCCAATTACCTGCGATTTCAATTTCCTGAATCTTTGTCTTAACGGACGACCTCACTTGTTTCTAAATATTGGCAAAGTTCAATTTTCCCTCGCAAAAGTGAGAGAAAATTTTCCAAAAACCCCCCCGAAAAAATAAATTATTTTCTTAAAATTTAAATTTTGAAATAATTTTTCAAAACTTGCAGCTTTTGCAAGCAAAATGTAGTTTTACGAAAAGATTTTTTTTCAATTTCTGAAAAGGAAGAAAAAATGAAAAAAAAGAAAGAAATTTCTAATCGACCTTTTGAACTTTTAGATTGGTCAAAGCAGATGAATTCTGCATTTCTAGGAATCAGGTCGCACTGGATATTTTTAACTCACAATTTTGCTGTAAACTTAAAGCCAAACTATTTAGTGATTTCAAATAATCAGCTCGGATTTTTTAGTCTCGAATTTGACTTACTAGCACAAATCACAAAAGTGACTTTCAAAAAACTAAAGAATAAATACTCCAAATACAAAATTGAAAAAGAAAATTAAATTTACAAATTTCTGGAAAAAGGTCCATCGAGAAAATTTATTCACTTCTTGACGATCTAAATTCCCATTTTTCAGACTTGACCGAAATATGTATTGGGCGTCACATCAAGTTCTCAAGAGTGAACACGTTGGGACAAATTTAGAACCACGTACGAGATAAATCATATAAAAATTGAAAAATCTCCTGCATATACTTTTATATTAAATTGAAAAATAGGGGAAATAATTTTGAGGAATTTTCAGGAGGCCTTTGTGTCAAGGTCAAGACTTCGCCTTGAGGAGAGAATCTCCAGAGGAAATTTGAAGAACTTCTTATCGTAGTCGTTGTGGATAGTTCGAGAGACAAGAAAAAGAGGGAGAGAAGACGATGACGAGATAGACTCGAAACTAGAAGGGAAGAGGGACCAGAGGGGTTGGCCGAGGTCCTCATCGTCGTTTCGACGACAGTTTCTCGCGAGTGCGAGTTGTAACCGAGTACCGCGACTAACGAGAGAGTGATCGAGGCCCGCCAGCTCGGCTCATCGTGAACAGTGCTTAGTGAACCGAAATGACGGGCTCGCGGTTAAGACCCGCGATCTTCGTCGGCCTCTTCCTCGGCCTCCTAGCCGCTTCCTTGCAGGGTAAGTTTTTCCAATCCTTCGATAACAATTCCCACTTCCATGAAACGAAAAAATCAGACCAAAAATCAATTATTTCCCTGCTTTCCAATTTTTGTCTTCTGCCGAATACTCAAATTTTCATTCTTTCTAAAAGAGAAACTTTTTTAACCTTCTAAAAAGAAAATCTTCCGTGTTCTGTAAATAGAGAAAAAAATTACTCGTTCCAAAAAATTCCCTGTCCCTGAGACAAAAATATTAAAATAACGTCAAAGCGTTTGTCACGCTTATTTTTATTTTAGTTCAAGTGCGTTACGTAAAACTTTTTGCAAAATGTTGGTAACATGGAGTAGTGACGGAAGATATGAAGAGAAGAAGAAAAGAAAAAGAATTGAGGTGAAATTTCGAAGGAGCAAAAAAAAAAAAAAACGCGTGGTCGGTATTTAAAATTAGATCAGTTCTTCACCCCCGGATCAGAGACGCTTGTGTCGCTGACGAACGAGCGTCGACCAAACATCAAGGTCAATGTTACGTAAGGTCTTCACCATCATCATCAAGTCACTTGCCTCCGAAAAAAAGAAGAAGACAACCAGTTTCGATTAACGACCCCTATTACTACTTTTTTCCTTTTTTTCACCTACAACATAAAAAGTAATTTTTGTGAATGTAAAAATGTTTCCTAATTTTAGTAACTTTTGTTGAAAATGCCCAACATTTCAAATTATCAATACAATTTTTTTTCGCTGTATTTAAAAATAATTCCAAACAAGTTTTGAAAAATTACTATTTAAAAAAAAAGAAGTTCTGGAAAGAAATTGGAAAAGATTTTGGCAATACGTTGACTTCGCCAATTTTGGAAAGAAAGAAATAATCTGAAATGGAGGCGAGGAAGAAAAAAAAAGAACCAAAAAGGCTATTTTGAATTGAAAAAAAATCAGTTGGTATTTTACTACCTACTTGACATTAACTGCACTTAGAAGACAGGTGTCTGCCATTTTCGTGCAGATAGTTGTTAAGAAGACTGAATTTTAAACAGAAAAACTATACTAATAATTGGATTAACGATTCTACACTAAAAATTCAATAAATTCACATTTTATTGAATTTTAGAGAATTCTTTCGAAAAATTTTTGTTGAATTTTGAATCCAACGCTCCTTTAACCTCGATTCATTTTTCTGAATTTGTATTAAAAATTTCAGCTGCTTGGTTATTTCTTCAAAATTAAAACAAACCGAATCTTTCCTTTTTCATCAAAGGATCAGAAACAATAATTGTAAATTTCAAATTTGTCGATTTGTCTCAATAATTCTTTCTCTGCATTATGCAATATTCTTTTTCCTCCTTTTTGCTGAACAAGGTACCGAAATAGATTTAGTTATTTTTTATTTGCATAAAACTGCATCTCTCGGATCATAAGTGAATAATTTTCAAAAATCACTAAATTCTCCAATTCTAAAGTCGTCGCAAATCTACAAATTTCATCTCTAGGTACAAGAATCCGATAGAAATTTCACAAGAAACTGAAAACAAAAAACAAAAATATGAACAAGGCAAAAATAAATAAAATAACCAGAAAATATAAAAACAAAAAAAAATAAATTCCACTTCTCACTAGTGAGAATTCATCATCAATTCTTCATCACCTTGACATTCGTATGAACCGAAATCTCCGTCATCGGCAACTCGTTAAATTACTCCAGATCCCCAATGAAAATAGCGAGTAAGAGAGACTCAAGGGCGCAGACGAAAGAAAGGTGCGAAAAGATAATTCTCTGACGGACAAGAACAAGAAAAAAGAATTCTTAACTTGACATCGCAAGTCATGTCAGGAATCTGTCCAAGCATTTGGCATTAGATTCGAGTTCTTTCTTGATTCGCAAATCTCCACAATTTGTTTGAATTAAATGCTCCGGAAAATCCTGCTCTCCGAAAAATATACAAGTCCAAATGAATACGGGAAAACTTTTCCTCTGAAAACAACTAGAATTCTCATTTGGTATTAAAAAAGAAATTCACAACACAAATTTCTTTTTGAAATTTGACAATTTTTCCAAATTTGCCACCCAATAAAAATAATATCCCTCGCTATTCCCTCGCTCAATATATAAATATTTCCCGAGTGTAACTTTCTTGGGCCACAAGCCGCCTACCCGAAGTTAAACTTAGAATTCGATCCCTTCCCTGGTCCTAAGTGAGAAAAAGAGAGAGAGAGAGAGAGAAAATTGTCATTTTCACTCGCCAAAAAATTATTGGCAAATTTTATACACATTGTCTAAAACAAGTTGTATGTCTAAAAGAAAAAAAACTGGAAAAATTTCCAAACTACTATTTTTCCTCCCTGGAAAATAAATTCACTAATTCGTGGATTTTTTTCGTAGAAAATAATTTAGCGTTCTTTTAAACTAACTTTAAAACTGACATAACTGACATAACTTCAAAACTAAAAAATAATTTTTAACGTAAATGAAAAAAAAAAATTATTTCAAACATTTATCGAAAGGTACTCGACATAATTTTTTCTGTGCTCACTAGATTTTCCAAAATTGTTCGAAATTAATTTTTTGTGCATTTCTTTACGTTAAAAATGAATTTTCAAAGTTTTTGTTTCTCCTTAAATGAAAAAAATATTTTTTCTCATATTTATGAGTCAATTACTGATAAATGATGGAAAAATAGAATTTTCATGATTAATTAAATTAACAGGGTTGCCACAAAAATTTAATTTTATCTTTCCAGTAGTTTTAATAAAAATTCCTGACTTTTCCCTGATTCCCCTGGCCTGTGGCAACCCTGAAAAATGAAAAGAACTATAAAATAAAACGGAAATAATGTGGAAAGAGAAAAATTGTGGAAATAAAGTTTGACGTAAGTGAAATTGCATTTCCCAGGGGTGCAAGGTGAAGAGGAGCTAGAGCCGGTGCCCTCGGAAGACTTGTGTCGACCCTACATTGAAAAGGCGTTAAAGGATCTTGGCACAGGTAATTCTAGAAGTACTTGCGAGTGCTTGAATGGAGCACAACGATCTTTAGAATGTTTCATTTGAAGGATCTGTCGAGCAGACCAGTGCCGAAGTCGAGGCTGGGGACAATCTTCAAGATACTGGAAACGAGGAGATAAGCGTGCAAGTAATTGATAAAATTGAATAATTCCCCCTGCCACCAATTTCTCTATTCTCTGCTGATGAGAGTATAATATCTTCTCTAGGACGATGAGCCAGCGAGCAAAGATGACGAATCTCAGGAAGCTGACCAGGACAGTGGCGGTGGAGAGGTAGTGGATCTCCCAAGCGAAGAGGTTCACGTCGAACATGAATCCGCCGAAAAAACGGACGACAGTGACGAGACTGCTGAACAGAAAGGTGACAATTTTCATTCTCAGATCTTTTCTAATTTCTCAATAAATATAAATGTTTAAAAGTAATTAATAAAATTAAAAATTGGTTTGAAAAATTATAAAGTAAATAAGAAAATTGTCTTAATGTTTTTAATTTTTTTTCTTTTAATTCTTAATTTTTTTGTGGTATTTATAAATTTATCGACTGATGAAGTGATTCTTGTAGATGAAAAATCGGAAGAAAAGCCGGAGGAAATCGAAGTAATTGCCGAGGACTCGAAGGAAGCTGAGAAAGTTTCGAAAGAAGAGATCGAAACGTCTTCAAAGGAGGACGCTGAGAAAGATTCGAAAGAAACTGCCGATGACTCGACAGAAGCAGCAGACAAAGTTTCGAAAGAGACTGATTCAGAATCAGATGGTACCAATTTAAAAGAAGGCACAGATTCTAAAGAAGATGGTACAGCTTCTAAAGAAGATGGTACAGATTCTAAAGAAGATGGTACAGATTCAAAAGAAGACGGTACAGATTCAAAAGAAGGTGATACAAATTCAAAGGAAGATGCCACAGAATCAAAAGAAGATACAGATTCAAAACATGACACTAAGGACTCTAAAGAAGACGATATCGATTCCAAAGAAGCTGACAAGACTTCGAAAGAAAGCGCCGAGGCTGCAGGAGGAGCAGAGAAAATCGAGGACGAATCCGTAGAGAAAAAGGATGAAGACGATTCGAAAATAGATTCAAAGGAAGATGTGAAAGAGGATTCTAAGGAAGAAGCTCACGATGATAAATCAGTTGCGAGTAAAGAAGATGCAGCAGACTCGGGAGAAAAAAGCGAAGAAGTAGACGGAAAGTCCGAAACTGATTCAAAGGAAGATGCAAGCAAACAAATCGACAGTAAAGAAAATAACGAAACCGACAGTAAAGACGATTCACAAGAAACTAAAGATTCAAAGGAAGAAGTAGATTCACAAGAAATTAAATCTCGTGGTCGAAGAGAAGTCGGCGAAAATGTCGAGCAATCCGACGAAACAAGCAAAGAAGGCGGTAGGTCCTAAAAACAAAAAAGTATTATTTTTTATATTTATTATTTAATAAAATAAATTTTCAGAAGGCGACGGAAGCAACGAAGGAGACTCCACGCCAGAGGAGGAATTAATTCAGGAAATAGAGATTCCGGAGAATTTACGACCAAGAGATCACATTAGTCAAATATTGAAATTAGATGAAGACAATGAAGTGAAAGAGAAGGCTATCGAAAAAGTATCTGACATTATACTCAAGGAATTGAAAAAAGTCTATGACAATGCAATTCAACCTCTGGAGACGCTATACAAATACAGAGATCTTAGTAATAGACACTTCGGAGGTTAGAAATATTTCAAATATAAATTTTAAAGTAATTTCATAATTAAATTTTAAAAATTCACTTATTAAGTACAAAATTAATTATAAAAAAAGATTACCTATTAGATAATATAGATTTTTTCTTAATTTACAGATCCGGAAATATTTTCGAAACCCCTTGTGCTGTTTATGGGACCTTGGAGTGGAGGAAAATCGTCAATTATCAATTATCTTCTGGACAATGAGTACAAAATGTCTTCCTTGAGAACAGGTAAAACTAGAGGAAAAGTGTAGATATTTTTGTATAAATATTTTTGCAAATATTTTCACTATTAAAATGAAATAGGAGCTGAACCATCGCCGGCTTATTTCAATATTTTGATGTACGGCGAAGAGGAGGAAGTTTTAGACGGTACGCAATTGGCAGCCGATTGGACATTTTCTGGACTGCAAAAATTCGGGCAGGGTTTGCTCGATCGTCTTCGGGGTCTTCGTTTGAAAAACAAATTGTTAGAGAAGGTAAGAATCTCAACGTCAGATAATATTTATGATTTTAATAAAATAAATTTTTTATCTTCAAGGTTAATATTGTCGAGATTCCCGGAATTCTGGAAGTTCGGAAACAAGTACAGCGTCTCTTTCCGTTTAACGACGCGTGCCAGTGGTTTATCGATAGAGCAGATATTATTTTCCTGGTCTACGATCCTTCAAAGTTGGACGTTGGACCCGAGACAGAGGCCATTCTCGATCAACTGAAGGGTCGCGAATACCAGGTTAGTATTTCGACAATGGCAAATTTTCTTTTTCGTTTCTTTTAAAACGATTAGATAATTAATTATTTCCAGACGAGGATAATTTTGAACAAAGCAGATCAGGTGAAACCAGAGGAACTAATGAGGGTCCAGGGGGCTTTGATTTGGAACATTTCGCCCCTGATGTCAAGTGCAGAACCGCCGGTAATGTACTCAACGTCTCTTTGGTCAATGCCCTACGAGGCCGGAGCTCCGACCAGATTGCTCTACGCCCAGGAACGAGCTCTCCTTCGAGACTTACGTTCCGCCATTGATAAAAGAGTCGAGCACAAAATCGCTAGCGCCAGAAGATTCGCAGTGAGTTTTAATCCTGTTTTTCTTTTTTTTCCAAACTGAAAGAAAATGTAAAACAAAAAAGTATTTATTTAATAATCATTCTTTTCACCAGGTGCGAGTGCGCAACCACGCGAAAATGGTGGACTGCTACCTGACGACCTACTACAATCACAAGACATTCTTCGGCAACAAGAGGGACATTAGTGACAAGATTGTCGAAAATCCCCAGGATTATCACATTTACGAGGGTCTCAGTACGTTGACAAATATCTCTCGCTACGATCTTCCTGATCCGGACGTTTATCGGGACTTTTTCCGTCTTGACGCTCTCTACGATTTCCCTCTGCTCAGCTCCACGTGCACCTACTTCCGTGGCTGTCCAATCAACAGGCTCGACGTCGCGATTGCCTACGATCTTCCGGAACTCGTTGGAAAGTACAAGAAAACCGTTGACGCCGCTATTAACGAGAGTGACCCCGGTTCCACCAGTTGAACTCTCGACAAATTTTCCATCAAATAAAACAAAATAATTTTTCAATTCAAAGCGAGCGAAAAAACCCCGAATTTGTGGGGCCAATCTCGCGTATTTAGCGAAAAACCGAATTATCCAAAACTCTAAATTTACTCTAATTCGAACAAAATCTGATTAAATTCTGAACACATGGAAATTTTATAATTTATTCACACTGCCATTTGAAGTAATTGACTTTTCATGGAAGTAATTTTCAAACAACGATCATAATATTAATGGAAGAAATTTTTGAAATAAAACGAGTTCAGAATTTTTCTGAGGACGACAAAGTGGTTTACAGTATATTACTGTATTGTCCTCTCCTAAGGGGAATCTACATCTAGAGTAACTAATTTAATTTTTTTTTCCATTCTGTGAGATGTGAAAATGTTATTCGTGTGCATGATGTACGAAAAAAAGCTTTTATTCCTTCAATAATCAAAGAAGATCGTTTCATCTTTCTATTTCTTACAAAGACCCTTCGAGTCCAACTTGAAATTGTCAACATCAGCTACTGAGATGTTTTTTTAGAAACGTGATGTTTGATTGTCATAGGCTAATTTATAAACTTAATTTTAATTTGTACACCTACTTTTAAATCATATACATAATTAAAATTAGAGAACTTTCTCTAATTCTCTATATAAATTTACTTTACAAATTTACCATATAAATTTAATATTCTACTATATAAATTTAATTATAACTCATGTAATATTGTAGTTTATGTGTAGTTTATAGAAGAAAAGTCAATATTAAATTTTAGAAAATTATTTATAAATGAAAAATGTCTGTAGTTAATTATTTATTTACAGACTGAAAATTGATTTTATAGATGTATGAAAATTTACTGGGGGGAGAATTTTAATATTTTTAAGTGCGTACTTTTAATTTTTGCTGTGAATCTTGTGCCACTGTCGAAAATCATGAGCTGAAGAAGCTGATTTATTTAAGGACTTATAGGATAATCGAGGTTTACCTCTATGATGTTAGTGATTGTTTGTCACTTAGGAAATCGTTAATTTTAAATAAGTGTGCTGTGAGTGCTGCTCGTATATACACGCATCACCTTGTACTCTTTCCCAAAAAAATACAGTTCAACATATATATTTTCCGCAAATTAGTCTCTCAGTTTAACTCCAATCCTCTAAAAATCAATTTAATTTTTTTTCTCCGAAAATTTTAATTTCATATAGTATTTTTTCTTTGACTAATAAAAAACAATAAACAGATTAAGAAAACATACAATTACCTCCCTTAATTTAATTTTAACTCGGAATAATTTTTAATCTCGTGTAGTATTTTTTTGGCTAATAAAATCAATAAGATAAGAAAACATACAATCCCTTAATTTAAAAAAAGGAATTTTATAAAAATTTTTTTTAAATAATTAAATTCTTTGACAAAATTTAATTAAAATAGTATATATTAAAAATCATTGAGTTGAGGAAAATTTTTGAAAATAATTGGTAATTTTGCCAAGAATTTTAAGAAAATTTTTGAAAATAATTGAAATTTTGCCAATTTATGAAAATTTAATTATTTCTAAAGAGAATTTTTAAAAAAATTTTGAACATAATATTGAATTTCTGTAATTATTTGAAAATTTTCTAAAATTCTCCAAGTATTATATCGTACAATTTACGAATTTTTGGTCTTTTCTCAATCAAATTTCGGACTTTACTGACCTTTTTTTTAAAAGAAACTGACTTACGGACCCAGTTCGAGCCCTAAATGTCTGAAAAAAAATTCTTGGAGCTGAAAATAAAATAAAATTTTAGGAGAATAAAAAACTTACGTTTGGCGTAACTTCCTTGAGCCATTCCTGAGCTAATTCGTCAAAATCGACCTGACAGGCGAATCTCAAGTCACTGGCGGCTTCTTCCCATTTGCCCAAAAGTTGATAGGCACGTCCGCGAAATCTGTGAGCGGCTGGACTGTCAGGATTCAGTTCCAATGCACGATTACAGTCTCGAATACAGGCATTTGGTTTATTTAAATTCAAATAAACTTGTCCACGTTTTGCGAATAAAAGTGCCTTCTGTGGATTCAAAATAATTGCCTCTGTATAAAGTTGAATGGCTTTTTCAAAATCTTTTTCTGCATACGCGGAAACTGCCTCGGGCCATTTTTCCTTCGACTCGGAAATTTCCTCCTCTGTTGGTACAGCCGTTGGATCGCCCATTTTTTGCGGAGCGTCTGTATCTGGTTCTGAATCATTTTTTCAAAGGGGGGGGGGGGGAATATCATCAGTATCAGAAAAATAAAATTTTTTTTTTAATAAAGTAGTCGAGAAAATTTACCTATTACTCCAGTCATGTCCAGCTCGATATCACTGTCTTCAGTTTCTGGTTCAGATTCAACCACCGGTTCACTGGCTTTAAATTCTTCGGGTTTCTTCTCGTTTTTTCTAGACTTTGGAACTGTACCTCCAAAGTGCTTGACAAAATCTTTCATGAACGAAAGTTCCGGAAGATTTAGAACCTCAGGATCTTTGATACACATCTCCGTGAAGAATTTCAACTCTATGAGTTGCTCCTTTTTGAAAGGGTGCGACATTTTGCAATCTAAAATTAAAACTCTTTTCAAAATCCAGAAATATTGGTTTTTATATTTTATTATACCTAAATAAATTCTCTCCTATTTTCAAATTTTAATTTAAAAGAAATGAAACGTTACCCATCACTAAATTTTTTTTTTTAATACATTTATTTACTATATACAATTAAAAAAGTTGTATTAAAATACCAAAAATAAAATATAATTTTTATACATATTTGGCGAAAATTCTCGAAAACAGCTTAGAAATAAAGAAAAAAAATCTTGTTAACAAGATTCTTTTTCGATTTACAAAAAAAAGAATTTTTTCCGGAATTCTAACCTCAATTGAAAATTGCGAGCGTGATAAAAATAGCAATCGCGGTTAAATGGAATTAGCATACTTTAATATATTTATCATTTCTTTATCCATCAGAAACCGGTATATATAGATGAAAAATACTTACGTTTTCAATTCGGAGTCGCCGGACGAAGCAGTGACTTGTAAAAAATTATAAATGAGAGAAACCACCACCACCACTTGAGCTGTTTTTCGCAATCACTCTCCTTTTATCTATTAATTATCAAGGCAAAAATTCCTCTCTTCAACTTGTATAAAACTCTCTCTCGACTTAATTTATTGCGAACAAAAACAAATTACGGCACACAGAATTGGCAAATGATGATAATGCGACAGTTTCGATGTGAAGTTGTCATCAAACAGGTTTGTCAACTTGTTCGTTTTCGATTTTTTTCGTTTCCGGTCGTCGTTTGTAAAAAAAGAACACTTTGTAAACAATAAAGATTTTTTACAAAAAGGAAAAAACAATTTAATAGCCGATTATTCAAATATTTAAAGAGTGGATTTTTTTTTTGCTAAATAGTATCTCATTTATGAATTTAAATTTCCTGGGAAAAATTTTCAAAGTTCGAAACTTTGAACGGATATGCGCATTTTAAGGTTGGCTGACCTGACGCTGAATGATTGGCCGAGGAGAAATGAAGGTCAGTTCATAGAGATCCAATAAGAATGGCCGCCGCATTGGGAAGCAAGTGTTTTCCGAAAACAAGAAATTTTACAATTCAGAGGATTTCTCGGTAGGCATTTGCAAGGTTTATCATTTTCATTTCTTAATTGAGGCAAAATAGATTAATTAGTTGCTCACTGTTTATATTTTGTACGTGTGACATTTATTTAGAAAAAAAACAACACTCCCCCACTCCCCCGAACGCCCTGAAGTTGCGACATGTTTACAAATTGGAAACGTGCTCATTTGTCGACTGCTTTTTATTATAATATAGATTCGTGACAAGTTCATCGGCACAACAGGACATTAGCGAAGGATGGCTTAGCAAACTTCTCGTAAGAAAAATCGAGCCCACCAAAGAATCACATTCGCGGATGCTTTCCGACAAAGAAGTCATTTACGCTCTTCACACGCACAACATCCGCCCTGACTCCATTGACAAGTACCTCACCAACTAGTGCGTATTTTATTTACATATTATTTTCAATTCGAATATTCTATTCTTAATTTACTATGTTTCTGTTATGTTTATTAAAATTGTTCTTATTTAATTAGAATATTATTGTATTTAAATTTTTATTAAAAATGATAGTTGATAATTTTTCAACAATTGTCTGCTCCGAAAATTTTCTAACAATTGAAATTTGATTATTATTGTAGGTGAAAGAATCTGAATTTTTAACTTGGAATATTTTCGACATTGTTTTATTATTTCTTTTATTATTGTAATTATCTTGCTTTTAATTTTCAGCCAAGAAAATGTGAATCTTATCCACTCGAAAAAATCGGAATTAAATTGTGAACTTGTCGGTTCATGGACCGTGGAAGTTGGTGATCTTGATCAAGCTCTTCATCTATGGCAATTCACCGGTGGTTTCGAGCGTGTTGATAAAGCACAACTTTTCTTTTCTCAAGATGCTGTAAAAAACTGCCTAATTTTATAAATTTTTGTCAATTATTAATTGAATTCAACTTTAAATGTTTATTTTTCTTTTTGCTTAGTTTCATTTAATATAATTTTTATAAAAGTTAGTTTTGTTTTAATGAACTTATTTTCTAAATTGGAACTAATTTCTTAGAGTAGAAGCTAATAAATTTTTCTTTCAGGACTATCAGCGATTATTGAAGGAACGTGGAAATTTCTTGAGATCACGACACTTGCAATATCTTCTAGCGTTCAGTTATTGGCCGCAAATACTCAAACGTGATCCATCCAATAAATACGAAATTCGAAGTTATAGTTTAAAACCGGGAACAATGATCGAATGGGGAAACAATTGGGCCAGAGCCATTAATCACAGACGCAATAATGACGAGGCTTTCGCTGGATTCTTTTCCCAAATCGGAAGACTTTACAATGTTCACCACATTTGGTGTAAGTTGCATATTCCTCTTCGATTTTACTTTACTTTTATTAAAATTTCAATAGGAATATTTTTATATTTATTCTTAATCAAGAGAAAAATATTTCAAAATAATAGTAAAAAAAATTAAATTTAGACGAAAATTTGAAATAGGTGGCCACATTTTCAAAGTTTTCTGGATTTTATAGGTGTAGAAGGTGAGAGTTATTGATGAGAAAAATTCTCAGGTTTGCAATTCCCTTGGGTGTGATTTTTCAGCTGCACGTAATTGACCCTTTTTTCATTGCAATTAACATAATTTCGATAAATTAAAGTGTGGCCACCATTCTAACTCTATTAATTCCAAAAAATTGAGAATGTAAGAATTGCAGGATTGTTTTAAAAAAAAATTGTGATAGTAAATAGTGTAAAATTTTAGGTTACAAGGATTTGCAGTCTCGAAAAGAGACACGTGAGAGCGCATGGCGTTCACCAGGATGGGACGAGTGTGTCGCCTACACTGTCCCATTAATTCGAGAAATGCACAGTCGAATTTTAAATCCGACTTCATTTTCTCCAACAAAGTAAACAAATGTTTAACTCTGGTCAATTTCTTTGCATTTTTATATTACAGTAACTGAACTTCTGTAATATTGTATAAAAAAAAACTTAGGGCTCATTTTAAATGATAAGAATTCAGTTTGCAAAAAGTTATAAACAAACTTGAATCGAATGACAAATGAAGTGAATTATGTAAATTGAATTTCCTACTCACCGTTGCTGTTGAAGCATTGTGGCATAATTATGTAACATAATATACATATACGAAAAATTACTCGTAACTAACTCTTTTTTATTTGAAAAAACTCTTTCACTTTGAGGTAGAAGAAAATTTCGATTTTGCTTATTTTTTCATAAATTTGAATTTTTCAATTTTTTCTGTCGTTCTGTTTTCTGTAAGTTTTATTTTAGATTCACATTTTTATGAAGTAATTTCAAATCCACTTTTTAAAAAAATAGTTCAACTATTTCTATAGTTAATGTTACGATTCACGATTTTTTTCTAACAATTGAAAGAAGGATTCGGAATAAAGAAAAATTCTTTTTATAATTTCAATTTTTATTATCTAATTAGCATAGAGGTTTTTTTCTTGTTTGTTTGTTTATTTTTTATTTTTTTGAACAGTTCTGCTCGTTTCGAGATGCAAACGAGAGCAAAATTTGCTCATCCCCAGCCATCAGTTTTGTTTCACTTTTTTTTAGTTAAAAAATGTATTTATGCTCTACCTAAACTTAAAAGGTAAAAATAATTAATTACCATTAATTATCATCGTAATTATTAAGACCGATTAGGAGTCTGGTTTTTATTTCGATACGTGTGTTGCGCTTTGTTACTTTTTTTTGCTACAAATGTATCGCAGTTTTTTTTTTTTTTTTGCTTTTGTTTTTCTTTAGTTTAATTTGATGTATAATATATATACTTTTATATATATCTTTATCATAATAGAGAATATTTATCTATAGTCGTATATTCCTATTTACTTTTTTTTAATAATTGAGTTGGTTGTATTTTTTCCAGTTTTTTTTTCTACCGAGTGAGCAGCACAATTATTATTGACCACAGATCTTTGCTCACTAATTCGTAGACATTTGTATAATATTTTAAGAAAAAAAATTACTCGTGACTCTGGGGTAAAAATTTTGGTAACACTTTAGCATTGCAATTATTGTAACGCCTTGGAAGAAAATAAAAGAAACGGTAAATTTTCTTTCGTTGTAGTTCTCAAAGAAAAACGAAAAGTAATAAAAATTTCCCCTTTTTTTCTTAAATATTAATTTTTTCTACACTTTTTGAATTTTATTTTCTATAATTTTTATTTCTGTATTCTTCTTGTCTAAAAGTTTTCTCTAAAATCGCCATTTTCGCCATATTTCTTCATTTTTCTTCAATATTATCTTTGGCTTCGATTTTTCAATCGCAATGCTAAAGTGATCCCTTTTCAAGTTTTTTCTTTTCCAATATAGATGAGAAAAAAGGAAAAAAATCTCCTACTTCTCTAGAGTCATGAGTTCTAAAAAAAAATTCTCTACAATTTTGTCTGCTAGAAAAAACAATTAGCGCTAATTAAAAATAAAAAACAAATTACAGTTCGTCTACTTAAAGCCAAAACCTGCATTGCGTTACATTGCGAGTTACATTTACACCGAGTCGTTGGCACAAGAGGGAAGAGAATTGTGGGATTTCAAAAAAAAAAAAAAATTTTCTTTTCTTCTTTTCCCCTCTGATTCCATCGATTGGAGAGTTCGGCTCTAACTTTGGAGAATATCGACGAGTTTGGTCTACAAAGCTCTAGCCAACTTTTCAGTTTTTCTTTCTTTCTTTCTTTTTTTTTACTTATTCGTTTAATAATAATCATAAGTTTCGCAATTTAAAAATCTGAGAACACAATGAACAAATATTTACAAAATGTTTTTGAGAGGAAAATTAAAAAATAATCACCTACTGTCATTATAGTTGAGATGGGAAAAATAGATAAATGTTCCGCGTTTTGGTACAATTCATTCGCACCCTGCAGAAAGAAATAAGACACACTTTTTTTATGAACGGAAGAAACATTTCGATTCGTCGGGCTAAGAATTTCGAGAAAATTAATTTTTTATAATAGAAAAAAATTTGTTTAATTAGATTTTTTTCTATAATTTTCAAAAATTCTGAATTATCATAATGATAATATTATCATATTATAAAAACTCTTTTCCGAAATTTTAAATCAACCTATTTTCCATGAAATAGTTGAAATTTTTTATGAAACTAGATTTTTTTTCTTCAAACTAAAGTTTCGATATTTAAGAAGTTATTTTGCATTAAATATTTTCTAAATATTTATTTACTTTTTTTGCATATTTATTTAAAGTATTTTTTTACTATTATTAAAATCTTTTGCATCAAAATTTGTGTTCAAAAGCAATTAAATTATTTTGTTACTAAATTATTTTTCGCAATTTTAGATATGTTAATAATTTTGTGAATTAAGTTAAATTTTTTTTTGTTTTTTAAGCTAATTAAACTCAATTTGGTTATAATGAATTTAATTAAACTTCTTTTTCTTGGATAAATTTAATTAAACACTTTTGTTGATTATTGGCATAAATTTAATTAAATTCAATTTTCTTTTATTTACTCTAATTAAATATTTTGAAAATGCAACTTTTTTGTTTAGTGAGCCCGTTACGAATTTTCAACAAATTCATACATTTCACACTAAATCCCGAGGAAAATAATTCAAAGGAGAATTTCGATTCGTCCTTATATACTCAACAAGCAGATTTCACTAACAAACTTTCGAAAAACACTTTTAACATAATCTATTCTCTCTCTTTCGTTCGCTCTTTCTTTCTCTTTCACTCTCTTTCTTTCTTTCATTTTATTTACATTGCTTCATCGTGAGAAATAGAAAGCCTCGATTAAATCGCATCAGTTTCTTGAAGGACTGTTTTTTTTTAAATTTATCTAAATATGTCGATTCTATTTGTGACCATTTTTTTTTCTTTGACTTTTCTTTTTATTTTTCTAAATATTTTCTCTAGTTATAGGAGCCTTTCAAGGAGCCGCTGCGATTCTCTTACATTCAAACATTTTGTGACACTGATTACTATCAATAAGATATAATTTACGTAACAAATTTGTAAAAAATCGAGGAAAGGGAAAAAATTGCATTTCAGAGTCATTCCATCGGAATAAATGTGTACTGGATACGAACGTAGAAATTTTCTTTCCCAAAAATATCGATTATGTAACTTTTTACAACTCACTTTTCAAATCTAAAAATTCAACAATCGTTGAAAATATTTTTCTCTAATCCAAATTCATTTCTTTTTGATAATAAAAATTAAAAAACTTGGTTTTCAATTTGATCACAGGTTCAATGCAAAAATATCTAGAATAACAATCAACTGAAAGATGGAAAAAAAATTGCAATCAATTAATAAAAAATTTAATCAAAATAAATTTGAAAAAATTTGTCCGCAAAAAAAAAATACTGGTGACAATTTTTCGTCGGTGTTATTTTATATTTCTTACAATTTAGAAAAAAGGAAAAAAAAACTATTCTAATACTTCGAGTTGACATTCATTTTCTTTACTTTGAAAATATTTTTCCATTAACTTTTCTGAAAATTAAAAAAATGAATGAACTCGACGTAAAGTCAAAAAAAAAATATCGCAAGGGCATTTGATCGAAATTACACATCTTTCTTCAATAACTTTTGATTTAAAAAAAATGTAAATTTTTATCATTTTCGACAATTCCTGCAGAAATGTTTCTCTTTCTAGTTTTTGAAAAATGTTCAAGACAATAATTTCAATTCTTTTCTTTACATACAATTATAATACGAAATACAAATTATTTACAATTAAAAATAATTTAAGAAAATTATCTAGAATATTTTAAATTTTCTAAAAAAATGAATCTAAATTTATAAATTAAATTTCCTAACCGATTTTTTAAGGATTGCCTCAAAAAATATCGTGGGGAAGATAATAGTTTAAAATTATAATTAACAGCCCTCCTTCTCAATCTAATCACAAAATTCTAGAAATTTTTCTATTTTTAAAACACGAAAATAAGTTTTAACTAATTTTTCTTTGACTTTACGTTTTTTTTAAATATCAAATTTAAAAAGAGAATTTTTTTCAATTCATATTTAAAAATTTCTAAAATAAGTTATTTAATTTTATGATTTGGAAATAATTTCAATTAACTACTTATATGAAAATAATATTAAAAATCATTTCTAATTTCATTTGGTAAAATTAAATTCATCTTGAGATTTTTCTAACAATCTTAAAACTTTTCGCAGGAAATGTAGTGGCTTATAAAACTATCTTAAATAGAGAGCATCAATTTGATAAAATAATAATAGTAATAGAAAAAATGATAAAAAAATAGATCTTACATTCTTATCCAATACGCATTACCGAAGAAAGTCTCTTTGATTTGAGTCCTAAGCGCAAGTCTGTCCAAGTCTGTGCCTCAAAGTCCGTTGACAAAAAAAAAAAAAAAAAAGGAAAAAAACGAGTCTAATCGATAGACAGGGGGTTCAAAAGTATAAAATTACAAATCTACCAGAGGATATATTTTCGAACCCATCAGTCATTGTTTTCTTTTTTTTTCTTCTATATGTATATCTATTTATATACAAAATAGAGATTAAAAATCGCGTAGTAATTATTATTTCATTCAGTTCTAGATGAATCGACGGACCTTGGACTTTATTAATTATTTATTATTTATTTATTTACTTTTTTTTGTTATTTTTTTCATTTTTCATGATTGATAGCAAAAATGACAATGAGTCGGATTAAATTGTTATGCACAGTTTACAGGCAGACATAGAGTTTTATAACACGAATGATGAATGATATATTTTTTGTTTTTTGTTTTAAGATTATAGACTATTAGGGGGGAAAGATGTCGAGCTATTACTGTGAGCGAGACTTAACATTGAGCCCCGGAGACTGTCGTCGTCTGGATAAGACTCTTTTGATGCCTCGGCAATTGCCAATGCACTGAAACCAATTCTTGCGCTTTCCTCATCGAATTGTTGTAATTCACGTTCCTGTCTCTCGTGCAGGAGTCTTATTCGTTCGCTTCGCTCCTGGAGGAATTCCTGTGTTTCAGCTTCCATTTTTTGCTCGAGTAAAGCACGTCTCACTGAAACACGTTCCTCTAATTCGCGTCGTTCGCGATTTCGTTGCGCCTCCGCTTGCATTTTGTTCTTCGATTGATACGCCATCAGAATCTCCAGCTCGTAATTCAGTCTCTCCTGCGAAAAATATTCGATAATTTAGAAAAAGAGTTCAAGGATAATTTAGAAGAAACAGAAAAGAGAATAACAAACCTTGAGATGATGACATTCAACCTCCTGCGATTCATCCAAACGGATACTTTGCTTCTGAAGCATTTCAGCAATACTCTGATCGTATTGCTCGCCCAAAAGTGCGAGTTTCCGCCTCTGTTCCTCCTTCAACTTCTTTATCACGGTTTTTTGTTCGTCCTTTGCAGTTGCTTGTAAAATTTGAGCTTTCAACGCCTTATATTGACGCGTCTGTATTTTACACGTCTCCCTAAACTGCTTACGAATCTGCATTTCCTTTTGCTGCGAAATAAAATTCGAATGTTTAGATAATTTGAAATTCGATTATTATTTCAATTATTTCTTTTTTTGTACTCACCTTGAGACTCTTAGGCTGCTGCTTTAATTCGAGAGCATGCTTCTTGCGTAAGTCTCGCTCAGCTCGATTCATGTAATCCTGCTGATTACACAACTCAGTGCTGTGCTGACGTTGAACTTGTTCCTCTCGGAGAGCGTGAACCGCTCTCTGCTGTCTATACTCTAATTCCTGGGTCTTCTCGTGATGTCGCAGCAACATCGCGTGCGCTTGCTCCAGTTGCTGCTGTCTTTTGTTCAGTTCCTGTTATCGAATTTTAATGTGAATTTAAAATCAAATTGGATTTTTAATTTAATTTAAATACAAATAAAAAAGTGTTTTCTGTTTATAATTCAATTATTTGCTTTAATGTAGGTAAATAATTCAATTTTCTGAAATTTTCATTCTGTCTTTTATAAAATATTCTGGATTCTTAAAATATATACTTACTTCACGAAGAAGCTCTTGCTCGAGTGTATGGAAGTTGAGTAATTTTTTTCTGCGGAATTTCCTGATTTCGAGGTCGAGGTATTCCCGTTGTCCTCTTGCGAGTCGTTGCTCCTCCTGCGCCTCCATTTGCTTCAAGTTCTCTTTCTGACTCTGGAGAGTCGCGTCCCGTTGACGCTTTGGCGTCATCTCGTCTTGCGAAAGTTCCTTCTTCCACCTCTCTTTGTACGCCTAAACGAAAAAATGTCAATTTACCCGTTAAAAATCAAAATCGAATTTAATTAAAAACAAATAAACAAGTTTTTCCTAATGAAACATTTTTTAAAGTACATAACTGTTTTTAGAAGATATGTTTCTTTTTCTTTTAGAAATGATTATTTTTCAGAATGTTAAAATATTGGAAATAATTAAAAATATTTAACAATTAATTAATTAGTAAACGAATTGAAAGATAACGTACTTTATATTCTCGCTTTTGTTGAGCTTCGAGTGCCTTACGATCGGCCTCCTGTCTACTTGATATTTCTTTATGAAGCTTCTTCTCTGCATTTTGATTGTGTTTGAATTTCCGCTCCAACTCCTTCAAATGCCTAAGTTGTAATTTCTCCAACTCTTTGCTAAATTGCTGCAACAATGTATCGTACTCATTGTCGAGCAATTGTTTATGAGACTCCATTTCCAATTTGCAACGCTCCTCGAGTTTCACCTGGAATTTTTGTAAACAAAAATCTTTTTAATATTCATTAGAGAATAATACTTATTGACAAACTAAAATTTACTATCTAATTAAGATTGACATTAACTCAAGACTTAAATTTTTTGAAACTATTGATAAAAACAATGATCTAAATTTTGGGATTGGTAGTAGAATTATGTAATTAAAATTAACTTCTTCCACCTTTAATTAAAAATTACTTAGAAAAATTACATCCATAATCATTCATTCAATTTGAGAAAATTCCAAATAGTTTTGTGCATTATGACACTAGTAGATTTGATATTAACTGTGATTTCTTTGACCATGAGTAGAGCAATTTACGCGTGGCCTTAAATGCAGAGTATTGAATTTGTTTTCCTGTATAATGATTTAGTTCTTTATCTAAAGAATCATTCACGGATCATTAGTTTGTCCACTATTGTTAACGAGAATGTTTTTTCACTGTTTACCAGCCGTTTACGAAATCGTACTTTTGTTTTATAATCCTTCAGTGGAACCAATTATAAGACTAATTTAATTATTAATAGAATTTGTAGACTAGAAATACTATTTGATGTTTTTCAAGTTTTGCTGAAATTGCTCTCATTAATTTTGTTGAATACTTTAATTTTATTATACACTAGTATTGCTATTTAATTTAATTGTCACAAATTTCGCGATTACTCAATTTGTCACAAATTTCACGATTAGTTAATTTATTGTCATAAATTTAATTCGACTTAATTTAATCACAAATTAAAATTCTTAAATTAAAATATAATCACAAATTTGATTACTATTATTATTATTATTATTATTATTATTATTATTATTATTATTATTACAATTACATTTTTATTAGTTTTTTTTACTTCTTTAAAATTTATTCTAATTCTAATGAATATTGTTTATTAGTCGAAATAAAAGATTGAGAAATACTTGAGAAGGAAAAGGGAGAGTAATTACCAAAGCTCCCTGGTGCTCTCGTCTCATTCTCTTGTAGCCGCTCATCTGCTCGTGCATCTCCTCCTGCATGTGCTCCTTTTGCTGCTTGGTGACAATCGACGTGGTTCTTATGGTGGCGAAATTATTTGCCCCATGCTCCAGGAGATTGGCAGTAACGCCGGCAGAGATGTTGTGCCGATTTCGCACTGAACCGGTCGAGTAATCATTGGAGTCGGCATTCGGCAGCGGCAGACTATTCGTCGAGGAACTTTGTGAACTCGCCGATACGCCCATCGAGTGAATCGAATGCTCCGAGGTGATGGAGTTGCTCTTACTACTATCGCCACCTGTTTGTTCATCAGGAGTGTCTGTCAAGTACAATAAATAAACGACTTATTTATAACTTAAAAATTACCAAAAGAAAAAAAATTCAAAAAAAACATCTAATTTCCCTTTCTTTTTATTTAAAAAAATCGATTGATATTAAATTAATTTTTAATTCAAATATCCATTTCCATTCTAAATTTTCAAAAAAAAAAATCGTTCTCTTATTACCATCCGGATCGCCGACGGTGCTTTCCGTCTCACATGAGTCGATCATCAGAATCTTCTTCATTTTTCGATAGTTCAAATTGTCCAGTTCTCTAACGGCGGCCTTGGTTCTTTGAATCAGATCTATCAGAACTTGCAGTGAGCGTGTTCTCGTTATGAATTGATGCTGTTGAATAAAAATGACATTTACTCTATTTGAATTTTTTGAAAATTGAAATAAAAAAAGAAAAAATGTTATCGATGATAATTACCGATAATAATTTGCCGGAACTTGGCCTTTCACTGGGACTTTTTGTCAGACAGACTTCAACGAAGTGACGAAAAACGTCTGTCCAATCGGGAGAATTCAGAGTTGGTGTGTCGTTCTGTGCAATGTGATACAAAGCACTCATGGCGTTCATATTAAAATAGGGAGGCTTCCTTTCGGCTGCAAATGATAAATAAATTTATTTTCTTAAACTCATCAACGTTACTCTTAATTTCTTAATTCAAGGTTGCCACGCTTTTGCTCATTTCAAATTCCCTGACTTTTCCAGGTTTTTTCAAGGTTTATAAAAGTCCCTGACATTTACAGGTTTTCCAGGTTTCCAAGTTGCGTGGCAACCCTGTTAACTGTATTTTTAATTCAATTCAAAACTAAACTTTGGAAAATTTAGTTTAATGAGTTTCGTTGGAGTTAACTGCGAGTACTTTATTTTATTTCTCAATTATTGTTGATTTTTATTACCTAATTCAATGCAGGTGATTCCTAGAGACCAGACGTCGACCTTCCCGTCGTACTGGCCCTCGTCCATCGCTAGAATAACTTCGGGCGCCATCCAATACGGAGTTCCCACAAAACTGTTGGCTGGACATTTAATACTGGCAGAGCCGAAATCTGCCAATTTGACGGTTCCATTCTCGGTGAGGAGAATGTTTCCCGCTTTCACGTCGCGATGGATTCTGCCCAGGGAATGAAGGTAGTGCAAGCCTCGCAACACTCCTTCGCATATTGCCGCGATTTCGTCTTCCTTTAGAGGCCTTTTATGGACTTCGATTATGTCGGACGCTGACCCCAGACAATATTCCATCACCAACTGTTTGGATAAAAAAAACATTTTTCAAATTGTCTTGCAAAAAAAATTACAGGAAAAGAAAAAATATTTTATGAGAGTAGGTAAAAATGGTAAAATTTTCATACCCAGGCGGTGTGTTCCCTGAGATAGCAACCCTTGTATTCGATTGTGTTGGGATGATTGAGTTGCCGGAGAAAGCGAATTTCCTTGAGGATATCCTGCCACTTTTCCATCGTCTGCTTCCCCAGATAAGACATCTTTTTGATAGCGACAATCTCTTTGGTGAGGAGACATCGGGCATAATAAACGGCGCCGAAGCTGCCGTGCCCGATTTCGCGCAAGTCCTCAAATATCTTTTCCGGATCATTTTTTTCAAAGAGTTCAGCGATCTCGGGATCCTTTAAACTGCCAGGCCTCATAGTAAATGCGATTTTGCCGTTCGTCTCGTCTCTCACTCTCTCTCTCTCTCTCTCACACTCTCTCTCGCCCTTCCCCCGATTCCTCCTCCTTCAACCACACCGCTGATTCTTCAGCATCTGTCAATCCATCCTTACAATCATTACTCTTACTTTCTGTGAACAAAAAAGCATTATTATTCTTTCATTACAAATTTATAAATAATTATCAAATTCTTAATTATTAATTCATTCAATTATGTATTTCAATTTCAATCCATTTATTCAATATTATTACTATTATTTATTCAATAATAATTGAAAACAACTTCGCAACGTTTATAATCAATGATTTAGGATAAACAATATTTTTTCTGTTACAATTAATCTTTCTTGATTAATAATTTAAAAACGGAAAATTTTATAAATACGGAATTTTATTGTTTTTCTCGTGGAAAATATTTTTTTCTTTCAATTGTTGATTTTAAACGTTGTAAACTTCACTAAAGTTAGAAATTAATAAAAAAATTATACAAAAATTACAATTTTAATTGTCATAATTACTATGTATTATTAGTTATAAATTGTAAAAAAATATAATTTAATTAATTTATTAATTATTAATTACATACATTGTTAATTTAAATGTAATAATTAATTAAATTATTAATTTAAATGCAATAATTAATTTAATAATTATTAATTATTTTTACATTCTTGAAAAATTTTTATCAAACGTAATATTAAAATAATAACAATTATTAAGTTTATAATTTTCAATTAATGATAACAATATTAATACAAATATTTATGTTTGTTGTAATGGTAAAATATGATAAAGGAGAAATAATAAAAGTTAGATGATAATAATAATAATAATAATAATAATAAAAAAAGTAATAATAATCTTAAAATATTAATAATAAACGTAAAAATATTATAAACAATAAATATAATAAAAAAGTAATACTAATAATATTAGAATTTAAAAAAAATATTGATTTTCTATTAATATAATATTAAATTATTATAGTATCTATTCATATTAATAAATAAAAAATTAGTATTCCATTATTCAATATATTTTTCATGTTCCCTAATGTTTAATTTTACTAAAATGAAATTACCAAACAATATCTTTAACTTTTGAATTAATAATTTTCCTTTTTCAAATGTAGTTTCTTATTGATTTTTAGATTTTATTTTTAGGCTTCTAAATTTTTATTAATCAAACATAATAAAGTAAACTAATTTTTTATTGATCCTCTATTTCTTATTATTAAATCTCCTGTTCTTTTATAATTATGATTACATTACGAATATAAGGTAAAAGTCAGTCAATCGATGATAATTATTTTATCAATTTAAAAAAAAAATATTGACGATAATTATCGAATTTGAATTAATTAGAATTAGAACATAAACAGAATTGTAATTTTGTTAATTACTTAATAAATATTAATTGTCTGTAATTGGTAATTAGTAATAATAATTAGTATTAGTAATTAGCACAATTAATTGGTATTAGCAATTAACACAATTAATTAGAATTAATTAGATTTCATAATTACTTATTTTAATCAATTTGATCAACAATTATTATTTTCTATATGAAAGATAGAATTTTAGTTATCCTATCCCAATTATTTAATCAATTTAGTATTTAGAATTTCTATTTAAAAATTTTTATTTTTGAAGAAAAGAATTTTTTTGAAAATAAAAAAAAGAAGCAAGTGTAGAAAACCTATAACAGAAAACTAAAAGTATTTACTCATATAGCTTTGTTGGATATCTCATTTAGTCTAAATAAGTGTAAACAGGAAACCTTATTCATGCGAAATCTAAAGCTCCTGATTTCAGCGTTCTCATAATTTCTTTTTTTCACCGGAATCTAAAAAAGATTTACTAGAAATTCCATTGTATCGTACGTAATGCCACTAAGAACACTAATTAAATCTCGACAATTTTTATCACTGAATCATTTTTTCCTGTGTTAAATTTCATCAAAAGAAGTTGTTATTTAAATGCCATATATTTTTTTTCGTCAAGAAGTTAAACACAACAAAAAGCTAATCCCCCCACTATATCTCTCTCTCTCTGAAAATTACACTTGGCCTCCTCGGCAACAATAGAAAAACGAAAAAAAAAACAGTCACTTTTTCACGGTAATTCAACCCTCGTCTTTTAACACTCAATCGTTTTCTAAAGGGGAAGCGAGGAGAAGTCAAGAAGGGAAAAACAAGGGGAAAAAAGTATGAAAAGTAGAAGTAAAAAATGAAATGGAAGAGGAAAAAAGTCTTGATATTGGATAAAATTAGTGATTGGAGATAGAGGAGCGAATGAGTGTTGGGAGAAAATGGAAAAATAGTTTTTCCAGCCTCCTAGTTGCACTGATAGATACTGGGATCGTTTTGTTCGCGTTGTTGTCACGCACTGCTCACGTCATTTGTACGAATGTGACACATACCTTGGAGTTACTATAGGCTTGGCTGCTTTTGCTTTACACTTTTGTGAGCCGCAACGTGCGGATTTTCTTGTCGGGAGAATTGTGAGAACTCGCGAATACGAGCAATGAAACGAGACGAGAGTGCATCAAGGGAAAGTTGGATGTTGTCAGGAGGGTTTCTCTTGTCACAAAAACGAGATCGCGCGAACGATTATTGGAAGAATTTTATAACGATGGAGCGAATGGAAAATCTGATTTTTCGAGGCACGTTAAATGCTTGCTAGATCGCGGGTCCCCGACTGTCCAGTAAGGAGGGTTGGGTCGCTCTCCACAAACAGAAGACAGTATTTTAACGACATCGACTGATTTCTCGTCACCCGAGCTGTTGTCTTTCAACGTTATCGGACATCCCCCTGTGTTTTGGGGGCCACTGTGTCGCCGGGAAAACTCGCCGAGAAATAATAAATATTCACCTCCAAAATGGCGAGATTCTCATGCAGGGAAGCATGCGCGCTGCTCCTTCTTCCTCCTTATCTTCCTTGTGAGGCACCAGTCGACTCTCTTTTTGAGCGACGTTTTTCACAAATTTCTGAATTCAATTTAAGCCCGAGATCATAGTCACTTCCGAGTCGCACGCCTGATTTCCCGTCGGGCAAAGTAAAAAGCACCGGAAAGTCACGCCCTGTACAGACGTGCCGTGCATGCACGCACACACGCGACCAAACAAAATACCAACAATACACTATACAATTACGCTCGAGAAGAATTCGCGCACACAAAATTTTTCTCAAGGGACTCATAAGAAAAGCAGAGAAGATCCCTTGAATACCGGGCGAGAAAACTTCAATGAAACTTCAACAGGGAAGTTTACCAGAATTTTCTATTTTTCAATTTACCGATAGCTAGACAGATTTTTAGAATAATTATAAAAATATTTACTGTATTTTGGGTAGTTACAATACTGTAAGATGATTTTAATCAAATTTACTCAATGAATCCGATATACGTCAGTAAATATGATCAAATTTGAAAGTATAATGGAAAAATAACTTATAAAGTGAGGTTATGTTCTCGAAAGTTTACTAAGAAATTTTCGGTAAGAATTATTATTTGGTAATGTTTCCAAAATTATCAAAAGTTACCAAACCTAAAGACAGCTTCACATGTTTTCGTAAAAAAGAAAAACCAACTGGATACTTTGAGTTATGTATTATCCGTTATATATATAAATCTAGAATCTTTGCTCCCTTTCTTCTTTCCATATTTTACAATTTTTTACTCTTTTGTTCATTTTTTTGATTTTAACAACACAGGCAAAATAAATTTAAGCTTGTCTCACATGTCAAAGAAAAAGAGACCCAACCCTGGAAAATTGAATATTTGTGAACGGACCTTAAGGAAAATTCACACGACGATTGCGCCCCTGGCGGGAAAATTGACATCCCGCAGCTGATGGAAAGTGCGCATGAGTGGACCATCTGTTTGGAGGGGCGTATAGAAAAGAAAGGAGGCCATATTGTACAGTTAAATTGAAAGAAAGAAAATAATTTATCGTGCCCTTGTGGAGTCGCGATAATATAAATTTTTATTCAATTCTCGCGTCATCAACAGTGGATTAATAATCTCAGGATCGTGAACGGAAGTGAATTGAAAAAAATAGAGGAGTCTTTACTCGGCTCCTGTCGTTTTTTTGTATATAAATACAGAGTTACGGATCTCGATATATATTCGATCAAGACCGTCCATACCCAAGGAGTCATTTGCTGTTGACGAAATGGGCACTCGAGACGACGAATACGATTATTTATTTAAAGGTAAGAAATTAATGTTAATGTTCTCCCATAACCCTTCTTTTTTCATAATCGGCCATTTTTTTCTGACGGACTTGACAAAAAAAAAATATATATATCCGTCGTCGGGTCGTTGACGAAGATCGTTGACATTGAAGCGCAGATTGTCGCAATCGACAATCACATTCAAGTAATAATTGCGAGCATTAAACTAATCGTCATGTAAATAATTAAGATTCTAGTCTAGTCGCTTGTTGATGTCTCAAGCGTAGAGGAAGTCCTCTTGTCTATAATTCGAAGTAGACAGAAAATGCTCTCCTGTCATTGACATTTATTCCTCATTACATTAATATCGTTAAATTTCGAGACGAATGAATTGTCTTCTAAAATCTCTCATGATGTCATCAACTTATGACTAAACACTCGGTTTCGCGAATCGTTTCTCATCCCCCTTTTTTTGACACGAAATTTCGAAATTATGAGCTCGACCTCTTCTGTCAAACTTAAAAGGTATATTGTGTGACACGTGTAAGAATGACGTTGATGGATAAAAAAAATCCGATTGTGAAAACAAAATCACTTGTCACTATTATATCTATTAAATAATAATTATTGTCTTGTTCCTCAAGAAAAAATCACTATAATCTTTTTTTTCTGTTTATTTTTCTTCTCGCTTCATGTAACATAATTTAATCCATCGAACGTTCTTAAATTTCAGTTCAATTTACATTTCTTGATGAGTTGACATCTATATTTTTAGATTAAATGATTTTATTCTGTCATTGAGTTAATTTTGCAATTAAAGAGTTAAAGATAATTCGATTTGTTTTTTAACTCCTTCTTTCTCTCCTTTGTCGCACTATTACTCGACCTTGTGCATAAATTAGAAAGCAATATTTAAAAAAATACATTTACAAATAGTCAAATTTTTGTTTTTCGACATTAAGTATTCTTTTCTTAACTTTTTGCATTAATTGAATTTACTCGAAAAGTGGAGAAAAAAATTTTGTTCACATTCTGTTTAAGGGAGACAAAAAATTGATAATTTAAGAGTTAAATTGCCAATTAGAAAATTTGAAACTAATGGTCGAAGATAAAGTAACATTAAAAATGACCGGTTGATAACTTTGTGAGAAAAAGATAAGAACAGAGAAGAGAAATGAAGAAAATTTCTAATTAAAAGCAAATTCTATTTTACAAAATTTATAATTTTTTCCAATTGACACATAAAGTTTATTATAATTTCTCTTTAGAGTTTAACGAATAAAAGAAAAATTTTCTTTATTCATCTAGAATATGAAAACAATAGAATATTAATTCTTTTCTATAATAACTGAATGACAAGGAAAAAATGGATGATAAATTTTTGTTTGTTTGAAAGAAAAAGGTCTCTATATATAAATTTGTCTTTATCTGTACCGTTATCTTATTTAAATGATCAAACGCTCATCTAATTGAACTTTTGACACAAGCACGTGTTTATTCTTTGTTACTCCTGTCAATTTGTAATCCATGATTCACAAATGTGTGTAATACATTCATTCATGTCATCGAAATCTAAGACTTTTGCTTTTGTCATTTTTTCAGTGGTTCTCATTGGAGACTCGGGAGTTGGTAAGAGTAATCTCCTCTCACGATTCACACGCAATGAATTCAATCTCGAGTCAAAGTCGACAATTGGAGTTGAATTCGCGACTCGTAGCATACAAGTTGATGGGAAAACGATCAAGGCCCAGATATGGGACACGGCTGGACAGGAACGTTATCGTGCTATCACGTCCGCGTAAGTAAAAAAAGGATTTTTTTATTTAATTTTCTACTTAATTATTTTTTTTGAATTATTATTATTTTAGTAATAATTTGAATGTGTTTTTTTGTTTAGATATTATCGAGGTGCTGTGGGAGCATTACTTGTTTATGATATAGCGAAGCATTTGACGTATGAAAATGTTGAACGATGGTTGCGAGAATTACGAGATCATGCCGATCAGAATATTGTTATAATGTTGGTCGGAAATAAGTCTGACCTGAGGCATTTGCGAGCTGTGCCCACTGACGAAGCCAAAGCATTTGCCGAAAGAAATGGCCTCTCATTCATCGAGACCTCTGCCTTAGACTCAACCAATGTCGAGACGGCTTTTCAAAATATTTTAACCGGTAATTCAATTTATATTTGAAAAATTGTTCTTGAACCTCCATTTTAAGATCTTTTTTTTACCATCTTATTAATTTTCAATAATTATTTTCTTAAGTCAAGTGAAATATAATAATCAATGTAAATTTTACTTAAAATTTGTCAAATAGTTTAGAAAAAAGGTCTTTTTTATTTAAAAAAAAAACAGTTTTCTAAACTTATTTTTCTGATTTAATTTCTGATTTTATTTCTATTTCGTTTACAGAAATTTATAGAATCGTCTCGCAAAAGCAGATAAGGGATCCTCCTGAAGGTGACACCATCCGACCACAGAATGTAGAACCAATCGACGTAAAACCGACAATGAGTTCAGACGGAATGCGCAAACAATGCTGCCAGTGACTCTCCTCACACTTTAACATGTAAGTGTGTCCGCATAAGCTGAAAGCTCAGCAAGTTTTTACAATCAAAAAAAAGTAATCATGTATTATACTATTTTTTACATATATAGATTATTTTTATCAATCATTATTATTAATTCTTATTATTTTTATTGATACTATTATTTAATGAGATCATGCCAAGAAATTGGGATTAATTATACATATGTAGATCTGACTCGAATTCCCTTTTAATTTAGAGATCTAAATCAAGTAATCAATTACTATAATTTTTTACTTTATTACAATTAATTACTATATAAGTTTAATTGGATGTACGTAATTAAACATCAATAAAAAATGAATTTCTTGGCCATCTCAGAAAAGAGATTATCGATTCTTTCCTAGAAGGATTAAAAAAAGAAGAGAAAAGGAATTTGATTTTCATTTGGGAATTTCGAATGCCAATTGTTTTTGCAGAAGCAGTTACACTGAGGGAGGGAGGAGGGAAGTGGTGACCGGCGATAAATATAGCAGGTGCGTGATCGCACGAGAACTAAGACTATGGGTACGGGGGCCTATAATCTCGTACGCTAGGGGGTTTTTTTATTAATAAATGAAAAAGCAAAAAAAAAACCCCATCGATGTGAGGGGGAATCGCAGACTGCTAACTAAAAAAAATTAACAAGTTAATAGAAAGAAAGACAAAAAAAAAAAATACTTTCGCATAATTGTGAATTTTAAACGATCGTCGAAAAATCCTTTGATCGCTCATCGAAACAGATACACTTAACATCTTATATTTTAATTCTTCCTCTATTTCCTCCCTGCCCTCCCTCCTCTCCATAACAAAAATCTACATATTTATGTGTAATCATGTACGAATTGCATATTTGGTCAAATACACATACACAAACACAAAAACACACACACACGGATAATTTGTTACTATAATTAAATGTTGTATCGCCGCTTCTTTGTAATTAGGAGTGTGAATGGTTCAAGAATCGAGTAGAATGTCACTATTCGTCTATTTTTATTTTACAAAGGAAAGAGAAATTTTTTTTCCAACATGAAAATTAAATTATTATTGAAGAAAATATGTTTTTTTTTTAATTATGAAAGATTTGTTTCTTCAGAAAAATTTTTTTCCTTTCAAAAAATTTAATTTCCCTATTTTTTCTTACAAAAATTTATGAAAAAATTCCATTCGTTTTGACTTAAAAAAAGAATTATTTTTTCAAAATGAAAAAAAATCGTTTTTTCTGACAAATTTATTTTTTTAAAATGAAAGGGAAAGAAAGTTAGAAAATTGATATTATAATACTAAAAGAAAGTAATGATTGGGAAGGTTTATTCTAGGATTAACTTTGGAGAAGAAAAAATCCCAAGAATCGAATAACGATGTTTAATTCGATTCGACGCTGTTCTGAATGCCCTTAATTTGTAAGAAAAAAAAATATATATATAAAAAAAAGAAATGAAAAAAAGTAAATAATCTCTGCGAGCAGTGTTGATGTGATCAATTTTGATCGTCAACAACAAAAGGACCCCTCAGTCGTACCGCAATTATAAATAAACAAAAATGAGAATAAAATAAAAATAAAAAAACAAGCAAATATGTAATAAGGAAAGCATGTTTAAGAACGCGAATTTAGGAACGAATTTGTGAATTGAGGTGTTTTACGCTTTTGTGCACTAAACGAGGCGAATGAGGCATAAACTAATAATTATGCTTTTAATTACATGTGGACGACTAATAATTATTAAAAAACAAGAACACACTGTTGATGATTAAGAACAAAAATCAAGAGTGGAATCCACATACACACTTGCGGAATTTTTCTAATATAATTATTATTAAAAAAAAAAAAATTATTGTTATTCGCCGAAGTTTTACAAGACATCTTTTTTCTCGTTTTCATTTTTATTCCCCACTTTTTTTTGTCTCAACGAAAACTTTTTATCATTTCACGCTTTCGTTTAGATGAAAAAAACACGAAGAAATAGTACGAGAAAAAAACGTCAAGGAATGAATGAATCACGCCATTTTTCGAGTCTCTCTATCTCTATTAGCGTTTGTCTTTTAACTTTTTTTTTGTCAAAGAACACTGACTCGGAGGCTTATATGACGTTAAAAAACTGTTTTTGTTTTTTTTAGTAATTTTTAACTTAATTCCTAAGTAAAAAGTGATTTCACTGATATTAAAGAATGCAACAAAATTTTAAATAGTTTATTTTTCCTCTGAACTCCTGTTTTTTATTAAAAAAAAAAAAAAAAAAAAAAAAAAGAATCGAAGTGAAGAGTTTTGAATAATTTTAATTCCATTTTGAACTTTTTGTTTTCTTCATACAAAAAAGAACTGAAGATATTTTCGAATTTTTAATATTTTAATTTTGAAGCGAAGATGATTTACTTCAATTTCCCTTACTTTTTTATTTTCTTTCTAAATTTTATATTAATTTATATATCTTACTTTTTTTGGGAACAATTTTATAATAAATAAAAATAAATAAGAAATTCGTACAATTAATTAATTTTAAAGTTGTTAAATTGAAAGGTTTTTAATTTTCGAAGAATTGAAAATTCAAACTGCACAGATCTATTAAAAATTTATTTTATTTATTAAATATAAACATCTCTTGATCGCTAAGAGCTTTAATAGACAGTACAAAATAATTTTATATCATACGTGTTATAAACTAACTTATAGTTTTAATTTTAATTTACAATAATGAATAATGTAAATATTAATCTTAAAACTAGTAACTCTTTTGAAATATTTCTTTCAAATATTCTTTTCATCCTCCATTATTATTAATTGTAAAATATTAATTATTTAAATTTTATTTTTTTAGAAGAAGTGATTAAAAATTCAAAAATCAAAATTATTTCTTGAAATTTATCTAGTCTTTTAGAAGACGAAAAATAAAAAACTCTTTATTAACTTGTAATTGACAAATTTGATTTTTAGCTTTTCTTAATTGGAAAGTATTCGATTTTTAACAATCTGAAATTTAATTTAATTCTAGTGCTAAGTTTTTTAATTTTATATACAAGTCCAAAAAGTTCCAAATCTTTGAAGAAAATGTAATTCTAATTAATCAAAATTTACGTCGAAAGATGGGAATTATTTTCGTGTATAATTCCTAATTCTTCCGAAATTAACGCAAGTAAAAATAATGTTTGCTCATCACTTTCATAATAAGGTAAATATTAATTTACAGAATTAATTAATTAATTAATTAATTTGAGTTAATTAACAAGGAACTTTTTGGACACTTTCTGTACAGATACGATTAATAACGAGTTATTTGTAGAAATATTTTTACAAGAAATATTTATATATTAACAAGATTAATGTACAAAAACAAAAAATTCAATTCTCGAGTCAAAAAGGATACAATTTAGAGATCATCCTGGACCTTCAAAAAAAGTAGCAGCTATGAGGACGCAATTGGAGCGGATGCAGATTCCAAACGAATGAGATTCCTCTGTGAGGTGTTATTATTCTTCTGTCTCCATTCGAGCCAACGCAATAAAATCGGATTTATATTCGAATCACTGATATCCGAACGCGCCTCCAGTTGCTGATAATAAACATCGCGCAATAATCGAAATGTCTGTACATTTCTAAATGGTAAATTCGTCATTGGATCCATATATTTTGCCGGTAACCTGAAAAACAAATATTTCATTGCAAATTATCAATTTTATAAAAAATATTTATTCTGCACACTTTTAGTCAATTTTCCTAATTACATTTTAGCATTGATAAAAATAAAATTATTTAATTTATTTGATGGGAATTCACCTAGTGATTGCACATAATGATTTTAATGTGGGTCTTGGTGGTGGAGTTTTCTTAAAAGCCTCATTAAATAATTGTTCATTCTCGAATGTAATGAATGTTCTTTCATAAGAGCCATTCGTTTTGACTGTTAATGTTTCTTTCGGATTTGTCTCCTTTTCATTTGTTCTGACAATTTTTTCCTCTGTTGTTTTGTCATCATCTTCCTCGACATTTATTTTTTCGTCCTCCTTCTCCGCTGTTTCACTCTCCGAGAGAACAATTATTGGCATCGAGAACGATTGATAGCGAATCATTGGCGTTAAATTTGTCTTTCGCACAGCCCTTGTATTTTTCTTTTCATTCTCCAATTTTTGATATTTTTCTAAAAGTATGTAAAATTAATTTTAATTCAATAGATTAAATTAAATTTAAAAGAAATACAATTTTTTTAATTGTAAATTGACAATAAAAAATTACTTCTTAACATTGATTTTCAATTAATTCAATTCGATTTATTTTATATTTACCGAGAGATTTTAAATTTGCTTTTTCGGTAATTAAGGCCTCTTCTAATAGTTCCTCTTGTGTTGGTTTCCAAGCGTCATGTTTGACAATTTTCACCTTTTTCCTTTGATCTTCGTTTCGTTCGCGTATACGCTTTTGTGTCGCTGCCGATTTCGCTAGAGTTGATCGACGAATTGATTTTCTCTCGGTGCTGTCGATGGACATTCGATCTTGTTTCGGAGCTTTTGGTTTCTTTTCTTTTGGAGTCGATTGTGAGGGTGTAGAAACACTTTTAGGTTCTTTATAAGCTTTTGTCACTAATCTTCGTTTCCTTTTAGGATCTTCTTGTTCGTGATCAGAAACAGGTTCATCGTTTTCATCGATACTGAAGTCTGAATCCACTTCGTCCTCACCTTCGTCTTCGACCCTAGAAAGATTTATTTTTAAATCTACTATTATTATTTTTTTTAATCGAATTCGTTTTTTAATTACTAAGAGTTCAAGTTTAATAAAAATTCGAATTTTAGTTCAAAGGTGAATTAAATAAATGAATAAACAATTTCTTACAAGTAATCATTGTCTTGTTCGGCTTCCTCGAAACCGCCGTAGGTTGTTTTATAGAAATCATCTTCTTCCTCCTCATTGAGGAGTTTTGCCATTTTACTTCCCGCATTAGAACGTCGATCTCGCGATAGCGCCATTATTTTTAATAATTACAACTATCTGTTTGTAAATATTAAATTTAATTAAACACTTTGACTGTTTCACTGTTTGGATGACAGAATCAGAAAACTTTTAGGTTATGATAAACATTAAGTGCAATTCACAAGCTTGAGATTGCAAGCAGCAATTTCCATAAGGGGAATATGAATGACGCCTAAGTCAGGGATGGGTAACTTTACAGTAGATGATCTCTAATGTAAATGTTTCAAAAATAATTTTTCTAGTTTTAGCATCTTTTTTACTATAGTAAAACATTTGAAATGGAGTATTAAGTTTCAGGCTGGTTTATTCTTAATTTTATTTCACAGTTTTCGTAAGATTTATGTAAGAACAAGTTGCTGAAAAAGAGCACCGAACCCTGAGACGGAGAGAAGATTTAAAAATGGCGCGTTGTACGTGCTGCCACCTAGCGGCAGTACCCTGCAATTTTCAGTCGCACACGCGCAGTTCCCTGGTTAGCAACGACGTAACGTAAAAAGTGGGGACTACCAACTTTACACAAGTCATTCGGTGCATTAGTTGGTATTCAGTGGTTCCTGTTCGGTAGCGCAGAAGAGTCGGGGTGTTTTAAGTTGATTTTTTAAGTTAGCCCATGCAATACCTCTGTGCCCTGTGAAAAAAACAGTGTACTGGCAAAGACTCTGCATTTGGGGAGCTCACATTTAAAAAGAACAGCCGACCTCCTGTTTGGAAATTATGTGGGATATTGCCGTGGAATTACGATCAGCCACACGTCAAGTCAGCTGACATATTGCGTCCTGCTACACCACAGCAGCCTTCGGTAAGTGTCGCAATCACTTTAATCGTCCCTCGCAAAACCCAATGACTATTTTTATCAAAACATGCGCAAGTCCTATCCCGTCTTTAAACATGATTGTTTCAACTTTGATTTTACGATCTTTAGTTGAACAAACGCCACACACACTCCATGTGGACATTGCGTCTTCCTTCCGTTCCTGTCATCTTCTCTCGCGTTCGCCTCTCCTGCTGCTGCTGCTGTCGCAACTCCAGCGATCTCTTGAAAAAGAGAGGAGAGCTCGCATAGAATGTATATGAATGCTTCGCAATGGGCCACGGACTACGAATCAACAAAGAAAGCGACGCAATTTCGGGCCAAGTGCGTGTCCATGGAACAGAGGCCACAACCATTATCGCCTATTCATTTCCCCCCCTGATAATTATTTCGTCTCTCGAGTCTTGAAAAAGTAAACCTTCCGAAAGGACCCGTTTTCAGCCAATTGGAAACTTTTCTTCTCTAGTTTTGTTACGTCACTGTCACTTAAAAATCATTATTATTTAATTCCCTATTAGCAATAATTATATTCATTTTCATTAGTTTATAGAAATTATTAAAAAAATATTTTCTATTTCCAAAGCATCTATTTATTCCAGTTTCCTGTGACTACACTCCAATCAAGTAATCTCTAAATTGTTTTCTTTAAAACAAAAAATACTGTACTATTGCTATTATTATGAGACTTCTATTATCTAAATAGTTTTTTCGAGACTTCTATTGTAGGCGCTATTTTTTAATGTTACAATACTAAAATGTTTAAGCACTCGAGTGCCTCAAGTGCTATTAAATTGTAATTAGAATATTATTGTTGAAAATATTTCTCTATGTATCATCGTTAAAAAATTCCTCTTTATCTCGAAATCGATATTGAGGGTTTCAATTTCACAACGGAATGAAAAAAAAACACTTTTTCGATATCAATTGAGGTTAGGTCGGGAGGAGGGGAGCGCACCTTGCCTTTTTTTTTAAGACCATGATACCCCTTTTAATGGATAATAATAAGCGAAAGACTATGTTCGTTTCTCAGAAATATTTTTAACATATTTTCAAATCTTGAAAGCAAAATGAGATGTTTTTTAAAAGAAATGAAAATAAAAGTTAATTGAGTGAGTCAGAGTTATTGATTTTGACATTAAAATCCTTCCAGGAAGTTTGGGCCGGGGAAAAATGAATTCTGTTGGTAACGAAATGCGTCACGACCGTCACGACTTTTGTTTTTAGTTTGTGATTTTTGATAAATTTATAAAGTTTGATGATTTTGCGTTCTTTGGTAATGACGTAGAATACAGATACTCTCGTATATGTTGGAAATTTCTATTTCGTTCTTTCACTTTGCTTTTCTTTTGGAAGCTTTTGCATTGTTGCGTTATAACCTTTATGACGTGTAACGCACCACGACAGCGAGAACCAGTGAAGAGAGAGCAACACTTGCATGACACACGCATTCACATGGTTTCACCCCCGCTTGCCCGCGTGTGTACACACCGTGCGGTTATATACTTTCCCCCTTTTTTTCTCCCCCCACATACACACTTTTTTATCATAAAAACCTATTCCGCCATCTAGTGTCGACGATTGGAGGACGCACAATATTCTTCTCTCTCTTTCAAACTCACTCACGCCTCATATATTTAATTTTGTTGGTCTTTCTTCTTTTTCCGCCTTTGTGATTCTTTATTTTGTTCCTTGAGAGAATCAACTATAGTTTCATGTATACGTATAGGTGTAGAGGAACCCAGTTGGTGTTTCTTTAGTTTTCTTTAACGGAATTTTTCATCTTTTGTTTACTTTCTTTCTTTCGAGAACTTTTTTTGATGTCCTGCAAAAAAATTACACACAGATCAAGAAACTCTGGATTCGTCCGGTATTTACGCTTCTAATTTTTTTTATTTTGATTTTTTTGTGCATTGTCTTTTAATTTCTCCTTTGTTTGAGTGCAACATTTCCTTATAAATATTTTAAGGTTACTACGTGTTAATTCGCCAATACATAGCGCGATTAATTTAATAAGTAATCAATTCACTCACTGTGAAGTTTTTCTTAACTACACGCAATATAATCACTTTATTATTATTCCACTGAGTTTCTCCTCTTGCACTCCTGGGTTTTTGTTTTAAAATCGCTTTTTATTATTGCAAATTGAGAAATATTATTTCGATAAATAGAATAAATATTTTTTTTAATAATTTGAGATTAGATTAATTTGTTTTAGATTGTATTTTAAAGATTGCTTTTTTTATATAGAAAGAATTTACATATTTTTTTTCTGTATAATAAAATTCAAATTCCCAGTTTGGAAAAATTGACAAAGTTTGTGGCAAATTTTTGGATATATTGACAAATTTGAAAATAGACAATTTGGAAAATGTGTATTTTAATTCGTAGGAGACCTTGAGTTGCTTAATACGTGCGTTTAAATAGAAAGTAAATAAAAACAAAGTGATGAAATGTACTTTCTTTTTCCGTTTTAGTGGATTTTTAATTTATAATTAATATCTCGTGTATTTATTTATAGAATCTTAAAAACAGATCTCGGATATTTTTTTAATTTTACAATAATTGCGCTTTTTTCAAGTCATGGAATTAATTATTAGGTTAATGACTTCACTAGACTTGTTGATTTTATCAATCGACGAAGTTTTCTGGAAAATACTGTGTGTGTAAAAAAGCAGTTAAACTCTCATTACATTTTGATATTAACTATTTGTCAATTAATAAATAAATATCTTTTGACAGGCGTCGAAGAAAAAATTGTTTTAATCAAAAATTGACAGTTCTGTTGTTTATCGTTCGAAAATTCTCTACATTTTTTGCCTACTTGGTTTTTTTCATTTAAATTCGCAGAAATGTGAAATTGGACTGATTTTCTTGAATTCTGTGCCCAATTCTCGGTTGAATATAGCTATTGCAATAAATAGTGGTTTATTAATAAAATACTTTGTTCTGTGCGCGTTTGTGTTGTAGACAATAAAGAAAAGAGATTCTATAGACAAAGGAATTGGAATGAAACCGAAATCCTTTCCTCGCCATTTCTTGGAAAGTAGGCGCGTATTTCCGTGCTTCCTTTGGCCGTGGTCACGTGTCGATGACTCGTCCACGTGCGGAAACGATGCAAGCGTTCTCGGCAAGGTCGATTCGCGTTCTCTTCTTTCCTCGAAATCAAACATCTCTCATTTTGACTGGGGAATTTCGTCTTGTCTTGAATATAGTACGAATATTGGCTGACTTTCTTTCGTACCAAATTCGCAACTATTATCCTAATAGAAGTTTGAGTATAGAGAAAAATTGCGCGAGTTTGTCGTCATTCGTAGAATTGGTAGAATTCTTATCAAGGTCGAAACAGGTCCCCGTTTCAAGGTCGTCTGGAAGGAATCGAACGAAATTCCTGCGAGGTTTGAATTCGATTGGATTTTTTTTAATGAAATGTAGATTTTTTGATATTGTGTCGGGTCATTGCAGTCTGGGTGTCATTGTCCCCGCAATCAGGTTTCCCACGCATGACGATGCACTTGCCAAATAATGGGACTCTTGCGTGATTTTTATGATCCTTTGAAATTCTCCTCTTTGAAATTTCTCTGTGGGCGGAGAGAGACAAGGAAGTCTTTATTTCGTCGATTTCCATTCAAATTTCACAATTATTCGATAAAAGCACACGTTTCGGTTTTATTGGTTGTAAAATAACTTCTTCATTTTTCCTTTTTTCCCTCTCCGTTTTTTCGAAAGCAATAATATTCTTTGGCTGTGAACAAAAGTTGTTTGCAAATTGGACACGTGGAACAACGTGTTAATTTTTTCCAATGTGGACTGTATTAGAAAACAATTAGTTTTTTAAGGAAATTTTTATTTCCTGAAACTGGTTTTTTAAAAATGGAGAAAATCCTGTTAGGAAATTGTCAATTTTCTATTGTTGGTAGTAATTACACAATAACTCGTAGACAATTTCACACTATTCAAATGAAATTGTTTCCTAACCTCAAAATATTCTGTCTATTTGTCAAAAAATGATAAATCAGCTAAGAAAATATTTTTATCAATTCAATGACACAAGTTAATTTTCTCTACAATTTTAACAAGTTTAAAATGATTTTGTAAACCAGCAACTGTTTGAAAATTGCATTTTTAAAAAAGATAATGACTAAATATTGAATTTTGATTTTTCGTTGAAACAAGGTGAATTTAAATGTGAATGAGGCCTTGATGAATAGGGGACAAGAAAGATTGTGATAAGTTATCTGAAAACACGAGGAGTGCGTCACTGCGTCAGCGCAGAGAGCCTTGCAAGTGCTTTGTATCTATTCCTCTCTGGCATAACATGAGACCACAAAAGTCGTCAAGAACACACGTAGATTTCTAACAAAGTATGAAATTTTGATATCACATCGCAAAACAAAAAAAACAAGGAGCACGTTTTATTTGCAATTACGTCTAACATCCTTTTATGTCATTAAGCGTTTACAGCGTTTATTACTCACCAAATACAAAGGATCCGAGGACTTCCACTTTCAGAAACAATTCATTTCCCCCCCCCCCCCCTCTCTCTCTCTCTCTTTCGCCCCCTTCTGGAAAAACAATTTGCAAATTCTACGCGATTGTTTACGTGACAACGTGTTTTTGTAAAATGGAATGTTTATTAATTATTTTTTTTATCAATTTGGATAGTCCATAATTATTATAAATATGAATAAATTATAATTCTCTAATTGTTATTAGAAAAATATCAACAGTCATTGTTTAGAAATAAGAACAAACAAAAATATTAAAAATATTTTCTTATCTACCTTGTGACTAATTAATCATTATTTTGTCAAACATTGTTATTAATCTTTAATAATTACTTTCATTAAACATTTTTTTATTATAGTCTTATCAATTTTTCCGAAGTACATTTTTTTTATTATTACTATATTTTTATTGGTAATTTATCATTCCAGTGGTTGTCACAACTTTTCTCTCTTTCTTTTTTTATAATAAATAATTTTTTTATCTCGCAATTCTTGAAGAATGGAAAACACGTGTCTTTTACATTTATATATCTATATACAGTGTTTGTATGTATATATACAATGAAGAATGGTGAACACGTGAAAATGGGAAAACAGGATTCTGTGCGTGTTTTCACTTGGCCTCATGGGCTCAAAAACACACCATCATTAGTTGTCTTTTAGTATTAGTTTGAATTCAGTGTTGGATAGACGAATACGCGATAGTGGATACGCCTTACCAAGTTACAGTAACGAATCTAGGAACAGATGTCTCCCTTTAACTTCAAAAAAAAATGTGAAAACGTGAGGATCCTTCATTTTGAAGTTGAGATAAAATTAGATTTCGACTTCGTAGTCCATATGGAGTAGAAGATCCTTTTGAAAATTCTCATGAGAAAGTTTGGGGGGTCGTTTTTTTTGGTATTTTTTTAATGAAAATATGGTTGAAAATTATTGAAAGGAAATTGTTTAGAATAGGCGAAATTTTTTCTTTTCCTTTATTTTGATTTTAGAAATGTACAATTTTTTTATTTTTTAACTTTCGAGTTTTATTTTTATTTATTTATTTTTGTTCTACAAAATAAAATTTTAATTCGACCCTGAATATTAAGGGTGTTTGACCCCTTGACATAACCTCAAACTAGAAAGGTCAGTTTATTGCCATAAAGCAGGGGGAAAACGATTAAAATTTACATATTTGTATTTCTAAAGTAAAAGTTATTCGAACTGTCGAACTGTAAAATAAAAGTTTGATTAAAGAATGAATAAATCTTAGGAATTTATTTACGGAAAGAAAAATCAAAAGAAATATAGTATATGACCGATAGAATTAATTTCTAAAAAAAGATTCAATTGTTGGCTTTGAGATTATCTTAATGTTCTTTTTCTTCTTCTTCTTCTTCTTCTTCTTCTTGGCTAAAATCTGCCCTTTGCGCTTCTAAAACTCACTTGTCATTAATTCCCCCCTCTCCTTGGCTCCCTAATTTCCAAGTCCGTACTCCCCTGAGAAACGAGTTCTAAACTCGCGACAAACTTAATTTACTTAACAAATCGCTAATACAAAGGTTATGTTTCTCTTTTATCGATTTGTATCACGTTTTTTTGAAATTCCTCAATATCAAAGCAGCAGTATCCTGTTTTATGAAACGAGAGGAAAAAAAAGAAGACGAAGATAACAGGAAAGTCACGCAGCAATAAACCCCCTGGGGGATCCGGTGGTTTCGTGATACACTCCTGGCGCTCGTGGAAACTCGGAGTCTCTGTTCGGCTCGACTCGTGAGTTCTTCGCTCTCATTTTTCACTGTGTGGAGAGGAGCTTTTTGGTGGCGTTGAAAAGAAGGAACGGACCGAGTCGCGAAGCGCCGAACGCTCTCCCCTTCCCCGAGAAAAGCTCCCTTTGACCCTGGGAAATTTCGAGAAAAACTTTACCCAAAAAACTCGTAAATTTGAACGGGAAATTGTCGGTCGCCAAGGGGAGTGTGAACTGCGTTTGTCACCTCGTCACCGTCGCCTCGTTGTTTCTTGTTGTACTCGTCCGTCCGCCCAAAGTCCGCTCTCCGCTGGTTCGCCATCATGAAAACATTCGGTCGTCGTCGACGTCGTCGTTATCTGACCAACATTTCCGTCCTCCCTGCTTTCCTCTAATCCTGTATTTTTTTCGTTCATTCCTCATCAAACACCACTCTTGTCGAATTGCCAAGCAACGCTACTGCTTCTTGCTCCAGACAAGGCAAGTCACGCTCAAGTCAAGAAGCAGCGAACGAACATATTATTCAGTCGCCTTTCACGATTGTTGCGCGTGCTGTACGAAAACCACAAGTCAGTGGAGAACCAACTTTTTAATAACGCACATATATATTTCCCTCTTTCCTTGTAGAAATTTCGCGAGTTAAAAATTCGACAGTCTCATCCTAGTCAAAAAGTGGAATACTCTCGAGTGTTTGATGTTTTTTTGTGAGTGTGTGCGCCCGAGACAAAACTCCCAGGGTGAAGTTATATTGTCGAGGAGAATAACGAGGGGAAGTAGGACTACGACGACGACGACAACGCAACCGAGGAACAAAACCCAGTCATTAAATGCCTGAGGGACACTCTTACTCCATGTTGTGCATCGGTTGCAACACACAAGCCTGCTGGAAAGTGAGTGATGTGTGATATCATTTTATCTAATCTACGTGGGTTTCAATGATTTTCGCCTCGCCCTGAATTCTCGGGAAAATTGACAGGTTATGTCCATTGTCAGGCGATAAACTTTTATAGAGACGGAAATTGCCAGATGAACCTCCGCGCCACGCAACACTTCCTTCTGCTTCCCCCAGAAATATTTTCCTTTTTTTTCAATTCTACTATAAATGCTTTCTTTTTTTCTTCATTCCAAGCAATTTTTTCTATTTTCTTAAAGTTTTATTATTTTCAATGTCTCTCGTTTAGTATGAGTAGGTTTAATGACGTTACCTCTCCTGATTCTTTATTTTCTTCCTTTTTCTCCGTCTCTCTCTGTCGTTTTTTTTGGCTTTGTCACTTTCTTGTCAGTTTTCAGTTCAGTGACCACGACTTTGTACTTTGTGAATCATCAATATCTTTTTTATATATGTTAAAATACAGGAAAGACTAAAGAATTCGGAATGATTCGAGAAACATAAAATCGTTTTCTTTAAATTTTTCTCTTTTTTGGGATTTTTTTTCTAAATTTTCTGTTAAGTAGTTTGCTTTTTTCTTGTGTTGTGAAATTTTTTGAGAACTAAATTATTTACAATGTAGAGTCTTTTTTTGTTCTCCGTAAGTCTACTACTTTGTGTTAGATTTTGTTTTTTATTGTTATATATTTATTTTTAAAAGGAGAGGAATTATATATAATTTTGTGAAATTAATTTATTTCTGAATAATGTTTTATTTATCGCTAAAAAAACTACTACTAAAATATGTTCTACTTTTGTTTGAAAAATATTTGAAGGTCGTTAATCATTGTGGAATAAATGAACCTCCACTTTGACAGTTTGAATTTTTATAATATTGAACATATTGAGTAAAAATTGAATTTACAAAAAAGTGATTTATATTTCTGTGCACCTGGAGTGTTTATATTATTTATGAAAATTGTTCACCTTTCTTGTTTTCAAACAAAGGAACAAGAAATAGAATAGCATTGAGATTCTCAAAAGTTTACCTTACAAATTTCTTATAACCATCCCCTAATTTACATAATATGTAAATTCAATGAAAATTGTTAGTTTCGAATTTTCTTTTTCCTTACTAAATCGATAGGTGAAAGAAAATTAATTTAAGAAAAAGAAAAGAAAAATGATTTAAATAGCTGTATAGTAATATTATTGCGATAGAAAACAATGAGTTAGGTTAGTAATAAAAAATACATTTGACACTTGTTACAAAAAAAAAATTAAGAACTAGATTTCTAAAATAATTTTTCTAAGAAAAAAATAACTATAGAATTATTTTTTGTACAAAATAAGTTGTAAGAAGAAAACAAGGACAAATTAAAATAATTTTGCGTACTAAAAGATAGAAAGTTTATTAAATGTCATTTCTGGAAAAACTCCCGAAAATATTGAAAATTTATTTCTTTAATACTGATAATAGTGTGAAATTTTTTAAAATAAAAAAGGGGTTTTAAAAATACCATTAAATTAGAAAACTAAAATAATTTAATAAAAATTAGAAGAAAAGAAAAATTAAATGATTAAAAGGGAGCAAAACGAATAGAAAAAATGGTTAAAATAAGTAAAACAATTGTTGTATCTAAAAATGTAAGCAAATTAGAAAAAAAGAATTACATTAGGTACTTGAAATTATTGATCTATTACGTTAATTGATCTCAATTGTCAATAATAACAGTTGGTTATATTTAAAAATATAATTTATTTTCTGTAACTATTCTCTGAAATTGTATAATCAATGAATGTGTGATAAATAATAATAATAAAAATAATTTTTTTGTAGGTGAAGACGTGGTGACAGTCGTCAGTAACGGTGCAATTGAAAAGAAGATTGAGGAAGCAGAGAGTCACTCACTCGGTACTGAGCTGACTGTGAATAATCACTGTTTGTTAGGACAGTGATCAAGACAACACACACGTCAAGTAAATCATTATAGAAATAATTTCCTTCTTTTTTTACTCTTAAATAAAAAAAATCGAGGACTCGGAGAAAGGAGGTGGTAAATAAACAGGAATTGTTGTTGTGTATGATAGAAAGAGCAACAACAACAACAACAACAGCAACTAGGCTAGAAAAAAAGGAAGGAAAAGTGTGAGAGGAAGTGAGAAGGACGCGATACATAGAGTAATGGAACGCGAGTCGAATCCTATGCAAGCTCTATGCCGGAGCGGCTGCGGGTTCTATGGTTCACCAGCGACAGACGGACTCTGTTCGCTATGTTTCAAGGAAAATTTAAAAAAGAAACAACAACCCCCCGTATCAGCCACGTCTGTCTCAGCATCACAGACCGTCTCCAGCAACGCTGGCACGTTGCAAAGTAGCTTCGGCAGTCCCGCCTCGACAGGAACAACCGCACAGCCCACCATTCCCACCATACCCCAAACAACGACAGATCTGCCCGGTCCAAAAGAAGTAAGGATTTTCTTTCTTTCCTTTTTTTCACTCTTGATGAATGTCAATCCATTCACATACGAGCTTTTTCATTTTTTTTGGCAATTTTATTTCTTTTTTCAGGGTTGCTATAAAAATTTACATATTTTGATTATTAACTTCTTTCACCTTTAATATTTTGATTTTTCTCTGATTTCCAGACAAAATTTTAACTTTTTCCCTGACCCTAAAGAATATTCTGATTCACTCTAAAAATTATTAGATACTCAAAAAAGTGTTCTATTACACTTATTTGCAAATTTCTTCCAAACTAAAATTATTCAAAAACATCTATAACTTCATTTTTAAATAAATATTTAATCATTATTATTTTTCCATGTGAATTAAGATTTTCGAAACATTTGAATCCAAACATTTTTGAAATTCAACAACTTATTTATTATAAAACATGAAGATATCGATAAATCCGAGTCTTCGACTTGGAGTGATCAATTTCTTAATATTTTATAATAATTAATGATAATTAAAGATGATCGAGTGATAAAATCATTGTTTTATATTATAAAAATATTGTTACTGTAACTTCTTCAAAATTATTTTCATCATTTCAATTCAATTATTATTTTCTAGAATTTGTAACTAAAATTCTTCTTTAACTCAATTATTTTTAATAATTTCCGAAAAAGTTCTTTAAGAATTTTCAAATCCATTTGTTTACAATTCAATTTTATGTGAAATTTCGATTATTTGGAAATTCTTCAATTAAATATATAATATTAGAGAATAAAAACTTCAAATAATTATATAGTTAAAAGTATAAAAATTCAAATTTTCAAAGATTTCAATTTAAAACCTTTTCGAAATTAATTTATTTCCAAACATTCATGCTATAATGCTATTAATATTCAATTATTATCTAAAACTTTACCAGAAATTCATTTTTAAATTAGTTTTTATTAGAAAATTCTACAAAAATATAATTATTTAAAAAAAATAAATTATTTATTCAATATCTAATTGATTGTTTCTTAAAATTTAATTCTCAAAAAGAATTGAATTTTATTTTTTCAACAAATCTTTAAATAATTCAATTCTTTTGACGAATTTTAATACAATTTTTAAGGATAATTACATTTTTCGAAGAATTCGGTTAAAACTGTATTTTAAAAAATTGAAATTCTGCTATGAGTTTAATTATTTATGAAAATAATTGAATTTCTAAAAAAAAAATTTTTTATTTCCGAAAAATAAAAAAATTTAATTTCAGTTAAATTTTTATTATTTATGACAGTAATTAAATGTTTGCGTAGAATTTTATCAAAAACTTTTTAAAATAATCGAATTCATTTCGAAAATTTGATTGAATTAGTAGATATTGAAAATCATTGAATTGAGGAAAATTTTTGAGAATAATTTAAATTTTGCCAACAATTTTATTCAAATTTAAAAAAAAATGAATTTCGGTAAACAATTTTATTAGTTTTAAAGATAATTTAAATTTTGATTTTTCCCTGAATTTCCTGATTTCCCTGACCTGTGGCAACCCTGTTTTTCTTTCGTTTTTGTTTACACATGTAAATGTAATTTTTCTATAATTTATCTTTCTTAATTTTTAAACTATATTACACATCTAATTATAAATATTATATGTTGCAAAATTGTAAATGAAAAGTAGTCATTATAAACTGAATAATTTCTCTATAAATCATGGAAGTCACTTGGAAAATTTATGCAGAATTTTTTTATTTTCCACAATGATTAATGGAAATTATTGAAACTTTATAGAGTTTTCCAAAAATTCTAAATTTTTTCCAGTTTCACATATTTTTTTCTTTGATAAGTTTATTTGATGATGCTCAAATCGCTCAAATCTATGACATAACCTCAAAACTTGAAAGTTGTTTTCACTGCTCCAAAAAATAGAATTAAAATTAATTGCGGCAAAATTTAGATACATTTATTTGTATTATTTTTAGAAGTAATTATTTTGAGAAGAAATTTTATAATGAAAAAACAATTTTATGTAATGCATTATTTTTTCGATAAATTATATGAATAAATAATATTTTGCTCCAATTTCCATAAATAACAGGTCACTTCGATATATGAAAGAACACTTCAAATTGTTAAAATAATAATAATATTTAATGAAATAATAAGAAATATTTTTATTATTTGGTTTTTGTTGAAACTTTTTGTTAATTACTTCCTTATTTACATAATAATATTTCAATTAAATAAACATAATATTTAATAAAATATTATTATAAATACAATTCTATTTATCGATTATTGATAATTAATATTTTATTTAAGAAATATCAAAGATAATACATATTATTTATTAATTTTCAAAATATTGTTTACTAAATTTATAGAGAAAATGCAAAATGTAAAAAAATTATGCTTTGGCCTAATCTAATTTTATGAGTCAATTTCTCGAAATTAAACAAAATGAATTAAAAATTTAAAGATAATTTTAGCTGGAATTATATTTATGGAAATTATATTCAAAAATTCACTATTAATTTATCGACCCTTAAAATGCATAAAATTTTTAATTTTGCCTTCTGTGAAAATCTTGAAATTTTCTGTTTAGAAAAACCTTTTATTTTTAAATTCAGCATTTTATAAATTTGTTAAGGTATTTATTCAAGTTTTGAAAACTGTCAATAGTATTAATTGAAAAAAAATTGTTTGTGAAGCATTTTCAGAATAAAGTTAACAATGTAAATAGTGTATGATTTAAGAGTAAAAAATTGTTTGTATAGATTTCTTTTTTTTTATATATTTATATAAAAGTACGTAAAATGTAAAGTTTACAAACTAAATGTTGTACGTGATTGTTTTGAATTTGAAAAATTTTCTCCACACCTTATGAATATTAATAATTTCATTATTTTTTTCTACTTGAATTTATTAGAGGAAAATAATTCTTTATAGAAAATGTAATTTTTCCCTCAATATATTTTTGTAACAATTTATTGGAAATCTATAGAATTTCAATTTATAATGACAATTAGAAATTTTTATTGTCACAAGAGTAGATATTTGATTTTCTCGATTAAAAATTATTCTTCACGTGTAGCAAAGAGAAATGTTGTCGCACTATTTGACAATAATTTTTAAAATGTAACTTTAAACTTTTTTTTCGAGTTAAACGACTGATAAAAGTTTACGTCTCTTTCCGATTAAATTTACTTCTATGTTGATAAAATGAAAAGTCTTTTTTTCGATTAAATTTGTTTTTTTATTGATAGCACGATTATGTTTAAATTTTTTATTTGTTAATGTTAATTAGTGTGTTTGTTGAAAAGATTCTGCATTATTCATGCAACAGTGAATTTATTTGGAAAAATTATCATAGTTCAAGACGAAATTTGTTTTAATTTTAATACAATTGGAATTTTTTTCCAATACATAAAATCACATAAAATTGAAGACTTGTCAATATTTATTGACACAGTAACCTGCAAAATGAAATGAGAGTTGTCGAATAAAATAAGAATCTAAAAATTGACAAAAGAGTTTTTTTCGGAGATAATATTTTTTTTTTCGATTTTTGGAATAAATTGTCAGTTTCAGTTGTTATGGCAACGGATTGAAATTAATTTTTCTTTTTTGTTTCGGCAATATGGTGCCAAATTTTTAGTGAATAATGTCCTCGAAACATGTCGAATCATCCAGTAAAGAACGCGTGAAGAAACGACGAGTAAATTGCTTTCTTTCGATTAGATTACAATGCGACAGACATCAAGTGCCAATCCGTAATTTGTGACGGTACGTCTATGGATTGGACTGTTGTCAAAAATTCTTCTTATAACCAAAAAAAAAAAAAAGAAAAAAATGATTATTTTCCACTTTCTGTAATGAAACGTAATTTACCAGTAAATTTCCAAGTAAATTTTTCTTGTACTTTTCAACAAATTTACAAATTTTGAATAATATATACCATTTATTTTGTTTTTCAATACAATTTTTTTTTCAAAGGAAAATATTTCTTTTTTATAAGAAAATATTAAATCTATTTCTATAGATAACAAATTTACCGACCAATTTTTATTGGTTTATAATTCAATTCAATCAATTTCAATTATTTGTAGTAATTTAAAATTTTTTTTCTTAAATATTTTTATTGTAGGAATTTTCTTACAGAGTTTCGAACGTTCAAATGAACGAAATTTTTTTTTTCGCAAATATTTAAAATTACTATAAATAATTGAAATTGATTTAAATTCAGAATTAATGTTTTTGAATTAGAAACAATTTTTTCTAAAAGAATTCAAATTGAAAAAAGTAAAATAAAGTCGTTCATTTGGTAGAAACTTTAGAAACACTTGTAATTAGTACTTTTTCGATTTTAAATTTTGAATATCTGCTTCGAGGAGGAGAAATTTTAATTTTGTAATTTTTTCCAGATAAGCAGAGACGATCAGGAAGATGAAGTTGCAAACAGTAGTGGAGCTACTGAGGGGTCGGTTAGCAGTGGGGATGTCGACGACTGTTTTGACGGGAAAGAGACTGATAAAGACTCCAAAAAGAAGAAAAACCGTTGCGCCGTTTGTCGCAAGAAAGTGGGTCTGACAGGTGTGTATTTTTTCTTTCTCGAATTTTCGTCTTCATTTTTTAAAAATAAAATTGTTCTCTTAAATAATCTGAAATTAATTCTTTTTTCCTCTGTTTGTTAATATTTAAAGGATTTGAGTGTCGATGTGGTGGACTCTTCTGCGCTGTGCATCGATACAGTGACAAGCACGACTGCAAATTCGATTACAGAGAAATGGGCGCGCAAGAGATTCGACGTAACAATCCAGTTGTTGTTGGTGAAAAAGTGCAAAAAATTTGAACAATTTTTAGTGTGTAGAGAAATCGTTGGGGAAAGAAAATGGTTATATAACAATATAAACAAAAACAAAAATATAAAAAAATCATGGAGATAAAACGAGATAAATTATCTGGCAGCTGATTGCACATCGAGGAACGATTTTTTTTTGTAGCGAGTGAAAGATTTAACAACAACAAAAATATATATATATATACAATACAAGCGTGTGCGTGTGTATGTAAAACGTATACCTGTATTTTGAGTGTATGGCCTTTTTTTTAGAGAAAAAGTAAATTCGATAAATGCGTAAAGTCGTCGGGCTATATATAAATATATATAAATATAATTATTAACAAAAAAAAAAAAAGAAGAAGCATAGTAAAAGACGAAAAAATTTTAAGTCTATGACGACGTAAAAAAATTTAGGAAAAAAATCTGTATTTGCGCGAGTGCTTTTAAAAAGTGTGTGTCAAAAAATGAAATTTAATGATTGAATGGACATTTTTTCGGTGAAAAAGTGTGAGAGAGAAAAAAATCGAGAATGCCAGTGCCATGTCAGATTGTCATCTAGTGAGAGTTTTAAAAAAGAAAAAAAATCTGGTTACTAACTGCTGCCAGCTTACTACTACTATTACCTATTATTATTATCATTGATTATTACGGTTTTATTATTATAATTATTCTATTATTACGTTCATTTAATTTACTTAAAAAAGTAAATTTGCGCAAAAATATAAAAACCAGGGACAATGCAAAGTCGCAAGTTTCTGTTTAAGTAGATGAAAAAAGAAGTAAATAAATAATTTAAAAAAAACGGAATTCCTGGTGCAGTCAGTCGATTCAAAAAGTATCTTGTTAAAAATGAAATGAAAAAGAGGCGGTTAATCGATCCATCGGATGTAGACAAATTTGATGCGTAAGTGTTTTTGTTTTCCATTATTATTAATATTATTATTATATTATTATTATTCTATTATTATTATTATTATTATTATTATTATATTATTATTATTATTATATTATTATAATCGTCGAAAAGGAGTGTTATTTAGGCGATGACTGACGTTGATGGGTGATCACAATTCTAGGTTTAACGATTAGTCTAATAATTATTACGAGGTTTTTTTTTATTCAAGTATTCGAGCAATTGAACTATTCGTTATTTTTTAAGGTTTTTATTTCAAAACATTATTATAATGTAACATGTTTTCCTTTTTTTTTAAAAAGGATTTAAAATGTAGGGAATTTCTCCATTAACACATTTTTGTGTAACACAATTTTAATTTTTATCTCTTTTAAAAGAAAGAATTTTATTTACACCAAATAATGAGCGTTAAACGTTCTTTAAATATTTAAAAGAAATGCACAATTATTTCTTTTCCTACAGTTTTGTCGAAAATTTGTTCAAAGTTTGCAAGGGTACTTGAAAAAATGATTGAAAAAAAAATAAACAACCTCTAAAAATATATTAGCCGATTGATTCATAAAAAGTAATGCAATAAAGTATAAGTAGTACTGTGTGTTTATGTCCAATCTCACCGAGAATATAACGAGCATTATTACTCATTAAATACTGTTTGAAATTACGTTTTTCGAAATACTGTTTATTTTTGCGCTAACCGTCCGCAAAAAAAAAACTTAATTTTTAGAGAGCTGGATTAATATTGAAAATTTTCAGCTGCTTTTTGAGTGAGTGTGTGAGAGAGCGAGAGAGTGAGAAAATTATTTTTTTCCAACTGCGCGAGGTATTCCGACAATGCAATTTTAGCTTTATATTATATAAGTAATGGTTAGTAGAAAGATTAGAGGCCGGGAAATAAAAAAAATGAGCGAAAAAAAGAAAAATGATTTTGTTTTTTTTCTTTTTTCGGGGGGATTGTAAGGTTTTTTTTGTATCGCTGTTCGATACGAAACTTTCCATGGAAGGATAGATAGAAATGAACGATTTCTAAAATGGAATTTTAATTCCTTTCGTGACGAACAAATGAGAATTTTATTAAAAATTTAATAGAAATAAGTAAATGAAGAAATTTTTTGTTCTATGCGAACAACTTTTATAAAGTTTTTTTTTAATTGTAGTGTAAATTTTAATGAAGTTCAGTTTTTTGTTATCGAAAAATTTCAATTATATTCAAATTTAAAATATACCAATAATAAATTAAATGTTCTTTTTTTATTTCAATTTGAAAAGTTTTAATATTTATCAACTTCCGAAGTTTTTTGTACAAATAATCATCAAATTCTCAAGTTTTAATAACGATTAAATTATCAACTTATTGAGTTTTAATATAAGTCAAAATTTTATTTTGAAAATTAAATATCTCCATTTTAATTGAAGTAATTGTAAGTTTTATTTATAACTTAATATTTTTGTTTAAAATAAAATTCTCATGCGAATAAAAATTTTAATGAAATTCGATTAACGAGCTCTTGAAAATAATTTTTTGTTTTATTTTTCAAAAAATGATTCCGTCTTTTTTAATTTAGAAATAAAAACTTGGTCTAATTTTTATCTAATTTTTGAAACATTTTTATTTAATAGCCAATTATCTTTTTTAAAATTAAGACGAAAATTGGATAAAAATTATTCAAGAATAGAGAAAGAAAACATTTTTGTAAATTGTAATTTTGTCTAATTTTTTTTGTAGATTGTTCTCTTTTTGAAAAATCGAATCACAAAAAGGGAATAGTACACAAAGTGTAAAAATTTCACTATGAGAGAAAAAGGTTTTTTTTTTTTTTTATCGAAAATCGTTCATTTCAGTTTTATGAGAAAATTCAATAAATCCCAATGTTATTCTTGTTGCGAAGCTTACGAGGCATTGTTAATCGTCCCGTAAGCTATATTGTAAACTTCAATTTACTATTCTAGAGAAAAAACATGATTTTGCTTTTTTAAAAAAAAATCTTTCATGTAATTATAAAATTGGTTTTTTCTTTTTTTTTCAATAATTTTAATGGTTTACGGGAAGACTAGAGGCAAAGCTTTAGGGACAATATTGCACGACTTCTTTTTATTTCCGCTCCTCCGATACTGGTTACAAGAGAGAAAAAGATGAAGGAGATTTCGAAACAAAAAAAAATAAAGGCTACGCGATGTATCACATTCGGACAACGCACGAGAGTGATTTATCAAAGTTATAATATCGACGGAAAGATTGCCTTCAGGCCTTCATCCTATTTTAGGCATAGCATATTTTTCTAAGATATATATTCGCAATATCGGAGTAATCTTGCCTAGCGAGAGAGCAAACCGACGGATTAGGAAAAGAACAAAAAAAAAAAAAAGAATAAAAACTAAAAACAGGTGAAGAAAAAGAAGGGAAATAAAAGCAATTCGAATTTTTGGGTGTGAGTGGTTTTTTTGTGCGTGTGAAAAATAAAAAAAAATATTAAAAAGAAGAATCTAATAAAGGAAGAAAAAAAAATCTTAAAAAGTATAAACGTGGATTTTTTTTGGGATTCAAGAGAGAGACTGTGGAAGACAATGGCGAGATGAGTAAATTTTAGTAACATTACATAGATATATTTACAATCATGCAATGACGAATACAAGATTTAAAAAAAATATATATGAGTGACAAAAATATTGAATCGTCAGTGAAGTTTGTATTCGGCTGACTACATAAGGACGTAACATGCTTGTAATTATTAAAATTGATATTAGTAATATTAAGCGATTAAAGGTAACGTCGACTTTAATATATTATATGATTACGATTACTATCCTTCGAATTCAATTTTAGCCTTTAGGTTCCGGCTTAGATGAACAAAAAAAAATCGGAATTAGTGTGTAAATACACCTCTCCACTCTCTACTTCCCCTTTTAAGAAACAAACAAAAAAAAAAAGAAAAAAAATCTTCTAACACAGTTCTTGACATTTATATAACCATAGTGGACTATATTTATGTATATTTAAAAAAACGAGAAATATATATTAATTCGTCACCATAAAAAAAAGCCGATCTATTCTTGCGTTTTAGAAAAATATCGCAGGTGGCACTTTTTTTCTCATTTGAAAATTCTATTAATTTTTATCAACTTGCTATAATATTAATGCGCATTTTTCTATGGGAGAAAATATTTTTGAATTTATAAAAAATAATGGACATATTTTATTGACAATTGAATATTTGTAATTAATATTATTTACAATAATAACTGATAATAATTATAATATTAATAATAATTCACAATATTAATAGTAATAATAATGAGTAATAATTTTGAATTAAAACAAATTCTTTAAAACAAAATTAGTATTTTTATTTCAAACATGCAGTTTTTTTTTATTAAGAGTATAAAAAACAAAATTATTTTTCTTCCTGTTTACAAATTTATGATAATAATTTCTCTCTATAACGAACTATTTAGTTTTATTGAAAAATAATTTTGTTTTCAAAAATAAAATATCTATAACTAAAATAAAAAATCTAATTAAAATCTCTATTATCAACTTGAAATTTAAAATATAATTGAATATAAATTACATTTTTAAATCAATTTTAATTATAATTGAAATTTTCTTCTTTCGAATTTGAAAAATTTCTTCTACTGTAAAAAATTATATTCAATTATTTAAAATGAACTGTGATTTAAGAATTTCTTTAAATTAACATTTTTTCTGGCGAATGGAAAATACTTATGTTTCAAAATTTAATTTTTTGTATTTTATATTTATAAAATAAATAAAAACAATCAAACTCAATGGTTCTTAAGTATTTTCTCCTTAACAATTAACACGACAAAAAAATTCGAAATTAGAATTTAAACAAATTTCTTTCGAAAAACAAAATTTTTGTTAAAAAAAAAGAGAAAGAGGAGAACAAGAAATTTTTTTCGTTTGCTTTTATTCAATACAAAACTTTTGACAGTCCTTTATATCACAATTTGATTCACACAACTAATTAACCAACTAAGCAGTCACTAGATTTTTTTTATTGAGGTACTTGGCAAAGGCTTTGAATGCTTTTTTCGATTTTAAAGCGTTTGTCTTTGGCCTAAGATTATTAAATTCAGTCCATGCCGTTTAAACAGCTTCTTTTAAAAAGAGAAAAAAAAAGAGAAAAACAAAAATTCAAGGCAAGGTAACCACCAGAACTGTGGACCATGTTTTTGTTTTTTTCTTTAATATAACAACTTAAAAAGTCGATTAAATTCAATCAACTCTTTTTTTCAGTCTTTCTGCGTATCGAAATTTTTTTTTTCAAATTTTGAATATAAAAAAAATGTTGTTCCTGTATTTTTTATTTCACACTTAAAAATAAATAAAAATAATTTATTTTCAAAGAATTTGATTTTTTTTTTATTTTTTAACAAATTTATTAATTTAACAAAATTAGTAACTAATTTCTTTTGCGATTTCTAATTAACAAATATAAAGTTTTTTGCAAAATTGTATAAAAATCTTTTTTTTGAAGAATATTTGAATTCATTAAAAAAAATGTTTTCCACAATTGTTGTTCTGGCTTTTTTTAATAAAAAATAATAATCTCATCAACTGACTAGTTTTTTTTTTGTTTTGTAGAGTTTTTAGTTATTGTAAGAATGATCGGAACTCGCCTCGGCAAAATAATTGTGTAATGATCGTACTTGCCGATCATAAAGAATTGTCTCGATTTTTGCTGCACTTTGCGTTGTTGATAGTGGCGGAGTTGAGGCGGGCGTTATAATTCCTAAAGTCTCGGAATCTCTCTCGTTGGAACGATTTTGCTTCACATAAACATGATCCTCCATTGCGGAATTTTTTACATCTTCATTTAATTTCATCTCTTGATTAACGCAATCAATATCCATTTCGGTTTCGAGGAATTTCAATGTCTCGGCCAATGAATTCCCATGATGTACTGAGGCATGATTTTTTAAACCGTAGACAGTTTTATAATTTTTTCCGCACGGACACTTGAATCCTCGTTGCATCCTTGAAAAGAGAGAAATAATTGTAGAGATTATTTTTGAGAAATGGAATAATTTTACAATTAACAACATTCCTTTGAGAAAAACAATTGTTTTTCTCTGAATCTTGTTAATTGTGAAATTATTCCAAATTTACTAAAAAATGTTAGTTCTTTAAAAATGAAAACTTTTTTATTTAAATCGAAAATTATCTGTTTTCGAATTTTGGAACGAATTCCGTACTTTCCATCATTTTTGTGTCCATTCTTCGTATGATATTTTATACCATTCACGTTTTTGTAACTTTTTTTGCAACCGGGCACAGGGCAGGGGAACTTTTTGTGGACGCTTTTCTCATTAGTGTTACGATTGCTTCTGAAAAGTAAAAAAATGATTTTATTAAAATACGAGTTTATAAAATTATCAGACTTCGCACTCGATAATTAATTTTAAAAAAGTAGCTTTCAAATTAAAAAAAGTAGCTATCAAAAAATTAAACTTGACGGCCAAAAAAATTCATTTTAGACACTTTACAAAACTGACAAAAATTCCATTCCATATTTTTTATTTTTCTCACTTTCTCCTAATTTTTATTAAAAATATTTACTACTTTCTTATCCTGATAATAAATTGAATTCCTGCAACGAATTTTACAATTCATGAAAGAATTTAAATATTTATAAATGTGACGCGTCGGGAGGAAAAGTACCTAAGAAGTATAACGTAAATTTTACAGAAGGAGGAAAAAAAGAAAGACAGAATCAACTTTTAGCACAAATTGCTCTTTTTTAAATCGTTATCAGGAAAGTATTTGAGAAAAGTATTTGATAATAATTAATTTTGACTTCAGATAATTATAAAATAATTTTTAATCTATCTGAAACAATCGTAATCCAAAAATCGATTTTTGCTTCTTAGGTACTTTTCTTCGCGACGCGTCACAAATATAATTTAATTCTTGCTAAGAATTTTATAAAAATTAAATAATTGATTTCATCTTTCGTCTAATTTTATGCAAATTCTAATTAAAATAATTGCATTCCTGAGAAATTTTTATTATTCATGAAAAGAATTGAATTCTTACGAAGATTTTTACAACAACTTTTTTGAAATAATTGAATTCTGTTTGGAAATGTTATGAAAATAGTAGGTAGATATTCAAAAGAATTGAATTGCGAAAATTTTTTAAAAATAATTAAATTTTACAAAGAATTCTGTTAAAACTTATGAGAATAATTGAAATTTTAAATTAAATTTGTCTGTGTGGCATTTTATTAATTTTTTTTTTGAAAATAATTGAATTATTAAAAAGCATTTTATTATTTATGAAAATAATTAAATTATTGCGAAAAATTTTATTAAAATGTTTGAAAAGAATTAAATTTCTGTCAAAAATTTTGTTATTTTTGAAAATAATTGAATTCTTAATAAGAATTTTATAAACATAATATAATATAATATAATATAAATAATATAATATAATATATAATATAAATAATAATATAATATAAATATAAATATAATTATAAATATAAATTTATTTATTTATATAAATATAAATAAACATAATATAATATAAATTTTATAAATATAAGAATTGTTTTAAATAATTAATTTTTTCTAAATATAATAAATATTATGAAAATTTTATTTTAAATAATTGAATTCTTCTGGAAATCTTTATTTGTGAAAATAATTGATTTTTTCGATTAATTAATTTAAAATAGTATTAAAAATAATTGAAATTCTTCCATGAGTTTTACTGTTTATGAAAATAATTGAATTTTAGATAAATTTTATGAAAATAGTGGATATTCAAAATAATTGAAGTTCGGATATTTTTTTTAAATAATTGAATCGTTTTAAAGAATTTGATTATAATTTTAGTAGATGCCTGAATTATGCTAAATTTTGTTAAAAATAGAAGAAAATGAACATTTTTGGGAAAGAATTATTTTTTTATCATACTTGGCATATTTTAAAGTATAGTCAGTCGATAAATCTTCAGTCGTGGTCCAAGAATCGTTGCTATCTTCTGGCTCGCTTGTAAAATCATCATCGATTTCTGTAAAAAAGGAGAATAAAAAAAGAATTATTTTTTAGCTATAAATATTCGAGGGGAATTTTTTTTGTGAATTATCGTTTTACCTGTTGGACTGTCGCTTATAATTCGGTCCGACGAGGAATTACACATATCAGCTCGAGCCTGGAGAGGCTTCATGACCTCTCTTCTAGCTGCATCCGTAAAAAATCGTAGAACATAGGACAGAGGAACGCACGGAGGTTGCTGCCTCTCCTTCTGCTCCACGACTTGGGGATCATAGTCTAAGCACGTGAGACCATTCTAAAAATTCTTATTTCCTTTCCCAAATTTTTTTTCTATTTATACACATATAGCAAAAAGTATACTTTTTCTCAAAAATGACAAATTACAACAAAATTATCGGATTATGTTAATTTCTCCAAATTTAATTTCTTTCATTTCATCAAAATTTCACAATTTCTCAATTAATATTATTAAAGGTAGGCAAAAATTAACAATTCCGAAAAATTTGTCATATTTTTCAAAGAATTATTGACTTTTCGTTTTTAATATTAAGCAAAATAAAAAAGTGACAGGAAAAAGGATTAGTCACATTGACACCAACAGAAATCTACTAAAATAAAGAATAAAATTTCAAAATACATTTGGACAAACAAAAATACAATATTGTATAACATAATACAGAGAGTACTTTATAATTATTATGTAATGAAAAATTCAAAAATCGCGCAAAATGTGAAACCCAACCCAAACTCAATAGGTGTGACACATAACCTTAAAAAGTAATTCGAAGAGGGCGAGAATCGCCTACCGATATGATTTTCTTCAATATGTTGTATCAGTCGTCCGAGATTCTTGAAGATGAGGCCGCAGTCGTTGAATTTACAGACGTTGAGCATAAAAACAGCCATAATTTTGACGAAAATCCCGACTGCGACCAGGAGAAAGGAGGAATGACCGGCAGGGGACCGGTGGCGCACTACTCTAGTCAACTTCACTCCGTTAACTTTTTTTCTAATCCCACCTTTTCGATTTCGATAGAAATCCGTCACGATAAACGAAAAAGCAAAATCAATCTCGAATTCGCGAAAAAAACAAATTCCCGGGCCACTTGCCCAAAAGTCGGTGAAAATTCAAGGAACTCAATTAACTTTGATCAGTGCATTGCGGTCGTTGCAGACGAAAAAAGCGTCACCTCGTGTTCCCTCGGTAAAATCCGGTCGGTCGATAAAAGGAAGTCCATACCAGCAGGAAAGGAAGTTGCGCCGTTCCATTTTCGCGACGATCCTCGTGATAGGCTACCCTCGTTCACTCGCCGATTCCACATTCCACTGGCCGGGTCACTTTTACAGCCTTGTCTCCTTCTCGACACACTCTTCATTGGTAAGTCCTGACTTCCATAATTGACCAGAAATTTTTTTTGGAAATTCAGCTCTTTTCCCGTGTTTTTCAAGTGCGCGTAGACAATCGCAATCACGTCATATGAAACTCGACATTTTTTAATCAAGAAACTCGGGGAATATTCATGATACAGTTGACGCGCGGCACGGAACTTGAGACACGGCCATTTTTTCCCCTCGACCTCGCCTTCGTATATTCCGGTCTAAAAAGCTTCTTTTATTTGGTGCACGAATTTTGTAATTTCGGAGTCAATCACGTTTTCATCGGGCATTCCTCGAATTCAGTGTCTAGAAAACGATATTCTTGTTCTGTGTGAATTTCCCTTGAATCATTTTGAGAACGTTACGTAACTCCCCCTTTTAACTCATAGCGGTCGATTTTTTCTCGGCGAGAAAAAGGAAAAGAGCAATAAGAATATTGCTTTTCTCGAATCATTTAAACAATCAGGTGTCTTCGTTTACAGGTAAATTGAGGTGAACAGACCTTTAAACTTCATCATGTACTGCACACGACTCATCGCACCGGTTGCCAGATCCACCGTAAGTTAACTTATATAACCTTTCATTAATTTTATTTTTCTAACTGAAACTTGGATTAAAATTATCTGGTATCATGGCAGGAATATTTCAGAAGTGTCTACATTGCCTTGGAATATGATCAAAAGTCATTCAGAAATTGATACAGAGATTGATATGTTATGCCCTAGTTTCGAATTTTTAGATCATCTCCCAATTCTATGACTTACAATTTCGCTTTTTTATCTTTTTCTTATTTTATTTATTATTCTATTGACATTTTACAAATTTTTTTAGATATTGACACATTTTTGTAAATTGATTTCTTTGTGATTTTGATTAAAACTTGATTTCACAAAACTCGATAATTATGTAATCTCACATTTTTTTTAATTCTTTAAATAGTGTTTTTAAAGGATTTTTTTTTATTAAAGGGTCAAAAATTTTACCATTTAATAGTATTTTTTTATTTTTTCATTTTTGAAACTCGTGATTTAAACATTTCTTAATACAAAATTTTTTACAAGTGTAATGTCAATTCTTAGATAATAATTTGTTTTTAACTAGTTAAACTGTTGTTTTTATGCTTGTAATTCAAAATAGTTTCTTTTTTATCTTTTTTTAATTCTTAGTTTATGTTAAAGTTTACAGATTGTATTTTAAGAAATTGAATGAAATTATGTAATGCCCTTTTAACTATTTTAGTAATTTTTAATACTTTGAATTAATTTTTCAATTTCCTTTTATTGCTTTAATATTAATTAGTTATTAATTTAATTTAATATTTAATTTAATTCAATTAATTTTTTTGCTCTTCAGTTTGTAACTATAATTTAAATTTTTGTATTATAACTTTTTTAATTTCGATTTTTTCGGATTATTTGAAAAAAAAGAAATTTAAATAAACCGAGAATTTTATTTTTTGATTCTTATGTAAGAAGCTTTTTCTGAGATATAAATGTCAATGTCAGAGATTTTGTATTTTACCCATGTTTTTTATTAATTTTCTAAGTGATCTTTTTTCTAATATTAAAAATCTAAATATTTCAGTTAGTGGCTGGAACCAAGAGTTACCTTCGGCCGATGAGCAGCGCAGTCGCGCAACTCAACCAAAGTCAATCGGTTCAGGAGAATCAAAGGCTGATTCCAACCAGTGTCTCCTTGGTAAAGATTTTTTAAATTAAACTTTTGGAAAAGAATTTTACTTCATTTTAGTAAAATTGTTGAAAGCTGTAAAGTAAAGATTAATTAAAAAAACTAAAACTTATTTTTTAATTAAATTAATTTATTAATTAAAATATTATTAAACTTGAAAAAATAATAAAATTGAATTTTTTTTCCAGTCACCAATTGTGCGTAATTTCCAAACTTCCTCGATCAGCCGTGACATTGACACGGCAGCGAAATTCATTGGTGCTGGAGCCGCAACTGTTGGTGTTGCAGGATCAGGTATATTTTCCATTAAAATCATTTTTAAAAAAGAAAATCATTACGCAATCCTTACATAATCATTTTGTCCTTTCGAAAAGAAAACAAATGGCGTTTCATTTTTAAAACGTAATAGAAAAATACTGTTCTATTGCTAATTAATTGAAACCGAAAAATAAAAATTTTTAAGAAAAAATTATGCTCAATCTATAATTTATACAGGTGTTGGAATTGGAGTCGTTTTTGGCGCATTGATAATCGGTTACGCACGAAATCCCTCATTGAAAGCCCAAGTATTCAGTTATGCGATTCTCGGCTTTGCACTTTCTGAAGCAATGGGCCTTTTTTGTATAATGATCGCCTTCCTCATGCTCTTTGCCCTTTAAAACAATCCTTCCCGTGTCCTTTGCCTTCAAAATCTGCCTTTGAACCTCTCATCTTCATTGGATGGATCCTCGCACGAAAAAAAGTACCCTTTTAAATCATCAATCGTAGACAATTTGATTTTCTCCGAATTCTAATTTTTAATTAGTTGACTAATATTGTCAGGGTTGCAATTCAATTATTTTCATGAATAATAAAACTCTTTGCAGAATTTCAATTATTTTTAATACAATTTTAATCGAATTCCTCGAAAAATTCGTTGATAAAATTCTTTATGAGAATACAATTTAAAGAAACATTTAATTATTCAATAAATTATTTACTTGCATTTTATTCGTATTTAAATAATTGAATTCTCGTTGAATTTTCGAATAAAAATTAATTTAAAAATTAATTTTGAATAATTTTCGTTTTAAAAGCCTGGAAAAGTCGGGGAATTTGAAAAGAGCAAAAGCGTGGCGACCCTGATTGATTAGTTGACGAATAATAATTAGTTGTTTTTAATTGAATTAAATATAATAACAAAAAATTAAAATAATTTCTATTTCAGGAGCTGGAATTGGATCTGTATTCGGATCATTGATCATCGGATACGCGAGGAATCCATCCTTGAAACAGCAATTGTTCTCGTACGCAATTTTGGGCTTCGCCCTGTCCGAGGCCATGGGTCTTTTCTGCCTTATGATGGCCTTCTTGCTCCTCTTCGCCTTCTAAGCTATCAAAAACATCCATAACCAAATACCGATAGTTTTAGTGCGTCACTGCCAAGGCACAGCGTGGACGTCTCGCGTTTCTCAACATCCAAAAACAGGGGGACAAAATGAGACGACAGCTGTTCCTGGGTACGCGGGAGTTCATGAGATCATTAGGAAGACCCGATGAACCACTGGTCCGTGGGGGAGCGACGGTGTGACAATGGACATCAAATTCAAATTTAAATAAGAGAATTGAAAATAAAAATTACAATTAGAAAACAAAAGGGGTCGTACACGTATATGTAAAAAAAATAGAAGTCGTCAGACCGTCCCAGAATTCCCCCTTTTTTAGAAAAAATAAATTCAACTTCTTAATTGTTTCATGGTCTACTGTAATCGTGTAGCGTTAAATTCACAATTGTTATATATATATATAAAATGAAAAGACAAAAGTTACAGGAAAAAAAAATTCATTGAATGGTTATAAATAATAAATGTAAACGAGAAAAAATAGGTAATTCACTGGTTAGAGATGAAAATGGGGCCCCACTGTCTCACTATTCATAGTTCCATTTTCTCTTCCGTATATACACACATACACGCGCGCGCATGTATTTACTCGGTGCGCTAATAACGTTGCGAGTAGTACATTCTCACATTTCTTCTTTTTTTTTGACACTCTTTTGTTACTCGAGCGATTCATCATTGTTGTGCCGTCGCGTACGCACGTTGTTAAAGACAACTCTTGGCGAGGAATCTGTACAGTGATATCGAATAAACATCTTTGTCGTGAGAATTAATTTCTGTCTTTTATTCATATTTTTATTTCACAACTGTTCTATCAAAAATTTTCCTCAATTGAAATTTAATTTTTATATCCAATTGGACAAATTTTTGTTTGTCCAATTCTTCAAACATTATGTAATAGAAAATTTAAACTTGTTATTCGATTAGTTTTAAACGTTTTTATCATTTTGTTGACTAGATATTAAAGTAAAAGAAATATCTGAAGAAAAAATTAAAAAACAAAAACTAAAAAATATCCAAATATCGGGGAATATAAATAATACGTTAATCAGACAAAATCTTCCATTTTTTCTATTTCTGACAATAATTTCTTTTAAAGTAATTTAATTCTTCAAGAACTATCATAAAATTTTTACTTAGAAATAATTTAATGAATAATTTTACTTCAATATTTCAAAATTAAATGAATTTTAAAAAAGTTGCGTTTATAATTTTCATAAATAGATCAACTTCAAAAGGTTTTAATTTGAAATTTTAGAAAATTTCAATTTTGAATGAATTTTATTAAAGAACTAAGATTTTTAAAAAGTTTTAATAATTCAAATTCTTCGGAAACTAGTTAATTATTTTTAATTATATTTAACTAAAATTAAAAATAATGGATTTATGGAAAAATTTAGTTAAAAACAGTAAAAAAAAATTTAATTTTGGAGAAGTTACAAATGATTGCAGAAATTCAATTATTTTCAAAAATTTTATAAAAATTCTTGGCAAGAATTCAATTATTTTAAAAAATAACAAAATTCTTCGCTGGAATTCAATTACATATTATTAAAAGTTTTATGAAAATTCTTGGCAAGAATTTAATTATTTCTAAAACTAACGAAATTCTTCGCTGGAATTCAATTATTTTAAAAAATAACAAAATTATTCGTTGAACTTTAATTATTTTCAAAAATTTTATAAAAAATCTTGAAAAAATTTAAATTATTTACAAAAATTTTCCTCAATTCAATGATTTCCAGTATCTACTATTTTAATAAAATTTTCCAAATGAATTCAATTATCACTGGGTTACAAAAAAATGGTCATGTCGTGTTTATTTAAAATTTACTGTGTTTATTGAAAGTTTAGGTGTCACAGAATAAGAATATACCAGAAAAACTTTTTTTCATTCGGTCATTCCCTTAAAAAACGAGTTTAAAGTCTCAAAAAACCGTATTTTTAGCACTTTTTGAGGCAGCGTAACAAGAAAATGCAACATGATAAAAATCTCTACAAAAGCTTAAATAAAAGCTTAAACCTTCAACTTTAAGGCTCAGAACTGAAAAGTACTTAAAGAAGCACTGAAAACCTGCAGTCACTATCTGAAATTATCAAAAAAGCTGGGTTAGGTAGCACTTGGTAAAAATCGATTTCCCTAACCGGATTCGGTTGCAAATTGTTATTTTAGGTTTTTTGAGGTTTCTAATGACGAATTGGAACTTAGATTTAAAAAATTTCAAAGTGGCGGACTCAATTTTTTAAAATTATCAACGCAAATTTTGAAAAATTGAGTGAATTCATTATTTTCAGTCCGCCATTTTGAAATTTTTTAAATCTAAGTTCCAATTCGTCATTAGAAACCTCAAAAAACTTCAAGTAACAAGTTGCAACCGAATCCGCTTAAGGAAATCGATTTTTACCAATTGCTTCCTGTTCTAGCTTTTTTGACAATTTCAGGTAGCGACTGCTTGATTAAGGAGGTTTTTATTGATTATTTAAGTACTTTTCAGTTCTGAGCCTCAAAGTTGAAGGTTTAAGCTTTTATTTAAGCTCTTGTAGAGATTTTTATCATGTTGCGTTTTCTTGTTACGCTGCCTCAAAAAGTGCTAAAAATACGGTTTTTGACACTTTAAACTCGTTTTTTTAAGGGAATGACCGAATGAAAAAATGTTTTACTGGTATATTCTTATTCAGTGACACCTAAACTTTCAATAATCACAGGAAACTTTGAATAAACACGATATGACCATTTTTTTGTAACCCAGTGTTATTTAAAAAAAAATTTGATATAATTCTACGCAAACATTTAATTATTTTCACAAATAATAATAACAATTTCATAGGAATTCAAATATATACAAATTTTTTTAATAAATTTCTTTTCAATCATTCAATTATTTCCATAAATAATAAAATTCTTTGCAGAGATTCAATTATTTTCATAAATAATAAAATTAATTGCAAAAAATTCAATTATTTTCAAAAATTTTGTATTCTTTCATGGAATTTAATTAAAATTGTATTGAAAATAATTTAATTCTTATAAAGAATTGAATATTAGGGAGAAATTTCTTTAAAATTGTATTAGAAATAATTTTTTTTAACTTTTATCAAAACTTTTGAAAATACTTGAATTTTTACGAAAATTTTGATATTTATGAAAATAATTGAATTCTTGCGAAGAATTTTATTAAGATTTTTGAAAATAATTAAATTTCTGCAAAGATTTTTATTATTTAACGAAAATATTTTAATTCTTGCGAAAATTTTTATTAAAATTTCTCAAAGTAATTGAAGATCAGCAAAGAATTTCGTTACTTTTAATTTATACCAAGAATTTTATATTTTTTGAAAATAATTGAATTTTCTAATAAAATTTTCAAAAAAATAAATTTCCTAAGAAAAATTCATTTAAAATTATGAATTTTAGTTAAAATTTTAAATAATAATTGAATATTAAAAGGCTAGCGTGAATTTTTAGAAATAATTGTATTATGAAAAGGTTTCAAATTAAAATTTTTGAAAATATGAATTTTTTATACTTTTAACTAACAATTCTATAGAATTAATTTTTTTCAAAAAGTAAAATTGAATTTTTGTTGAAGTTTTACGTAAAATTGATTATAATAATATATATTATAATATAAAATAATGATTTTATCACTCGGTCATCTTCAATTATTTTTATTTATTACAAAACTTGAAGATAACGATTGCTCCGAGTCGAAGACTCGGAGTGATCGATATCTTCATGTTTTTTAATAAATATTCTTAGAATTTGTTGAATTTAAATTTTTAAAAATTAATATTCTGTGAAGTCTCAAAGAAAAACGAATCCTTTCCTAATATTACTTAAACTTTATTTAATATAATAATAATTTAATCAACGTTTTTGATTTAAAAAAAGAAAAAATCAAAAAAGAAGTCCGATAATTAAAATCGCATCACAATTTACGTGGATGGATTGCTTGCATTTGATACTCTGATTGGCTCGCCGATACTGTTTGAAGGTAACATGTCGAGTTGTTGTAAAAGATTTTCCCTTTCCTTGAGGCACGCCCAGGCCTTTTCCTGCTCCTTCCTTGACAATGGCATTTTTCCCTGTTTCGATAATACTAATTTATTATAATGATCCACCACCTCATTATCGACAGTTTTAATTTTTCTCTTCAACGATTGTCGTTTACTTTCGTCTTGCGTTAAATTTAAAAGTCGTTTCAATTGCGTAACATTGTGACTAGAAAGTGCAGTGAGCTCCTGTTGACAACGTTTTATTTCCGCAAGAATTTCATCATCGTCGGGATTCCTTTTTTGCGAGTCCGGCTCCAAAATACCCTGATCAACGAGTTCTTTGTGCATTCGCAGTTCGAGATTCATTGAATTTTGTATTGTGAGATCGCGCAATACTGGCGGATCGCCGTCGCGAAATAATTTGTTGTCCGTATTATTATTCGCCACGTAGACATTTTCCTCGAGTAGAGCGGACACTAGTCTTTGTGTCAAAGGTCCTGAAATTAAAGAAATTAAAATTGTATCAATAAAATTAATTAAATTAAATTAAAGATTTTAAATGAGCTTCTTTTTTTTAGCATACCAGAGATTCCGTTCGTTTTCTTCTCGCCCTTCGCCAATAGGAGTGAAACGTCTGATCGTTTCTTCTTTTCTCGATTTGAATTCGAAGCGTCTTCCTCTTGGAGCAAATCGTTGTGCGCCCACAATAAACTGTAATGTCTTCCCAAAGGGGGAATTTTTTTGAACTCAGAAATATCCGAATGTGAGGAAATAAGTTCCTCGAGTAATTTAATATCGTCGGGCATAATGTCCGTGCAATAAGGATCGACGGAGGCCCAAAATTTATTGGGTGTATCATTTTTCGGCATCAATTTTGGAACGTCCTTGCCTTCGACTCGAACCAATTCGTGTGGATTTGGCACCAATTGATTCAGCGAACTGCCTGGAATGCGTTGCTTGAAAAGTTTGTTCGGCACTGGCGAATGTGTCTTGACATTTAATTCTTTGGCTTTAGTTTTGTCGTCACGTATTTTTTTGTCCACCTGCGAAAGTCCTTTCCCACTTTTCGAACGTCTATCACGTCGTTCGTCGGTCGAGGAAAAACTCGTTATTTCCTCCTGCAATGCTCGACTTCTCAACACCACTGACGAGAGCATCATTTCAAGTTCCATTTGCAGTGCGTCCAAATCTTCCATTCCAATTCCCTCCTCCGAAGATCGCTAAAAATTTCCACTATTAATTTTCTCTACAACTATTTTCATCACTAAAGATTAATTAACTTTAAATAGAATACTTTTGAGTTGAATATTTAACATTATTTTGAATAGAATACAAAATATTCTGCTTCTATTCTTAATTTTGCTTTTAAAAAATAGCTAAATTGTACAATTATTATCTAAATATAGTTAATTAATTACCTGTAGAATAGAACAATACTTTGGCAATTGTTTTTCTTTGTCAATAATTTTTAAATTTGAAAGGAATGTCGAAACATCCTCGGTTTCAGGACTCGCTTCTGCATTGTTCAATGTTGATTGTGCCGATTTTCCACCTTCTCGAACTTTAATCACTGCCTTCTTCGAACTTTGTTTACCCTTTCCTGACATATTTTTTTCCCGATTTTATGACCGTTCGATAAAAAAAGGAGTTTTTTTTTATTTTACGCGCACTTCAAGTTTTGAGAACAACAATTTTTGAGGTTATGTCAAAACAACAATCAACAAACTATCACTGTAAATGATTCGCGCGTTAAAATACATCCATTTTACATGCACAAAGTAAAAAGTTGCAATTAAAAGTGTCTAATTAAGTGCAAAAATTATCATTAGGGTTAACAGAACTTGATAAATGTGAAAAAATCTCTTCGATAAGAACAACATCAATGCACAAAGTTGCTGCTGCAACTGGGCATGCTTGATGCAATGATTATTGATTGGTCAACGGAGTGCGACCCATGGATTTTACTAGCCAATGAATTGATTTCTGTTTCTTCTACTTCGAATTCTTGATTGACTTAGAATTTGCCGCGAATTTTTAAATACAAATATTTAAAGTTGTTTACTTTTTAAAATATTTTTCTACAAATCTAGCACAAAGTAGAGGATTCGAATAATAAATGAGAGAGGCAATAATTCGATGTGTAAAAATTAGTTGAAGTTTAGATATATTTAACAGGTATAATTGTTTATTTTCCAGTGGAACTTTTTTTGCTTTGACCCTTTTGACGCATGCGTCGAATCATCTAAAGCATCGCGTGTGGATTTGATGATCGTGTCAATTTATTCTCGTGCAATTTACTCCTAATTTTTACAATTTTTATAGTTTTTTCTTTTAATTAGTCTTATTTTTTAAAGTCAGAATGATTCCCGGACGTCCACCGGTAACAGGTAAATAAAAATTCTTTCTTTCTTTTGTTTATTACATCAAGAGCCTGATTTGTAAAGAATTGTCGAATGTGTAACATAACCTCAAAATTATTTTTCTTGTTTTTCTATGTCAACAAATAGCATTAAATAATTTATTAAAAGTGGGAATTTGAAGATTTAAGAATTATTTTACATTCTCTTTAAGAAAGCTTTGAATTAATTTTATTTTCAGAAAATATTTGTAACTTTTTTTCCGTAGAAATGTGGCTTGCAATGACTGCACGTTTCGATTTTAGATGATGTTAAATTTAATTTATTTCGGAAAATTTCTTCTCAAGTTTTGAAATTATTTTGATGTAAATTCTGTTTTTAGAAAATCTTCTGGCTTTATCATGGCACGACAGTGCCTGGATTCCGATGCTGAATCCAACAAACATAATGGATTATTTTGCCGAACGAACCAATCCATTTTACGATAGAACCTGTAATAATGAAACCATTAAAATGCAACGGCTTGGTCCCGAACATTTAAAGTAAGCTGAAATTCATTAATATTTTCAATCTACTTCTTGATAATTATTATTTTTCCACACTGTCAATTTTTTTGCGATAACGTTTCAAAGACTTTTTCTTCTTTTTTCAAATTTTTATTTATTGAATGATGATTAACATATTGGCGAAGACCGACAATATCGAATTTAAATCGTTTTGATTTAAATTCAAGTCGATTGATGATATAGCTAAGTCATAGTTACTCTGACTAAAAAAAACTCTTTATTCGAAATTCCAATTAGGAAGAAAAGAAGAGAATTGAAAGTAATCTTTTATTTTACAGAAATTTAACGGGAATCGAATATATTCTTCTTCATGTTCAGGAACCTATCTTATACGTAATTAGAAAGCAACATCGACATTCTCCAAATCCCACTGATGCCACCCCTTTAGCTGATTATTATATTATTGCCGGTGTTGTTTATCAGGCACCGGATTTATCGTCAGTAATTAATTCAAGATTGGTAAGAATATAAAATTATTTGATTTTTTTAAAATTAATGATCCTTTAGGATAATTAATTAATTAATTCTGAACGCTCGAATTGAACAAAATTTATTTATTTTTTCTTCAAATTAAATTTTTATTAAACAGTAAAAAAAAATAATTATTTAAAAGTGTATTTAATGTATTTTTAAGTATATTTAAAAGTGAAAAAAGTTAAAAATTATTAAATGGAGTGTATAAAAATTGTCCTCTTTTCTCTTTTTTAGTTGACGACAATTCATCATTTACAAAGCGCTTTCGATGAAGTTAGTTCGTGTTCGCGATATCATCCCAGTAAAGGTTATTCTTGGGATTTTAAGAATGGAAAAACCGTCACAACAAAGAAAGAGACGGTGGTGAGAGAAGAACCAAGTTCCTTATTTCAAAGACAGAGAGTCGACATGTTACTTGCTGAATTGACCCGAAAATTTCCGATTCCAGTACCAAAACCAATTCAACCCGCGGTCGAACCACGTAAGAATTATTTTTAAACTTATTTTTTAATTTAATTATAAATTAATTTTTAATTGAACAAAAAAAATGTTTCTTCACAATTGAGAAATAGTTAACCATGATGCTAATTGCTAAATTAAATTGAAATAATAATTTTTACAGCTGTTGAAGTGAAACAAGAACCGAAGACTGAAAAGAAAGATATGAAACCACCACCTGAGAAGAAGCCAAGGATCAGTTAGTGACGAGTGAAATTATAATTACGTGCAGCTTTAATCATCAAGTGTGTGAGTGATTGTGTAAATATTTTTTTTCATTTTTACATTTTAATTTATTTTTACACTTTTGTATGTGAAAATAGTTTTCTTCCCTTTATCACAAAAGAGGAAGAGCGAATCATAAATTATTTGCATAGTACATCGAGATTTTAATATTAAATTTAAAAAACAAATTTTTTCTTCAAACTTTACTTTTCATTAACTTGTATAAAATTAACTAAATCTTTGAATTTTATTACATCACAAAAATAAAAAATTTAATTTAATCAAATTTATTCAAAAATGAATAAATTTAATCGATTTTATGAGATTATAATCAAATTGTAAGTAACTAATCTTACTTTTATATAAAAATATAAATACTGCATTATTTACACTAAATTAAATATTTTTATTACACATACATTTTTTCACCTCCAAAATATTAATTCTTTTTTTCGATTTATTATTATTTCAACTATTTTCAAATACAATGTTTAAAAATTTCCATAGGAATGAATTTTTAAACTTTAGTTTTCCAACATTTCGAGTTTAATACATTAGATAATTCCAGAAATTGTGTATTTTCTGTTTTCCATGAAATATTAAATGTTTCTGAATTCGAATACCTATTTAAATAATAAATTATAGATTATAATTTTTAATTTATCACGTTTTATAAAGAATGAAGAGAGAATATAATAAAAATACTGAAAAGTTAATAATTAATAAAATTTAAATAATAAAGAGGAAAGGAACGATAAGTAAGTAATTAATAATGCTAAATATCGAAAGTAATATCTATAAGATTAAATCGGTTTTTTAAAAATAAGTGACAAAAACAAAAGACTGTAGATTAATTTCAAACCGTTGGAGAAATACTCTGATCTGTCGTTCACTTTTGACAAGTGAAATATGCAATTAGTGAAGTTTTTCCCTTTTGAAAATATATTATGATTTGCGAGAATGGAAATTTTATTCGCGATTTAGAAGAAATAGTCAGTGAGGCTCATTTAATCAGTAACGAATTCCAGAGCGAAATTCGTCAAGCCAAATATCAAATATGGAATCTCGTTCGTCAACAAATTAAAAATATCAAAAACAGAAAAGTAATTGCCAATTTTCTAGAAAACAATTTTTCAACAAATTTTAATAATGTAAAGAAAAATGAAATAGAAAAAAAGGAATCACTTACAATTTGCAAAAAAAAAGTCTTTTTTTCTCTTTTACAGAAACTGGACTTTGTAGTTGTAAAAAAATGTGCTCCATGTAAATCGATAAATTATTACACTTGCGAACAAATTGACACGTGCACGGAACCTTGTCCGGAATTAATTTCACTGTCTGATGAAATAAGCGAAGAAAGCTTTCAAACCAGTGTAATAAATGTGCAAAATAATGCAAATTATCCTGAAGCAATTGGCCGGGAAGACGTCGATTTTCGAAATCGACTCATCACGAGATCTGTAACAATTATTTTAATAGTCAATTTTTCTCACGTGTCTTTTTTAAAAAATTGCACACTTGACAGTTTTTCATAAAAATAGAATTTTTAATTTAACTTATTTTTGGAAAAGAAGAATCAAATTAGAAAAATATTTTTACACAAAAGTCAAAAAGAGAAATATCAAATATTATTAAAAATTGTAGGTGTAAAATTAAAATTTACAAATTTCTGACTTGTTTTCCTCCCTCGCCAGGTTACGACATTTCCCATTGATGAACAAAATACATCCGTATCGGTGAATCGTTGGTTTCAATTTTCGAAAAAAATTGGTAAATTCCTCACAGCTCTCGCCATTGGTTTTCTTATATGGATCGCGTTGGTTTACGGCGTTCTCCTCGGTGTTTCACTTTGTTCAAATGGCTCCTGTCTCTTCACTTATACGAGAAGAATTCCTGTACTTTAGCGAAAGAAATAAAATAAATATAACAAAAGTTGGAAAACAGACTTATTCAAACGAAAAAACGGAAGAAAAAATGTCGAATAAATAAAACTGCACTAAAAATTGAAACAAGAACGAAAATTTAAAAAATATGTCAATGGAACATGTTAGTTGAAAAAAAGAGTAAAATTACAACTGTAAATAACGGAAACGATAAAAAAATCTGGAAGAAAATTGTTCGATATTATAAGAAATAGACAAACTCGTGGTCAAGACTTGACACAAAATATATTAAACTCGGAGTAATACATTGTGTTGTAGCGTTTGGTTAGAATATGCTACGAGAATTATTAGTCTTCGTCAAATGCTCTTTTGTCTTAGCGTAAGTTTCTTACAAAAGTGATTTTTTTTTTTTTGCTTTTATTTATTTATTTGTTTTAAGTCTGTTATTCGAACGATTATTAACGTGAATGATGAAAATATTGTTTTTTTCCTTCATCATTTGCGTTTTAAGGCGCGTTTTTAACGCGGTTCCCCAAAAGAGAGATATAATAAAAAAAAATACAAAAAAAATTGAAAATAAAAAATGAAAAATATTTTCACAGTCTAGAAATGAGGTTGATGATTTTTTCGTGGATGTCGAATGATTTAATGTGCTAGGGACTGATGATTTCTCGTTCAGTCTTCCTGATATGTTTCCTCCTCTTCCATTCGCGATCCTTAGACACAACTCTCGGGACCGGGTATAGAATTTGCGATGATGATCTCTTTCATGAGGTTGCGATCAGCCTTGAAACTTATTGGCTCCCACGATTTCGCGGAAAATGGATTCAGCTGAAGGAAAACATATTCATTTATTATTTTCAACAATTTAAAAAAATTCTCGTCAAAATTTCAATTATTTTTATATAATTTTCAAAAAAAAAAAAAAATTTCAATTATTTTCAAAAATTTTTAAATTTTTAATGGAATTCAATTAAAATTGTATTGAAAACAATTTAATTCTCATACAGAATTATATCAAAATTAATTCTTTTGAGTCAGGAAGAAAGTCAAAATTTTGTTTGAAAATCGGTTAAAATTTCGTGGCAACCCTGATATTTATGTTTTTTGTAAATTTTTTATAAACTTATGAATAAGTGAAAAATGATAGTAGTACAAAATAGAAAAAGATAATAGAAAATTTGCTCACACTGCATCTGTTTGATTGAAGGCCTTGTTTGTGAATATCATACGGTGCGAATAGAGTGTCCGGCCTCACTGGCAAAAATAGTTGCGGCTCCCTTTTGATTTTTTCGTGATCTAAAAAAAGAAAAGAAAATTATTGAAACTTTATTCTCGATTCTCCCATTGACATTTTCAAACATATAAAACACAAATAAATAATAAGTTGAATTCTAAATTTAAACACGAAAATGCAATAATTTAAGAGAGAAATATATTAAATGTACAATATAATGATGAAATTAAAATGAAAAGAAAATGTTGAATAATTGAAGACTGAAATGCATTAGCTATTTATAAATGATATAAATGATGCATATACCTTGGGGCGATTGAATTATATCGGGCTGATTATTAAGCGCATAATCGGCGACCTGCTTGAGTGTGTATTCGACAAAATAGGTATGATCACCGTGTGTGACATCGAGCATTGAATTATTTCTCGAATCGGGCGGTGTTATTATTGGCTGTTTCATGTACGGTTCAATATGCACGGGCGACGTCGTTCCACGTCTTCGATACATCATTAACATCACAGATAGCACCGTTACTCCAAGAGCCATCAGACATCCAACGAGAAGTAAAATTAATGGCACCATACTGACACCGCTGTCTGAAATTTTACAATTTTTCATTATTCACTTTTCAATATAATTTATCTTTTCTTCTTATTTCTCTTTCTTTTCAAAAATATGCATTTCCATTTTTATACGTATATATTTATATGAGAAAAAAATTCCTATTACTGTTTAATCGAATAAGCATTCTGCTCCCTTTATTCTTGATGTAAATAAATAAATATTAATTATAAAAAATAGACCAAAAAATAAAAATAAATTAAGAAATAGAAAAATATTAAAACAAAAAACATTATTTTTAATAAAAAATATTAATTAACTTATAATCTAAAACAAAAACTTGGATAACATTTTAATGGAACGATTATTTTTCTTTTGTTACAGATTAAGAGAAACTGCAAATTTCCTCTTCAGAAACAAGACTGAACAAAAAAGAATTCTTATTATTCGGATAACTTCATTTATCGAGATAAAAGTTTGATTATTTTCTTTCTTACTTTTTTGTTATAATGGAAGAAATTAAATTTTACTCACTAGTTTTTTAATTGTGTTAATAATTAATTATAAGTCGTATTAATTACATCAATTATAAGTTGTTTAAATTCGTTTCATTTCATTTTTTAATTTCGCTTTTCATTCATTTTCAATTTAGTTAAATCAATACTTTTAATTAAGAAAATAAAAAAAAAATACAGAAAATAAAATATTACGTCTATTATTAAGAATTATAAAAAAGAGGTTTATTTTCGTATTTTTGAATTTTAAGTATTTTTATGTAGAACATTTAAAATTACTGTATTATTTGATTACAATTGTTATTCTTCGATTTAATTAATATTTTTATTATTACTATAAATTTGTATCAAGTAGTTATAAGATTTATGTGTAAAAATAATTATATTATAATTACAATAGTTATAATTTAAGATAATGTGTACTAAAAAAACAGACAAGTTTATACGAATAAATAATAAACAATAAAACTTTAATGATCATAAAATGAAATAATTTTCTCTTTTCAACTTTCTGACAATTTGAAATTATACATAATTAATAGTATTGTTTAAAGAACGATAAACAGTTTTACTCTTGATAAAATTAATATTTATAACAAACTTCCATCTATGGTGATAATAATAATAAATAAATAATAATAATAATAATAAATAATAATAAACTCTGATAAATTCGTAATTTTAAATACAAACAAATATTAATTTAATGAATATTATTATTATTATTATTATTTCATTTTAGTAAATTTACTTTTAATTTAATTATTATTTTCTACAATTTTTAACTAACATTCTTCTTTATATCAATTTTTTAAATAATTTTTGACAAAGTTCTATGAGAATTTTCAAATTCATTTGTCTACAATTTAATTTTACGTGAAATTTGGATTATTCAGAAATTCTTCAATTAATAAATTATATATTAGAAAATAAAAACTTCAAATAATTTCAACAGAAATTTAATTTATCTTTTTGGAAAAAAATTAAATAACAGAGATTGTTAGTTAACTGTATGAAAAATTCAAATTTTCAAAGATTTTAATTTGAAACCTTTTTAAAATTCAATTATTATCTAAAATTGTAACTAAAATTATTTTTAAATCAATTATATTATACAATTCTACGAGAATTCAATTATTATTCATCGCTTTATTATTTATGAAAATAATTAAATCCCTGTAAAAAATTTTATTGTTCAAGAAAATAATTGAAGGATTAATTCCTATGAAATTTTTATTATTATTTATTTACATTTTTTTAAGTAATTGAATTCGTTTGGTAAATTATATTTAAAAAGTAGATATTAAAAATTATTGAATTGAGGGAAATTTTTGAAAATAATTGAATTTCGAAGAAGAATTTTATTACTTTTGAAAATAATTGACTTTCTGCAATCAATTTTGTAAATTCTCCAAATTTCAATTTTTTTTACTGTTTTTAACTATAATTCCTCTGTTAGTCCATTATTTTAAATAATTAATATTAAAAAATGTAAATAATTTCAGAAGAATTTGAATTATTTAAATTTGTTGCAAAAATCTAAGTTCTAATTTTATAAAATTTCAAATTAAATCCTTTTGAAGTTGATCTATTCATAAAAATTGTAAACGCAGCTCCTTCTGAATTCAATTAATTTTGAAATATTGAAGTAAAATTATTTACTAAATAATTTATAAGTAATAATTTGATAATAGAGTTCTCCAAGAATTAAGTTATTTAAAAAGAAATTATCGTCAAAGACAGAAAAAATTATAATTTTAAATGCTGATTAAAATTACAAATACCAAGAATAAAAAATTGTTTGTTGGATATAAAAAAATAAGAATTATGTTAAAAAAAATATCCTACCTGGATGCTTCTCGGAATCTCGAAGTAGAATATCTTCGAGGAGTGTCGGATCACTTTTGCCCTTCGCGTTGATTGCAAAGACCCGTAGATAAAAATGCGTAGCGGGTAAAAGATCAGCGACGGCTATTCGAAAAATAGGGGTTTCCGTCGAAGCGCTCGAGGCATTTAATCTCATTTTGCCATTCGAGACATCGAACGCCTCCAAGCGAAACTCTTGTTTTATCCCTCCATCGTAGCCAGGGACACATTCCACTTCCAAAATTTCCGAACTCAAATTCAGAGCGGCCTTTATTGTACAATTGCTCAACTGACTCGGTTTCACTGAAAAAGCGAACAAAATTATTATCGATTATTATTAATTATTTACATTATTCTTCAATTAAATTAAATTAAAGCAATTTTTTTCAAATTTGCAATATGTAAACTTTTTGTTCCTGAATTTTAAAAAATTCTTTTTATTCTATTATAAAATATTTTTGGTAAAAATTAAATAAAATTGTAAGAACTTCCTATTTGGAATCTGTACAATGAAGAAATAAATAACTAGTAGAAAATTAAATAATATAATTAAGTAATTAGTATTATAATTCCATGATTAGAATTAGAATTAGAATTTCCTAATTAGCATTCTAATTATATTATTAGAATTATAAATTTGTAATTAGTGTTTATAATAATTTTGAAGAGTTGATAAAAAGTAAAGTTGAATCAATAGTAATTGATTGCGTTATTGTGCTTAGTAATATCGATCCACCTGCGGGGATAATTTGATAAATGCAGGGCGCTTCCTGTTTTCCGATGGGGTTCCTGCCCCAACAAGTCAAGGGTCCATAATCCCTGTCCGAAATTGGAGTATAAACTAATTCGCTCATTGTTCCATTGTTGCCGTCATACTTGGCCGATGCGCCCTCAAAATTTTCCCCACTGTTGTTAAACTCCCAGAGAAAATCGACGTCCGCTGGATCTGCGTCCACCTCACAGCGAACCTTCACCGATTCCTCCAAGGATGCTCCAATTATCGTCACCTCCTTCGTCCTACAAACTGGCGCATCTGTCGACACATTTAGCAATTCATAATTTAGCCTCTTCAATAATTGTTTCGCCAACTAAATATAATTCTGTTACTCTAATTAAATTATTTACCTTTATTAAATTATTAATTGAATTATTTACTTCTCTTCAATAATTAATTTAATTATTTACTTCTCTTCAATAATTAATTTAATTCAGGGTTGCCACAGGTCAGGGAAATCGGAGAATTTAGGGAAAAGTCAGGGAAAGGAAAATTAGTCAGGGAAATCAAGGAAAAGTCAGAGATTTTTATTAAAAGTACTGGAAAAAAATTAATTTTGAGAATTCATAAGAAAATTGACAATACTTCTGAATTTTTTGAATCTATTTTGTTTGCCTCATAAGCTGTGAAACTACCACGAATTCTAATACAAAACCTTAAAAAAAATTTATATTTCTTACAAGAATGAATTTTTTAATATTATTTAATTATTTCAAAAGTTTTTACGCAATTATCTCAATAAATAACAAAATTCATCACAGAAATTCAATTATTTTAAGGAATTTAAAATTTATTTTAAATAAAATTCTTTGCAAAAACCAATTGTTTTTAAAAGTTTTTCGCGATTCAATAATTTTCAATATTTATACTATTTTCATAAAATTTATCAAAAGATTTAATTATTAAAAAAAAATTTTGATACAATTTTACGAAAACATTCAATTATTTAACGTAAATAATAAAATTTAATTTAGGAATTTGAATTATTTTCATCGCAGAGTTTCAAATAAATAAAAAAATTTTATAAAAATTCTTGGCAAGTATTCAATTATTTAAAAAAAAAAATTCTTCGCTAGAATTCAATTATTTTCAAAATTTTTTTAAAATTCTTGTCAAAATTTCAATTATCTTTAAAAATAACAAAATTCTTCTTTGAAATTCAATTATTTAAAATTTCTTTTTAAAATTCTCGTCAAAATTTCAATTTTCTTTAAAAATAATAAAATTCTTCTTCAAAATTTAATTATTTTCAAAAATTTTATAAAAATGTTTGTCAAGTATTCAATTATTTTAAAAAATAATAAAATTTTTAATTATAATTATTAATAGAAACAGTTATTTAAAAAGTTAAAAAAAATTTCAATTATCTTTAAAAATAATAAAATTCTTCTACGAAATTTAATTTTTTTTTAAAATTGTAATAAAATTCTTCAAAAAGTTTTTCAATTATTTTCAAAAATTGTTATAAAATTTTTTAATATAATAAATTTCAGTAAGATTTTAATTAAATTTCTTAAAAGAAATTAAATATTTTCAAAAGTTGTTAATAAAATTCTTCGTAAAAATTAAATTTCAAGTTTTTATTTTCTAATATATATTTAACTGAAGATTTTTCAAATAATCGAAATTTCGTATAAAATTAAATTGTGAACAGATGGATTTGAAAAATCTCAAAGAACTTTTGCACAAAATTATTAAAAAAATTGATTTCAAGTTGAATTTTAGTTAAAAATTCTAGAAAATAATAATTGAATTGAAATGATGAAAATAATGAAATTAATTTTGACGAAGTTAAAGTAAAAGAATGTAAAAATTCTTTTATAATATAAAATAATGATTTTATCACACGGTCATTTTTAATTATTATAAAACATGAATAAAGCTATTGCTCCCAGTCGAAGACTCGGAGAGATTGATTTCTTCATGTTTTATAATAATTTCCACAGTTGTTAAATTTCAAAAAAGTTTAAATTAAAAATTTTTCAACATCTTAATTCCAATTGAAAAATAATAATGATTAAATATTTAGATATTTAAAGAAGAAGTATTTAATCATTTTTGTGGTTTTTTTGTGGTAACCCTGTAATTATTCAAGTGAATAAAGTGAATTAAAATTTAATCGGATAATTTTGTTAATATCTTAATAATATTCATAAAAAATGCGAATAAAAAATGGAATGTAAGAGCCGTTTCTGTGAATCGACTATTTGAAATTAATTAAAGTGAATGATTAATTGGAAATTGAACTCACATTGAACTCGTAAAGATACAGCAGAACTGGAAGTTTCTCCCCTATCGTTGCTGGCAAGACAGGTATAATTTCCGGCGTTGTCCCGTCCAATGCTTTGCAGAACCAAACTTTGAGTGCTCATTATTATTCCAGCCGAGTAGTTCTGAGCGAGGACGACTCCCTTTTCACGGGCGAGGGAAGAAAAATGAAAAAAAAGACGAGAAATATGAAATTTCTTATTCATCGTTAACAGACGGAAAAAGCCCTTCGCTAACAATCAAATTCAACACTTTTTCAACAAAAAACTACAAAATATTAATTATCATTCTATTTTTTTTGCCAATTTTTCCTTTTGTTACAAATATTAAAATTAAAATTTGAAAATAAAAGTAAATTTTAATAACAATAAAATTGAAAAAAATAAACATTTCTTTTCCTCAAAGAAGAAGAAAATAAAATTAAAATATGAAGTGAAATACTAATTTACAAAGGGGAATAATAATTAAAATGTTTACATTGTGTCTCCAGGTTATTTTATGATGTTCAGGATTCGCTCGGACTTTACACTCAAAGTAGACGTCGTCACCCTCTTTTATATTCTCTGCATTTAAAGTGCTGCCCAAATGTAATTGAACCTTGGGAGGAACTGAAAATAAAAATTTTTAATTACTGACTGAAATTTTTCGAAAGAAAAAAAGACTATTTCCAGTGAAAAAAGCGCAGAATAGAGAAAAAAAGAAAATGCTTACAGACAACATTGAGCAGAAAGTGGTCTTCTAGAAACGCTCCGGCCAATTCAGGATTTTCCCCTCGACACTTGAGAGTCTTCCCATGATCCTCAGGAATCGGAGAAAAGATCAAAGTACTTAAAACAGCCGCTGAGCCCTCACCGTTTATTACCTACAGTACATTTGACAATAAAAAGTATTAACTAATACTGAGAAATAAATTTAGTTTTAGAGCGCAAGAAAGAGAAAACTTACCTTTCCACTTTTAAAGGGCAAAAGTCCATCTAGCCAGACAATTTTTGCTCGAGGATGAGATCCCATACATTCACAGGCAATCGAGTAATCCTTCTCGGCTTCCAAGATCGAAGGTTTCGTCAATATTTTCACCGAAATTGGCTTCACTGAAATCAAAGCGAACTTGAGACTTTTCAGATAAAAATAATTTTCTTCAATATCAATTTATATAGAAAATCGAATGTTTTTCAATTAAAAGAATATGATATTATAAAGAATTTCAGTTTCGGAAAAACGAGAAAATAAAAATACTTTTCAATTTCCAGAAAATATTGTTCATTTCTATTATTCTGTAAATTACAAAATTTTTAATTTTTAAATAGGTAGAAACTTCAATTTTTGAATAATTTTAGATTCAAAATTTAAAAAAAATCACTTATTAGTTACATAATTAATTAGGTATTAATGTTTATTATATTTAAAAATTCTAAGAGAGAATTTAATTATTTTTATAAACAGCAAAATTCTTGTAAGGAATATTTTTAGACAAAATTCATTGATTTTCAATATATTAATTTTAAAATTTATTAAAAAAGAAAAATTATTTAAAAAGTTAGGAAACAAAAAAGCAAACAACTAACTTCAAAATGCGAAGAGATTATCTGAATAAAACGATTATTAATATAGATTTTTCAATTTCAGAAAAATTGCAGAAAACTTTTCAATTGCAAAATAATGAAGTCAAGGTAACAAAAAAAAATTAATTCGGAACAAAGTAAATACACAAATTAATTTTCCAGTAAAAATTATAAATCTAGTAGTAATTTTTTGCGAAAAATTAACAAAAACCGTGAAAAAAATTGCAAATATCTAAAAACACAAACGAGAAAAGAATAACGAAAAAATATAAAATAAGAAAAGAACCAAGAAAATTTGTAAATACAGAAGAATGAAAAGCAGGACAAAAAAAAGAATTTTCTTAGTCACTGGGAAATCACGATAAGATAATTTGCTGCTTGAAGCAATTTTCTCAGTGGGAAAAAAAGGGTTGATCTCGTCACGTACAGGAGAAAATTATAAAACGAGCGATAAAAATCTTGCAAAGTGAAATAATCTTGCTTGCATCTCTTGAATTTCGTTGACACATATCTGAGTGAGAGAGAGACTGAAATGTGTTATACAAAAAAAAAAGTCTCTCGTTGAATAAAGGTCTGGACCTGACTCTCTCGCGGGGCTATTTAAGAAGTCGAGCTATAGGAAAACGTGTAAAGCTTTTTTTATTTTTATTCTTTTTTTTTGCAATTTTTTTTTAAGTCGAGAACGTTTCTTTGAACCGACGATATGAAAAGCTTTCTATATACTCACAGTATACGTCTAAAAGGACGTTCTTTTCCAAGGGAGGAATCAAATTCGTGTTAGTAGCCCTACATTTGTACGTTGTATTTAGGTGCTCCCTTTTTAGCTGAGAAATTGTCAGTTCATTGACCACGAGAGTCGTTCCCGATTTCTTCAATAGTCCAACAGTTTCCTTACCATTCGCCAGCCACGTGACGATTGGCGTCGGTTTTCCTTTTAAATAAATTAATAACAAATTCATAAAAATACAATTTTTCTACATTCACAAAAGAAAGAAGCAAAATATTTTTTAAAAAATGTTTAAAAAAATATTTGTCTGGCTTTAAATTGAAAATTTCAACTCTAATTTCTTTGTTTTGCATTTAATGAAAAGGGGCTTTGCAAAATATTTCGCCGCAAGAATATTAGGAAACCGAAATTGGATTTGTGAGACGGAGATAATAAAATGAGATAAAGGTGTAATTTTCCTGGAAATTTAATTATAATGGTTTTGTATCTTATCTTACCTCCTCTAACTTGACAAGATAAGCCAAACTCAACCCCAACTCGATAGGGTCCAACGACATTTTCCACCTCGACTCCTGAACTGTCGAAAATTAACAACTCACGTGGAGGAACTGAAAAGAGGAATTATATCAAGTAATTAAAGTTTATCTTCTGAAATAAAAAAAAAATATCAAGTATAATCTTTTCTCCAAGTAAAAGAAAAATCTCAAATAATCTTTAATTGGATCTAATACTATGTGGTTTTCGATACACTCGATAGAAATTAATCTTTTTCTTCTTCTTCTTCAAAAAAAAAATATCGAAACAATTCAAACAATGAACTTGTTTATTTTCGAAAAATCATTCTAATAATATTAATAATGTATTATTATTGTTATTATTTTGCTAATTAAACAAACTTTTTTACTCTCAAATATTAATTTCAATTTTGTAATAATTTTAGATTCAAAATTAGAAAAAAATGCAATTATTCACAAATATTTTTAAAAATTTAATAAAATTCACTGCAAAAACTCAATTATTTTGAAAAATTTTCGATATAATTTTAATTCTTAGGAAAATTTCAATTATTATTTTTATAATTTACAAAATTTTTCACAGGAATTTAATTATTTTAAACAATTTTAATGAAACTCTTTGCAAAAATTCTTTATGAGAATTGAAATATTTTTAATACAATTTTAATTAAATTCCTCAAAAAATTCAATTATTTTCGAAAATTTTAATGAAATTCTTTGCAAAAATTCAATTATTTTGAAAAATGTTCATTAAATTCTTTATATAAAAATTGAAAGATTTCCAATGCAATTTTAATTAAATTCCTCGAAAAATTTAATTATTTTCGAAAATTTTTATTAATTTCTTTGCAAAATTTCAATTATTTTCTCGTAATTTATAAAATTTTTCGCAGGAATTTAATTACCTATTCTAATAAAGAATTTTAATACAATTCTTTGCAGAAATTCAATTACCATTGAAAATTTTTGATAAAATTATTTATGAGAATTGAATTATGTATTTTCATAATTTATCAAATTTTTTGCAGGAATCTAATTATTTAATAGAATTTAATTTGAAAAAATCTCATTTTCTTTTGAAGATAATAATTTTTTATATTGTTTTCTATTTATAAAAACTTTCTTTGTACCTGATATTTTTTCATAAAATTTATTAACATTTCTCTCGCATTAAAATTATTTTTAGATTAGAATTTCTATGAAAAGAGAAAAAACACATTTTTCAATAGAAATTTCTTTGAAAAAAATATAATTTTGGTAAAATAAGAACGAAATTAAATTTCTGTTAAACAAACTATATATAAATTTTAATCAAGAGAAAGAAAAAATGTTTTTATAAAATAAAAGATGAGAAAAATACTATTTTGTCAAAAAGAAGATTAAAGATACCTCTAAAAAGAACAATTTCCCTTATGGAAAAATTGTAAGGATTCTTGAATTGAAAAAAGTCTCGAATTTAATTAAGCCATAGCTTTTTCAAGTTTTTTTTTAATCCTTTTGACAGATATTTTAAATGTGTGGGAAATAATTACCTCTGAATTTTATAATATCAAGAGTTACTTAAATTTTGATAATTAAAGAAAAAGCTGACAAATAATTAAAAAGAAAAATTTGTCATACTTCTGCTATTATTATTGTCTTTCAATACTTAATTAGTTTTTTTGTGAGGAATTCAATAGTCATAAAATAAAATCGGTCAGAAAATACCTATGTTGACCCTTTTTGAATTTTAACTTTGTTTTTAGTTTGAAAAATGCAATTACTAATGGATTTTAAAATCTACCAATTTTTAAGCAAAATAAAAATTTTTGACCGAATTTATTTTATGACCATTGTGTTCCTTACAAATAATTACCTTAAACATTATTTTGTGAAATATTTAAATAATTTTCTTGGTATAATTAAAAATAGTAATTAAAAAAAAGTCAAAAGAAAAAAAATGAAGAATAAGAAAAAGTTTTGTACCGATCACAGTGAGATTCACTTGGAAGTTTCGAGTTGGTGAGTTTTTAAAGTCCACCCGACATCGGTAAATGCCCTCGTCATCGAGTCGCACTTTTTCCAGGGAGAGCGTAGCCGGCTTCGTCACTGTTACGAAGTAAGCTCTGGATTTCACGTCATTGTTTTCCGACCAGTTCAGAGCTTTATTGAAAGCTCTTCCACGTACGTCGAAGCTGAAAAAGAAAATCGCCGCGTTTTATGATCAAAACTAAAGAAAAACTTATATTCCTCGATCTTCTGCGCCTTTTTCTGCCTTTTTCACTTTTCAAAAGTCCCCCCTCCCCACCCACCCCAACGACGAGAGGGGCTTTTTAAAGTCTTAAAAAACTTTTCCCAAGACTTTAAATTGTCATCCAAACGGGGGAAATTGATCTACTTTTTGCATTTATTGGACCAACTTTCAATTGAGGATTATATGACTATAGGAATAAAAAAATCGAGGAAAAAAAAATGTGGTACCGTTTGTTCTAACCAATCAAATTCAATATTACATTTTACTTAAATATTTCAAAATTATTTTAAAAGAGTTGCGTTTACAATTTTCATAAATAAATGGAACTTCAAAAGATTTTAATTTGAAATTTTGGAAAATTTTAATTTTAAATTAATTTTATTAGAAATTTTCTCTTTTTTTTAAAACCTATAGATTTTAAAAAAATTTTAATAACTAAAACTCTTCTGAAATTAGTTAAATTTTTTAATGTATATTTAATTGATTATTAAAAATAATGAATTTATAGAAACATTTCAGTTAGGAACACTAAAAAAAATTGAATTTGAAACAATTACAAATGATTGCAGAAATTCAATTATTTTCAAAAGTATAGTAAAATTCTTCTCTAAAATTCAATTACTTTCAAAAATTTGAATAAAATTCTTGGCAAAATTTTAATTATTTTCAAAAATTTTTCCTCAATTAAATGATTTTTAATATCTACTATACTTTAATAAAAAAAAAACCTCAAAAGAATTCAATTAGTTAAAAATTTGAATAAAATTCTACGCAAACATTTCATCATTTACATAAATAATAAAAATTTCACAGAAATTAAAATTATTTACAAATTCTTTATAAATTTCTAAGCAATAAATCAATTATTTTCATAAATAATAAAATTCCCCAGAAGAATTTTGTTATTTATAAAAATAATTGAATGTTTATGCAGAATTTTATCAATATTTTTTCTAAACAATTGAAATCTTTTGGGTTTGTCAAAAAATAGTAGATATTGAAAATCATTAAATTAAGAAAAAATTCTGCGATGAGTTTTGTTATGAAAATAATTGAATTCCTAAAAAAAATTTATATTATTTATGAAAATAATTGAATCTTTGTAAAAAAATGTGTTATTTACGAAAATAATTGAATTTTTGATAAAAAATGTATTATTTATGAAGATAATTGAATCTTTGCAAAAAAATTTATTATTTATGAAATTAATTGAATTTTCGCGAAGAAATTTATAAAAAATTTGTAAATTATTGAAATACTGTAAAAAAATTCCTGTGAAAAATTTGTCAAAATTCAATTATTTTCAATGTCTAATATTTCAATAAAAATTCACAAAAGAATTCAATTATTCAAAAAGAAATTCTAATAAAATTCGTCTCAATAATTCAATTGTTTTCAAAAATAATAGAATTCTTCGCAGAAATTCAATTATGTTCAAAAATTTACAAAATTTCTCGACAGAATTTCAATTATATTTATAAATGATAAAATTTTTCTCCGGAATTCAATTATTTTCAAAAATTTTTATAAAATTCTTGGCACGAAAGACGAAAAACGAAAAAAAAAAAATTTCGAAAATCGTTCTTCTCGACTGCTAAGAATCACGCATACAAAATTGCGACAAAAATTTCCGTTTGATATTTCCGGCTCTCTTGAGAGGCGATTTTTCATTTTGAAAAAAGCACTTCTGTTTATCACCGATGTACACGAATAGAACAAAAATAAAAAAAAGAAGAGCGAGAGAAAGAAAGAAAGTAAAGAGTAGAAAAACTATCCTAGTGTATTTGTCAGTTTAAAAAAGTCCATTCTATTGTTGGAAAAATTCTGTAGCGTCTGTGTGTTCCTTTTCAAGGGAAGTATATAGAGTGTCCGAGAGTTGCTTTTTTTCAATGAAACTTGAATTTTTTTTTCGGAAAACATACAGCTGTACTTTTAGGTCATGACCTGAAAGCTCACGAGTTGGAATCCATTGATCGTTGTTAACAAAAGGTCAAAGAATTGTAACTGTCGGTATAGGTATTTATCTTCTTCCATATATATACACTGTAGTGCAAGATCCTACTTTCTTATTGATTGAGAGGTTGTATCAGACAGGTAACTAGTTTTATTTAACTTTTACAAAGTATTAACGACCTTCATTGATGACTATCTACATAGGGTAAGTGCGGGTATAGTCGGACAGTACTAGTAGTCGGACACTTTCGTGTTTTTTGTCAAATAAATAATAATGCATTGTGATAATTACTTTAAAAAGTATACTAGACGAATGTGTGAAGTTTATATTTTATTAAAATAGTGTTATTTTCGAAAATAATTAAATAAAAAATATTTTATATAATGTTTTAAAAATCATGGTGTCCGACTATAGATACAACCATTTTCGAGTAGCGCGATGAGTGGCATAAAGTTTTGTTGATAATTAATCATAAATATTAAAACGTATAGGGTTTAAATATTATATTAATAACTTCTAATATGCTTTAATTCCATTTTCCAGCAGATAGCAATTAAAAAATTATCTGTTTTACTTTATAAATCCAAAATATCTGACAGATGTCCGACTATAGAAACAAGGGGAAAAAGTGTCCGACTACTAAAGCATTCGTAATTTTTTATTAAAATGTTTATATTTTATTAAATACTCAACTATTTGTAACAAATTTATATGATTTTTAATCCTGAAGAACTCCTTTAATTAATAATGTGCTTATAAACACAGTAGATATTTGCTATTTCAAGAAAAAAAGCATAATTTAAGATTGTATCCTTAAGTGTCCGACTACTAGTGCATTTACCCTATATGCACCTACATTGACATTCCACATTCCACATTCCACCAACTGCACTAATATAATAAACTTTACAATTCTAATCGCAAGCGCCACTCGAAAAGAGTGTCTCTACATATTCTTCTATAGGCAATCAAATATTGTTTCAATTTCCGCTAGTGTAAGTATTTTATTATTCAAAACTATAATGACTGTTATTTCAGAAAAGCGAATATACCCAAGAAATAACTTCTTCCTAAATTTCAAAAGGGAAATAATCGCGTATTGATATTTTTGTTACATTCATTTTTTTCTTAAATGTCCCATATATCACACACGGTTTTTATTTCTCCAAAAAATGGAGTAAATATTTCTTTATTCTTTTCATATAGAAAAATACACAACAGTTAGAAGTTGAGTGTGCAAAAAAGGGTGCATTTTTTTTCTATTATATATGCATGGAAAAATGTATATACATATAAACTCTTTTGTCATCCCATAAAGTAGAAAATAACTGACAATTTCTATGCAAACAAATCAAATCTTTTCTTTTTCCTTATAATTACCTACTTAAAAACAATTTATTTAAAAAATTTAAACACAATTTTTGAATTGTTATTTCAGAATTTTTTTTACTTAATTACGAAATATTTTTCTTTGGTTTTTATAAGCAAAGAAAAATATTTCATAATATTTTTTTTCCCTACCACTGATATTATATTAGTGAAAATATTAATAATCAATATTATTATTAGGTTGAGAGTGGAGGGGTCAGAAATGTACAGGAAGATTGTGATCAACAAGAGAGGAAATTGGTATCTGGAAAAGAAAAATAAGGAAAGAAAAGGAAAAATGAGAAGAAAAAATAAGAGTGAGAGAAAAACAAAGAAATTTTTCCTTGGTTGAGGAGGGAAACAAAAATAAATATAGGGTACGTTAGGAGTGAATAGGCAGCAGACCAACTCAAACTAAAAACAAAAATCAAGTGAAATTGAAGGTGTGTTGTTAATTCTGACAATTTGTGATGATTCAACGAAATTTTTTCTTAGATTAAAATTGTCAATTTTAATTCAAAAAATTTGAATTCTAGACCAAAAATGTCAATTAGGCGTAAGTATAAAAAGCTTATTAAAGATCAATAGAAGAAAATTTAAAGTGAGATATATTATCTCAACATCTAAACACTGCTATTAAGAGATACTATCAGAGCGTAGTATTTATCTAGTACTATCTATTACGTAAGAGTCAGGTTTTTTTAAAAAGGGCCGTAAAGTTCGCAATTTTATTGAGAAAAGACGAAAAGTTCGTAATTTGGAGAATTTTAGAGAAATTACAAATAATTGCAGAAATTGAATTATTTTCAAAAGTAATAAAATTCTTCACAGAAATTCATTTATGTTCAAAAATTTTTTTAAAATTCTCGTCAAAATTTCAATTATCTTTAGAAATAATTAAATTCTTCTGCGAAATTTAATTATTTTCAATAAAAATATTATTAAAATTCTTGGCAATCCTTCAATTATTAAAAGTTTTTCTCAACTCAATGATTTTTAATATCTACTATTTTAATAAAATTTTCCAAAAGAATTCAATTATTTAAAGAAAATTTGATAAAATTCTACTCAAACCTTTAATATTATTTTCATACAATAATAAAAATTTCACAGGAATTTCATTATTTACAAATTTTTAAAATAAATTTTTTCTCAATCATTCAATTATTTTCATAAATAATAACAGGGATTAAATTATTATTTTCGTAAATAATAAAATTATTTCTAGAAATTCAATTATTTTTATAAATAATGCAATTTCAATCGAATTCCTCGAAAAATGTGATTATTCTTAAAATTTTAAATTCGTCAAAAGAATTTAATTATTTAAAAAGTTATTAATAAAATTCTTTATAAGAATTAAATTTTAAGAAACATTCAATTATTCAATAAATTATTTATTTGCATTTTATTTGTATTTAAATAATTGAATTCCAGTAGAATTTTCTAATAAAAATTGATTTAAAAATGAATTTCTGTTAAAATTTTATATTATTTATAATAATTTTTCTTTTTAAATGTTTTCAATTTTAAAATTAATGTAGATACTAAAAATCATTGAATTCTTGCAAAGTATTTATCCAAAAATTTAAAAATAACTGAATTCATTTACAGAATTTTATCATCATTTTTTTTTAATAATTGAATTCTTTCGAGAAAATTTAATTAAAATTGTATTGAAAATAATTTAATTCTTGGCAAGAGTTTTATTAAAATTCTTTAAAAAAATTGAATCGTTTTGAAGAATTTATTTTAATTTTCTTGAAAATTTTGAAAGTAATTGAATTTTATGAACATTTTCTTTTAATTGTGTTTATCATCAATTATAATTAATAATTTTCTTATTAAATTATATTATAAATATTTATTTATAGAAAATTAAATTTTTTTAAATAATTTTATTAGAGTTTTTGTAAATAATTTTTAAGAATGTCATTAAATTTCGTAAAAAATATAATGTAATTTTTTAAAATAATTTAGAAAATAATTGAAAAATACAAAGAATTTTATTATTTACAAAAATAATTGAATTGTTTCAAAGAATATTATCAGAATTGTTGAAAATAATTGAATTTAAATGATATTTTTAAAAATAATTGTATATTTTTTCGAGAAATTTTATTAAAATTGTATTGAAAATAATTGAATTTCGGAGGATATAAATATGTAAAAATAAAATAATGTAAATATGTAAAGTCCGTATTTTTAAATACTTTCACTGGTTCGAGCCATGATTAAGGTTTACCAAAACAAATCCAATTTAGAGAAAAATAGCTTTTCTAGATTTGTATTTTCTGTGTTGAAATTAGCAAATAACATTCATCTTACCACTAAGCAAATATAAAAAAATTTCCCTACATTTTCAACTACAGTTCAAACACCAAGATTAATTTTTTTCCCAGATCTTATTTTATTAATAGAAAGTGGTCTGTTGATTCGAATTTGAAATGAAAATAGTCGAGAATTGTCCGAACGATCCCTTATGCCACATATCATTAATCACATTTATCAAAGAACAACAATACCATTATTTTTCGCAAAAGAAATAAATCATGTAGCAATATGTCCTAAGGCTATGCACACACTACAAACTACAAAAAAAAAAAAAAAAAAAAAAAAAGACACATTCCATTAAATACATCTCGGTATTTCCTTTTTTTTTGCCCCTATAACGACGTCTTTATACAACGGAAATATGCGATTTACACAGATCGACTGATTTTCCCTCGGAATGCAATATAACTGGCGTCAGTCGTCGCGTTGACTTGACGAGAACGCGTTTAGTCACTACAAAACACGATTACATTTGCTCTGAATATCAAAGAAGTAGACATTCAACTGGTAGGGGCTTTAAGCTCTTTTTCGGTGTATACGTGAACATATATGCATGTGTTACTATGTATACACCACTGGAGAGAAAAAAAAAAAAAAAAAAAAAAAAAAAAAAAAAAAAAAATCTCAAAGTGAGCTAGGAAAAAGCCAAGAGAGTGTCGTGTAAAAGAGAGAGAGAGAGAGAGAGAAAAATAGAGGGTTTGCTGAGAACGAAAAGGGGAGTGAACGTAATGAGAACTTTTCTCTTTTCGCGCAGGGCCACGTAAGTCGCATTTTTACGCAGGAAGCCTATCAAAAGGAAAAAGCAATTTCCCACTAGAAAAAAAAACCTTAAGACGAGGCTTTCATAACTCATACAGAAGCTCTTCACGTCGAGAAGAAAAGCGTGCAAGTAATTCTCCCCGTTGTTTGGCACCTCTTAAGTCCCTTTTTACGTGAAAATTATTTGTTTAAGTTCAACACAGAAAATGGGTAATTTTTTTTTTCTATTCCCAAGCGCCCTTCTTTATACAATATAGATATTTTTCCCACTTTTCTTTCATTTATATGAATGATTATATAAACGAGTCCGAAAATACAGATGTCAGTAGGGAAAAAAAGAATATTTCATTTTCAAGAAAGATTAATATAATCCTTCTTTTTCTTTTTTTTCATAAAATGAATATAAAAATAATGTATTTTTGTTATCTCGTGGAGAAATCTAGCGTATGAGGGTAAAGCCATTATTTATCAACTAGGTGGATATGATATAATATAATATAAGTTTTATGGAAAACCGATAAGCGATTTACCTGTAAATCGGCTTGACTACATCCTCGCGAAACCATAGCACCATGTAAACGCGATCTTCTCGCGTGGACGGTTCAATGTCACAAGGCAAAGATGCTGTGTGTCCAACAACTGCATTCACTTCCGTTGAAGAGACTGAAACACAATATTTTATAAAGTTAAAAATAATTACACTCAATTATTATTTATATTATATTTATAATTATTTACTACTATTTAAAAAACATTAATAACAACGTAATGCTACTTATTTAATTTAATTACATATAAATAAATAATAGTATAAAATAGTATACTATAATGACAACTCTAAGTAAATTATTTACTATTATTAATAATTATATAAATGATCACTCCTCTCTAAATCTGAATATGTGAAAATTCACATATTTGTACGTTATAAGTCGTCTTCTCGATCAATAAGTGCATATACACTTATAATAAGTGAAATTTCACTCAGAATAAGTGAAAAATTCACTTATTTATAAGTGTATATGCACTTATTGATCGAGAGGACGACTTATAACGTACAATAAGTGAAATTTCACATATTCAGATTTAGAGAGTCGGCAAAACTTTAATAATAGTTGAAATTATCGATCACCCCGAGTTAGATTATAATATAATAATTATAAATTATAAAAATTCCCTATTAATAAAAAATAGGTAATCATTATTAATACTATTATAAAAATCAGAGTAACTTAAAAATTTAACATTCTTTTTCGTTGTTCCATATAAATTATAAATACATTTTTACAAAAAATTTTAAAAAAGAACTGTCTGGTGACATAATTATTATATTATACGAATTTTTAAATAAAAACACAAAAAACAGTTACATTAATCAATTGACTTCAATTATTCCAACAGAAATTGAAGAAAAAAGAATATATATAATAAACGAAAAATTTTGTTTAAAAAAAGAATATCGATTAAAACCCGAATAAAGTGAAAATTAAATAAGTTATCTAATATTTAAATTTACGTAATTTTATAATTTTACTTTATGTACTTTTACTTGCGATTAACATATAGTAATATTAAAAAAACGAAAAACTCTCTGCGCATACATAGTTAAAATCTCGTTTTGATGTAATGAATTTAAAATGTTTTTACAAAAACATTTTTGTAAAATAATAAAAATGAATAATATACGAAATGCAATTTAAAAGCACTTTAAAAAATTGAATTAAAAACTTTTAATTTGAACTCAACATTACTCAATAAAAAATTTAATAATTTTCCTACAATTCACATTCTATTTTAAAAATACTTTCTATACATTTTTGCAGATTAAAAATTATATTTTATCAGTGATTAAATTATATTCATTAGCGCAAAATTAAATGGAAAATAAAAAAATTTGAAAAATAAGAATAAAAAGTCGAATGTTATACGCAAAATTCAATTTTTTTCTGCTTTTAACTAAAATTCTTCTATAAATCCATTTTTTAAAATAATTAAGTATAAGTATACATTTTGACAAATTTAACAAATTTCAGAAGAATTTGAATTATTGAAAATTTTTTCAAAAATCTAAGTTCTTAGAAATTTTTAATTAAATTCATTTAAAATTGACATTTTCTAAAATTTCTAATTAAAACCTTTGGAAGTTCATCTATTTACGAAAATTGTAAACGAAATTCTTTTAAAATTGAATTACTTTTATATTTAAGTAAAATGATTTATTATAAATAATTTTTTGAAAATTCTTCAAGAATTTGTCTTTAAAAATAAATTATTGTCAGTAATAGAAAAAATTGAAGGTTTTAATAATAAGTTTGAGATAATAAAATGAGTATAGAAAGTTTTTCTTTTTTTCAAAAATTCTTTTGATAATCGTCTATTATTTCTTATGATAGATTTTTTTTTTTTTTTTTTGAATAAAAAACAGTGTGGAACAAAAATGATTCCTTTAGTATGAAAGTATAAAAATTGATTCGCCTGGTCTGACCAAAGAGATACCTTTTCCACTGACAGGGCTCCCCTTTATCACGTCTGACCACAATGGATCTTTTCTACTTAGAATAGCAAAAATATCTCTCGGGAGCTATGGGGCGATGAAATAGGGGAGAGAATATGTAAAAAAAAATGTTTTCAAATTGTATATAATTTAGATAATACATTATATTTATTTAATGTATTTATTAGACTCAAGTAGTGAAATATTTACAAAGCTTTTTCCCCATCTAAATCATTTATTACTGATTCTGAAATATTTTCTCTTCTGCGAAAAATAAATATATTTATTTTTACAACACAGTTAAGCAACACTTTTGATTAGTTTTTTGTCTTAATTCGATATCTGCAGAAAAACTGCATGAATTTAATAATATAAATGTTTGATTTCAATTTTTTAGAGTAAAAAGTTGTCTCATGATGGGAAAAAGTGAAAAAAAGGAGAAAACAAGGAAATTTCTTAGTTTCTCGTGCACATATCTCGAAGTTTGCGAAAAAGTTTTTTTTTCTCTCGAGTGTGTGCGGGGGAAGGGAAAATCGACGAATCGTAATCCCGAGTATAAGAGTCGGGAAGAAGGGGTGGGAGCGTCTGATCATAACTTTCCTAATCTCCTGAAAGGCAATATTTCTTTAGCGTCTCGACATGCTCGTCGGTTACTATTACTACCGTTACTACTTTCGGCCGCCTGTATCATTTGGATTGAGAAAAGGGATATACGCTTCGAGTATCTTGCAAAACGATAAGTACGACTAAACAGTCTGCTCATGACATTCCCGAACCCCTAATATTCGTGAAACTTGATATTTGCTCCCTCAGTCTCCTCGCGACGTTATATATATTCACTCGCTCTTTACTTCCATTCACGGCCTCTGACTTCTCAGCGTTTATTCGACTAATGAAAGCCCCTAATCGCAATTGCGCTCGACTTCTAGTCGTAAATTTAATCCACAAGGAGGCCTCGCAGCCACAATCTACTTGCCACAAAAGAATCTTTAATACTGCGCCTTTATAAATCTCCCCCTTATTTTATAGGTAGAAACTTGCGATTTATAAGATATAAAGAAGAATATATTTACGAGATTAAATGCGAACGTGCGAAATGTTTATTTAGTGACCACTGAGAATAAAATATCAATATTTTTATTATTAATTAATGAATAAAAACTTATTTCATTTTTGACTAATGGTTATGCAATATTTAAAAAAAAGTTTTCTTGATAAACTTTCACTCAAAAATTTAATTATTTTCGTAAATAAACAAAAATTTCGCAGGAATTAAAATTATTTACAAATTTTTTATAAATTTCTTCGCAATAATTCAACTATTTTCATGAATAAGAAAATTCAATTCTTATTATAAATAATAAAACTCATTGCAGCATTTCAATTATTTTTAATACAAAAATTTTAATCGATATTGCTCGAAAAATATGTAATTATTCTAAAAATTTTATTGAAATTCTTTGAAAAAAGTCAATTATTTGAAAATTTGTTGATTCTTTATGAGAATTCAGTATTTAGAAACTTTCAATTATTCAATAAATTATTTATTTTTGTATTTAAATAATTGAATTTTCGCGAATTTTCTAATAAAAATTAATTTAAAAATAAATTTTAGATTTGAAATTAATTAATTTTAATTTGAAATTTTAGATAATAATTTAATATTAAAATTCCAGAAAATAATTGATTTTTGCAAAAAAATTTATAAAAAAATATGTAAAAATAATTATATTCTTCGAGGAATTATTATGAGTTTTATTATGAAAATAATTAAATTTTTGAATAGAATTTGATTAAAAATTTTTTCAAACTGAATTCTTTTGGCGAATTTTAAAAATATCTTTTAAAATAATTTTAAAATAATTACATTTTTTGAGGAATTTGCTTAAAATTTTATTTAAATTAATTCAAATTCTGCTAAAAGTTTTATTATTAATGAAAATAATTAAATTTTTGCGAAGAATTTTATTAAACTTTTCACAAAAAAATATTAAACTCCTGTGAAAAGTTCGCAGAAAAAATTCAATTATTTACAAAAAATACAATAAAATCTTTGTATAAATTAAAAATAACAAAATTTTTTGCTGATCTTTAATTACTTTCAGAAATTTTAATAAAATTCTTCATAGAAATTTAATTAATTTCAAAAATTTGTCAAAATTCAAATATATTTTCAATGTCTACTATTTCAATAAAATTTCACAAAAGAATTCAATTATTTAAAAAGAAATTTTAATAAAATTCGTCTGAATAATGCATAATTATTTTCAAAAATAATATAATTCTTCGCAAAAATTCAATTATGTTAAAAAATTTACAAAATTTCAATTATCTTTATAAATAATAAAATTTTTCTGCGAAATTCAATTATTTAAAAGAATTTTAACAAAATTTTTGGCATAATTTTAATTATTTATAATACAATTTTATTCAAATTGCTTGAAAAATGTAATTATTCTAAAAATTTTATTAAAATTCTTTGAAAGAAGTCAATTATTTAAAAAATTTTAATGAGAATTCAATTTTGAGAAACTTTTAATTATTCAATAAATTATTTATTTGCATTTTATTTGTATTTAAATAATTGAATTCTGGTAAAATTTTCTAGTAAAAATTGATTGAAATATAAATTTCAGTTGAAAATTTAAATAATAATTAAATATTAAACAGGGTTATAAAGAGATCTTTTAGAAACAATTGAATTTTGAAAAGAGGTTTCAAATTAAAATCTTTGAAAATTTGAATCTTTCAAACTTTTTTACTAACAATTTTGAAGAATTAATGTTTTTCAAAAAGTTTAATTGAATTTCTTTTGAAATTATTTAAAGTTTTTATTTTCTAAGATTATAATTAATTGAAGAATTTCCGAATAATCGAAATTTCACGCGTAAAATTGAATTGTAAACAAATGGATTTGAAAATTGTCAAAGAAATTTTTTTATAAATTATTAAAAATAATTGATGTTCTTATAATATAAAATAATAATTTAATCATTCGGTCATCTTTATAATTATTGTAAAACATGAAGAAACCGATCACTCCGAGTCTTCGACTCGGAGCAATCGATATCTTCATGTTTTATACCAAATATTTTTATAAGTTCTTTAATTTCAAAAAGGTTTGAATTTGAATCTTTTGAAAAATTTTAATTCTTATGGAAAAATAATAATGATTAACAGATTAATTATTTATTTAAAAATGAGGTTATCAATGTTTTCGAATAATTTTACTTTTGAAGAAATTCGTAAATTAGTAATAGAACATTTTTTTTGAGTATATGATCCGTTTGTATCTCATTTTGCCTTCGCGAATCTATTATTGATAAATGTCAAAGAGAGAGGGGGAGAGATAATTTTAACTTTCAGAAAATTCTCCGTATTGCTGTAAAGTAGTGTCATTTTGCAGAAAAGCATATAAAAACATACTTTAACACACTTTATATAGGAATCGGAGTGTTCTACTATAAACAATTCCCATTCCCGCAAATTTGTTATTTAATTTTTATTGGTTATGATGTTTACTTACTGCATCTCATTAAAGATGATTAAGAAAACATTGACCACACTGTTAACTTAAAAGTATCAAATTGCAAATCATAAATTGATCAAAATTTTCGATATCAATTTGATACATTGAAGAAAACTGTGCAAAAATTTGATAGTTTAGATGAAAAAAAAAATTCCCGCGAATTTCATATACAAGTTATTTTAAGTGTATAAGTGGCTATATATTTATAAGCGACATTAGGGTATAGTATAATAATGATAAAAATAATTGAAGTTTATCAAACCTAGGTCGTCGTCCTTGTCCCAGTTGCCGGTGGCGTTGACATAAACGGCCACAGCGAGTATATAAGCGCTGAGGACGAGTCTCACTGCAAACACTGTCAGTGTTCCAAATGCCATTCCAGATCGAAATCCTCTTCTCCTGGGGCCGGCTTGAAGTTTCAAATCCACTTTGCACATAACATGAGACAACCTATTCTTCGCAAGTCGCGATCCTTCGCTACTTTTATCTTAAACCTTATTGTCATTCCACGCTTTCGCCTCTTCCCTTGGAAATTAACATCTTTTTCTATCCTTATACTCTAATGATTACAACTATTTTCAGTTTCAAATTTCCTCCAGTCATTCAAAGATTTATAAAAAGTCATCCAAACTTCTTCTTCTTCTTCTTCTTTCTTTCACTTCTCTCTCAGGTTCCAAAAGACTTTTTTCTCCGTTGTTTCATGAGTCATGTGTAGATCTGCTTGAAATCAAATCAAAAAAACATTATTATATTTTTTTGCTGGGAAAGCAAAATGAAAAAAAAAACCCTTTTCACAATATTCTTTCATCTCTTGCGCGCGTTTGCAATTAGAAAAATATTGCGGTGAAAAACGCGGTGTCAAATTGCTTCTCTGGATGGAATTTTTTTTTTTTCGCATCTGTTGCAATACTTTCGAAAATATAATTTGAATCTGTTATTTTTTATGGTTCTTCGATATATATATATTTTAAAATGATGTTCCGAAAAAAAGAGATAAATAAATTTGTAAACAAAAGTATAAAAGAGACACGTGAATAGTTTCTAAATTCTTTTATATGTTTTTTTTTATTTTATTTTCGCATTGAAGCTGAAAGAATTTTTTTTAAAGCACAATTTATTTTTCTCTCTTGATTATATTTCGAGTTTGTGAATAAATTTTTCAACATAAAAATAATAGAATAATATTTATACTATATTTAAATTTATTTAGTGATTTAATAATAACAAATTTTTTTGCAAATAAAAAAAAGATAGGTAATATCGAAATTTAATTTCGCTCGGAAAAGTTGATCAATATTTCAAGACTATGATTGATTTTATGCCAAATAACAATTTTGCCATATGTCAATATCGTATATAAATTATTCGTTTAATGTGGAAAAGCAAATTTGTGCAGATTTTAAATGCAGTCAATTTGAAAAAGATTTTTTTTCCTCCCGAAAAAATTGATTTTTAAATAAGGGGAATGATAGAAATTTAATTAAAATGGACATGTTGTATTTCTATTCTACTTGTCATAAAATTACAAAATGATTTTGAAATTAAAAATGATACCCACAAAACTTTTGATACACTTTCAGTTTTTTTTATAAATTTAATTCCAAATACAATTTTCAAACTTTTTTTCAGATATTCATTCGCATTGACATTATTTGTATATAACCATTCAGCAATAAAAAACAGAATTTAAAATAATGAAAAAAGAAATAAAAAAAAAATGATATGAAATAATAAAAAAAAACGCTACCATGAAAAAACGATAAAACGAAATAATGAAGAATTTTTTGTCAAATAAAGAACATAAAAAAAGCAAAAATAGTGAAAAAAAACAATGTGTAACAATAATTAAAAATCAAGCATATATTGAAAAATTGTAACAATAATATAATACGATTGTTTCACAAGTTTTCAAATTCCAATTAAAAAAAAATTTTTTTCTTTTTTTTTTAATTTTATTAAATCAACTTCGTATCTGCGAACAGAAAAAAAACACAAGCAAACATATTAAAAGTTTTAAAGGTAAAAACAAAATTTATTTATAAATGGAGTACTTTATTTTTCAAATCAAAGTTCTTTCGTGTTTCATGAATGATTTAATTCACTAATTTTTCACCGGAGGAGAAACTTGAGCTTTCTCCCATTTATATATTTGCCTCTCTCGTACATATACATATATATATAAAACCGTCAAGCACTGAAACGTGACTTTATGCTGATAAAAAGCACATTCGAAACTTTTTGAAAAAAAATAACTTTCGTGGGCAGTGAAAAAATAAATTCCTCACTTATTCAAAAAAAAAGAAAACAAATGTTCCTTAATTTATATACTTTACCCTATCGTTATTATTTATGGTTTATTTGAATAAGTTCGTATATAATCAATTTTTCTTAAGAGATAAGGAAAAAAATTATTATATTCGAAAATTTGATTTTCCTAATAGAAATTCTTCCTTTTGTATAATAAATACGAAAGAAAGATAAGGTAAATAATTAATAACAGAAATAGAAATATTCAAAACGACTGAAGAGGATGACAATAATTATTTATATTATTGTTTAAATTTTAATTATAATTATTTTGTAATTATTATTATTTATTATATTTTATAATTTTACAATATAACAAGAAAAAAATCTTAACGAAAAACCTACAAATTTCAGAATATTAAACATTTTTTTATAGTTGTAACATATTTTCAATAACTAATAATAATAATAGTAGTAACTTTTAATTGTAATTAACACAATTGTAATGATAAATAATTAATTAACAAATAAAAACAAAATTGTATTAACAAATAACAATAAATTATAATAACAACAAAATTGTAATAATAAATAGTAACAAATTGTAATTAACAAATAACAAAATTGTAATAATAATAATAATAATAATAATAATAATAATAATAATAATAATAATAATGTAAATAATCATAATAATATTATAAAAATAATTATTTTCATAAATTCCACATATGAAAAGATATTTTTTAATAAGTTGAAAAAACTTTTTACGACAAATGGTATATAAATCTTTCCATATTCCTTGGAGAGAACTATAATAAATTAATGACAATTAGAAGAGTTTAAATTGCGGAGAGAATTTTAATTTCGTTCGTTCTTTTTTTTTCTTTGAAAATTCATTTTAGAAATTTATTGAGCCGCGAAGAACCATTAGATTTTTTTAGATGTACGTTTTGCGATTTTGCGCTCGAGGAATTAAATTTTAACTAAAAGCAAAGAAGTGGCGCTAAAAGTGACTGCAAGTAGAAAATGTCGCGTACGGTCAGGCGGAGAGATTTTAATAATTGAAACGTCTCGAGGGAAGAAGTGAGAGAGAGAGAGAAAGAGAGAGAAAAAAAACCTCATCAGACATTGTTAGGGTAGAAAAAGAAAGTATGAAGATTTAATTTTAACCGACTCGTAAAAATTTTCATTCAAAGAACGGAAATTTTGTCTCTCTTTATTGTATATATATAAAATACTAATTTCATTAAATACTCTTCTTTTTCTTAAAGATTATCTACGATTTTATGTTACCTTGAATTTTCTATTTTTAAAATTTTCCTTATACGAATTTTTATATTTCCATTTAAGTTTATTTGCTATTTTTATTCATTCACTTCTATTATTAGTTTTTAAAAAAATTATATTAAGAAGAAATAATAAAAATTATTTTCATTAAATAATAATAAAGTTATTTCTTAGCTTTTATAAGTCCCTTTAAACATAAAAATAAATGAACAAATAATAATGAAAATATTAATATATTTTTTCAATTTGGTTAAAAATAGTAAGTAATTAGTAGTAGTAATTACTTTTACATTATTTTCTTATTACTTTATTTTCTATCCTCTTTATATTATTTTTTTTATATTTTTATTATTTTTTATTTTATTATTATTTATTTATTTTTTTTTATTTATCATTTTTATTATTATTTTCCATATTAAATTAATTGAAGAAATTCTTCTTTTACTTTTTTGATATAATAAAAAAACCATTTTGTGAAAAAAGGAAATTTTATCTTCTGAAAAAAATTTGTTTTCATAGAAAAAAAGTAAAATGTTTCCTAGAATTTTTCAACCTATCGATTCTTTGAATAATATCATAAATAATTTTAATTGTTATTTAAACGCAGACCGTAGAAAATAGTCTTTGCTTTTTTAACAAGAGTCATTTCAACACTCAGGATTTGTTTTTAAAACACTTTTTTTTTATTTTGTGTGTATAATTTACGAATAAAATTTTTTCTCAATAAATTTGATAATTTGAAAAAAAAATATTTCTTTCGAAAACGAAATTTAGACTGTTTTTTGGGCTTAAGGGGCAAAAGTAGCTATATTACAAATTCAATAGAACACGTAATATAATTATTATATTAATATTTTATATAATCCTAAAGAATAACACTCGAGAGCGAAATAATAAAAAATTTAAGAAGCAAAAAATTCTTTTTTCGATTATTGGTAATAACAATTATAATAATAATAATGAATTTCTCCTCGAAAATTGCAGAGAGATAAAAGAATAATTGCGCAAAAAAAGGGGTCAGACAAAAAATAATTTTTCGAGCACAATTCTTACTCGTATGTTCATTAAATGCCGGATTCAGTTCATGAACCACCATCACTCGTCGTTGAGGGCACTTTCATATAAAATCCCGTCGTTCCTCCTCCATGCTCGTTTTCACGCCACGGTTCAAAGGTCCTTTACCCTTCATTTGAGAGCCCGTCGAACAATTACCATCACTATGCGTACAAACGCGCGAGATGAATAATAAACAAAATCAACAAATTTACAAAAATCTTCACTAAAAGAGAAAGAAGGCTAGAAATTATTTGTATTTTCCGTGAAATCGATCAGTATTTCCGTGATGAGGTAGAATCCCGTTGCTCAACGATTCCCGAAGGAAGGAGTCGACGCGGTCCTGGGAGCGACTCGCGTGTGAAGAGGAGGAAACTTGAACCAAACTGAATGCACTTCCGGATGGACAATAAAAATCGTCCGGGCGTTCCATATAGAAAACTAATGCACGACAAGAGGAGCGTGAAGAAAAAAAGAAATTCAATTGAGAAACACTAAAGGAAAAGAAATTTTTCGTGTCCTGAGCGATTTATCAATGAAAAGCTGCTGATTACGAATTTTCTCTTTTTTTGGGGAAAAAATCCCTTTCTTTTATTTTTTTTTTTAGAGGGGAGGCAGAGAATTTTAGAGGAAGAGAGACGATGGCGCGCGCGATCCAGTCGTCGAAAGGACGTTCACGACGTCGCGACGTCCCGAATTAAGAGTTGGCGGACCGTGTGTGTTCGCCCTCGGCTCATTTCCCGAGCCTTCGGCAGTTTCCGACAGCCGATCGTTAGACGAAGGGGTAGCGAACTGTTGGAATCGAAATACGGGGTTGGGGGCAGAAGTGAGGGGTGGAAACGCGTCATGTTTCCAACCCCCATGCGCCGCGGTTTCGTTCAAAAAAAGAAAATCTCCATTTGCGATTTTTGAAAAAGAAAGTTGTAAAATTATTTCCATTATTGCAAAAAAGAAAAAATTTAAACTAAGCTATCAAGTATTATTACCGACTGTAATTAGTACAGGTTACCCAGTCGGTAACTGTTACACTTTTAGGTTAGGAACAACCACTCTCTAAACGGATAGGCGCTGGCCCAATGAGTCTCCGATTTTTTTTTGACATTATAAAAAATATTTATTCAAAATCTTTTGTCAACGTCGAATAATACATGTTTCTAAGTGCTTGTTGAAATTTTTTCATCAAAAAATATTAAATAATAAAAAATGTTATAGACGAACTCCAGGAACGCCTTTTTTTGAGGTGGACAGTGAAGAAAGTTGACACTGAAGAAAAGTGGATGTTACTGAAGAAATCGGAACATTTCTTCAGTGGCAACTTCAGTTCCACAAAAAGAACGCTGTTTTAACAACTGAAGAAAAGTGTATGTCATAAGAAAAAACATAAGAAAAGTGTAAGAAATCTGCCGATTTCTTCAGTGACATCCACTTTTCTTCAGTGGCAACTTTCTTCACTAGTTAAAACAGCACTCTTTTTGTGGGACTTCTTGCCTTTAAGGCACCTTTTACATTAAAGACATAAATATTTTCGGTTATGTTTACAATTTTTTTAAGGGAAAATCCACCCACAATGCACTGAAAGTTTACTAATGGTTGAAATTAACTTGACTGCAAACTTCGAAATCTTCTTCTTGTATAACCATCTACATCGGTAGATTAAGGAATAGTAAATTATTAATACTAATTAAAAGAGAACTTTTAATTAAAATAAATCTGTCACGAACATAACCTATAATTCATTAGCTTCAAAGGTACCTGCTTTCTTCGGAATGCTTCACACATGCTTAGAGGCAACCCCTTGCTATAAATTTTATATCTTTTCAGTAAAACTACCGTAAATTTGAAAGGGGGAGAATTTTTTCTGACAGGCAATAAATTGTATAGAAATCCTAAACTTGATGGTTATATACTACAGAGATATAAAGACACTATCCTCTAAAATTGCCCCTAAGAACCAAAAGTAAATTCGCTTTTTGAAAGAAGAAGCCTACATCTAAATCTCTAATAGATATACAGTCGAACCTGCATAAGCAAGAGTTCAAGGAACAGTCAATTTTTTCTCGTTTATAGAGGTTTATAAATTAATATTCAAGCTCATAAATTTTATAAAAAAGTGAATTATCCACATTAGTCGAAAATTAAAAAAATCGATGCCTTTAAAGTCTTTTTCTTGTTTGGGAATGGTTTATTTTAACCCAATCGAAAACGAACCAATGTATTCCGCTAAGTCGGTAATGTCAAATCCTACCAAATTTTTTTCTCAAATTTAAAGAAAAAATAGTAGTGGCACTTCGTAAACACCCTAAATAAGCAAATAGTGTAAAAATAACAGAAATTGATTTGCAAATTTCCTCTGCAAATTAGTAGAATGTTCGAAAAATAAGATATGACGCTCTCCAAACTTTAGGAAACTACAAACAAAAATCATTAATGAACACACCTTTTTCACGACAATTATTCTCGAGTACTTCAAAACTATATAAGAATCTTGTTAAAGAGACTCGATTCCCCTTTAATCAATCACGAAATCCAATAGAGCCGAAAAAAATAAGACAAGGTACAAGAGGAGCGAAAAAAAAATGATAAACTACTATGTTTCATGTTTATATAATGTCGACAATCATTACAGTTGCTAGATTAGGAGACTTCCCCCCTTCTTGCTTCCTTTTTTTGCACACGTCATTATCTTCACCCTGATGGTTGATTTTTCCTAAACGCGCCAGAGTTTGTGTGTGTGTGTGTGTAGAAAAATGTGACAAAAAAGAAAGGGCAGAGTCACGCGACTTTATTTCCGATTCATCGAACCGCCCTTGGCTTAACTATATGAATATAAGGGATGAATATGTATATCTATATAAGAAGCATCCGTCCTTTCGATTCACTACTTGAAGGATGACGATAATAACGATCATTAACCTCACTCACTCACTCACTCACTCAGTCACTAGCGAGAGCGAGAGGGAGAGAGAGAGAGGAAAAAAAACCTGATGGAATCTCACGTGAGGTGAGTGTGGCTCGAGGGTGAGAGTTAGGATGAGGGTTGGAAAGGTTTAAGGAGAGGGCAGAGGGGAGGGGGTGAGGTGGCTTGTGCGGGGGCTGAAGGGGCGGTTGGGGGAGGGCCACAGACAGTTAACTGTGTCGGACCGAAAGAATCAATAGCCCAGCAGTCGAGTGCATCGAGAGTGCGAGTTCATATTAAAGATGCCTTTGGAGAACACCCGACCCTTCCTATATCTTTCCCACAAAAGACCCTTTTCTCGAATGCGAGTCCTTTTGATCTAAACATAATGCACTTACTTTTCAAAAGGAGCCTTTCATATCGATTTAAGATTGGGGGAGAGCGCGACAAAAAATAATAATAAACTTGACACCATTGAGTCTTGTATTATATATAATACACTTTTTTGCAATGGAAAACTTATGCCTCCTTTATTTTCCTGCCAAACGGGAAGAATTATTGCATAGATTTCTACATTATCGACAAGCGAAATGCCAGCGTTCGAATTATTCTGCAATTTCGTGCAGATTCGGAATGAATTTGCGAACTGTATTGTATATATGCATATTCAGCCATTTGAAATAATTTGACCTTTACGAAGTACAAGAAATAATTCGTCGGCACAACTAAAATTTGCTTTTTCCTAACTCTTTCCTATAATTGATAATGACTACTGCCTTAACTAAGCATTCGTTTTTTTAAGATGTATTTCTTTACCAATACTTGAATCTCGATATACACATATATCTTGTAGTAAAAGATCTAAATAGTCGACTAGAATTCAAAGGTAATGTTCAACTATATAGTTTTATTTCTGCCCGAACTGCTTTGATCAGTTTCTTTATAAGGCATTTTTATTTTAGCTCAGATTTAAAAAAAAACCCTTTCTTTTTTTAAAAGAGTTGATTCTGACATTTATATAGTTTTGTCTCACATTGGTACAAAATTGATGACACCAATTTCTGCTCGTTGCACTGGTTTCCTCGATAGCTGCTGAATTCTCTGCATAGTATCATTTACATGAACATTTCTATTTTTACACCAATACACTGAAAATTGCAGATAATTAACGTTAATAATAAAATAGGAAATGTACAAAGCTTCTGTTTTGACATTAATTATTTATAAGGCCTGCCAACCGAAGAAGGTTACCTACTGCTGCTGATGTTCTGAAATATTTTTAGAATTCGCCATTCAAATGCTCTACATTGTAGGCCTCTTTCCCTCTTATTTATAATTTATAAGATTTAAAAAAATACTCTCCCTTCTTCGAAAAAAGATTTAAAAAAAGACAAAAAGAAAAGTTTTTCAATAACAACAGCAAAGGGTTTGACAAACTTTTATGACAATAAATAATAGAATAATACTTTTTCGCTTGCTTTTTAGAAAATAAATTTATTACCTACTTAAATTTGAAGACTAACCAGAAAAATAGTGTTATTTTTTGTTCGTTATATAATTTTTTGAAAAAGGGTCGAGTCAAGCCTTTTGAAGTATGTTTAAAGTGATTTCCATTAAAAGACACTGCTTTGCCAAGAGGCATTGCGAGACAAAACGGTGATTTCGTATAGTAACAGCTTGTCTGAATAGAGAGTCGTTAGTAGAGCACTCTATATTCGAGGTGATTTTCTAACGATGCAGAGTTTGTAATAGGGAGGGTGGCGCAAAGCAATCGATCATCTGCAATGACTCCTATATTTCCGAATTTCTATACCCCACTCAAAAAAAATAATCCCATCAATTTTTTAATTTTCATAGTCAAAATTCATACACAAAAAAATTTTTTTTGAAATGATTAAAATCACTGGGAAAACAAATTTAATTTTAAACACATCAATTTTTGAACTCAAACTAAATAGATACCTCGAAAGATTATTGTTATAAAATAAGAAAAAATAGATCGATTTCTTCATGTTTTATAATAATTAAAGATGCCCGAGTGATAAAATCATTATTTTATATTGTAAGAATATTTTTACTGTATCTTAGAAAATAAAAACTTGAAATAATTTCAAAACAAATTCAATAAAACTTTTTCAAAAAAATTAATTATACAGAATTGTTAATTAAACGAATGACAAATTCAGATTTTTAAAGATTTTAATTTTGAATTCATTTTTAAATCAATTTTTATTATAGAAAATTCTATGAAAATTGTATTAAAAATAATTGAAATTCTGCAATGAGTTTAATTATTTATGACAATAATTTGAATTCTTAAAAAGAATTTTATTATTTATCGACAATGATTGAATCTCTATTAGGAATTTTTTTATTTATTGAATTATAGCGGAGAAATTTATAAAAAATGCGTGTAAACAATTGAATTCCTATGAAATTTTTATTATTTATGAAAATAATTAAATCTTTGCGTAGATTTTTATCAAAATTTTTATTAAATAATTAAATTCTTTTGGAGAATTTTATTAAAATAGTAGATATTGAAAATCATTAAGTATGGATATAGTTGAAAGTATTAAAATGATTTGCAATTTTCATGAGAGAATATTTTCTATGAGAATTGCAAATTGTTTTAATATTTTATCATTTTGCTAATAATAAATGTGAAACTATAGTTGAATTTTATGGATATGATGACCACCTCAAAGCTTCGTGAGCAGACATAATATGAGTGTCACATAATTACTATTAACACGTAAAGTTCATATATTTATGAGAAAGAAAAAAGATATGTGAACTTGATTAATTTTTATACGTTAAAATAGAAGATAGGGAGAGTTTGGTGTTATAAATGCCAATAATTAAGTGACATAAATTATGTAATGTAGGAAAAGACAGTGCTATAAGCTTAATCTATACAATTATTATATTCAATTATAATAATTAATTATTGTAATAAACAAATACTACTCTTATAAAAATTAGAGTAGCATTATCTATAAAAAATTAATTATAATTATTTAATTGTAACAATTAATTCAATTTGAAAAGTTAATTATCCTTTTTGCCAAAATTAGAGTATAATCTATAAACAATATGGAACAAATGATTAAATATTTAAGACAATTTAACTTTCCAAGAAACAGATTTATATAAAATTTAAATGGAAAATTTATTTTCATAGAAGCTATAATTATGAAAAATTGA